GACCCAGGAATAAGGTATTGGCTTCTATCCCTCGCCGCGGATCCTCCATTCCGGTACACGGGTTAGGGAGAGATTCCTGGGTCGCGACCCTTCCCAGACCCAAGAAAAACTAAAGAGGGTTTGCGGAGACTGGTTCCGCGGGGGGGTCGATCATTGAATTGTGGCGCGATTCTGTTTTGGTACGCACAAGACATATCATATCTGCTTCATCCGACTCTTTTCGAGTACATATCCACGGGGGAGGCAAGCCGCCCGCCCGAGCGCATGCGCGTTGTAACCTCTGATACCCGGACGAAAGTCCTTCCAGCAAGTAGGATGAGGTATGTGGCCCCCGGTCTTATTGTGTGCAGGGCCCAGCTTCCGGGGCTGGGAGTCTGGCATGCCTGTGGCTTGCGGGTGCGCAGAAGAGAAGTGTACTATTGCGTATAGGGCGTTGCGACGCTGCAGTTCCTTTTACAGGTATCTAGAAATATACTATTCTTATACCTTCGTGGAAATGTACCGTGCAGTAGCATAAACCTGATCTGATCGACGTATGTGCAGTACACCCCAACAACAGCAGCCGGTCTCCAATACAGAAGAACAATAGAACTATCGACTGTGCGAACTGTATATCCTGCATCAAAACCTCAACGCTTACCCATCCGTCATAGTTCTGGTCGAGAGTGACGCTCCTCGGGGAGTTGTCAATAATTCAGACCCTGCTCTGCACCTCGTGTTTTACGTTATGCTGTGCTCCCTTTGCGCTCGGTCTCTCCGGTGCTGTCGTACTGGTGTAGCATAGCCCGGTATAGCATGGCCTTGAAGTTGTTTTTGTCGGTTTTGTTTCTATCCTAAGTCCCCCAAAGTGATAAGCTTACGCAAGGCGGGGGTGGGCGGCTGAGCCCGAAGACGGCAAATAGGGACACCATCCAACCCCAGGTATGTAGGTTGTGGCTCCCACGGCTGAACAAGTCTTTATTGTATACTATGCTTATGTACAAGAGGGCAGACACTCGGGTAGGTTGGACGGTGTAACTATCCGAGTCGGGGACACGACGAGTCTCCTAATCCGGTAACTCGTGCGGCGGTGCGGGCCAGCTGATGGACTAAACTGAGTGAGTGACTGCTCAGTTGACTGTAGAACCTTCCAGCGCGATCATATGGGTAGGCAGGAGGAAATAGTGGCGAGGGTTGTGAAATATCCCTGCCGGTGGTTGTGGATTATTAATGTGTTATTCTACTATGTAGGTAGGCCTCGAGATATTCGCCGAGGCACAACCCGAGCCTCATCAGCCTCATCCTCATGCGCATCAGAGCCTCACTCACAGCACCCCTCCTCTTTTCCCGGTCTATACAGTGAGCAGTTATGTCATCACATCCTCCTCAGTCGAGACCGACCCCAACTCGGTAGATGATACTATAGCATATAATCCAATAATCATAGTATATTTTCAAACTTATCCTCCCCGCCGAAAACCCGAACCATCTCCGATACACTCCCTCCCTCACCCAAATTGTAACAATAAATCCAAGTCCCGGGTACTAGTATAGTCTACTGCTTATCAATGCACTTAGTAGATATTAGCCGAGCTGCCCGGGATGACTATAGACGAAACAGAGGATCCCCTCGCCCGGTGATAGGTGGAATTTTACCAAGCCGGGATGGAAGGAATTATTCCGGCGTTTGGGATGTCCGTCGGCGGAATAAGCATTGGGCTTGGTTTTGGTCTGCAGTTTGTTAGTATCATGTAGCCGTGGGAACTAATTTGGGGGATAGGCTGGGGTGAAGGCTTATTGGGGTCGCGAGTTAGTGCCGGTTTATTTACTTCTACTATTACTCATAGGTAGGAGGATCGGAGGTGGCGTGGATGGTTGGCGGTTGTTTTGTTTATAGGTGGAGGGGGTGGCGATAGATTTACTACCGTACTTGCTTTTACGGGTTGGATTATTGGATTGGGTTGGCTTGAACGGATTAAGAGGTGTTGTTGGATTTGTCTGGGGGTGGCGAGGGTGGACTATCCATGATGTGGTGGGTGGTTGCTATTGTCAGTGCCGCGGTTGTTTATTCTTGCTAACGCTGGCAGTGACATAGGGGCTCCAGCTTCGAGTTAGAGCTAGCACTGCGGGAGATGCTTCCCTTTTCTTTATGCTATAGGTAGTAGCTGACGGTCGGCGCGGCTCGATTGCAACCTCATCCCACCACATTATATATACACATGTAAGCATGTAACCCACCCGATGAAGATTGATCATTGAAGATTACGGCGGCACTGAACTATTATAAAGCATCGGAGTAAGCAACCAACTCTGACATACAGACACGAGATGGTGTGCAACATCTATCTGAAGTGGGAGTATAGCCGGATAGCCTTATCGGGCCCTTGACTGACCCCGCGGCTGGCGTGGGGGAGAGGAGGGGATCGTTATCACTGCGGAGTGCTGACACGAGTCACGACAGTAAGCACGGCACACTCGACCTTCCAGAATATTTCCATACAGCAACCGGACCGGGTTGCCGGTTGGACTTCAGGGTGGATGCAAATCCAAGCCACTTGACTAACCCATTCTAACTATGAGTGGGAAGAATTATTGTCGGTTAATCAAAAACGACAGACTGAGTGAGTGACTGACTGATCGGTTAGCACGGAAGATGGGAAATGAGATGGATGGGAGGGCTGACGTGAAGGATTGTGGAGTGTATTCCTGATCCCTATGACAAACGTCAACATGAGCAAGCAGACCGACTCCACGACTTATCCGAATTATGGAGAAGCGCAGTCTCCGCTCCTCGGATCGACCACGTGTATGGAATCTTGAACCAGAGTGCACGGTTCTGAATCCGAACTTGGGGCGTTGCTCCAAGCTTTACCCGGAGGGGGCCCACGAGCGAGTGATGAAACTGGTGAAAATACATATTCTACCACTGACCAGCCAGAGTAATCCGACGGTCAGCCTGATTTTCCCCGCCAATGAGACAAACCCATAAAAACAAGGATCGGATGGAAGTGCCTACCTACCGTAAAGTGTAGCAAGCAAGTAGCAAGCAAATTACCTCGGCCCATCACGCAACGGACAATATCCGAAACCGATAAATATCCGGATAAACACGCATCATGTTTACCTAAACTATATTGCTATCCGAATTAAGCTGACAGGATATACCCAGTGTTTTCCTTCCAGAAGCCCACGGTACAACCCAGTAAACCTTGATTGCATCCCCCCCCGGTAGATTTCACGGTAGAGGTTTTCCATCGGGTAATTCCTCCCTGGACTCATGAATCTTAACTCAGGCATCAGCGAAAGAGAAATCGGCTCGACCGGTTAACGTTAACTCTGCCGGAACTCATCCAGAGTTTCAGTCCTTTGTCGTTTGACTTTCCACATCACTCTCTCTTAGCCGGTGGCGTTCGCGGAGATGAAATCAAATGAATGTAAGAACTGGCGGTGAATGATATCCGCGACGTCTTCCCGTGCCTTTATTGGAATGGGTCTTGATGTGGTGGTGACGCGGGGGTGTCAAAACCTGCGGTGTGGACGGAGCACAGTCAGGTAGCTTGGTTATAGGCAGATACAAACGTGGCCTGCCATCATTATTAAGCCCTACTTACGTAGTTAAATAAACTTAGTTGGTGAATATTCCGATCTGGGACTGATATCCCCTGTAAGAGCTGGGTCTAGACCCTCGCTGGACATCGCATAGGCAGGTTATCCGAGGATAACTGCCCATTGCTGGGTCTGTGCTTACCTACCTTAAGGTGGTGGTAGTATTTCCCTGTATATTCTAGTTTGGGAAGAATAGTCTACGCCCGGGCGGCAGATGTGGAAAGGTTCCAGTTCATTCATGTCCTCCTGTGCAGGAGACGCTGTGCGGCAGGGAGATCTATCTATCTTCAATCTGTATTGCAGGTAGATATTGCTCGCGTTGGGAAGTGACTGAAATCCTGTTTTCAATATCTAGCGCCGGGCGTTTGCGAGGGACTCGGTCGCCTCATCGACGGCTATAGATACTCTATCTGATATGATAGGCTACGGGATATAGATCCATGAGCTGTACGGGACCTATTTTGGGACGGGGAGTAAGGGGGCTCGTTGAGCAATGTAAGGAAAATGTCGGGCATAGGATCTAGAGGTCTGCGTGCTGTAGGTTGACTGGTTTGGCTTACATTGCGGTGCGATGCGATGCTATGCTACGACAGTGGGATTGTGAGGCGATCGCGGTGACGGTTGCGTGGCCTGCTTTTCGGAGGCTTGCTTGACCGCCGTTGACGTTGTTTGCGCTGTGCTGCGTGATGTTGTGCGTTTCCTGGTTTGGTGCTCGTTGTGCCCATGGTCTGGATGCTGGATTGTTTGGTCGCATGTACCGTACCTTGTGCAGGGCGGTGGCTTTATACGTCATAGTTTGAGTATACGATGATGAGGGATTCTCCTATATTGATGGTGGTGATGTACGGATAATGATCTGTGATAATGTTATGAGTTAAAGGAATGTAGACAAGGCATGAAATGGTATAGCTTGTTACTACAGCCTGAGGGAGAATGGCGAAATGATTAACCCGAACTGGTCGAAGCTGGAGCTGTACTGATAGATGCACTATGGTTCGGGCTATCTTCTTGCTTATATGAATGAGGAGTCGGCAGCTGTTCGACGGCCAGCAAGCTCGTGGACGATCGCGATAGAGTAGCTGCGGTCACCACGATCCAACTATGACACCGGTCGCACTTGGTGAAGGACATGTATGCTGGTCTTGAAATAAAGGATAGCTGATCTAAAAGTGGTACCCTCTGGCCTGCTCATGCTCATTGTACTGCTCTAAGCGGAGTCAGTCGGATTTAGTAGAGGAAGTCTCAAGAATGAAATACCAACGGAGTTAATTCCTCTATATCCGGACAACCTTGTCTAGATGGCCAACTGGAACGGTATATCCGTTTGTTGCAATGTCAAACCAAGCACGAGACAACTGTCAGTCCACGCAACGACCGAAACAAGCAACGAGGTTTGAGTTTGAGTTCGCGCAGACATGGCCACTGCATCCAAGTTGGTGCTGATCACAGGTATGGCCAGCTTTACGTCCATCGAGCCAACTCTCATTCAGGAGCAAGCACAGGGGCAAATCAAGGTGTGGGATTCGAGACAGCCAAGGACTCCTCCTCGCGAGCCATGAATACCACGTCTTTCTAGGCTCCCGCGACCCAGCCAGAGGTGAAGAGTCGGCCCGCGTCCTCCGTGCACTTCCCGAAATCAAGGGCACAGTTTCCACCCTTTAAATTGATGTAACAAATGACAAGTCCGTGGATGCGGCTGCCGCGTATGTTCAAGCAGAGTACGGTCGACTTAATGTTTTGGTTAACAATGCTGGTATCGCCATCCTGGATGAGCCGCCGTCTCGCGAATCCTACCGGAAGGTCTTGGATGTGAATCTGATTGGCGCACTCAGCACCACAGAGGCTTTTTTGGATCTGCTGCGGCAGTCGTTGGAGAAGCGACTCATTTTTGTCAGTTCGAGCACGGGATCGATTACCCACGCTGCAGATCCTGAGTCACCGTATTACAGTCCTCGAGGGATCGAGTACCGCACGGGCAAGGCCGCCCTGAATATGATGATGGTGCTATATTGGGTGAGGCTAAAAGAAGAGGGTTTCAAGGTGTTTGGGGCCGATCCGGGGTTGTGTGCCACGAATCTGACAAGAGACCCTGAGTCATTACGGATGAGGAATGCGGCGGAGCCGTCGAAGGGGGTACGGAGAGTGGCGACTGTGGTCAAAGGCGAGAGAGATGCTGATGCTGGCAAGGTCATTGGTGATTATGGCGTTTCTCCTTTCTGAATGCTGAAGCGTGGAGGCATTGCGCGCAGCTCTGGGCTTATACGTACCTAGCGCCGGGACTTGGGTAGTTGCTTTTCATAACAGCCTCTGCTCTGCTCACCCTCACCTAATATCTGCTTCACTTGAAATAACTTCGCCTCAAGATGAAGCGACAAAGCGACTTAGACACACTATTGGCTTGCTTGGTAGACACTTTCAGACAAATAAGCAACAAGGCTGCGCAGACAGCGTCTTCAAGCGTCGAAAAGAGTTATTGATACATTCTTCGAGCTTGAATGTCCCTATGAGATTTCTCTTACGGCCAGCGTGGAACAATGCGTAAACCTTTCTTCCAGATGTCTCCGTGCAGTCGGTGGTATAGACCTGTTAGAAAAGTCCTCTGGCGGCACTATTTACTTACCTCAGTATCATTTTGATAGGTGGTTCTCTGGTGTTCAGCTTCAAGAGTCATCTGGCAATAATTATACAGTAGCGTCCACCGAGGTCGAAATACGAAACCAGTCGAGGATTGACCACAACGATAATCTGCCAATTTGAATCACACAGAGACAATTATTGGTACTCGCGCGAAGCTGGAAGTGATGGGAAAAGCTGCTTGCAACCTCTCACTGTGACTGGGAAGAGTGCTGACCGTGTCGCTGGCACCGGTCAACAGAAGCATGTCTCAGGTAGCTCAAAACCATTGGTGCCCACATCACGACTGAAACATGCTATATTTCTGACGTGCATATCTTTGCGTCTGCATCGTCGTTAATGCCTAGCAGACAATGATTTTGTTTCCGACTCAAGTGTAACATTGATGGTGCCCGCTGGACAGTGCTCAGCCTTGCCAGCCAACCCTCCCTTTCCGAGCTCAAATCCTTCTCGGCCTTCAACCCGTGCAGAATGTATGCTGGGTATTTATGATGTCTGTATCTGGTGAGGATGTCTTCGATTCTGATACTCCCGAATCCTCCCTGACGGCAGCATCGACGACGCTTCCAGAATGGACGAATGTGATTGGTATGTGGGTTGTTGCAGTATTCAGGCTGGGTGGTACAGAAACGACACCTGTCCTGTATCTTTACTGATCACACTTTCTTGCAAGCTTGGTCCATGATAAGATGCCTCTTCAGACCCATGCGTGTGATATCTTGAGTCATTGTTGACTGTTGACTATTCAAGAGTTCAGTCACATGTCTCTTACTCGATCAGGCAAGCGTGCCTTGATGAGTCAAGCCCCCATTCCGGCCTAGCGTAGAGCGGGGTGGTCGGCGGTGAGAGGGATTGGAGCGCATAATCCAGCGACGTGCTAAAATCTTCCAGCAATTATGCCACCATCACGAATACCCCTCGTTAATCCCCAGTTTTTCGCACGGCGTTTCAGTCGGTCGTTCAGGATGGAAAGTCGCCAACAGCCTCCCTGGCAGCAGCCGCCCGCGCGAGCCGATTCCCGTCTTCCTCCTCTCAAAGTATGGAACTCTTTGACCAGATCCAAGACCCCTTTCGTGCCCTTGGATCCCGAAGGACGTAAAGTCAAGTGGTATGCTTGCGGCCCGACTGTCTACGACGATGCGCATCTCGGCCACGCTCGAAACTATGTCAGCACCGATATCCTACGACGTATTCTCAAGGACTACTTCAAGTATGACGTTCAGTTTGTTATGAACATTACAGATGTCGACGACAAGGTATGAGCCACCGTGTTCGCAAACAGACTCCGAGGGCTGAATTGATTGATGAATACAGATCATCCTCCGCGGTAGACAACAACATCTGTTCAACAAATACATCACGGAACACCCCAATGTTACCCCCGAAGTCCTCGAGACAGCCCGGTCGGCATATAGCGCCTACATCAAGAAGAACCTTCCTTTGATCAACCCCGACACGAAGCCCGAAGACTTTCTTGCGGAGGCCGACAAGGCCTATGGGGTAGTTCTCAAGGGTGGCTCCTTGGAGGCAGACAAGAAGCCCGGTGATGCGGAGACTAAAATCAAGATGCATGTTAAAACTGCGACGGTGTCATCTTCCGCAATCGCGGAGGCTGCAAAGAAGCCCGAAACTTCCAGCCAGGCTTTCTATGATGCCACGAAGGATGTATTCTGCTACTACCTTGATATGACCGAAGGATCAACGATTCCCGGCGATGCTTATGAAATTTTTACGAAGCTCACGAAGAAATACGAAGACCACTTCATGCGCGATATGAGAGATCTGAACGTTCTCGACCCCGATGAGATCACAAGAGTCACCGAGTATGGCCCACAAATTGCCGACTTTGTCGAAAAGATCGTTGCGAATCAGTTTGGATATGTGGCTTCTGATGGCTCGGTCTACTTCGACATCAAAGCGTTCGAAGAGGCTGGCAACCACTATGCTCGCCTCGAGCCTTGGAACAGAAACAACCAACCTTTGCAAAGGGACGGCGAGGGTGCTTTGTCTCGGGCAACTGAGAAGAAGTCCCCCGATGATTTCGCTCTCTGGAAGTCGTCCCGACCTGGCGAGCCTAGTTGGTCCAGCAAGTGGGGTCAAGGAAGACCCGGATGGCACATCGAGTGCTCTGCTATGGCGTCAAGTTGCCTGGGAAGCCAAATCGATATCCACTCGGGTGGTATTGACCTTGCATTTCCCCACCATGATAACGAGCTTGCTCAGAGTGAAGCCTACTGGCACGAGCACAAGCACCAGTGGGTCAACTACTTCCTGCACATGGGCCATCTGTCTATTGCAGGCTCAAAGATGTCCAAGTCCTTGAAGAACTTCACCACCATCAGTGATGCGCTTAAGCGCGGTGATTACACTGCTCGCAGTCTGAGAATTGTATTCCTCCTGGGCGGCTGGCGCGACGGTGTCGAAATCACGGATGAGCTGGTTAAGAGCGCCTCTTCATGGGAAGAGAAAGTCAACAATTTCTTCGTTAAGGTCAAGGATCCTTCCACATACCAGACTTCCACCACCGATGCGGCGTCGACCGAGACCTTGACACAGGCCCTCAAGTCTACTCAAGACAAGGTCGATGAGCACTTCTGCGACTCTTTTGACACTCCCAAAGTTATGGCTGCTATCTCTGAGCTGATCACCACTTTGAACTCGCTCGACATTCATACCCTTGAGCCCCAGGCTATCGAATCAACTGCCAAGTGGGTAACACGGATTGTGACTATTTTCGGTCTGAACGGGGCCACTCCTGCAGACAAATGTGAAATTGGCTGGGAGGGTACCGATATCCCCGAAGTGGCCAAGCAATACTTGTATCCTCTATCTGCCATGCGTGACTCACTGCGTCAGGCTGCAATGTCCGGAACCCAGATCACATCAGACAAAGTCAAGGAAATCATTGATGGAGCGGCACCGAAAACCGCGGACGTCACCGAGGCAGCCAAGCCTTACTCTCAGGTGCTGGATGATTTCTGCGCACAGCTCTCTTCGTTGAGCCTCGAAGATTCGAAGAGTTCTGCGAAGGAGATTCTTTCACTTTGCGATCGTTTGCGCGATGCAGACCTTTTCAATCTAGGTATCTACCTTGAGGACCGCGAGAACAAGCCAGCTCTCGTCCGCCCTGTCACCAAGGACATGTTGCAAGCCCGTGAAGAACAGGCTCGAAGGGCCCTGCAGAAGCAGCAAGAGAAAGAGAAGAAGGAGCGACTCGCTCAGGAGAAGCTTGATAAGGGAAAGCTCAGCCACCTTGAGATGTTCAAGACGAGCGAGTTCAGCGCTTGGGACGAGGATGGCATGCCAACCAAGGATGCTGCTGGCGAGCCCCTCGCCAAGAGTCGGGGTAAGAAGTTGAGGAAGGACTGGGAACGTCAGAAGAAGGCTCATGAAGCCTGGCTTGCCAGCCAGCAAGTAAAATAGTAAAGTAGCATATGGGAAAAGGAATTGATGCATTTTTCAGCGGGACTGAAGCTTTGATCCTCCTACACCTCTTGCAGTAAAATCGAACTGCGTAAGCCTATTCACTACTAGGCAACTTATTCAGCGGTAATTAACATGCGTTGGCTCATGCTGGCGTGATCTCATTCACTCATATACTTGCCTGATGGATTTCCTCCTCGCTCGCACTTCCATCTTGCTTATATCTTCCAGCCTCATCACAACTCTTTCCTTTACCGATCCCGTCCGTTCGAATAGGACTTGCTTGTTCGAGGGGCATGCTGGTCGTCTACAAATTCGATACCTGATTAGCTTCTGACAACAAATTGATTTCCATATCTACTTTTGCTTGTTCTCTACCGGGACTTCTTCTCGAATGTGCTGTTGTGACCGGCATAGTTCAGACCACCACGGGTTTCATTTCTCCATCGACCAATCCATCTTGTTTTATCGACCGTGACCTATTCGCTTTAACGGACCAGACGATGCCTTTGGCTAAGCTCATCCTGCCTCTGAAAGGCAAGCGTAAGTCAGTCCCCTCCAAAGAGGATATGTTCTTCCATAGCTGAAGACTTTCCAACAGTTGCCCGAAAGAAAGAGCGCGATATCTCCTGCTCGTCCGAGCATAAACATAACCAGACGAGCCAACTATGCGATCTTCCAGCAGAAATGATCGATCTCATTGCGTCCTTCTTAGAAAGGCATGATTTATGCATGTTGCGTTTAACGTGTTCCGCCCTTCGATCCACGAGCAAATATCAGTTCGGTCGCATCGGCCTCCATACCCTTCGGACCGACCTCTCAAAAGCAAATATGTCTGCTATGGCAGAGCTTGCAAATGCCTGTGGATACAATCACCATGTTAAGAGGCTTTATATCTGCGGCTCTTCTGGTTGCTATCTGGGCTACGGTTTCTCATGGATACGCGATTTCTGGTCGAACCGGTATCTCATCTGGCTCCTTACTTCAGAAGGCTTCCTGAGATTGAGGGCACTTCTGGAAAAGTTCCCCAATTGTCAGTCATTCCACGTCTCTTTGTCCGAAGAGCCGGAGGAGGGGGCTTGGAAAGATTGTATCAGTCCCAGTGATGCGATAGTAGTCTTACTGAATCTCATGTCGTGCATGGCAAGGCCGGTCAAGTCATTCACCTGCTCCCACTCTGATCCGAAGGAGCAGTTGCCAGGTATCATCAGCTCCAAGAATTTCAGCTCACGTCATTTCGACGATGCCCGCTTGAGCATAACTTTGTCGACTCTCACGGAACTTGCAATACTTGCGTATATCAAAAATGATGCTCTCGCCAATTTCGTCTGCAACTTCGCGTCTCAGGCATCCAATTTGAAGAAGCTCGAGCTGGATTTTGCTGCAGGTTCTGGAGCTCCAACTGTGATGCAGCAGCTGGGGTCAGGGAGTAGTCTCGTGAAATTGGAGGAACTCAAACTATCGAACGCATTGGGCATCTCCGGTCATGATCTCTACAAGGTCCTTCTCGAGAACTGCGCGAGTTTGCGTATCCTAAGCCTCAAAGTTATCTGCCTTGACGACGAGCTCTGGGAGACCATACTGGACAGCTTGATGCGCGACTTCCCTGTTCTCGAGGAGATGACTCTGTTGTGGATTGCCGACAGAGTGAGTGGGCTACGAGAGGTATGTGCGATTGCGGCCCACCTATAATGACAATATGGCTTTGGCTAACAGCTCGCAGTTGTATCCAGGTAGTATGTACATTGAGGGCTTCCAGGACCTGCGAGGTCGCCATGGCCCTATTCGTGTCTTCTACGCAGGTCCTCCCGTGCATGAGGCGTTATCCTCTCTTTTACAACGCTATCGGATCCCTGCTCAGCAAACGTCCAGGCTTGCCGCTCAGTGGCCGTCTTCAAGACCGATGATCTGACTCTCTCAGAAGGGTATCTAGAAGGTGATTGGCGCGGTTTTTTGTCCTGTCGTCTCTGAGCCTCTATTGGATTTCGGGATGGGAGAAATTCTGGTGATACTTGGGCCTTTTCAATGTTACTCTGGAAGATCTGGATTAGCAGACTGGATTAGCTTGGGCCACGGACCTGTAGAAAGCAGGAAATGTTCTCTTACTATGTTAATCGTGGATCTTTCAATGCGGGCGGTGTCTTCTTTCCTAGGATAAGCAGAGTGACTAAGAGTACCATGCCATTTGTTGCAATCTAATAGAAAGGTGTGATAGGTGTGATAGGACTTAGAGATAGGTAAGTGAGGAGACATAAGTCTCTTTCCTATGGCTGTTGTTGTCCCGCCTTCTTACCCGATTGAGTCTGTCCTCCCGCGTAGCCTGGTTGTTATCCTCAGCCTGCACGTTCTTCCCGTCTTCCACTCACTGTCTTGTCTATATCTCTTTCGTTTCACCACATGATGCTTTGTGATTCCCCCTCTTTATCACAGCCCAGTTCTGCTGGGTCTAGAGCTTACTTCAAAGTCTTTGCTCAGCGTATCCTGGACTGTTTCACAATGTTTGTTCGATGCTCAGAACCCGTTAATCAGCCCAACGCCACCTCCTATCTCTGAGCATAGGGCTAGCACGGCTGTTATCTGAACACCAAGATAGACTACATACACCCATGCTTATCGGTCGCTTAAGCCCAAAGCTAGACACTAGTCAACCTGGGAGTGTCACCAGATGTGGCGATAAGAAGCAAGCCAAGACGACTATGGTTGAAGTATCTTTAAGAGCGCCGAATCTTGTCTGTGGCCTGCCATGGCTGCTGCCTTTCGTCGTCTTTCACCCCTCGGTGTCAAGAAACTGGCCACGCCGTTCATTCTCCAAGATGACTTCAGAAAAGCCTATAGAGCAAACTTCTAAGTCGCCCTACGCCACTGAAGATGTTGAAGTAGAGCAAGGGCGCCTAGATGATGTATATGCAATGGAGGAGGATGGCTCGGCAGACAAGGCAGTCTATGACTATGACTCGGAGCACTCGCCTTTCACTGAGGGTTCGTGATTAACTCTTTTGGCTCGCAGGTTGGAACTTCCTAACATGAACATCAAACAGTGCGCGCCGTCGTACCTGAAACAGATGACCCGAGCATGCCCGTTAGCACATTCCGGATGTGGCTGCTTGGCTTCATCTTCACCATGGTGGGCTCCGGCATCAATCAGTTCTTCTCGCTACGGTATCCTTCGGTACATATAGTGTCCTTGGTCGCGGAGCTGCTGGCTTATCCCTGTGGTGTCTTCTTGGCCAAGGTCTTGCCCATGCAGTCTATAAGCCTCGGGCCATTGGGGAGCTTTTCCCTCAACCCAGACCGGCAGTTCAATATCAAGGAGCATGCATTGATCGTCATCATGAGCAACGTTTCCTTTGGTTACGGGAGTGCGGACTCTACCAACATTATCCAAGCCTCTAGCTCCCAGTTCTATAACTTCGGTCTGTCAGCGGGATTCTCAGTTCTAGTGGTCCTTTGCGCACAGCTACTGGGACTCGGCGTGGCTGGACTCGCTGCTCCGTGGCTGGTGGAGCCTGCACGAATCGTGTGGCCACAGGTCCTATCGAATTGCGCGATGCTCGAGACACTCCATTCGCGGGCAAATAGTGTTGCGAATGGCTGGATGATTTCCCGACTTCGATTCTTCCTCTACGTCACTGCAGCTGGCTTCGTATGGTACTTTTTCCCAGGACTGATGTTCACGGCACTCTCATACTTCACCTGGGTCTGCTGGATTGCTCCTCGCAACAAGATTGTAAATCAACTATTTGGCATGCAGACAGGGTTGGGCCTAAGCCCCATTACCTTCGACTGGAGCCAGGTCGCGTACAATACCAACCCGCTGCTTTCCCCATCATGGGCTGCAATCAACGTCTTTGCAGGATTCGCACTCTTCTTCTGGATAGTGGTGCCGGGCATCTATTACTCTAACACATGGTATACAGCTTACCTTCCCCTAATGACGGCGGACGTCTACGACCGAACAGGTGCAGAGTACAATACTACTCGCGTTATCAGCTCACAGAACACCCTTGATGTCGAGGAATACAAGAACTACTCCCCTCCATACCTCCCAGCCACGTACGCCTTTGTCTACGGATTATCCTTTGCATCCATCACCGCCGTCCTGACTCACATCGGAGTCTGGCACAGCAAAGAGATTTGGGCCGCCCTTAAAGGAAAGAGCAAGCTGGACATCCATGCCAGACTGATGAAGAACTATAAGAAGACTCCTTGGTATTGGTACGCAGCCATCATCGTGGTGATCACAGCCATTGCGATTGCGGTAGTTGAAGTCTACCATACCAAACTCCCTGTGTACGGCGTCTTCCTTGCTCTCATTATCCCCGCCATCTACATGATCCCCTGCGGTATCATCCAAGGCATTACCAACGTGGACGCCAATCAGCTGAACGTCCTCGCCGAATTCATCGGCGGCTATATGTTCGAGGGTAAGCCCCTGGCCAACATGCTCTTCAAAATTTTGAGCACGGATGTGGTGGGCCAAGGTGTCTACTTCGCCATGGACATGAAACTAGGCCACTACCTAAAGGTCCCGCCACGTACCCTATTCATGGCGCAAGGGCTGGCCACCATTCTCGGAGCCCTGACCCAGGCAGGCGTCACTATCTGGATGCTCGGCAACATTACGGAGATCTGCTCCTCCGATCAAGCCGACGGATTCACCTGCCCCAACGGCCGCACCGTCTACTCCTCCTCAGTGATCTGGGGCCTCGTCGGCCCGCGCCGCCTATACTCTGTCGGCAAGATCTACTCCTCCCTACTGCATTTCTTCTGGATCGGCGCTATCGCCCCGCTGGTCACCTACCTCCTGTACAAGTACACCCGCAATCGCTTCTGGAAGCTCGTCAACTGGCCCCTCATCTTCGTCGGCACCTACAACGTCCCTCCAGGTGAGCCACTTTCTCACGCGCCTCCTTCCCTGTTCCCTACATACTAACCCCAAATTTTAACCGTCACAGCAACGGGAATCAACTACTCCAGCTGGGCCCTTGTCAACTTCATCTTCAACCACCTCATCAAACGTCGCTTCTTCGCCTGGTGGACCAAATATAATTATATCCTCGCCGCCGCCCTCGACACCGGCCTCGCCCTCAGCGGCATCTTCATTTTCTTCTGCATCTCCTACCCCGGCGCCGTGTTTCCTGATTGGTGGGGCAACACTGTCTACCTCAACACGGCGGATGGGGACGGCGTGCCGTGGAAGGAGATGCCGGCTGCAGGGTATTTCGGGCCTGCGAATGGGACGTGGAGTTGAGAGTTGTCTTGTTGTCTTCGCTTTGTTAGCAGTGGTGCGGTGAGTGGCAATGCATACATAGTTAAGTAGGATTGGTTTCTGGAAGACGTGGTGTGTGAATTTCGAATATATATTGTACTATGAGTGGTTAACTCGAGGAAATAATGCATTACGCGTGGTACGTGTGGCTGGAATACAACTGATTCTGACGTCCTTCGCTTTCTTGCAGCTTACTTATTGAGAAATCCTAGAATGATACACTGACGCCAAAGTCCGAAGAGATTGTCTGTACCAAGAAACTGTCCGTACAAATACTGTAAGTGTACAGGGAATCATAGCTTGCTGAGAGATGCATTGACCACAAGCTTCTTTATTAGATACAGATAACAAACCCAATCTTCCCACCACCGGTAGTTCCTAACGCATTAAAAGAGCCACAGAAATAAGAGAAAAGGTGGAGCAAAAGCAAAGAGCAGTAAACACATTCCGAAATGCAAGAGGGGAGGAAAAGGTAAAAAATAAGGAGAATTCAACTCGAATCCAACCGGCAGACCCCGAGTGCGTAAAGAGTGGCCAGGTGGTAGGCAAGAAAACCCAGACCCTTCGAAGGATTTGAAAGTGACTTCACGTTTCTCAGTGAAGAGTGCATCGTGGATCGTTTACTGAGACGAAGAAACATGAGTTTGTGGATTCTGGCAGAATTGAGGGAAAGAGGGGACTTACAGAGATTTCAGCCATGCCGAGATCCTCACCAGCTGCAGCCTGTTGCTGCTGAGGAGCTCCGTTCGCCTGAGCGTTGCCATCGGCAGGGCCAGAGTTTTCGTTGGTAGCGAAGTAATCGACCATCTCGGCATCAAGCTCCTCCACGGTCTTGGGCTTAGGGCGGTTGAGAGTACGGCCGGTCTTACGAGCGCCACGGCGGCCACGTCCTTGGCCATTAGTGGCGGCCTTATTGGCAGTAGCAGGCTTGGGCTTGGGTTTGGTGGAGCTTGACAAAGTTAGTTGCGACCAAGTAAAGACAGACATCGCTACTTACACAACACGGTCACCAAGAGGCTTGGGAGCAGGAACGTTGGGAGCATGAGAGGCATCAACGACAACCTCGATCTAGTAGCCGTTAGCGTCACAAGTTCGAGATGGAGAGGACAGTAAAACTGACCTTCATGGGTCTCCCATCGACAAGAAGGCCATTCAACTCCTTGGCAGCCTTGGCAGCTGTGTCGGGTTTGCTGAAGACGATAGATGCAATGCCACGGCTAGTGCCGTTCTGGTTGTAAGTGAGCATAACTCGCTTCACGGGACCTGCAGACTTGGTGAAATATTCCTAAAGCACCAGCAGATCGAATTAGTATACCGAATCAAGAAGTTCAGTTGCAGAAACCGGCAAAGTATCGGCATGAACGCAATTTCGAAAGATGCATATAACGGCCTCAGAGCGACATCAAGGAGCATCAGCGAGCACATCGCGGCAGTTAGTTGTCAGCACGGGTAATCCCTCCAAATTCCCTGCACCAGAGTAAGGTATTGCAAGCGGCCGGTCATATTTTCCCAGTAGATCTGCAACCAAGAAGATCCTGAACGTCTTGTCCCCCCACTCATTCCACCCTCACGCAATTTTGTAGTCATCAGACGCCCGGCAAGAGGCTCCTCAATGGGTTGACAGGACATCCACCAAGCACGCGTGTCCCACACCGACACATAGGTTGCAATTGTCACGACAAGCAGCGAACGTGTACTCAGAACCCCCAGATACCCTCCTTAACAGTCCAGCCCGAGAAATGCAAGGCATAGATAATCTCACGATGCCCGAAAGGAGATGCATCGTGCCCCAGCTAAACACGATAGCATCATCCGACAAACATGTGGTATAATATGATGTCCGACCGCAACTCGCGCTCGAGGCGTTAGGTTGGGTTTACTGCTGGCATGCCGATGCGCTCGCTGATGCCCGACAATCCTGACTAGAGGAATAATTCGGGCTTGACCAAGCGAGCAAAAAATACGGAGACATGCTTGAGTGGCCATCCATAGCACAGTCTGCGGCATTGAAAGAATCCAAGCGGGTCACCGAGGGCTCCGCTCTGGCTTTGATGCGCCATTCGCAAGACTGTGGCAGAACTCGACTTTGGCAGACTTTCGAAGCGCGAGAGAACTTGTTTGCGCGGCCGAAAGCCTCAAAGGAGACTGCTGCCTGTGCTGATGTCCACAATCCACCACGACGATGAGGTATGCATGGAGGTGGCAAGGATCGAAACGCGAGTGAAGCCGTTGCGCATCGAACGTTTCGGGAAAGAAACATGGCGATAGAAACCCAAGGCAAAGGCCTTTCAATCAACATACCTTGATATTGGCCTCGTTCACATCGGCAGGCTGGAGAGGAAAGTTAGCTCTTGGTCTCATGCAGAAGAAATACATTGGATCGAACATACCAAGCCGCTGACCATAATTTTGCTTTCACGCGAGACAGGGTGACCATTTGGAACGACCTTGCCGGAAGGCTTGGCAGTCTTGGTGGTCTTCTTCACGCCTCCGATGGGAACAGAAGCAGTTGCAGCCTTGGGCGCCGAACGACGATCGCGACGACGGGCACCCTGACGACGGCTGACGAGAATCTCGTCAAGAGACTTGTCCAATTTGCCAGACATGATTGTAGAAGTTGAGGTAGTCGAGCAAGAGATGAGAGATTGATGGAAAGCTTTCGCAAGTCGCGAGTGTTACGCCACTGAGTTTCGCGACTTTTTCAGATGCGAAGGCGATTGTTCTGGGTAAAGCTGGTCCAGAAGCTGGGATACGAGCTGGACAAGAGAAAGTAATAAGAGAATTAGCGGGAGACGAAGTTACACCACGCGAAGGAGAAGGCAGCGATGCAGGATGGTGATAGAAGCGATGCGGATGAGGTTGGATGAAGGAAGGGAAACGGGAGGATGGAGAAGATAAGCAACTTGGAAGGGCGGAGGGGAGAGGCTGAGTCACCCTAGTCCCGATCAGGCCTTTTCGAGCTACCCGCATTGGGAAAGTTAAGGCATCATCATATCCACATCAGGATCATGATTGCATTGAATTCTGGACTGCAGAAGTGAAAAATTGACGTATATGGGGGGTTGTCGAGGTGAATTGATGTTTACATTGTGCTATTCACTATGAGTATCTATCGTCAGTCCCTCCGAAAAGCAAGATAATACGCGGATTATGATCAATGTTAATGTTAGATTATGCCAAGGTTGCCGCTGCCCAAACAAACACCAGGATAACAGGCGCAACGACCCGACCATACTGGTAATGTATGGTGACATTGGAAATAGTCGCATTCATAAACAACGCACGGTCGAATAAGACACAGAACTGCCGATATGGTAAAGGTAACGCAGTGTAGTAGAAGCACTAGAAGCCAGGGCCTGCCCAAGAACAAAATATTCAAAGCAGAAACGGATCAAAACACCCTCCCTGCCACGCCCTATCCAATTGAACGCCATCTAAGACTGTATGAATGAAAATAGACAACATGATGAAGCGCATGCATTAGACCTTCTTTAAGTCATTAGTGTGTCCGCATGCCTTTTCTTCAGCTCTTCAAGGCCTCCAGTCTCCCCCTCATCTGTGCAAGCGTTGCTTCTTGGTCCTCGAGCTCGTCTTCGGGCTCCGGGGCTTCTTCCAGAGGCTTTTCGGGCCTGACACCTTCCACCTGGGATAATTTGCCCTGGAGAATCTCCTGCAAGACTTTATCGACTTCCTCCTCCGCTTCATCCTCCTCGTCTTCGAGCAATTCATTATTCGGGATCGCATCATCAACCATTTCCTCAATGATCCCAGCCCGTACTAACTCGGTCGACAGTTGTCGCATCGTAGCCGTCAGTTCCGGCATACGGACCAGAGTATTGACATCCTTCATGATCCCCGTCGACTTCTTGAGGCTCCCTTGAATCTTGCGCACCGAAAACGCTTCGTTGACCTGCATGTGAACGCTCTGCAGCTGAGCTCGGCTGGTGTGTAGACGAGTCGATTGCTTGCGAATCCGAACAAGTTCTCGCGCAAAAGTCTTGGCTTCCATATTGGCCTGCTTCGCTTGGGACGGATTTCGCTGAGCTCGTCGAGATGCACTCACGATGTGCTGTCGTGTTTTGCTTTCTAGGTTCTTGAGTTGGGAAATATCACGATCCAACTGGCGAGTATTGGCACGGATGAGCTGATTGCATTTCCGCATCTACAATTAAGAACCAAGGTCAGGAACTGGACGAGTTTAAATGCCTGCGTGTGACAATACCTGTGCTTGGGGATCGGGACCAAAGAAAACCGCCTTGAGGGTCTCCATGTTGAGTGACTCTGGGCAGTTCAACTGCTAATCAATTCCTTCTAGGTGTGCGGTAGACTGAAGGTATGGTTGAGGCTTCGTGGGTACAGGGAAGCGTGGACAAGCGTCTATCAGGAGGAACTCGAAGGCTTATCCGGAGACCTTGGCAACAGGGCGGGGTATTGATGGAGTCTCGGATGAGCCTCCTCTTGTACGGCTACAGGAGATAGAAAAGTCAATTCAGAGAATGAGTCGTCAACTCAGCAGTCATAGCAGCAGATCATCAAGTAGTTTCTGACCGGCCGAAACCTGTTGTCGTTCACATTGCTGCAAGTAGTGTGCCTGGCGCTACCGCACTCAGTCAAGCCCGGCTGGAGAGTCGGGCGAAATCCAGCTGACTCATCTCCAAATGCGGTGACGTCGCTAAAAAGCGTCACCGCCCTGAAGCAGATCACCCTATCTACATGTGCTACTGAATGTGAACTCATCTAACTTTCATGCCCGCTAAGTGGTTATCTATTAGTTTCATGATATAGCATCTCTTATACTAGAGGCGGGAAGAAATTGTAGGTCGCCGTCCTACCGAGACGGCTCAAGGTGAGTGATGGCAATCTAGTAGCCTACTCTTGTCCTCAGGATCAATCATCAAGGCACAAGCCATAACCTAGTTTTGCGCGTGCAGAACTTGGTAAGAGGAACTATCTCACATGCCTCGTGTATCGACGGTCTATTGAAGAACTTGGTATGCTCCATATCGGGTCAATAGCTGAATACGGTCTGTGACACCTGGTGCAGTGTTCGTTGATCTGCTGGTTGACAGCGAAGTGTGGTAATTACTTATGGAGGGGCTGCAAATTGAACAAACTCTGTGCGGGCGGGAGAGTTCCAGTACTTTCTAGCACCACTTCCAGCCGATCGCTCAGCTTTAGAGGTAGCCGGACTGGGTTTCACCTGCTGCTGCTGCTGCTGCTGCTGCTAAACTGTTGCTGCTGCTCTGCTTCCTACCTAGAGATCCAATCCACCTCACTTTCTCAACCTTCCTAATCCGATCGATTTGTCTTCTACATCTCAATCTTACGCTTCTCTAATCTACCTATCACTTTGATAATGTCTCTTCCCCAGGTTCACCCCGAAGGTATGTGTTTCTTCCGACCCGTTCCTCATTTCTACCTTTCCCCGCTCTTGGTTTTTGTGACTCGCATGGTGGCCAGTCGTCATAAAACGCCCCGGCTTGAGCGTGACTTGATACCAACTCTACGGCCTTTCAATTCTCCAATAGCTTCTCATCTCCGACTTGACCAAATGCTGATGATTTCTGCTCTTTCCAGTTACATGGGCCCAGCGCTCCTCGACTACTGAGCCCGAGCGCAACTACCTCTACGTGAGCATCAAGGCTCCCGATGTCGCTCGCAGTGATGCTTCGCTCCAGATTACCTCCAACAACGTCACTTTCAGCGGCGAGTCCAAAAAGGGCGTAAAATACCAAGTCTCGCTCGATCTTTTCGCCGAGATCGACCCTGAGCACTCGAAGACGAACCACAGTGACCGTGAGGTCGAGCTGGTGCTGCGCAAGAAGGAGCTGAAGGAGGAGTACTGGCCCCGTCTGTTGAAGACGACCCAGAAGGTCCACTTCCTCAAGACCGACTTCGATAAGGTATAGTGGTCCCATTCGTGCCCCGTCAATTGAAAAGCTGACAAGGCTGACTTGCATCCAGTGGGTCGATGAGGACGAGCAGGACGAGGCCCCTGAGGATGACTACGCGAACGGCTTCGGCGGTATGGACGCAGGAGATATGGCTGGTGGTGGCGGCCTTGGCAACATTGACTTCTCTAAGCTTGGTGGCCTCCCTGGTATGAACGGCGGAGGCTTCGAAGCAGGAGAGGGAGACGAGGAGGTAAGCTCAATCTGACCCTACAAGAATTTCTGCGTACATCTTCTAATGCAATAACCAGGATGAGGACATGCCCGAGCTTGAAGAGGCCGGCGAGGACAAGGAGGCCAAGATCAAGGAGGTTGCCTAAACTTGAGAAGGATTACTCGCGGAGATGCGCGTTGCGACATACAGATATGAAGAATGAAGGCATAAACGAATGCGCTTATCACAATCAGCATCAATGAGCCTTTACGCTCAGTCTATCGTATACTATATTGATCGCGACTCATAGTGTGACTAATTGGCGCAAAGTCGAACGAGAGGTTAGTTTGAACGGCCTTATCGGAGAGGCGAAAGAAGAGAGAGACAAGTTGGAAAGGAAGCGAATATTTTTTTTTTCTTCATTGGTATGAGATGACGAAATAGCCAACGACGTTTTTGCTACTAAGACTATGGCTCTTCTTCCACTCCGTAAATTGCCCGAGTAGCCCTACTGCTATTTTTCCGATGATGTCAATAGGGCCCCTCCTCGATGTGTGGCTTTGCGACCGTAAGGAAAGGTGACCAGAACCGCGACCGACCATGAATAATTACTGATGGGATATGCCCATTCCTTCGGGGCAAAAAGGCAACATAGTATCTCAATGATTTTGGCCCATGTGAAAAGTTTTTTGCCTGCGCAAACCCGACAAGTGGTTGCGCCGGTGAGGGTTCGACCGCAGTTTGGCTATTCGACTCAATTGGCGGAGAGGCAGATTATGTGAAGTTGTTCCGCCACACTTGGAAACCCACACCTTGAAAATGTGGAGGAACCTGCAACCACTGCCTTCTTCTCTCTTCTTGTTCGTTTGACCATCCCGGTTGTTGATTCTTATCCTGCCCAGCCACGGCGTTGTGATTTTCTTGTCTGACTCTTTTTGGACGTCAGGCCGACTCTCATTCAGACATTCTCCTTGTCTTGTCTATTGTAATTCACTCCTCCGCTAGCGGACTGTACCTTTCATCAGCCCGCTTGAGTTTGGCTCGTCTGTGGAAGTTCCCTTCTTCAACTTCCCAATTCTATACTTGAGGGCGCATACTCTCATCTGAGCAACTCTTCCCTTCTATATTCCATTTTTGTTCCCAAAAAAGCGCATAAGATAAAAGCCGCCATCATGCCTCCCAAGAAAGCTGATCAACCTAAGAAGAAGAAGGCCACGGTCGACGACAAGGTTTGACCCTTCTGACTCAATGGCAGACGAATTGCAGCGTGGCTAACCTTTGCAATCCTCTCTCTCAGACCTTTGGTATGAAAAACGTATGTGAAGTCCATTGATTCCGTCGCACCCATCGTCCTTGCGCTATTCGCCCAGTAAAAGGCCCTTCCGCTGACCGGTGACTTTTCCCTATGCAGAAAAAAGGTGGTTCCGCCAAACGACAGATCGCCCAACTCAACGCGCAAGCGGCATCCAACAAGAACGCCGAAGAGAAGAAGCGAGAAGCCGAAAAGGCTCGTCGGGAGGCCGAGAAGAAGGCTGCTGAGCAAGCCAGGAAGGAGGCGGCCGACCTGTTCAAGCCCGTACAGGTCCAGAAGGTTCCTTTTGGTGTCGATCCCAAGACGGTCGTTTGTATTTTTTACAAGCAGGGCAACTGTGAGAAGGGTCGCAAGTGTAAATTCAGCCACGACCTGAGCCTGGAGCGCAAGGCCGCCAAGAGAGATTTGTACACCGATTCTCGAGATGTCAAGGCTGCGGAGGAGGAGGCCAAGAAGAAGGACACCATGGACGATTGGGACGAGGAGAAACTGCGCAAGGTCGTCATGAGCAAGCACGGTAACCCTCGGACTACGACGGACAAGGTCTGCAAGTACTTTATTGAAGCGGTCGAGAACCAGAAGTACGGTTGGTTCTGGACCTGTCCCAATGGAGGCGACAAATGCATGTACAAGCACAGCTTGCCACCAGGGTATGTTTTTACTTTCCTGTTATACATTATTTCGCGCGCAGCTGACAACCTGTCTAGATTCGTCCTGAAGACCAAGGAGCAGAAGGCATCAGAAAAGGCCTTGATGGACAAATCACCGCTCAACACCCTGACGCTGGAGGATTGGTTGGAATCCGAACGCCACAAGCTCACGGGCGATCTGACCCCTGTCACCCCCGAGACCTTCGCCCAGTGGAAGAAGGAGCGCTTGGACAAGAAGGCTGCCGAAGAGCAGGCTCAGAAGGCCAAGGAAGCCACTGGACGAACCTTGTTCGAAAGCGGGAACTGGCGCGCTGAGGACAGCGAGAGTGAGAGTGAAGACGAGGATGATGGAGTGTGGAACCTGGAAGCTCTGCGGCGGGAGACGGAGAAGATCCGCGAGCAGAAGGAAGAGGAACGCCTGGCCAAGCTACAGGGTGAACCCGTGCCGGTTTCGAATGACGCACAGATCGCCCAAGAAGGTGCAGGCTGAATGAGTCCTGTACGAAGCTCCCAAGTAAGCGAACTTGCTTGGGTGTTTGGGCTGCGAACCTCCCACACTACAATCGGTGAACCGGGCCGTTGCCCGGGCCCGAGATGTTGATCGTGTTGATGGACGGTGGATACGATGCTCTCCCGTTGCGTATCCCGCAGGTATATGCTACGTGATCGTTTGTATTGATCTCCGCGACTGGGTTTGATGGCTCCGACGGTTAACGTGAAGACGGTTTGTCGTGTCGCCTTTGGTTCTTCCCTTCAGATACCCTGCGAAGGATATTGAGGTTTGATTCAATGCTCAAAGCCTTGATCGAGAGAACAGCCAAGGCGGCGGAGATTACACAGGATTGAGATAGATCAATGTGTTGCGGTGAGAGGATGACTGACATGATTTACTAAGCCATATTTGTATGTAAGATTTTCTCTCAAACATAAGCCAGCGCTGTCTTTGGCATGTTATCGTCCTTTCTAGTAGAGTCATGCTTCACAGTTCCTATTTCCAGGCATCATTTTCAGTAAGTATGATCGGACATTTTTGTCAAGAGAATAATCAATCCTTCCTCGGCCAAAACGAGGTTCTTCCACAGCCACAGCATCCAGTCTTTGAGAGAGATCAAAGTGCTGCGGAAATGTATGAGTAAGTGATCTATGCTCGCATACGGGATACTTGAAATATCCCAAGAGGTCACGATTTCCTGCGAGGATTGGAAGGTAGGCCCTATCTTTCGCCTCAGGTTTTGATTAACGATGATTCTATGATTCTTGGCTTCACACATCCGCCAATTACCGTTTACGTCCCGACGCTGCATAAGAGTAACAATGCCCGGTTCGGGAGTAGTTTGCTAACTGAGGATTACGAGATTGACACCTCCTTTCACCTGTCAGACGTCCATGGTTCTTTAAGTCTCTCAGTCCATTCCAAAATTCCTTTCTCACGATCGCGCTTTCTTTCCCCTCAGACTTGGTTTTTAGGGACCATGTCGCCTGCATCAACAACATGCACGTTCCTCATGTAGATAGGATGTTAGTAGTAGCCTTGGTGTTTGGGATACTGCCCTTCGGTAATCAATCCACCCTTCCTTTCCTTCGTTTAGTAGTACGAGAGAGTTATGTCAAGGCAATCGAATCGCGCTGCTGACCCTTTCTGCTAGCTGCGGGTCAAGTGTGTCGCCCGCCTCGGGGCCAATACGGATACATTTATTATGCGAGGAACCAATCCTCCCTGGACACGATCGCGAGAAATTGCACAACTGTGGATGGAAGCATTGTGATCGCGACAAATTTCACCGGCTCCTTTTACCTACCCAATGTTCGCAACATCACGGGGCTTATTCGCGATGAGTGGGAAATTTACTCCGCGGGACCTACGCCCACATCCATCAGCCTTCCGGATCTCGAATTTATGGGAAGTGATATGGACCTCCAGCGAATGTCGAGTTTGACAAGCGTGTCCGCACCAAATCTGAAGAGGGCCGGATGGGCTATAAGCATGGATTATGTGCAGGATGTGGATTTGCGATCGTTGGAAACCGTGAGATATCTTACCGTCGCGGGCAAACTTTCCAGGTAATTGTTTTTCGCTATGTCCCTTAAGATTTTATTGGGGCTGTGCTAATGCAGTTGGTGTAGTCTCCGTCTAGACTCAGTGAGAAATGTCGCTGGATTCGTCAATATCTGTAACAAAGATAGATGCGATAAAAGAGCGTCTGCAGCGGGCCCACTAAATATCTCTCTCCCGTCACTTCAGACAGTGGGCTCCATTGAAGTTGATGGAAGTCTATCAGGGTGCGTTTGGCTACCTGCGTGTTCAGTACATAAGTGTCTGGTTCAAATGCTGACCGTGGCTCGTATAGTCTTGCACTACCGAATCTTACGACCATTGAGGGTTACGGGGAATTTGTTGGGTTTCGGCTGGCCACGGCTGATGGACCAGCTATCAACCTTACTTTCCCTCGTCTTAGTGATGTGAATGGTAGTATGTCTTTGGAAGGGCCAATTGGAAGGTGACTGATTCCCTCCACTTGTAAATCTTGAGCAGGTTCACTGATATGAATTGCGAGCGTACTAGTATCTCTATGCCCGAAGTGCGAAATGTGACTACGTATTTCGAGGTTGATGCTCATGATCCGCTGGTCATTGACCTTCCTCTCCAGGAGGCGTCCGAAATCTACTTGCACGGAGCAATTTCAAGGTGAGTATAAGCAAGAAACTCCGTTATGTACATTATTAGTTCTCGGCTAATGGATAAGGATGAAGTGTAAAGTTTCCTCATTTGAAATCCGTTTCCAACTTCACCGTGGAAAGCAGCCTCTCCCTGGACTGCGGATCCGTGGAGAATGCCATAACAAAGACTACTAGTGCGCCAAGGTATCAAGTACACTGCAAATCTGACTCGAAGAAAAGCTCGAAGAAGTTAGGCACTGGAGCCATCGTCGGTATTGTAGTTGGTGTTGTGGTCGGTGTCGCTGGACTTGCAATCATCCTTGGTGTGCTCTATTACCTCAAAAGGCGGAAGAGGCAGCGAAAAAATCCAGATTCCAGTACAGAGCCCAGTGACTCGAGCCCACCAAATCATGAAGAACTACAGGGTACACACATCTCCCCACCAAAGTACACTACTCCGTTGGGGTCGACGTGAGTATTTGTGGTTACCAATGTGGGGTGGTGACACCTGCACAGCGCTTCTGGTGACTTATATCCCAATGTCTATGATAATTAGAATTAATAATATACGGGAACCTTGTATTCGGGCTGTGTCACGCCAGTATGGCTCTATACTAGAGGCAACAAGTTATTGCCTTCGTGGATCATAGCTATATGTTAGAGGCTCGCCATTTCGCTCGTCCTCGGCTCACGTCACAAGATTCCTCGAAAGAACAGAGTTATGCACATTTTCTACCATAGTATTGAAATTGGGCCTATGTTGTTGTCTGTGTTGCTTTCTGCCTCAGGCTCCTTCTTAGCAGGCAGGAATCCTTGCCGATTTGTCTCACTTGAGAATGTGACATCCCTGCTCTCCCTGCCATCAATCTATTATCTAATTAAAATGAATGACTCCCACCTCGAGGGCGAAGACACCGCTCAACGGACATGCGCTGCTGCAGGTTTCAGACCCGCGGGCATTCGAAAACGTCCTTGCTACTTCAAACTATTGACTGATCGACGGCGGACATCCCAATCCAGGACACAACAACGACATAACCAATTTGACTTGCATCTAGCACATAAGAAGCTTCCTCAAACCGACAACCTCGTCTTCTGTCGGTCCTTGATCATTCCCACTGGTCTCTAACATGGTTCGTATGAAAACTTTGAGCACGTTTGTGCTCCCCGGGCTCGTAAGCCACTTCTCCATGGTGGCAGCGGCCGGACGGACATGCGAGGAAGGAGTCCGCCCATACTCAGCATGGCTGGCCGATAGTGTCATTGCTCGCAAAGATGCACTTTTGTCTGCGGATACTGAAGGTGATATCGCACTTCCCCTCAAGCTTGGGCTGTTCCAACTCAGCGTGATCCACCTGAAGGAGTACTATGATGCGTCTTCATGTGGGGAGCAAGACTGGGAAGCGTACCTGAAAGAGGCTACGGATAGTATCCTGCCGACAGTGCTGAACGTGACTGGCGATATTGATGCTCCTATGGATGTATTTGCTACGGCTAACGGCCTGTACTACCAGTATGTATTGGGCCTGCCGTCCATTCTTTACTGAACATCAGATCAACATGCTAACTCGGGAATAACTACAGGTATGAGAAGACTGGAAACGTGGCCTATAAGCAAGGTCTCGATGCTTTACGAGAAGCATATGATGGCAGGAAACGGAACTCAGAGGGTGAGGCTATATACACGACTGCCCAGGTCAACCCATTGACTAACAAGATTCCTAGGTGGGTTTTGGTACTACAATGCTCGTCCGAACCTCAGCTACCTCGACGAGACCTATCCTCTTGGCGCCTTTACCACCGTCTACAAGAATCGCTTCGAGCCGACTAACTCTACCCTCGCTGAGAACCTCAGCAAAGACCTCAATCAATTCAAAGACCACTGCCACCACGACACTGGTCTTCTCGCGCATGGCTATGACGCTTCTAAATCAGCTCCATGGGCCGACGCGACCACAGGCGCAAGCCCGTATGTCTGGGATCGCGCCCTCGGATGGTACCACATGGGTCTCGTCGAACTTCTCTACAACACCGACGAATTCGGCACCCTCGACCAGACGCAGCGCGACGACGCTTACAAGAAGTACTACAATCTCGCGAACACGATCATCAACGACGTTGATGAGACCACGGGCTGTTGGTGGCAGGTGATGGAACACGGAGGGCAGCAAGGTAACTATATTGAGACGAGTGGATCGGCCATGTTCACGTATTCGATTCTCAAGGGCGTGCGCTTGGGTTATCTGACCGGAGTTCATCCCGAGAGTGGCAAGGACTACAAGCAGACGGCGGAGAAGTGTTATAGCTGGCTGCTCGAGAATCGTGTATTCCAAGACGACAGCGGCACGTTAAGTGTAAACGGCACTGTCGGGGTCTGTACTCTGGAAGATCCGACGTATGAGGTATATTTTGATCCCCTTTCTCCGAATTCAGTGGTTCTTCCTAGAAGTTGTCTGAGCTATCTGGCTAACGATCATGACAGTACTATACCTCCCAGCCTTTGTCGTACAACAGCGTGTTTGGAGCTGCGCCCTTTGTGATGGCGAGCTTGGAACATGAAATGGCTGCTAATGCTGCGAGCTTGTGAGAGATCCAGTGAATTGGCTAGGGAATGCGAAGACATAAGGGTTCAATGTTGGCACAGTTATCAAGTTCACATGAATCATTACACATCTCGGGTTATATCATAATTGAATCGGATCTCAACAGTATCTGACATTAGGACGGTAGATGTTGCGGCACATCAGCTTCTGAATATTACTGTGAACATTTCAACAAATTCCATTAGACTTTGCCTATGAGGCCTGGGTATAGGATTACTCTGAGTTAAAGGGCTCATGTTTCTATCTAATCTGCATGTGCACAAGGATTGGGTGCCCTCTGCAAGGATATTAAGTTCCAACATATCTATATCTAGGAAGCGAAAAGAAGTTGGTAATGGGAGCCACGAATAGTATTCAACGACGTTCAATCCTTGTGTTCTTGTTACTGTGGTTGCCTACGTGGGGAAGATTGCCAACCATATTTGAAGTAAGGACTCTGTGATTGGTATTGTAGACAAGATATTGCAAGCAGGGGAGAAGTAGTAGGATTGGCTTAGCATTGGATTTACAATTTAAGCTCGCTCCACGGAAACTCTATCCGTTCCACGGATGGTCTTTCAACCGAACCTTCTTCCACTCCATCTTAACAACTCCCTTACCTCAGTCATCTTGCTGCATCACAAGCCACACCTTCGATAGAACCGTCCTTACCCCCTTCCAGGCAGCCACTTTTTAGGGGGAGGGGGGTTAGACTTTCGTCTGACTTAGAAGAGCGAATGGATCTCGAGGGGCTCTGCCCGTCTCACGGCAAACGTGCAACTCCGAGCCCTTGGACGGAACGTGTGATGGAATAATTCGGATAAAACGGCTAATCCGAGGTACTGACTAGCCGCTCGTGATCGACATTATGGGTTGACGAAGATCGGTATCCGTTGACTGTCTTGATAGCCTGGAATAGGATCGGCTTTGGGGCCATCCATTCCACTACGCTCGGGTAGCATCAATCCAGACCGGGACCTCGACCCAGCAATCCGATGTCAACTCCCACTCTGGGCTTCGCCACTTTCCATCCAATCATGTTTCTCGTACTTCTTTACTCGATCACTCAACTGTGCCCACGAGCCTTGTATAGTCCCCTGCAGATTGAAACTTAACTGCCTAAATGAGCCAAGTGTTGACCCTTATGTGATCCGAAGATCCAAGCCTTGGTCTTCCAAAGCCCAGCTCATCCGATTGAAAGATTGGCCGTTTTACTGGTGATTGCATAGCCTCATTATCCGGATAGTCGAAAAAGTTTGCAAATGCTATGTGGATAAGTAGTGCTTCTCAGCATTGTCATTCGTGCGACACTATGTCTCGACTCCTTCATACTTGACTTGTCCGCCACCGAGCAGTAGCTCATTCGATTTATAAGAAGTATTTATTTTACCAAGAGACCTGAAATAATGACTCGGGGAAATTCCTTGCTGAATGAATCAGGAAAGTATCTACGAGGGGGTCAATTTCCTTGGCTGGCTGGAGATTTGGCTGTGTATGGTCCCTCGCCTTGCCCCTTGCAGGGAAAAAAGTGGCATATTAACATTCTACGGTGTTTACAAGAATTTCCAAGTGCTAGGCAGGAGTACCTCACTTGTACTCGGGCTTCGGCCTTTAATCGCAATTTGTTACGGCATGTATTTGTTTGGCTGAGCATTAAGCCGACACAGGTCAGTGTGTGAATTGATATGCATGTACTTACGTCCTCGATCTCCTTTTCTTTCCAGCCAACTTTCGTCCTTCATTACTAGTCTCACGGCCCGGTCGCCTACACTCACTGTTTCTCTCTCAACGCATTCATTCTTCGTGGATGATCAGCTCACGGTAGCGGCCATGCTCCGAACCTTCTTGCTTCTGGGCCTGACGGGGTTCGCACAAGAAGCATTCGGTAGGAACGTATATCTCGATTGGAATCTCACATGGGTCAACGCAGCGCCAAATGGCTTCGAACGACCGATTATCGGAATCAACGGTCAATGGCCGTGTCCGCAGATCGACCTTCACATAGGTGACAACTTGGTGGTAGATGTCTATAACGGCTTGGGCAATGAGTCCACCGGAATCCACTGGCATGGGTTCCACCAGAACTACAATACCTTCATGGATGGTGTACCTGATATCACTCAATGCCCGCTCAAGCCAAACCAGCGCATGAGATATGTTATTCCGGTAATTGCCTATATTCTGACTTGATGGCCCAAACGGCATTGCTTACACAGTCATCTAGGTCAATCAAACCGGGTCGTATTGGTATCATTCCCACCAAGAGGGCCAGTACCCCGATGGAATTCGAGGTCCGATCATTGTCCACGACACGAAGCCAGCCGATTTCCATTACGACGAGGAAATCACTGTCACTCTTTCGGATTGGTACAACAGGCAGATGCCGCATCTCAAGGAGGAATACATGTATCCGACGGCCGGTCCGGCCGGTCTAGAGCCCTTGCCCGATGCGGTTCTGTTTAACGATGCAGTCGGAACCAAGATTCCAGTCAAGCCAAACAAGACTTATCTCATCCACGTTATTTGTATGGGGAATTGGCCCGGACATGCGTTTATCGTTGAGGACCACGACCTGACAGTTGTCCGAGCCGATGGTGTTCCCGTGGAACCGAAACTGGCGACTCCCCAATACCTTCGAATGACTGTCGGACAGCGCCTCGATCTACTCTTGACAACAAAGAACGATACAAGCAGGAACTACGCAATCTGGGATGGGCTTGATATCGATGAGATGTTTATTCGAGAGAACCGAACGCCGCCACCGGGATATAATGCCAATGGTACGGCGTGGTTGATGTACAACGAAGACGCTCCCTTCCTACCGTCCCCGGATATTCAGATCCATAACGCGAGTCTTGAGTTTTTGGACGACGTGACCCTTCAACCAAAAGATGGACTTCCGCTGCTTGAACCGGTGGATCGACAAATTGTCTTGGACTTCAGTTATTCTCAAGTTGACGGTGTTCCCAATTACAATATTAATGGCAAAACCTATGTGGCTCCTGGAGAGCCCACACTGTATACAGCCTTGTCCGCCGATAGGCAAGAAGCTCTGGATCCTGCAATCTATGGCTCGGTCAATCAATATGTGGTCCAGTATGGTGAAATCGTGGAGCTTGTCATCAACAACAATCACAACAACTTGCACCCATGGCACTTGCACGGACACGACTTCCAGATCTTGCAACGTACATATCCTGAAGGTGGCGCTTTCAATGGCTACCATAACATCTCTGCAATCCCATCGCGACGAGACACTCTCATGGTCGAGCCGAAAGGACATGCCGTCCTTCGCTTCAAAGCCATGAATCCAGATAAGTCCCCTGTGTCACGTATGTTGTTTCTATAGGCTAACATTCACAGTGTTTACGTGTCTGGATGCTCCATTGCCACATTGAGTTTCACATGCAAACACGCCTCATGGCAGTGATCATCGAAGCGCCGGACTATTTGCAAAACCTATCTATGCCAGCTGATCATAGAGACGTTTGCGGTGGCAAGCCCAGCCTTTTCGCGCCTTTGCCGCCTCTTCCAGGTCTATAGCGGTTAATGACTGACATTAGCAGGTGAAATCTCGGGCTGTTTATTGACTTGAAGATTTTTACGTGCTGTATCTAAGGCATTTTCTCAATGGATGGATGGCTCTGTCTAATTCAAGAGGACGAAGGCGTTGTGGGCAGAGTGTAGTTTTCCCCCGCAGGAAACTGTTCTATGGACTTACTTGTCAATACAAAATAGTCGGATAGTGGAAGGAATTCTCTTATAATGTACACAATCTCGATGCAGCAGGACCACTGACGCATTGCTATCATTATTCATTCCTTGTCTACTGACCATGGCACGTCAATTTCCATGTTAGAATGAAGAGCACTTAGAGCGAGGCCCTCTGCTGGATCAAGTCATGCTCTGCCATGAGGTTGAACACATCCTCCGCAACTCCCCACGATAACTCGAAGCCACGGCCCCCAGCCCCATAAGCATGAACAACTGTGCGCTCCCCATCGCCCAGAGGTTCTGCTTCAATCCTCAAGCCTCCTTCCCTAGCAGGTCGACGACCCACAATATCGCGAATGACATCGAACTTACCCTCACTCCCTTCCGCAAAAGGGAACCATTTGGCCGCATTGGCGAGGATTTGCGCCCTGGTTTCCAGCGACGGGTTCGGATCCCAGTTATGCGGGTGCTTCGTGCCGCCGATGATCGTGGCCCCTCCCAGCGGCCGGGGGATGCAGAAGGACCACGACCCATCGCTGTTCTGGCGGGTGATAGTCATCGAGCATGGATTGCGGACTAGACAGGTTTGTCCTAGATACCGGTGTCAGCCATGCATGCACTTTCACCCTTCCAGTCCCCATCCCCATGCCATCCCCATCCCTATCCCCAGCACATGCGTAAACAAGAACGAACTCACCCCTAATAATAAACGCCTTCTCATCCTTACCCAACCCCAACCCCGAACAATTGATCACCGTCCGCACCCTCCCCATCCCGCCCAGATAAAACGCCTCCCGCACATCCCCAACCGTATACTCCCTCATCTCCCCACCGCGCAGCACAAACTCCCTCGCCATCCACTGACAATACACCGGAGAATTCACCGCAAACGAATCATACCTACACCCCCATCTCACACCCTCCGGTAACTCCGTGGCGCTGAGGAGCGCAAACCCCTCCACATCCCCATACGCATTCTCGATACACACAGGGTCGAGGTACTCCTCCGGCGGCGATTCAAGGTGCTCGAGCGCAGGGACAGCGGCGACCCCAGCCCCCGGCTCGTTGGCTGCTAGCGTCTTGAAGTACGCGTAGGTGCGCCGCGCTTGCTGGGCTTCCCGGCTGTGTTGCGCTGTCCGGCCGGGAACCGGCCTGCAGTGTGCGCCTGCCCATGGGGAGGTGTAGTTTAGGGAGGTTGTGTGCGGGAGGTCGCGCGCGATTATTAGGAGGTTAGTTCTTGGGTTTGCGGGGAGGTGCGATTGAAGGTAGAGGGCTGTTGTTAGGCCCAGGACGCCGGCTCTAATTCATTTTGTTGTTACTTGGAGGAGCTTGGTTGTGGTATTGGGGTGGTTGGGGTAATAGGGGGTAAGGGGAGAGCGTACCCGATTATGACGATTGTTTCGGGGGGATTTGACATTTTGGAATGGAGGTGAAAGCTCGGGTTGGTTGTTGTTGTTGGGAGGTCTGGTCCGGTGGAGGTGTTGATGGTTGTTTGTATACGGTAGGACGGAGTGGGGGTCGCGGCGTTGATAAGGCTTTCCCCGCATTCTGGGCTGGCGGTTTATTAATGGCCTTGGGAGTGGATCATGATAAGGGATTCGTTCTACTCTGCTTTGTGAGGCTGTGAGGTTTTGCTACGGTGCTTGTTTATATGCTACGAGGATTCAGATGACGTGAGGATGAACCCCCTCCCCCTGCTCCGGAAACTTTGCAAAAGGCTGATTGAAAGAGTTTTATGAGGTTGCTGATAGCAGAACATGCGCTCAAACTGTCGAGGCTGATTGTGCTCTGATCTTTCTCAAATTCTAGTTCGACAAGGCTATCAAGCCACACTCGTGTTGTCTCCCATGCACGCCCCACAGATATCCCCAAGCATTTTTATATCGTGTAACACGACCTCCCAGTTCGTCTGTCGTGCCTCGTCGTACCTGTAAACCAGTTCATGCATGGTGGCAAGTAGTGGCCCACCTGGCCTGCCAGGCGAGGTGCTATCTCGTTAGACGAGGAAGTGCCCTGGGCACGGTGTGAGGATCCATCCGTACTCGAGTAGTGTAGTCGTGCGATGTCGTGTAATTAAGTGGTATCGAGATAATAACGTCTGCTGTCCGACCGGGACTCATCCAAGCTGTCGGTGCGCTTTAATCCAAAGCGTCGGGCAACTTCTCAATCGTGAACTTTCCTCTTGCGACCTTCATGATCGGTACACCGGGAATCTTGCGGAGACGGCGACACAGATCCTTATCGTTGGTTGCCACAATATAAATGCGGTGTTTCGAAACCTGAGATTGGCATTAGCGCGCGGTATGCACACAAGCACTTGGAATCATCACTCACCCGATCCACAATACAGTCATCGGCATATGTACCCTTGTGAGAGCACTTTACCCGAGCCCACCTAGGGTCCTTGGCCGTCCGCAGCGCCAACCGGTACTTCTCTCCCAGTTTCTCCAATTCGGCAATGGTGCAATCCGAGAACGTCGGGATACATTTGGCGTACAACCTGTATTACCGAAGTCTTAGCATTACTCCTTATCATGACCCGAAATTCAAGCTAACTCACAGATCCATCATCGATGTGAGGAGATCTTGCTTCGCGCGGATGGCGTGCGAGACAAAGTTGGTATCGACGAGAACGTGGTAGGGAGGGCCGAGGGCAGTGTTGGCGGCGAAGAACATGTTGGAGGGCGCAACGGGAATATGGCGGGTCAGCTCGTTCTCCTTGGGCTTCTCTTGCTTCTTGTCGTCGGGCTTGAGGCGCTCATCGCGGGCTTTGATGGTGCGCTTCATCTTTTTTTTTCCCAACCGTCGAGATTAGTATCTATCAACACTCGATGGGATATCGGGCGGCGGAGTTAAGTGGCATACCTGCGCGAACTTGCGAGTCTTCTTTTGCACACCCATTGTGACGTCTGTGATCGTTCTAAGTTTTGTTGCTGAATTGAACGTTTTTCAAGATCTGGTTTATACTGGTACAAACAATATAGCACGGTTCCTTGAATCACAACTATTCCTTGTGCCGGTTTGGTCGAGACCAAAAGATTTTGGAGATGGCGGAAATTCATATCACGGGCCGACGTTTCGCCGCGGAGGAAAGCACGGACAGAGTCATGATCATGTGACCACTCAATATGGATTAGCGCTTATACTCACATTTCCGCCTTATCACGCCCCGCTTAGTCCTAGAATAGTAACTGCTCGATTTGACGGAATCCTGGGTCGAATTCAGGGACAGCGCTTTGCTTCTCTTTCGTTATGGACATTTGTCGTAACGCTCATGGTCAGATCAATATCGAGCTCTCGTGACTCTATCGCTACCTCTGTCGGTAAATCCTCGTGCTTCGCTCAATAGTCAAGTCATCCAGGCTACAATATTTGTTCCTACCTCTGTATAGCTTGCGGCAAATACCACTTCAATAATCTATTGTCCGGCCATAAATGAAGATACTGTTACAAGCGCGATAACAGCTATACCGCCTCTTTAACGCATTTGAGACAGTGGAACGAGCGCCTCATCCAACCCCGCAATCTTTGGGGATTTCTCAGACGCTAAAAAAGCCAGTCACCTAACTAGTCACACTGCTAGTCACATCACATTTCTCCCGCCACTATCAACGTCCCGCTGCGAATGACTCGTCCATGCCGTACGTCATTGCTTAATCCCAGTCTTCTGTGTCAATTTCTTCGAAACTGCATAAACTGGATGCCTAGGTAGCACAATCACAGTGGCCTTCAATAGGCATGACACCGTGAGATGCCATAGTCACTGAGAGACTCGAGGACGATTCTCTCTCCCGTGTCACTGTCGCACTTCTCTCCGCTGATAGAAATGTCCCATTCGGTTGCCGTATCATGAGTGACTGACCATGCATAATTTCCGGGTTCAAGCCGGATATTGGAGTCGGTGGGAGTAACGAATCTCTCATCTCTGAGAAGTCATTTCAAAGACCGGTCTTGATCCACGAAGCACAGACCTTCTCGTGCTAGGAAAGGCAACTCAGTATCCGAGTCCTAGCGCTCCTAGGACTAACCTTAGTCTTCTCAGGTAACGTGTACATTGCTATGGATAGAACGTGATTCGAGGATACCAAACACATCGCCTGATGCTGGCAATGATCCTTCCCCCGGGAGCAACGTCCTACAATTGGCACAGACTTGCTGGGCTTTGCAGCAGTGAGCAGCCATTCAGATACCAGGATAGTCTTCTACGCGCCGAGCCGGTCACTGGAAGGCGACAACGCACCTTTTGTGGCGGGTGATTGGTACGTCGGGGTGATGAGGCCTGCAGTTGAAGAAACCCCTTCTGCACCGGGCGGGCCAATCAAGCGGGGCTCGCCCAAGATTGATCCGCCCGTCAAGGTCCCTGACAGCCGCCGCGAGCCATGCAGAACTCACCGTTGACCTGACTTGCAGTCCGCAACTCGCTCTATCCATCTACGAGTATCTCACCTCCCCGCTCAATTCTGCCTAGTTAGGACAAGAGTCTTACCTTCCCCCATGCTCGTGCAACAATTGGGCCTGCGGTTTGGATTTGTTTCCGATAGTCCCAAACTCTCTTTCTTTTGCTCCTGAGAGAAAACTGCGCCTCATCTCGATGGTTAGATGAGGTCTCTTGATGCTACAGTAGCTGGCTTCTCTGTTGATCCACTGAGAACTACCAGATAGCACCACAGTGCGAACCCATCAGGACGGCGATCGGACACTGCTAGGTCCACAGGCCGTCCCATGTCTTCTTTGTGCCGTTGCTGCATGCTTGTTGGTGTGCCATGCGAGGACCACCGACAGCTCCTGATGCCGCCCGATGGGTCCTATCTACCATCGTCCGCTAATTATGACCCAGAATAACCCCTCTGCTCTCATGTTGGTGACATCCTGGTCCACGGAAGCGCCGTCAACCCTGCTTGGCGCTAGCTCTAATTGCTTGATGTCTCGATATTTCGATCGACTGTGGCCGTTGCCTTTGCGACGTCTCAGGTCCTATAGGCACGTCTAGATACGCACTGCGCGGAGGTAGAGGCTGGCGCCATCCGAAATTAATAATTAAGACGAAGTGTACAGTTGGTGCTTTTCCAACATTTTGTCAATTTCTTTTTCGCATACCCCATACTCTCCTGACCCAAAGATGTCCTTTTTCTAAACTTGATCCCTTGTCGGCTTGTTCCAAATCCTCGCTAGAACCCTGTTCACAGTATATCCTTCAAACGTGGTAGCCTGCTTAGTGCGTACGCTCATTCATACTGCATCAATCCTTGTGCTTTGTGTGCACCGTCGTGCATCTGCATTTTTGACCAAATCAACCATTCCGTCAGGCTCGAGGTGTATCTAATTCTCCCCCACTTTCTGATCGCTCCGTCGCCACTTTCAAGTTCACACTGTCGTCCACTGGCTTGCTCTGGCTTTTTGGTGGCAGTAGAGCCGGTATCATATGTATTTGGTCATCGTGTTCAGTCCTCTGTTCCTATTCCAATAGGCACTCGAGGGCGTGGATAGTCGTACCTGCGCTACGGTAACATTGATCCATACTTGACATCGTGCTGCAGAACAACCTATCGGCCGGTGTGAGCATGTTGATCTGATTGATCGCTATTCAATTCGCTCAGGCGCACTCAATCCCAAGCCTATCCTGTCTTCAAGTTATTGGACATTGCTTTCGAGAGACGACTACTTTGCCTGTGCATAGCAAAGCAGAGAATTAGTTCGAGCAAGAGGTCAGCGAATTGCTTCAACACGCCTTCCGACCCACGACCGTGCAAATTGGAGAAATGGTCGACTTGTCATGGAACAGAGGCATGATTGCCGAGTCTCGACCCTCAGGAATGAAACCAACCGTCCCTACCATGAACCCACAACCGCAAACATCCACTGGGCGTTTCGAGCCTTGTGCGTCAACGGCGTCGCTTTTTCTATACGCACAGGGCTCCGTGATCTCGTGCCTTCACCATGATACCTTGGCGCTCGAGAGACGTTTTGAGAATCACCAGGAGGACATTGAGTTCATATCAGTTGATAATGTCAGTGAGCGGGGTGCTGGTAGACTTGTGCTGAGTTACGATGTTGGCAAGACTGCTATCGTTTGGGACATTTTTACAGGGACGGTGATTGCGAGATTTGCATCTTTTGAACAACTCAAAGTGGCCACCTGGATGCGGAATGGGAACGTAGCCTTCGGTAGGCGATCAGACTCTTTGTGCTGGGAAAAATAGGCTGCTGACCACTACTTTAAGGGAACGAGAAGGGCGATGTTATTATTTTTGAGCCATCGACCTCGGAGCATATTTCCTGTCGCACCATCTTCGATCCCATAACCGCTCTTGCACCAGCTACAGACTGTCGAACATATGCAATTGGGTGCGTTCTGAACTATGTATGCCAATTTCGGGACTGACAGACTTCTCTTGACTAGATATCAAAACGGCTCTATAATGATCGCTACGCTTCACCCCACGTTCACAATTTTACATACTATGAACACCTCACGAGGACCGTCATCTATACTCTCCTTAGCGTGGCATGCCTCGTCTTCTAAGCAGAAATCCGATATGCTAGCGACACTGTCGGTAAACGGTGACTTGCGGGTGTGGAGCGTTGCAAAGCCACCAGGAAAAGAGCCTCCTCGGGTCATCAGGGTCCTGAAACGATCAGATGGCTCGCCGCCATCTGAGCCAAAATGGATGGCTTGGTCAAAGAATGGAAGGATTGTACAGTATCTTGACGGGTGAGTAGGATTTCTTCTGTTTGCACGTTGAGTATGCTTCGTATCTAATTGACTGTGCTGCAGAGAAACATGGGCTTGGGATGTCCGAACGAAACATGTCACGTACGAGCCAGTCCCCACAGTCGATAACCCCCGCGGGTTTGCGAATTATGGGCCGACAGCTACACTTTTCACCCTCGGGCCGCAGTTCACCGTTCAGCAGTATGATGTCGAAGCCCCAACAATGGTGGCCAATGTACAACATGTCCCGGCTAGCGCTATGCCTCTTCTTCAGGATCCAGGGAAGCTGCGGACGTTGGAGGACCCGCCTACGATCAAAGAGCCCGCAAATACCTTCAACCCTAGAAGAACGCCATTTGATTTGAATGGGGTAGAGGCTGTTCGGCAACAACGTGCAGAGCTTGGTAGTCCAGCTTCTTCGAGAAGCCATGCAAACTCGGTCAGTTCAAAGGCGTCCTCAGGGAAGTATAGGATGGCTACGTTTTCGCCGCCAAGCAGGTCTGGAGCAACTGGAACGTCATTTTCTTTGACATCTGCATCCGGACGGGATACTCCCCAGGCGTCTGGAGCTTCATACGCTTACGCCTCTTCTGTATCAATGTCTTCTGTCAAGAGCTCTCGTGCTGGGGGGTCGCGGCTGAGAAACGAAGTTCAACTCAGCCCGGCGGATAGGCCTAATGACCTGTTCCCCTTTACACGCGCACGTTTGAACGACGTGCCCTATGGGCATCATCAACCGCTGGATGAATCTTGCCTGACTCCAGATGATCTACGACAACAGATGCTCAGTGTTGTATTTGGTTTTGACGGTGATATTGAAGGATTGATTCGAGACGAACGTAAGATCACCATGATGTCTGGTTTTTGCCGTGAGCTTACTGATGAAATGAACAGTCAGTCATCATGCTCCTACAAGCCACCACGCTGTTTTGTTAGCTCAATGGCTCGGGGAATCCGACACGGACAATATGGTATCAATGATCAGCTCTGGGCCTGCAACAGTCACCGACTGGATGCTTCTCGCTTTCAGCCAAATGTCTGGGGAGTCGCAATCAAACAAATTCGGGCAGGCCTTCGTTCAGAAGCTACTTGAGATCGGCGATATACACACGGCGGCTACCATATTACTGGCGCTTGGCGATAGGAACGATGCGATCGAGGTCTATGTTTCTCAGAACTACTACATGGAAGCGATTTTGATGACCTGTCTTGCCATGCCTACGGACTGGCAACGCCAGTCATATCTTGTCCGACGGTGGGGTGAACACGTGGTGTCGCATTCTCAGCAGCAGTTGGCAATTCGATGTTTTATGTGTACAGGCGCTGAGCCCTCGGAGCCATGGACATCTCCTGCCGCTCAACAAGCAGCTTCATTTTCGGAGGTCATCACCAAGAGACCGCAGATGAAATCCCCCGAACCACCATATGCCAATCCAGCCAATTTGATGGTCCCAACTACGCAAGCTAGACCTGCAGCTGCTAATACCAGACAAGTCGCGAAAACACCGGCTCTCAAGCTGATTACATCTTTTGACTCGCAACCGAGTCACAAGTTCAACTTTCCCGGTTTAAAGTCAGATGATAGGACGCCAACGAATGCCCCAGGGGTTACGCCAATAGCTGAGTCGGCCGTGGTTGAGTCGGCTCTCTCGCCCGGCGGATTCGGTTCATACAAACTCAACAACATTCAGAGCTTGAACAACGCGATGAACGGACGAACGAACACGCCTGCTTTTAATAGGCGCCGCCTTCCGTCTATTGGAGAAACGCCGGTTGATGTTCATCCTCCAACCTTCGCGTCGGCCGCGTACAACAGCAGACCCACTGTGGACTATGGATCAACTTCTGAGAGCGAGGACGTCCAGGCTCGACAACAACTGGAAGACAACGGAGATAGTGAAGGTCTTGGCTTACTGTCATCCGCCCGATACGATCCGGAAGAATACAAGCCTAGTCCTCAAACTGCGGTTCAGGCAACGACGGACCAGTTCGCAGGTATCAAGGGCCTTCCGTCCCCAGCTGCCGGTGTCTTCGAGGCGCTAAAGGAGCGCTCTGACAGTAGAGCGAGTACTCGAGAACGGAAGCCAGAGGGCTTGCAACTCCACCTGGGTAGTTCCTCCCAGACCGACACGCAAGAGCAGCCCAATATGCTTGCAAATTTCTCCAGAAGTCCAGCATCAACATTGAACAGCTTCAGTTCGGCCAGAAGTCCTAGCGTGAGCAATCGAAGCATTGATCAATATATCAGTAGTCTGGGCGAGGCGAGCTATCACTCGCTGAAGTACCAACCTCCGACTGTGAATACTCCCGGGCGAGGACGAAGGAACACGGACGATGCGGTTAGTCAAACCTCTAGTCGGAGGTACCGATCCAGAAATGATTCCCAGGAGACTCGTGGACGACATGAGAAAAGGTACATACAGCCAGCCAAGCGCTCGCCGTCCTCTCCGGTCCCAATGTCACCTGAGGAGCTGGCACGGATCAATGCGAATGCCGCAAACAAGCCATCGTCTAGGACTCGCAGTGCTAGCCGAGTACGGAAGCCGCGCTCACGCAATTCTTCCGAACGCCGTCAGAATCGTTCAGCAAGCCGCAATACCGCCAGCCGGCTCAACACCGAAAGCTCGCAACGAGGACGTAGCATGGACCGACAAGGCTCAAGCATGAGATCTCCCTCGTCTCCGCTTCCACTCCCTACAATGACACCAGATGATGCTTTGAGGCTAGTGGCGAGCGATAGGGAGCGTCTGCGAACTCGCCAACGAAGTGGTAGCCGGCGTGCGGACAAGAATATGGGCACGAAAGGAGACGAAGCGAGACGTCCTCGAGCAGATTCTCGTAGCCATTCCGAGTTGGAGGTTCCAGCCAACGTCGAGCAAGACTCTGTTATGGTCTTACAAGATGGAAAGTTTCCCAGCATGATGTATGTTGATGGTAACAATCAGGAAGTCAAAGAACTTGAGGCAGAGCTAGCACGCGAAGCTCCCCCGACGGCCAATAGCCATGCCGCTCTCATTGAGCAAAGGAGAAAGCAGCTTGCAGCTGCTGAACTCGAAGCACGTCGGCTATCCCTGGCGCGCAATCCATCTGCGCCGAACATTCCGTTCCCTGGAGAATTGCAGTCCGCCCGGACAGCTCCGGAGAGTCCACCATTCTCGGCGGCTTCGTCATTCACACCACATACTCCTGGTCGACACAGGCCTACTGCAAGTAAAGGGTCGCCTGATGGTCCTAGCGGTTTCGAGTCTAAATCTCCCAAATCAACAGTGCCCTTTGGGTTGCCAGCGACTCCAAGGGCTATGCGACACCCAAAGTACAATGGATACGAGGAGACTGTAGCCGTACCTCCTGTGCCGGACAGTTCTATATTATTGAGCGACGCAAGATATCAAGGAGAAGCAGAGAGGATTGGCCGATCAATGTCGGTTCCGGTCCCTGAAACCCAGCCGTCCGGCCTCGTGCCTGCCGACATACCAATGCATCCACGCTTTGATCCACGACTACCCAGGAGTCGATCGACAAGTCGATCACGAGGTATCGGACATCATCGAGACAGTAGTGGAAATAGCTATGGCGGCTCGCCTGTCACAGTGAGCATTGAAGAGACCATCGAGAATGCGGTCTCGGTGCAGCAGGCCGAAAACCCTCCCATCTTGCCGCAGCTCCAGCATCTGAACCCTCCGCCACCCCCGCCCCCACCTGCTCCTCCATTGGCCTCACCTCGTCAGTCTTCAGGCACCATTGACATTGCATTCGATAACGAGGACTTTGGACGGCTACTTCCTCGCGCGATGACCGCTGCTCCGACGTTGAGCACTGATAGCCGTCCAGGCTTAGAACACCGTCGCATGTCTTTCGAGCATCGACGGGGCCGCAGCGTGAACGAAAGCTTGAGCACGAAGATCCGCAATCTGACTCGTGTGAGTCATAGCAAAAGCAATGAGCCCTGGGTCTCTGCGGAGATCCATATCCCCTACGAAAGCGTGCAGGTGATGGATGGTCGGCTGTAGATCGAGGATCGACTCCTTTCCATTGACTCGCTCATGCTCCGATTCAACGATAACATGAAATCGGACCCTTATGACTAACGAAATGATTTCTTTGCTGTGGTGTTTGCACTTCATCTTTGGTTCTTCTCTTCTTAATTTGGAACATAAACCCACCTTGCTGCCTCATCACATCACTCGGCTTGTATAATGTTTTGGAGCAGCGTTGTTTTTGATAGCCATGATGAATGAGCTATGCACTTACTCATCACCAGAGCAATGTATCCTAATTATTCCGTTATGATAGCTTTTCTTTGATACTTCTTACTTGGCTACATTATCATATCGCAGAAAATTCAATCCCAGAACATTGAGTGACGCAAGTCTCTGTATGGATTGTTTGTGTTATTGTTTGATAGTAGTGGGCCCTCCTAAAAAAGTAAGACAACGCCAGAGAGTGCTTCAGTAGATGACATGAGGAGATTTGTTCGTACACATGGGGATTTGCGAGACCCCGGTCTGTTGAATGAGAAAGAAAATAGAGCGCGCTCTTATAATTATACACAAGCTGCGAGGAGCGAAATTTACCATGTGCTCGATCCGCCGCTTCTTCTCCCCGAATCCGATCCCACGTGCCGTTCGGCCTCGAGCATGCGGTCAAAGTCAGCCTGGGCAATCTCGCGCTCACTGTGAGTTTCGCTCTCCCGCTGGGCACGAGACCATTCCGTGCTCTGCGAGTTGGACGCGCCCTGCATGGCGGTCTTCCGAACCCGGTCCCAAGCACTTCCACCCGTTGTCGTCGAGGGTCCGCGATACTCCTTCGCCACGGGACTCGCACTGTCGTCGTCGTCGCCGAAGAAGTCTGCGCCGCTGCCGCCGCTGGACTTCTCATTGCGCTGTGTTGACGAACCAACCGACCGGGGACCCCAGCTAGAGGTAGAGGGAGTGGCCCGCTGCTCATCACCGGAGGAGTAGCTCTGGTCATAGCGGGAGTAGTAGTCATCGGTACCCTCAGCGACAGGCGAGCCATCGCCGCCACTCTCGGCCTGGCGCCTAGCGGCCTCCTCCGCCATATGCTTACGCTGCTGCTGCTCGAAGGTCTGCAGCTTCTCGGCATCGGCGCGATGAGAGTCGGGGTCCGTGAAGATGCCGAGGCTCTGGGTGAAGCGGGCGAGACGGGGGTCGGAGCGCAGCACGCCGAGGGACTTGTAGTTCTGCCAGACGACGGCGACGGTATCCATGGTGAGGGTCCAGACGATGATGGAGAAAGCGCGGACGAGGAGCTGCTGGCGCGAGCTGCCGGAGACGCTGGCGCCGGCCATGTTGTTCCAGCCGCGCCGGAAGGCCGCCCACGTCAGCCGGCCGCCCTCCTCCTTGGCCATCTGCGGCTCGAAGAACAGCTCCCAGCTCGCCGACGTCCGCAGCTTGTAGAATTGGTACGCCGTCCCCGTCACCACCCCGACCGGCGTGCCCCAGCTGCGCCAGCACGCCGCCCGCGAGCTCAGCTCCAGCCCCGCGTCCAGCTCCTCCTGCCGCGGCGTCATTCCCTTCCCCACCCGCAGTGTCTCCAGCATCGCGAATGTCCCCTTCGCAACTGTGCGCAAGTATGCATCGGGCCCCCAGTGGACAAGGTACAGCATGATCGGGTTCGGCTTGTGTACGTGTCGCTCGTCCGCTACCAGCGGCTGGAACACTTGCGAGAGGTACTCGAGTGGATGTGCGGTGGGCGGGATCCTCGTTATGCGTCCCCCCGGTGGTCGGCTGCCTCTGCTGCTGCTGCTGTTATTGTCGTTGTCGTCGCTCATTGTAAAGTCGGTGAGGTCCGTGGGTGGTGAGGTGTGTTGGTTGGATGGTTAGATTCGGAGAATGAGGTGCGGAGTAAAGAGATGCGTCCGGTGCTGGGCGGAGTGAAGCTTGTTTAATGCTCGGCTAGATTGGTCAGCTGTGCTGCGCATAACTCTGCTGTGCATTACGTAGTACTGTTTCTACTACACCTAACCCCAGCACTTTTTTTGACTCCGTCGCATTGATTGATGGGTACAAGCTCTGACTCACCGGGCGTCACCAAAGCATCGTACGATCAGTGCACTTTCTATACTGCTGATTGTTTAAACAGCCCAGCTACACCACACAGGCTACAATGGTATACAGCAGCACTCGCCGCAGCGAAGAGCAAGACTGCGACAACGTTACTCATAAATACCACTAACAGAACTAAAGAAATATTGGGAATAAGCTATAGCTCTTCCAGAGCCTCCATCTGATCTCAATTGTCGTTCCGATCCGACCTCAACACTCAAGAAGCAGCTAGCATCACCCAACCAACCAGACCAGACAAGAACCTACCATCGCTCAACATAGGGTCTAAGATCCAGCTCAAACCCAAAAGTCGTGCGAGGCTGCGTATGAAGATGCCAATACGACTCCGCAATCTAGAATCCCGAGAAACATTAGCCACCCACTCTCCCTATTCTCTTCAGAAACCGACCGCACGGTAACTTACAGCCTCAGGATCCAGCTTAGCATCCTCGTGCTCGAACGTCCACGCCTTCGTCCGGGGGATATCAATTACCCCATCGACAATGACATGTGAGACATGTACGCCCTTAGGCCCGAACTCACGCGCCAGCGACTGCGCCAACGCGCGGAGAGCGAACTTCCCCGCCGCGAAGGTGGAGAAGTTCGCCGAGCCCTTGACGCTGGCCGTGGCGCCGGTGAAGATGAGGGTAGGCGGGTACTGGAGGTCCTTTGCCTGGAGAAGAAGCGGGAGCGCCTCCTTGGCGAAGTTGAACGCGCCCTTGCTGTTTTCCCCCGTTGGTTAGCTGTCGTGCTTGTGGGACGAAGATTTTGGGGAGCGATTTCGGGGACTGATTTGATTTAGATGATGAGTCTACTAGTCTACTTACCCTTGGGCTTCAAAGCCCGACGAGAATTCCTCGGCCGTCAGCTCGAGGAACGGCTTGCGGACGAATCCGCCTCCGACGTTGAATACGGCTGCGGCCAGCGGCGCGCCCGAGTACTGCTTGGTGATCTGCTCGAAGGTGGACTTGACGCCTTGCGGGTCCGAGAGGTCGGCGCTGAAGCCTGTGGCTTGGCCGCCTGAGGAGTTGATTTCGTGGACGACGCCGTCGTAGTTCGAGGGGTTGCGGGCTAGGACGACCACTGAGTATGCTTTTGCGAAGCGGCGGGCGATGGAGGCGCCCTGGTTGTAGATTGTGGTTAGTCTACTAGAGTCGAATAGGATAGGTTGTAGTTGGAGGGTGGGAGACGTACCGTGCCAGGGCCGACTCCGGCGATGATGGCGAGAGGTCTAGCAGCGGCCATTTTGAGACGAGGTGATTGTAGACTGCAAGAAATACGAGCAGAGAAACGTAGTGAGGTGTGCGAGTGAGCTTAAGAAATACCATCCCTCGTTTCTCCGCATCTCCTCATGTCGTCATTTGTATCGGGGAGGTGCAAACGCCGAGCTTAGAAATCCGCTGGGCCGGATCACTAATTGCATCGCATCATTTCTGCCGGTGTGATCGAGATCTAGAGAGGGGCAGATGCATTGAGCCAAGGGAGTATCGCAGCCGCTCGGTGAGCTCGCAGAAGAGTCAGCACCGTGTGTTGTATACTCGGGAATCACTCGCCATTGCTGATCGGCTCCTACCGAGGTGAGTGAGTAGTAGCCCCAGGCACCCAGGGCCATCAACTGATAAGGCAAGCGATAAGATCAGAACCGCCTCCATCGACAGAGTTATCTCCAACTTATCAGTTTTTTCTCTTCTCCGCGCATCATCCATCATTACCTCCAACAACCTCCTATAGGGAAAAACTCAAGCACTATCTCTCTACCTATTCAATCAGCTCCCTTGCACCATATCCCTTAAATAAATAGCCAAAAAACCAACCCCACCAAACCACAAGCAAACCAACCCATCGCAAAATGCCCATCTCCAAAGAAGAAGAAGACTCCCTCCTCACGGACCTCTGCACAATCTGGTAAGCCTCAATTCCCCCAAAACAACCAATCAACTCCCCACCCCCAAACTCACAAACTCCAAAAAAATAGCCACATCCAACCCCCAAAATACCGCTGCCCCCGCTGCGCAACCCGCACCTGCTCCCTCCCCTGCACACGCCGCCACAAGCTCTGGTCGCAATGCAGCGGCATCCGCGACCCAGCCGCGTACCTGCGCCGCAACGAGCTCGCCACGGAGGCAGCCTTCGATCGGGACTTCAACTTCATCACGGGGATTGAGCGCTCGATCGAGCGAGCGGGCCGCGACGCCGAGAACCGCGGGATCAGGGTCGATGGTGCCTCCGCGGGGTTCGTGCGGGATTTGGCGGTAGTCGGGTTGGAGGATTCGCCTGTTGGGTCGGAGCGGGAGGGAGGGGCTGAGGGCCCGAATCTAGGGAAGAGGAAGAGGGGGGGTAATGCTGGTTCTGCAGGTGCAGGTGCAGGTGCAGGTGCAGGGCAGCATAGGAATGGGCCTTTGAGAGGGGAATCAGGGTTCTTACGCGAGGTGGAGAAGGCGGGCGTGAAGCTTATCCGTGCGCCTAGGGGGATGAGTCGGAATAAGGAGAATGGGTCCAAGTGGTTTGCTAGGTATGGTTCTCTCTCTCTATCCTTTTTGACTTGTGTTGGGCGTCTCCGTGTATGGGGTTACTGGGGGTTTACTGGCTGGTTGGCTGACTTTACTCCTGCACTGTTGCAGACAGCAATGCCTGGTGTGGACGGTGGAATGGATCGAGAGTAACGGGGACAAGCGCGTGAGGAAATGCAGGGATTCAGTCTCGATTGCGAATTTTTACGATCGGTCTTTCCCTCCCAATAGGGCAGAACGCGAGAAGGAAGAAGGAAAGGAGCAGATACAAGACCCAGAGCAGGAAGATCAAGCCCAGCCACAGCCGGATTCTTCTTTAACGACGGACGCTCAGCAATCCCAAGATACCGCGGCCGTCACCACCAACGCTGATCCTACAACTATCTCTGAACCCACAGCAACAGCAACAACAGAAACACAACCAGACATCACTCCCACCGCCACGCCGTCAGAGACAGAAACGCACACGATCGTTCCTCACAGAGACGTGTACTTCTACCTCCACCGGCCGCGCACAGCTACCAAACAGCCCGTCCTGATCCCCCTTGCCCCCGGCATGACTCTCACAGCTGCGCTGCGTGGTCACACAGTCTTGGAGTTCCCTACCATCTATGTACTACCGGACTCGCCCGACATGTTACGCGCGCAGGGGCCAGACGCCGGTTACCTACTAGAAGAGGAGTATACCCGGACACACGCGCCTGCGGAGGAGGACAGCGCAAGCCCTGGCGATTCGGAGGTCGATCAACCGCCGTCTACTGGTATCGACCTTGGGGGCGTCGACGAGAAGAAAGTCCTGGAAGTGCTCAAGAAGGATCTATTCGAGCCGTCGACGCTTGCGTGATGTAGATACCTGACGAAGAATGGGAAATTGGCATAAATAGGAGTCTGGTACATTTACCTTGCTATACTTGTTCATATTATAGTAGCGTCTAAGAATCGATACGGGGTAGGCTGCGGCTTGTCAGTCCGGATCCCAATTGCAGGATTGTACGGCATTTATCTGGTCTGGCACGGTTGACCGCAGCACCATCTCGTAAAAGGATGGGTGTTCGCAAAGTCGCTTCGTGTATACGCTTGACTCAGTCCGTACGTAGCGGATCGAGCCTAGCTCATTCGTTAATCAATAAAACAGTTGATTGCTCAAGCAAAAATCCAAGAGATTCTCAGCGCTAAATGGCAATACAGAACAAGGGTATCTATAACTCCTTCAGAAAAAAATCCAGAAACGCCGTCCAATGCTGCAGCTGGATAGAGACCGGCCCAGTGGTCGGATACTCCGATCTACACCAAGCTATACTTAGTCGTAAAGTATACGCTATAGGCCACCCGAAGGTACGCGAAGCGCGCCTTATCAGACTAGGTACTGTTTTGAGCAAACGCTTATCAAGCATACGCAGTATTCGAGACACAACTCTCGGTATCGAGGGCGCTGCTCGTTCTCACTCCTATCCATGGGGGAGATGTAGCGTTGTCGCCGCCAGTCGATTGACAAATCAGTCTGCGGCCGACTTGCGGCCGGCCTTTGAGAGACTGAAAGTCTGTTGAGCATCAAGGAGCTCTTCAAGATGAGAGGACCATCACAACTGCAGTGTGAATCCTCCAAATAAGACCAGTGTCCATTGGACAGGGTCTTCAGATAGGACCTATTACTTCAGGTCAAGCTATGTGGAAGAACGGGTTCTTGGAAACTGTTCTTAGCTATCTCGAGAACCTCAAGTCTCGATGCCAGTCAAAGGACTGGTAGCATCAGATGCAGTATCCGGAAGCTCCGGCTCTTCGACCTTCTCGGGAACACCCGATGAGACGGAGACAACCTCCGTAGCAATAGTATCGGGAATGGTTCGTTCGTCATCGGCGACTTTGCCATTGCGGAAGCTGGCCTTGTAATCCGAGGGCGAGACATTCGACCGCTGCTCAGGACGAGTCGACCTGAGTTTGATTCGGCCGCGCTCGAGCGCTCGAAGCAAGGTACCAACTTCCTCCGACACGATTCCTCTGAGCTTGCTCATCGCATCGTCGGATACTTCCGAGTGAGCATTCCAGCCCAATTTGTCTGATTCTTCAGACGTAAGAGACTTGGCCTCAAGAGATGGTCCGTCAATAAGTCGTTTCAAAGTGGTAGGCGACAGGTTGTTTGGCCGGCGAGGCATCTTCACCGGCTTTTCCTTCGCACTGGATGCGGCTGAAGCCACCTCTTCCTGCTGCCGCTTCGGTGGACGAATGTGCAGGGTCGGTCCTTCTCCAACTTCGTTGCGGATCTTGTAATACACAAGCCCCAGCGTTGCTGCTAGAGCCTGGTGCGCAGCCTCAGGATACAAACGGACAGCCTCAGCGCGCGTGAGGGTTGACGGATATTCACTGGAGTCGCTGGAATCACTATCGGTAGCGGTCGCAAAAACGGGGTCTGTCTGGTGCATGCGGCCCCAGTATTCATATCCTCCAAGCTGGTAGAAGTCGGCTAATTGTACCAAACGGTTGACTAAGAACACACACATTGTTAGAGACGTGCAGGAGATTCACCTTCGCATCTGCCTCACTTACTCCTACTTCTTTTCTTCAAGCACCAGAACCGCCACACAGTACGAGGAAAGTATTCGGGCCACTGCAGTGAACCGTCGTCTTCCACAACAGGCACAGGGGTGATCGGGGCATGGGTGGTATGGGCCAACGAGTTGAATCGAACACGTTCCGAATGCTTCATGCGGGACTCGATGAGAGAGAAACGGTTAAAGACTGACGTGAGATGCCGAGACATTTCATGTTGAAGAGTGATCAGATCGGTGCGCAGTTGGCTGATTGTCGCGTGCAGTTTGCTGATCTCAACGCGACATTCACAAACGTCGGTTTGCAGATGTTCCACATCAGACTGGATTTGATCTACGTTCTTGGACAAGCGGTCGACGTCACTGCGAAGGAAGACGGTCTCGTTGCCGGTCTGGCCAATGCTGGATTTGAGCTGCGAGATTCCCGACTTCAACTGGTCAACGTCCGTCTTCAAGGCGACCACGTTCAGATCGATACGGTTCGACACGGAGCGGTTGGCTTCAAATTCTCGTCGAATGTGTTCGTCTTCGCGGTTGCGTCTGTCGACGTAGCCATCCTTTGTCAAGACACTGGATCGGAGTTCCAGAAGGCGGGAATCGAGATAAGTTAAGCGGTCGTGGATGTGAGACAGGGTGGGATCGGAGTAGACGGGGGGAGTTGTTTCATGTATGAGAGAAAGTCTAGGGCTCGAGACAGGTATCGACATGCTCGAGGTGCGAGAGAGGCTGCGTTCGAGGGTGGTGGTCATGGCAAAACTGAACGGTCGGTCGCAGCCGACCGTGACAACTGGCTAAAAATAGGTGATGTGTGGGTGTTTCGACGTATTCTGGCTCTCCTCCTGATCAAGGATTCATGAAAGGTCCATTTTGGTACTTTTTCGAGGGATGTGAAGATGAGAATTCACAGGTGGTGATGACGATTAATGGTGATGGGGGAGGCTCTCTGAAGATGATGAAAGAAGGTAAGAAAGGGAGGGAGACGGGAGACGGAAGGACAACCAAGTTGCAACCCTTTCCAACCAACCCCCCTTCGCAGGGCCTCACTGCACTCACCACTCACTGCTTGCTGCGTTTTTCACCTTTTGGTCGTGGCACCCACCGGTTGATTGTCCCAACCCAGCTTAGCGCCTGACCCCTCGATTGCCTCAACCTCGTCACCACCACCCACAATATCTGGCTGGAATTGACGGACTGAAGCTGAAAATATCATGAGTCATTTCCAATCATTCTCAATTACCTTTTTTTCTTTATTTAAAGGGCCGAAGGTGTCTCTATTCCCAAGGATTGAAGATCGAAACTGTCACGATGATAATACCTGGTATGGAGTATGACAATACAGCGTCACGACCTATCGGAGGCTTGGCAGGCAACAGCCTTCAGCTGACCGCACACCACCAATCAATCTGTAGGCGATGATGTTTGCCACGCCGCCTTGGAGGGGGCCTCCGTTTGCAGATTGGAGGCTTGGACTCAATCCTGTGCTTCATTCCGTCTGCCTCCTGTGCACCTCAACTCCGTTACCGTATCAGACTCGTCCCATACCATCCTTGGAACACCAGCAAACCATTACCATACATTCATCCAATACGTAGGGCACCATTGGGACCAAGCTGAGCCTTGTTGGACTTGGGATTGTTGTCGCAGTCATACTATGCTATTACTGCGGATATGTTGCCCGCCATGGTTCGTGCCAGAGAGCCATGTATCATGCTTGCTAGTTAGTCTAGGTAGCAGCAAGATGCCTGAGAGTTCCAGTCCATAGCCCGGTGTAGAATCCCTGGTTGGAAGTACAGTGAGTTCAAGCTGAGACTCCCTGGGACGGTGAAGGAGTTGGCAACCAGAAATTAGACACTAATCGCAGTCTCACTATAGCAGTTGACACAGGATGTATTCCTACAGTCCCGCCGGCTATGGCAGCGCTCGTCGAGCGCATACAAACGTTGATGTGTCCGAATGTGATTCCGAGGGAGCTGCATTGCCATACAAACTGGGCCACAAGTTGATACTCTATATACATCGAGACTCATCTGCCAACTACATTACCAATGTAGTAAAAGTGCTTCAGTTTACAGTGCGGCAGCTTCCAGCTCAAACGAATAGATGCCCAGGGACCTCTCCTACTACGAAAGTGAGCCAAATAATCGACGAGCAACTACTACCGACACGCCGCCCCTGCCGTCCAAGTATATTCATGCGAGTATAGACCACAGCGTCTCGACAGCCAGACATCTCTGCCATGAACAGATCTCCCAAGAGGCCCTCCAACCTCATTATCAGCTCTATACTTACCTAACCAGTCACTCGTTTCCAACGAACCGCAACCATGAGACTCTCATTCATTGCCATACTTCCTACCATCACCCTCAGCACAGCATGCTGGACTCGGTGGACGCGCTGGGCTCGCTCGCCGACAACACTCACCACACCTAAACTCCAAAGCAGCAGCAGCAGCAGCAGCAACACGACCGACCCCAGCCAATGCGACTGCTACCTGATCTCAGGCCCTGAGCCAGGGTACTTCACGCACTACAAGCTGTGGGACTTCCGCAACACAGCCCATATCCCACGCCAACCCCAACCAGCGCCTCCTCTGGGTCAGACCAACGATGATCTCGACACCGAGATCCTCGAAGCAACAACGAACCTCTTCTCGCAAACGCCCTTCAGCAAAGACTGGCACGTACAAACCTGGCACAGGGCCGCCGACCCTCTCCTCTCACCGATCCCAATGACGAACTCAGAATCCAACGTCTTCCTAATGAAAGCGCCGCGCTCCTCACCACCAGGTCAGAATGCATCACAGGCGAACACCTTCCTAACTTTCCGCACAACGCGCTTCAGCAACCACGCAACAACAGCCGAGATCGAATCACGACTGGGGCTAATCGACCACTGCTCACTACGACTCCGCATGCGCCTAATGTCCCGCGAGACAGCGCTCTACCGCCCGTACACAGACATATCCGATCCAAACCCAAGCATCGTCCTCCCCCCACCTCAACGCCCCTTCCCAACAGTGCCACAGAAACCTCAACCTCAAAGAGTCCCGAGCGGGACATGCGCAGGGATCTTCACGTACCGGTCAGCGACATGCGAGTCGGACATCGAGATCCTAACGGCAGACTGGCCGTACACGATCCACTACGCCAACCAACCGGACTACGACCCGATCACCGACAAAATTATCCCCAATGCCAGCGCAGTGGTGAATCTGACGCGGCCGTGGACGGAGTGGACGACGCACCGGCTGGACTGGCAGCCGCGGAGTACGCGGTGGTACGCCGACGGGGCGCTGCAGGCTGTCAAGACGTACCGCGTGCCGGACCGGCCTAGCCTTATCGTGCTGAATCTGTGGACGAACGGTGGCAGCTGGACGGGCGATCTCCGCGTCGGTGAGTCTGTTTACCTCGGTATCGAGTGGATGGAGCTTGTGTATAACCTCTCTTCCTCTTCATCGTTGGGGTCGCCGCCTTCGAGGTCGTCGTCCTCGTCGTCTTTGTCGTCATTGTCGTTGGTGGGTGAGGAGGAGGGAGGAGGAAAGGTCCAGCTACAGCAGGGGCAGCAGCAACAGCAGAAGGACGAAGACGAGCCAAGAAGGAAACAGTTGATGGACGGTGGTCGGGAAGGCGAAGTTGATGGGCATGGCCATCACCTTGATCGACCAGACCTGGATCTCTCTGCGATGGGCGAGAGTCGCGATCGGCTCGATAGACTCCGTTATCATCAGGATCATGGCCCGGACAAGAGAGCGATCGGGTCGACCACGCCCTCCCCGGGATGCCGGCGGCCTTGTTGGGTAGATAGGTGAGAGCACAGATAGACACGTTTCCTATCCCTAAAGCACTATTCTTCGAATACATGCATTACTTGCTGTACCATGCGCTGTTGTAGTTTGGTTGAAACCCGTATCACTTGATACTGTCATTGAAGATGTAGGCAACCTTGACATGATTGATCATCTTGGATGTCCCTTCATCCAAACATCTCTGACGACCTGGTTCAATCTCAGATCACAGAAAGAGGAACAGCCCGCCTAAATACATCAAACAACCCCCACTGGCATAGAAGAGCTCCAACTCTATCCCCGCTCCCAGACTCAAAAACAAACGCATGTCAGGAGCTCAGGCTTCGACTGACGGGGTATCCGTACAACACAAACACACAAACAGACGCTAATAACCAACCTCTAATGAGCACCCCTTGGATCCTTCCTCTCTTCACAAACGCAACTCCAGCCCAATGCAACCAAGCCCATATAACATGCACTGCTGAACGCTGAAACAAACATGCCCGCCATCCCTGTTCTTTATCCACATCGACTGTCTTTGTCTATATACATGCTTCCTCGTCGTTGTCCACGTCGTCGTGGAATTTTTTCTTTTTTTTTTCTTTTTTTTTTGTGTTCCGTGGAGGAACTCTGCAGGTCGGCGAGTTAGCTATCAGCCTAAGCAACGAAGAAAAAAAACAAAGACTGACTTTTCTTTTTTTTTTTATTTTTCATTTGAGGTGCCGCCATCCCCGCCCCAAGTGGCCGGTCGAAGTGCTGACCTGCGCCACTCACAGCATGACCCCTCGGCCCTGGACGGGATCGAAGTCCCCGTCCAGGCCTCCATTCATCAACTCCGCCACTATTTTCTTTCGCAGGAGTGGGGAGTCTGGAGCCCCATAGGATTGGGGCTCCAGGTTGATGGCGACGGCTTTCGCCGTCGACAGGAGGAAGACACCACAGTCGGACCCGTTGTCTTGCCGGGGAGACAGGGACGGCAGCACCTCCCATTCCTCCTCGATGAACCTTGCCCCCAATTCCCCCCTCAGCCACGCCTTAATGATGGCGACATGGCTCTTGTTGAGCCCCCCGAGGGAATCGAAGTGCTCAATTGAGCGGTCGCCGGGCTTCACCACGATGAGCGTCCAATGGGATTTGTCGTGGATCGGCACGAACACCGTGTCGACGTTGAGGAGGGCCTCGCCCCCAATCTTGGCCCGTGTGGCCCAGCGGCGAACAGATTCGTAGCCCTTGTCACGTAGGTTGGAAAAAAAGAATGAATTGAACGCGTGGAATCGCGGCTTGTCATGTCGTCCAGAATTGTTGTTGGTTCGCCGCAAATAGTCAATAATCAATGCCAGATACGCGTTGATGACCTCGTCGTTTAGCCACTCCAACGGGGTATAACACGTTGCCAAATCCCTCTTCGTCAATGTCTCTCCTGACAGCGTAGTCACAATCTTCCGCGAAGGTGGAGAGGCCATGGACTCTCGAAGACGTTCGAGCCATTTATGCGACAATGGGCGGACGGCGGGCCTTTCTAGTCGGATTCTTGCGGGTTGCTGGCTGGCGTTTCTGATTCTCTCTTCTGTTCTCCACCTTTCCGCAAGAAGAGACTCAGTCCTACCCACCGGGATAGGAATGGGGTTAGGATAGAAAAGACTCACCGCAGACACCGGACTACCCGGAACAGGTCCTTCAACCTCCTGCGCCAAGGCATCCTGAGTGGGCGTGTGGTCGTCTTCGGCGATAGCAGGGACTTCTTCGTTACTCACGTTCTCAATACTCACGACCTCTTGAGTCACGTCTTTGGTAATATCAGGTGCAACGTTTTCTTTCTGGTCCTCCTCGGTGGCCGCTTTGGCAACGCGAATATCGTGCGCATGTAACTCAAGGAGATGCTCAATATGCGAATGTGTTCTCGGTAGAATTGGTGGTGTGCGGGGCGGAGGTATATATTTCGGAGTTAAAATGCGCTCGCTGGTAACAGGTTTTGCTGGAAAATGAACTCTCCGGTTACGCTTCGGTTGCGGGGAGTTTTCGTTTTCGTTGGGCTTTACATCGGTGTTGCCCGTAACAGACGACGCAACCTGAGCCGACGGCGAACTCGAAGGTTCAGGTTCAGCGTGCTTTGTAGTCTTTAGAATACTTTTCGTTGTAATAACCTTCTTTCGCTTCGTAGGCTCGATCTTTGTATGCTTTAGAATTTTCGACGGAAGCTTCGGCAAATGAAAGGCGCTTCTTTCTCGATTTATCCGCTCCACCCTTTGCAGATCTCCCGCCAGTTGGGCGTCAAGCGCAGCTTGAACGCTGGTACTGTCCAAGCGGGTAGGGCGGACAATATCGCGTAGTCTCAGGCCTGCAGGCAGGCTCGGTAGGTCTTCAGGTGTACGGTTCTTCTTTCGTTTTTCGTGGCGTGATATGGTGTCATTCGAACCTGGCGCGGGGCGCTTAAAAGTCGCATTAAGCGATGGCGACGACTCAACTGCGCTTGTTGGCATGAATAGTGAATCGGCTCCAGTAGTCATGTTAGACATGTGATCATCAAACGGGTACTGGACCTGGGCTGGGTGGATAGCGTCGAACTTGAAGTCATGAGCTTGAGACTGAGTCTGGGTCTGATTTATAGCATCAGACATGATATCATCGGCTCTGGGCTGATAGTCCTCGCTTGCAACAATATAACCGATCATGGACTCGTCGGCATTTGGCACGCTCTGGCTCTCATTGATAGCATCAACCATAAAATCATCAACTTCGGGTGCGTTCTCGCCCTCGTGGATAGCATCCGACATAAGCCCATCAATCTCGGGCGCGATCTTGCTCTCATTCATAGCATCAGACATAACATCATCGACATCGGTGACGTCCTCGTTCTCGACCGGGGCATTGACATCGTTCATAGTTTCGTCAACATGAGGCTGGTCAAACATAACAGCGTCGATGAAGTCATCAGGATAGGGTCGGTTGTCGGTGTTTGAAACATTGATGACATTTCCGATGTTGCGCCTCTGGTTTCCTGGCGACAACCGGCGCCTACCGGTAGGTGATCCACCGCGGCGATCACCAGCACGACGTTCAATATTAGTGCGTGGCTGGAAGACTTGTTGGACACGGCGCTTTACGGTTCCCACGACATTCACCGCCCGTCTAGCGGCTGTGGTTGCAATTTGCGGCATACCGTTGACAATGGCACGCGCAAAACGACTCTGCCAATGGCCCCAATGCGCTACCCAGGACTCGTCGGGATTACGAGCCTGCTGGTCAAGAGGGCGAGGGGCCTGTCCGTCAATCGCGTCGAAGAAACGGGTGGGTATAGGCGTTGTCTGCGGCCAACCACCCGGTAGGGTGACCCGAGGGGTAGTCGGAGTTGGGGAATTGGCAATCGTTAGATTATAAGGCGTTGCCTGGGAGTTTTCAGGTGTAGCGGGTCTCGGTCCTTCTTCTGGTCTCGCTTCATCTGCGTTGAAGTCCTCAAGTGACCTCTTGCGAGACACAGGAGTCAAAGCCTCCCGTGCAAGTAAGCCGGGTGCAAAATAGGCAAACTTTTCCTCTTTAGAGCCCGCGAGGGGGATCAGATTGTCGCTGGCCTGAGGGCGACGAAACAGAGAACCCGCATCCGGAGCGGTGTTACCCAAAATGTTAGTGAAAATGTTGTCGAAGCGAGAAGATGTTCGCGACGCGGCTGCACCCATTGCACCAGGACGTGCATGCTTTCTGCCCCGAATATATTCCTGAACCGGTTTGTTGCAAATCAAAATCGGCTGGTTGGCGGTCACACGGGCCGGGTGGTCAGAATTGATACGACTAGTTCCCCTTTTCGTTGTGTTGCGACTTCTTTTGCCAAAGGCTGCGGAGGCCTTTTTGCCATTCCCGAAGCTGGGATTGGTGTTACCAATCTTGTCATCGTTTGTGTTGTCATTCGCACAGCGATGATCATCAAGAGTGGATGGACGAGAGTGGTTGTTATCCCCGAAAGAGCTAGGTGCAAGACCATCGGTGGAAGTGTGATCGGAAGGAAGGGTGTTCTGGACAGGGCCCGCAACTGGAACCGAATCAAGATACTGGGAGTTAATAGATAATGGAGCTGTGCGCATCCAGCCGAACTCGTCAGTCGAACCTCCAATCTCTCGAGCGCGAGACAAAGCCTCGGCGACTTGGCTTGGCGTCACCTGGCGGAGAGGACGCTCAGTAGGAGGGGCGGTAATCGGCATGGTGGAAAGACGACTGTACTCCGGTCGACTCCAGTGAGACAAGGGAGGTCCGATATTGGGGTAAGGAGGATTGGTGGCGGCGTCCGCAGGGTGATGGAGAACCGGGCGCGTGTTAGTTTGCATCTCGTCAGGTCCGATAACGGGGTAAGGTGGATTGGTAGCGGCGTCCGCTGGCTGATGAAGAATGAGGCGCATGTCAGTTTGCATCTCATCAGGGATCCTGGGATCAAGGTCCATGGGGTCGCCAGAAAGGCTCAAATTCGCGAAAGAGATATCCAAGGGGGTGTAGAGGCTCACAGCGTGCATCGCCATATCGATCTGATCAACAAAGTTCGAAGAAGACATGTTGATTCAAGATGAGGGGTTGTTGTTGTTATTATTAGACTGCGACGTTGGAAAGCTTGAACTGCTTGTAGTTCGAAGACGAAGGTTTGAAGTTTTGGTTGAAGCGTTGGAACGTTGGTGATTACGTGGTGTTGGTAGGTACAGTGGATGTGGGTGAGGAAGTAAACAGAAGAGGAGAGAGAGAGAAAGGAGGAGAAGAAGAAGAAGAGAAGAGAAGAGGGGTGAAGAGAAACACAAGATGGAGGGGGGTGGATGGGTGGGAGAAGGCGCGATCACAACACAACCATCGTCATGGCAGTAACACGGCTACCAAAATATCTACTGAGATTGCGATCCAGTGAATTGGTGCTCTCCATCGGAAGGTGCAGGGCAGAGCAGGTGTGAGTGCGCAACACAGTGGTGGTGGGGGAAGGTGAGTGCGTAAATGAGTGAGTGAATGCGACCACGACCGCGATGTGAAGTTATTGCGGCAGTTGGAGATGGAGAGCCCAGCCAGACTGCGCATTTAATGCTCAAGCTTGGAGAGGCTTAGCGTCGGAAGCTTGACCCTCATTTTTGCCCCGATGAAGAAATGATCACGTGAATCGACTGTCCCTGGTCTAGAACTCGAACTCGAAGCTATCCATACTATACCTAAGGTACTCAGAGACCTCGAATCGATTAAAATTTATAGGTGTTCAGCCCCTATAATACCTCTAGTTCTCCCATAACCCTCCAAGTTACTCATAAGCTAGGTATCTTGAGATTGCAGTCCAATTGAAAGCCCTCCAAGCTCGAAAACCTTGTATGGTTGTCATTCCTTATCGATGGATCGTCCCCCCGCGATAATGACCCTTTATCTCACGCGATAAGGATCCAAATTACTCCAAGCAGTATCATGGAAGGGAAAAACCAACGGCTCTGGTGTCTTCTGATGTATATTGTCATGTCGCATGATATAGTAGCTTGAAAGCCATCCTCTCTGACCAAACAGCAAAGAAAAGAACAGGTAAAGCAAAGAATTTTATGTACAGAAATGCCAGCTATATTACATCGTGGACGTTTGCAGTCCGCCCGGCCGAGACGAACCAAAAGATAAGTTGGTTGAAATGAAAGTGCACCAATGACCATCATGCTAATGCGCCGCGAGACCAATCTGCAAAAATAGAAGAGGGGCTCCCTCCATTACTATCCATGCGATCCCTTTGGTTGCAAGAAATGTCAGTACGCTTACACCAATGCCGTTGCGGACACAGGAAGGAGAAATGGACAGTTAGCAAGGGACTTACCAGAATATACCACCAGCTTCGTAATGACTTCTACGTCATACCGCACGCGCGGTGGCTTAATTTGTGCAAACAATTCTTCTTCATCGGCCTCAATCCCCGCATCGAAATCGGGGAAGGGCACTGTAGTCGAGGACGTTTGATTACCAACATCGGCCGCGGTCGCATGACCTAGAGCTCCCGTGCCCATCATGTGTTCATAATCATGTAGCTTGGATGGCCGTCTCGATAGCTTCGGCGTCCGGGTTTCTTTCACGGAGGAACTAGTCTGGCCGACCTCGGTAGCGGGTGTGACCTTGTTGCCGTTGGAGAGACTCTCTCGCCTACGTTTCTCGCGGTATGCCAATGTCTCATATGCGTCGGCTTCTGACTGAGGACCGACAGAAATTGCCCGTCGTCTAGGATGGCGCATCGTGGTTATAAAAGACGGAATTTCGGATAAGTTCGGGAGAACTTCATGATCCTTCAGCTGCGCGGGAACGCGGGAGTATTGTCTATTCGATATAGGTGGTTAGCTGGCTCTTTGCGTTTCGAGTTTCCATGTGCCAGATGTCCTCCGAACAGATTGCATCGATCAACTTACGAAGCATTGGTGAAGAACCTCCGAGGAAGGATTAGCCCAAGCTTTTCCAACCCCCGGAAAACAGGTGGAAGGATACGAAGCATGAAGGGTTTTGTCATTGCCCGCCAGATGAAAAGTAGTAAGATTCCCAAGACAAGCCGGAGCGCGGTCTTGGTAACTTCCACCAGTTCAAACCGGGAGGTGGCGCCTGGTATCGCCTCATACCATCCCATCTTCGAACGCGCCAAGTGCCAGTAAGCAATTTGAGCGCCGAGCGTCACACCCGCAAAAGCCACACTATCATCGAAGCACGGACAGTCGTCTGCAGGCTCCGGGTGCACACGGACCAGGGCTAATATCAGCAGTATGACTAGTGTGACACCTTTCCCTGTTGCAGCAAGGATATATTCGTCAATGGTCGGCCCATAGGTGTACTGCAAGTAGGCCAAGAAACCACCCAACAGACAGCCCGTGATCACGTCGCAGAATCCATGCATCCCGCAGTACAGGCGACCCAGGACAATGGAGCTAACGTAGATATACGTCAAGCCTTGAAGTGCCATGTTCGTGCCAGGGCCAAGAGTACAATCCGGAGAATTGAGAAGCGAGAGAACATAGACTGCAACCGAGACAGCATTTGTAGAGTGTGTCGAAGGGAATCCGTACTCCAAAGCCGCGGAACCAGACATTGTTATCCGCTGGAGGGGTGGAGACAAAGGTCGTGGCAGACATAGTAGGTCCTTTATGAAGCCACTGAAGAAGACGCCCGAGGCCAACAGATGCACCAACCTGGACGAAAGCCACAGCCATTAGTGATTCATGCCCAGCAAGCGCGGAGTCATTTCCGCCCGTGTTTAATGTCAACGCCCAATCGAGAGCACATACCCACGTCCCAAACTTGCATAACCGCACCAGAACAGAATTGGGAGGAAAACCATGAAGAAGGTGTGCGTGCCGAGATTGGCGGTAAATGCGAAGTATGAATCCAGAGTCGGTGTTCGGACCTTTTCCTGGCACCAGGCGAGATATGGCGTTTCGAATCGAATCAGTGGGAGCAGTTTCTGCCGAGGCCAGTAACGCCAGAGAGGAAGTTGATTACGATCTATTGAGGAGCGCATGTCGAGCCACCGTCAGTGTTGAACCAGTACCATTGCTTCGCGCCGGAACAAACATGGACATACAATGATTGAGACTTCTCAGGCCAGCGTCAGGCTGGCCATTCTTGCTGTGAGCCATTGGCGGAGACTTTCCCCTGGCAGGCGACCGTGTAGATTCAGATTGATAGAATAGTTGCGATTCCCTCCATAAGCTTTTTTTACTCCTGCGGACAGATCGCTCAAGCTCTACGACCGCCTTGAGAGATCATCAAGAATTGTGAGAGGCGTGGATCGTGCGAAATAAGGATAGACAGGTTGGGAGCGACACAACGATGATTGAGGATTAAGGAGGGTGTGAGCGAGATGTCCAACCCTGAAGTCAAGGTAGGTATTCCTAGTTACCTAGTAGTGTCCCGCAGACGGCATCAGAAAAAGCTGCTGATGTCGGATTTCGGCGGTCAATGCGCCCGCGCCAGTTCGAAACTCAAAAGGGCCAGACGAGCTTCCGCGGTTGAGGGCAAGGGACGTGCTGCGCTGTCACGTGTCTGTCCTCATTAAAGATGGCTGGGCACACATGATGATAAGCTCTGGTTCATGGGATTAGATTAAATCATACATAATACGGAGTAGATATTGATCAGATCTTGTTTTCATGATCACTCCGAGTCCTCTTCTCAAGAGTCCCATTCCACATGGCTGCCTGTGTTGATTCTATGTCCATACTCTACACCGTAGAGGTCTAGTACTATGTATATCATCGCGCATGATGAGACAATTGAAATAACTGGCCTGTCTTCCCTCCCCCCGAACTCTCAACATCAAACATGCTCTACACTGCAGTGAGACGAATTCAAAGATCCCACTCGGACACACGGGACATAGTTACGTCAGAAGGGAGTGAGGTAGAGAGTCCGAGGTCTTAATCGGAACTTGCCAAGAGGACCACAGGTTGGCACTAGGAACCATTACCCCGACTCTTAGATCGGAAAGGCGATCAAGTTTGAGGTGTGAACGAAAGATTAGGGGCAGCCTTGGATCTAGTCCAGTTGCAGGTCAGTAATTCAAGGCATTGGAGGGAGGAGCCTGGAGAGGGGGGGAGTGATTACTGTGACGAATCTGCTAAAAATAAAACGAAACGATTGGAAAGTGCGCTCTCCAAGCCTGAACTAAAGGGAGCAGTCAAATTGAAGGTTGCCAATGCCAGTGCCAGTTCCAGTCCCAGGTGGCTGGAGACTTCAAGTTTGAAGTTGACAGCGGAGCTGGTGCGTCATTACTGTCGTCTCGCGATGTTGCCATGGCAGCTCATCGGCCGGTAAACATCGGTCGGGCGGTTTCATGTCAGCCGCAATGGACCTCGTTGCTTTCTGATTGGTAGATAGGTTGGTGGTGGTTGGAGCAGGAGTAGCAGAACTAGCAGCATGGACACACTAAGGTACTACTGGGCAAGTAGCAGCAACAGCCTTGATTAAGCCGAGAGTGAGTGAGCCTGAGCAAGCAGCAACAGCATGAAGCAGCAGCACCTACCCACCCACCCAGCCAGCCAGCCAGCCAGCCCCAGCCCCAGCCCCAGCCCAGCTGTACCGGTAGTAGCCATGGATGGATGGGTCTTCGGCCATCGGTCACCGTCTTAGAGGATTCGATCTCGAAGCCTGACATCCCTTCCTCCCCTTCTGAATCTCTTCGTGCTGGTTTCGCGTTTTGTTTTTTTTCCCTAATCCTCCTCCTCTTCTTCCTCCTTCACGTTCTCCTTCCCCTCCTCCACTTTCGCCTCCACCTCCACCACCACTATAATTCGATCTCCTCCTTCGTGCAGCAAACTCGCAGCGACGTGTCAAACCCTCCCACCACCCATCCCCCTTTGAGCCTCAATCACACAAGAAAGGAAATTTCGCGACTACCTACCATATTTCCAAAAACCTCTTGGCTCTTCCGTGCATTTTGACAAGCAGGTGGATCTTCAATAGCGATTATCGTCCAGCGCCATTTCTTGACCGACACTTTTACCCCTTCCGGAACGACTGGATACCTACATTCCACCAAATTCTCCTATTCCGCCATCATGTCAGGTACAATGTACGATGACCAAGCTTATGCACCCTCGCGTCGTCATTCACTCGTGACTCCTCCTCAGTCCATGGTCCCGCGACATAGCCGGACGCGCAGCCAGAGCGTCAGAGTTAGTAACGGCACCGTCAGCACCAACACCAGTGTCTCGAGCGGGAGGATGTCAGAAGCTACAAATATCACGCAACCCCCAGCATATTCCAAAAAGTTTGTGGTGGTGGGCGATGGCGGATGCGGGAAAACCTGTCTCTTGATTAGTTATTCGCAAGGTTATTTCCCCGAGGTAGGTGCTCAATGGTCCCCTGGGGCGGGTTCGATCTTCCAATCCCAACTAACACCCCGGCCCAGAAATATGTTCCTACGGTGTTCGAGAACTACATCACACAAACCACCCATCGGGCGTCCGGAAAGACAGTCGAGCTCGCTCTTTGGGATACTGCTGGCCAGGAAGAATATGACCGTCTGCGCCCACTTTCGTATCCAGAGACGGATCTTCTGTTTGTTTGCTTTGCTATCGACTGTCCCTCCTCGTTAGAAAATGTGATGGATAAGGTATGTTCGAATTCTACTCGTGAACTGTTGGTGGAGGTACCTAACATATCGCAAAAGTGGTACCCCGAAGTCTTGCATTTCTGTCCGACGACCCCGCTCATCCTGGTGGGCTTGAAGTCAGATCTGCGCAACAAGAGGACATGCATTGAACTACTCAAGACCCAGGGTCTAACGCCGGTAACGCCAGAGCAAGGCGAAGCCGTGGCGCGCCGTATGAACGCGTCCTACGTGGAATGCAGTAGCAAGGAGATGCGCGGTGTTGATGGCGTGTTCAGCCTCGCGGTTGATACTGTTGTCTCCGCTGAGGAGCAAGACTACAATGACCGTCAAACGACTAGCGCTGGTAGCAAACCCCGAGTCGGCGGCGGCGGCGGCGGCGGTGGTGGAAAGAAGGTCAAGAAGCGCAGTTGCAAAATCCTGTAACTGGTGGGCTCGCGTCTCTTCTTTGTCCACTGCTCGACCATATCTCTTACTGTCTTCCACTGCTTACCACCCCAGTTTTTCATTTCATCTTTCATACCTACGCCACACAAGCCTGGTTGCTTGGACGGCTTCTTTGACTCTCCTTACATGTCATATGACATAGCAAAGTGAAATGGAGCCCGGAAAGGACCGGCCCCCTCCGCTTGACTTTTTTGATGTTGGTTTTTGCCCAATTGGGCCATTATATGTTTCTTGAATTATGCCGGCGGCTTTCTGACTCCTCGTTCTCCTCTTATGTTGTTATACCTGCTTGGCCCTGATGAACTGTTTCCATAAACTACGATTGTGTCAACCATTTCCTACCCCCTGTTTTCCTCCTCCAATCACTCGAATGCTTGATGTCTGTTATGAATTTAGCCAAATGGCCTATATTCGTTATGCATGGGACGGGTGTTTACTGGCGCAAGCGAACCCCCCATGTAACTGAATCCGAAGATCTTCCCAACCAACTCGCCGAGAAAATATACAGTAGTTGAACCCACGCGTAGAAAACATAGACTACATTCCATACCATAGACAAGCAGCGAAGATAGTAGGCCGCGATTGCGCAAAACTTGAACCCACGCTATAGTCACCCAAACGCCGTACCCCAACCAAAGACCGTCCCTACTCACAACCAACCCGCAGCCTCTCGTAGCTTCATGCCCTCAAGCCTCCGCATCCTTCATCTCCTCATCGCGCAGCTCGCTCTGCCCTTCATAATCACCTCCCTTCCGCCTAACCGGCCCTTCAGCCTCCTCAGCCGGCCGGCCCATGAAATTCTCAAACCGCGACCACAGAGCCTCGACGGAGCCAAACTCGTTCCCCACCTACGCAGAGAATTGTCAGTCCAAGTAGTTTTCTTTCAGGCCAGCATGAATAGAGAGAGAGCCAAAGCCAATCGGACACGCGCAAGTGAAGTGGGGAGCGGGGGAGAGAAGACCTACAGAAATGATGCTCTCCAGGTTCCGGTTCAGCCGGTTCATGTTCTGGAGGACTTGCTCCATACCCTGCCCACATTTTGCAATCAGTTTCGTATTCAAGGTGCGCTATTTTTTTCCTTTTTTATTCGCGCGAAGCGGCGGCTGAAACAATGATGACCGCATGGCAGCATGGAACCCGGATTGAGAGGCGGCGGGAGGGAGTGTAGGGGCAGGTCTTACCACGGCGATTTCTCGCACCAGTTCTGCCCGTTGTTGTTCGAAGACAGTGGGGGTCGTTGATCGTTTTGCGCTGGGGGTTGTTGACATCTTGGCTCGCGCTTGATCGCGGGGGGTTTGGAATGGTTCTTGCAGGGGTGAGTGTAGTTCAATGAGGACTTGCCGGTGCGAATGCGCTGCGGTTTCACAATAAATGCCGAGTTACTCGGGTTCTTGAGGTATTGATTGATAGCAGCCCACCGTCAGTAGCGTGCGCGTTGACTGTTTTTGGCTGCCGATTGTGGCTCCCCGTCGTGGCGGGGCGGTCGGTGCCTGGTATGGTCCCCGATTGGGATTGGGTTTGTTGTTTCAATGTGCCCGGTGTTTGCTTACCGCTTTGGTGCCCGCCTTGTTCGTTATCGATAAGGCTGTTGTTGCAGGGATGAGTGCTTCTGCGATAAGGATCTGATGATATGTCTTCGAATTCGCGGATGAGAGCTTCCGAGTGTGCACGTGGCTCTATCGAAGGCGTGCCTATGGATTGTCAAGAGCGTGGGCTTTGATTACTGCGATTCGCACGTGCAATGGGGTTCAACTCCGCGCTTCGAAATGCCCCTCTACATGTGACTACGACTTGGGAACATGGCTCTCACCGACGGCGATGAATCGCTTCTTGGAAGCGGTTGTCGAGGTATGGCCCTTCAATGTGGATAATCTCTGCTAAATCCTTTGCCTTAGCATTTCTAAGCACAAGCTTGCTGATCATATCTTTCAGAACATATAGCACTTTGACGTTCGGGTGACGTAACCTCGCTCACAGGCTTTAAAAGTTCAACTCGCGTTGACCGATGCATCTCTTATCGCCATCTGAACCACATTCAATTTGATACAGCCACCATGAGAGCAATTGGTGTTGAAAAGTACGGTCCTGTCGATCACCTCGAGGCAAGAGAAGTCCCGAAGCCGTCCGATCTTCAACCCCGGGATCTTCTGGTCCGGTACGCATAACCCGACTATTGATAGCGAACAAGAACTGAGATATGTGCTCAGGATCAAAGGAGTCTCCGTCAACCCGGTGGACACGAAAGTGAGGAACGGGACGTATGATGACTACCCAGGCAAGTCCGTTCCAATCAGCCAGCTGAAAGTGGACATGCATCGCTGACTGGCCGCCAGACTACTATGACAACGTCCCTCGACCGTTCCAGATTGCCGGATACGATGCTGCAGGCGTCGTAGAAGCAGTTGGATCAGAGTGCTCTTACTTCAAAGTCGGTGATGAGGTCTTTTACTCGGGAAGCCCCATCAGGCAGGGTTCCAATGCAGAATATCAACTGGTGGACGAAAGGAGTGTGGGACGCAAACCAAAGCGACTTGACTTCGTCGAAGCCGCTGTCATGCCTTTGACTTATATCACTGCCTACGAGGCGCTTGTTGAGAGACTGGGCATCAAGAAAGGTGAAAAGACAGCACTTTTCATAATCAACGGTGCTGGTGGAGTCGGCGCTGTCGCTATTCAGATTGCACGCGTTTTGCTCGAGATTCCCGTGGTCGTCACGACAGCCTCGCGGCCGGAGACAATTGACTTTGCTAAAAAGATGGGTGCTACGCACGTCGTCAACCATCGAGAGGACGTCCCGAAGCAAATCGCGGAGCTGAACCTTGACCTACCGTTGAAGTATGACCTCCCCTAAGATCGGATCCAGCAGCAGCTAAGTTTCACCTAGGTACATCTTCATCACCCATTCCACGGACCAGTATATGGACACGTGCGCCAAGATCTGTGCCCCTTTCGGTAAAGTCTGTTCGATTGTGCAAGGTCAAGCGAAGATGTATGGAACCGAGTTCATGTCCAAGTCTCTGACGTTCGTCTGGTGTCTCCTTGGCACGAAACCGTATCACAAGGTGGATGTTGACTCGCACCATCGCATTCTGGAGGAGCTCTCGGAATTGATTGATTCTGGGAAAATCAAGTGTCACTTAACCAAGCGTCTGAAGCTGACTCTCGAAGGTGTTAAGAAAGGACACGAGCTTCTCGAATCCGGCGGGAGCATAGGCAAAATGGGATTGGGACCGGACGAGGCAGGGCCCGGGGAACCATTTTCCTAAGTTCTTGGCTTCGGGATAGTGCTTGTAGAGGTAGACATTAGTTTATGAAACAGACAGGATCATAGTTCCAGCATGTTTGACAAATGGATTCATTACTCCCCGCAAATTCCCCGCCTAGGGCAGGGTCATGATTAATTGCGCGGCAAGGCGGGGCAGACCAACGCTAGTCCTTTGGCCAAACTCTTCAGCAAACACCTAGTGTTATCGCCCTGCACTCGACCTGTCGGTCCAGTCTTGCCCGAATACGACTGTCACCCGTATTTCTTTCCCAAAATGGAACCGCGTCAATGCAGCCCTGGAGGTGCCCAGTGCCGTGCATGAAGACTGCCGAGGGCACTTGCTCGCCGTTCCCCAATATGCCCATCGCTTCCGTCTCGATGATATGACATGAAATGCCTCTGCCCGGCTATTCCACATAAGCCAGAACGATGACGATCTCGGGACAGGGTCAACCGAGTCTTCGATCTTGGGTAGAGATGTGGATAAATTTGAGGTATAAAAACAGAGCGTGTTCATTATGAGAATTCATCAGAGGCAGAACAATGTGCAACTGCAGCTTGACATTGTTCAATATGCATTTGACCTCAGTTCTTCTCTCCGTACTACTCTTTAACACAGTTTTGCGCTCGTTGAGACGGAGACTGGAACTTACACTGACCTCGGCTCGTTCCAGAACCCAACATCGCGCGCGCGTCTTCGGTTCCGCTACTGGCTGCCGGACGCCAGTGTCGACCCCAAAAATCATGCAACGGAATATCCGAGATGCGGGTACTTTAGGCGCGGGGGGTGTTGAGTTCGTCCCTTTCTATGCTTATGGCTCCGAGGTGCCTGGAGCGGACTGGGCGACGTATGACTTCGGCACCCCAGCGTACCTCAAAATCTTCAAAGCTGCTCTCCGTGCTCACAAAGAGGCTGGTCTTGCCTTGGACTTTTCCCTTGGTCCCAATCAGGGACAGGGGGTGCCTGCAGAGTACGACGACGAGAAACTGCAGTGGGACTTGCTAAGAGACTGGTAGTGTGCTCCTGAGGGATAGCTTATATGGTCAGGCTCCCCACTCAGTCGTGATTTCCGCCACCGGCGTCTCGATGGAAAGCTTCCAGGTTGGTAAACAGGCGATTTGGTGGCACTCGTTTCCGCGCAAGTGCTTTTTGCTCGGAACGTCACCGGGCAGACCGTCAAGACTTTCTATGATGTGCCTGTCGAAGACTACATGTAATACGTACTCAAGAGTTCGACGCTGCAGGAATGGACGACCAAAGTGTCATCAATAGCACCATCCATCTCGAGCTCCCTTCTTCCGGTGGCGAATCCTATCGGCTTTTCGCTTTCTACCAATACTTGACCCATGCGCAGAATGTTGTTGTCGACTCTAATTTCACTGGGACGATTTTCGACGACAATGGTTACTACACTGTCGATCACTTTAGTGCGCGGGGAGCGCAGGTAGTCACCAAGATTTGGGATGACTATCTACTGAGTGATGCTGAAATAAAGGAGCTTCTCCCTGAGGTTGGTAATTATGGTAAGCAGTCACATGGCTCCTTAGCGACGGACAATGCTCATTGACTTCAAGGCTGGGAGGACAGTATCGAGGCGAGATCGAACATATCCTGGACCACGGCACTTCCTAGAATCTTCAAGGATAAGTACGGGTACAACCTGGAGCGCCATCTTCCACTCATCATGTTCGGCAATAACAACCTTGGCGTTCAGACTGCTTCTCCGGGTTCAACACAGTGTCTGCTAGATACTTCTGACCAAGGAAAGAGATATTTGAATGACTATCGCGGTGCTTTGATGGAGGGGTACCGTGCTTATATGGAGCATTATATGAGATGGACCAACGCGATGAATCTACAATACTCTTCGCAGGTCGCCTACAACTTACCCATTGATGTCTTGGCGAACGTTCCGTATGTCAGTGCACCTGAATGCGAAAGCTTGCAACATCAAGAGAATGTTGACAGCTAACGACAACTCTCTGAGCCGGCAGTTTTGACAGGAAAGAAAGTCATCTCCGATGAGCTGGGTGCCATTGTGTCCGAGGCGTACAGCCATACAGTTTCCCGACTTCTGTGGCAAGTCAGTCGGGCGGCTGCGGGTGGAGTCAATCAGGTCGTGTTGCATGGGCAATCATACTCAGGTAACTACTATAATACGATGTGGCCAGGCCATACACCATTCTACTACATGTTCTCAGACACATGTTCCGACTAGCAGCCATACTGGGACCATGGGTTTTTTCCGAAGATTTGAACTATATTGCGAGATTACAACACTCACAGCGGCTCGGTATTCCGAAGATCAATCTGGTTCTTTACAGCAAGGACTCGGCAACTGATCCATACCTGGGGACTGTCTAGAATGAGACAGATCTACTTGATGATGGTATGGGCTCGCTTTCTCAACTTCGTGGCTACTGTATACTAATGGGTGTAGGCTTCACTTATGTCTATCTGTCACCGGAGAATTTCGCCGTACCTCAAGCCTATGTCAGGAAAATAGATAATTTGCGCCAGATGGTCCGGGATTCCGCGCAATGATCATTCCAAGCTCGAGTAACCTCACCCTGAGTGGGGTCAATGACACATAGAAGTGCTCCCGTGCAGGTCTTCCGGCGATATTATCAGGCGGATTGCCCAACATTTACTTCACTGAGGACGGTACTGTGACGGCACAGAGTATCTATTCATTCTCTCAGACGTTGTCAAGTCTTCTGGCAAGGTTAGTGTAGCTACTACCAAGCAGCCCTACTTGCTCAATCCATGGACCGGCGAAGAAAGCTCGGTCCTGGCATATCAGCAAAAGTCTGGACGTACTGTGATTCCCTTCGCCTTTGCCGCAAACCAGACCATGATACTGGCTTTCAGAGACACGGATAGTTTCGCGTCATCAATCAAAACCACTGATGTCCCCACCTCAATCATAGATCATGAGTACAGCAAATCTGGAGGCCTCCATTTGCACGTCACAGCCAGCAGCTCCGCGAAGATGGCATTTACACTGTCCAACAGTAAGACAATCATTCAACTCATCAACCACACTGTCGCCCCCGGCATCACCCTCTCAAACTGGACCCTCACCGTCGAACACTGGGACCACCCCCTCAACATCAGCGATGCCTCGATCATCGCCCTCAAGCATAACACCACCCACAGACTCAGCTCCTTCGTCTCCTGGCGCGAGATTCCTGCCATCCCCAATGTCTCCGGGATAGGCTACTACAGCAACACTCTAATATGGTCCCCTTCAAAGTCCGCTTCGGGTGCATACCTTCTCCTGCCCACAGCCATCAACGGCGCGCGTGTTTATATGAACGGACACCGCGTCCCGCCCTTCGTCTACCAAGCGCCGAAGATCAACATCAGCCCGCATCTCCGCTCTGGCGCCAACGAGATCACAGTAGAAGTACCATCTGTGATGTGGAATTACCTCCGGTCAATCTTTGATGAGCTCTGGACGGGAGGCATCCACGCGTCGAATGTTTTCGGGAGTTCCTGGGGACCACCAGGGACAGTGGACAACGGGCTGATTAGAGAAGCAGTGACTGTGCCGTATGTAGATGTTTATGTAGGAAGGTCGTCCAGGCCACCGAGCCAAGCTCCTCAAATGAAACGGCACTGAAACAAATCAAACCATCGGTCGGAGAGAAGCAAACAACTCTCCACGTGCCAGCCTTCTTCTGATAAAGATCCCGACTCAAATGCAAAACAAGCGAGCAAATCAGAAGTACATGCCTCTCCGAGTTCGTTTCAGCCGATCCCTGATAACCCAGCAATCTTGCCCGACTGGGATAACGACAACCACTAGTGTGAACACCTAGGTACTCGTAGTACCGTAGGTTGGGGCGTACCAAAAAGCAGGCGACGATCCGCAGCACTCCCCGAGCCTTTAGCGCCTACTAGTCCTGGTACTCTCCCCGCTCAAATCCCAGCCCAACAATCGATTGACTTTCAAGCGTTCGCCAGGCGGTCTAGAACCACCGCGAGAGAAGACAAATAGTGGCCTTGTCCGGTTCGCTTTACATTTGAGCCCCGACGATCAGCGCCAGCCATCTTCTATCTAGCATCAATACAATAGTCTAGTCAACTCAACTCAATGTATACTTGCAGCAGACGATGTCCTTTCCAAGCTGCACCCTGAACATACAATACCTTTTAGTGTAACCACGCCTTACCTTACCGCGCGCCTCGCCGCACCCTCCCTCCTCACCTCGCGACAACACGACACCATCACCTCCAGCTAGATAGAAAAAAAAGGGTGCCATGGATGGAAAATTCAATAACCCCTCCTCGTTCCGCCTAGAACCAAGTCCCAGAACCCAGAACCAGAGCCATGTACCCAGAACCAAAAACCAAGAACCACACGCCTGAATCCCCAGAGCCAGATCCAGGTCCAGGTCCAAGACCAGTCCAGAACCGCATACCGTCCAGCCTCTTACCTCTAAACCGCGTGGGCCCGTTAATCCTTTCGGGATAATGCAGAGGTCACGGCGGGCGGCGCCCGGAAGTCGGGGATCATGGATTGATGATGTCAGGGATCCACTGTGGAACGGGGCGGTCGTGGTCATGTGGAACTGGTGTTTTCGGGAGGAGAGTGAGAGGAAAGTAAGCCTTGCCGTGGTTGTAAGTAGTAGATTTAGCTCGGCTTGTAGATCATTGATTTCGGGCGTCGGTTGTGTTGGGTTTGGGTATCAATCAATCGGTTCATGAGTATGTTGCTGGGTAGAAGGACAGGGTAGTCTAGTCTATTCTGGCGTTCGACTTTGTCGGGCTAAAAGAAATTAAAGCGAAAGGAAAAGGAATGGGTGATGGATGACAGTGAGAAATCAGGTTGTAATGAGTTTGTTAGAATTTTCTGAATCCATCATTGCTCTTGTAAGATATATCCGGCCCAATAACCAATCCCTATTCGTGTCTGCCTACTCCTGCGCTAAAAGTGTAACCCAAAATCAAGAAAACCCCCTCCAAAAAAAAACCTTGTAGTAAGCCTTTGCTCCGTTTGTCTAGATCCCCCAACTCCGAAACATGAACTCGAGAAAGCAGAACATCAATCAAAGGTCTCGTTACATCTTGTCTCGTGTAAAGCGTTCGTAGCGTGGTGGGTTTCTTTCGCTGTAAGTGATGTATAGATGATGATAGCATAGCATGTCACAATGTAGTGTAGCATATAGTGGATAGTGGATCGTAAGGAGGGTGGTGAGGTGGGGACGCTCGCTGGCTGTGGAGGGTCGCCGGGACCGCTCGTCGCTGAGGTCATTCGTCGCTAAGGAATCAAACGTCGTGATAAAAGATTGTATAGTTGCGGGTGTCTTCAGCTGGAGGCCCGTCGGTTGGGAACGAGGATGTTGCTGAGCCGTTTCCACCGTTGCCCCGGAGAGGAGATGTTGTCCCGCTCTATGCGATCCTTGTCTATACTGGCTTTCGACGACGACTGCGTCGAGGATCGCGGTCGGGTGACAAATGCTTCATGGTCCGCGAGGACGTCCTCCAGCCGCACGTCAGAGTCGGAGATGCGAGGGTGGCCGTCGCTGGGGTCAAGAATCTCGATGAATCGGGACGGCATGTCGCGCATATTGTGTGTATATGGTGTATGTGTAGAAGATGGGTTTGTAATTCTTTGTGTGTTTGGTTTGGTAACCAAAGAAGAGAAAAAATCGCCTCTTTGTGCGTTGTGGTTGCGAGGACTGGGAAAGCTTGCTTTTTGGCCTCTTTTACTTCGCTCTTAGTCGGCTGGGGCCGGAGGTCGTGTGCGTGGTCACGAGGGAGGCGCAGAGAACCTTATTCAAATATGGGGAAACCGGTCGATCATGGAGGTACGTGCATGCAGATATTGACCAGAATCAGGAAATTGGCAAGGCGAGAGGAATAAGGAGAGTCAAAAAAAAAAGGAGAGGGCTGGGTGATGGTCTGGGCGGAGATGGTTTCCGTGTAGACTAGGAAGGTGGAGGTGAGAGAAGACCCTTAAAAAGAATCGAGGGGTAAAAGATATCTGAGGATAAAAGGAACCCTTAAAGAAAAAGCAACAAGACGGGAGATGAAAAAGGCACGGATGTTGCAGTAGTCGAGATTCCCGATTCGTTGGTTACGGTTTCAGTTATGCGCCAGGCAGGGATGCCGAAGCAGTATGTTTTGCAACGGAGGGGGTCGGTCAGAGAGATATCTATGTCTAGCGGATAAAGGGCGCGAGGCGCCGCTGACGTCCGGGGGGAAGAAAGAGTATATTTATTATGACTGTGAGCTGTATGATCAATTTTTTCACCCCCTCCACGGTAAGACGCATCAACCATTTTAACGGTATGTCGATTATGCCGCGCTTTTCCCGCCTCCCCAATAGGTCATTGTGCCGGGACAAGCGGGGGTTGGTGATCATGGATGGGATCAACTGTTGGGACTGGTATGTATGGTGGCGCATCAGCCAGAGCAAGGGCAGCGACACCCACTTCCGCCGCGCAAGCATATCCTGATGGGCTGGCGGACCCTGTGATTGATGGGGATATAAGCGGAGAACCTTCTGTGTGTGTGAGCGAAAGCGGTTCGTCCGTCATCCTCGAGAGGGTGCGTGAGAGGGTGATGTCGATGATGCTGATGGATGCGTGGGATGGAAGGGGGTTGGTTCGTCGTCTTGGGCCACAGTGCCCCTCCTCCGGGATGCGCCATCCTCTATTTGGGAGGGTGTTCAAGCACGGCAAAGCGAGAAGAATAGAATGATCGTCATCGGGTGACCGACTGTCAGATGCGTGTGCACTGAGAGAAAAAAGAAAGCGTCAAAGTCAATCAGTCAATCATGGATGGGTTTCTGGGCAACTCCACATCCACCGGTTCTTCCCGCCCGTCCCGAATGGTCACTATTCGAGGCAACAACAATAAGAATCGAAGATATCTCCCAACATGACATAACTTCGCCAACTGTGGCTGCAAACCCAAAGATGTGCTGTGGCTTGACTGAGGCTGGCGATCATAGATGTTCCTCGTACTGGACGAATGAGCCGCAAGACTTCACCTTCAGGTAGACGTGTCCGACCCAATTCTCTCTTCCAACCCAACCAATGCAGAGCGAGGAGGCGACCTTCAGATCAGCAGGTTGCAGGTGTACTGCCTCGAAACGACTCATCGCGCAACGCAAGAGCTTAGCAAGCTCCTGGACAGATCACGACTATTCTTAGTAACGGATTGACGTCTGGTTGGGTGGAATGTTGAAAAGGGAGCGAGTCGCCATCTGGAAAGATAGTGTGAGGAGTAAGAGTACGAGTAAATTGCATTGAGGTCAACTTCCTCGAGTTGTCAACCATCTGACCTTTCCCTCTTTGCCTCTCGCGGCATGTGCTACCCGTGACGTCATGGCTCATACTTTCCTCTCCCCGGCGACGACCTCGAATCTGCTAGATAGTAACTAGCATCATCATCATCATCATCACCTGTCATACTTTAACTCATGTTCCACCAGTAAACGACATGCTGAACAAGCGCGTCAAAAGAAAAACCCGGACGTCACAGAAGCTTCCTTCTCCGCCTCGGTCCGAACAAGATACCGTGGTCGCAGATGACGCTCATGGCGTGCAACACCCTGCGTCAGACGGGGAGAAGATGACAGAACTTCAGAACGAAGATTCTGTATCAGTGACGTCGGACCTTGTGGACGAGGACGAGGAGTTCCTGGTAGCAGGCGCCGATGAGCCGGCCTCGCATAAGGCGGAATACACCGGTGGGAGAACGGCAGGTTACAACGCGCTCAAATCATACAATGGACAAGTGTATTCCGGAATGGCGGTTGGGGGCTCGCACACCTGGACATATGATCAGGGAACGTGGAAGGAGACGAAGGAAGAGCCGGATCTCTGGCGAATCGATTATCAGACCAACAAGCGACGTGCGAAGAAAGCGCCGGAGGGAAGCGGTGCCCCGGTGGGGACGGAGTATCACTGGTTGGTCGTAGGCCATCAGGTACGTGAGATCTTCGGTATGCAATCAAAATTCAGCAGTGGCATGCTTACCTGCCCTGGCAGCACGTCAAGAAAGTCGATGCCAATACCTACGAGACTCATCTGACCGGGTCGAAGTATAAGCTCGCGTACAAGTCTGCGTCCTCGAACTCGTGGTCGGTTCCGACCGTGAAGAAGCAGCGCGAGAGAGAAGTCGAGCTGCTGGAGGATGCCAAACATCGCGTCCAGGGACTGCCTCCGGTGCTGGCATCAGAGAAAGTCAAGGTTGAGAAGCATGAGAAGGGGCAGACGAAGCTCGACAGTATGTTTGGTAAGGCGGGGACAAAGCGGAAGGCTGCCCAAGATGTTGATTAAGGAGATGGATAGGGGTTCTCAGTATGTGATCTACCATTTGTGGCTGGTTTATGGGGTAGAGACGCAAATTGATCACCAGCTCGAACTGTGCCGCCGTTTGCCTTTTACGCCCCCCGTGCATTGTAGATGAAGGCCTTATTGAATTACTAGTCGGTCCTAGCAGCTGCTTGACATAGCAACACGAGCAGTTTCGAAGAAGGAATTGAAGAATGTCTCGAAATAGATAATATATATTTTGAAACCCTGACGAAACGCTACCATGCGTTGACCAAGACGCGCTTCTTCGCATCCTATATCAATGCTACTAGTTGTGTATTTCCCCAAGATTGAAGCCGAGTTACGTTCTTCACAAGTACATTACAGCGACAGTTAACTCCATGCCAATACATCCCTGCCCCTTGACCTTCTCGAGATGCAAGGGTGGACATTTTGCAGATCATCCCCCGCACCGCAAGGGATCGTCGCGCTCATCGAACGGCGTAAAGAAACGGTGCTTAGTTGGAGGCTTTGTCTTGCTACGAGAATAAATGCACCCATCTCATGTTACAAGGGAAGTATTCAGAACAACGGACAGAAGCACATACTGAAGGCGAGGTCGAGTCTAGACCATTGGCATATCTCCACCGAACTGTTCGGATCGATCCGATCCACATTGGCTGGCCGCAATGACATCACTCGCCGACGCGATCGTTCTCGCCTTCGCGTCTCGAGCTCAACTTCTAGAGTCTCACCTTATTGCAGAGTTGCAAACGCAGAAGTCAACACGGCCGATAACTCTCAACTGAAGACATTGAGTCGATTCTAAATTCATTATGTCCAAACGAATCAATTCCTTCTTTCAACCCATCCCGTCGAAGAAGCCCAAATCCGACCCCGAAGCTACAACAGCATCCTCGCCGTCTGCACCAGTTGCTACCACCCACCACCCGACCTACCCCATGCCCATCCGTGACCTCCCCTCGCATCTCTTCAAGCCAATCGCCAATCTGGAGCGAGTCATTCCTCCGAAAGCCATTAACAACCAGCCACACCTGGACCTGCTGTACTTCCAACCGTTCCTCCCGTCCCCGATCGCCCGCGATCTGTTCAACTTCCTCCGGAACGAGCTCCCCTTCTATCGCGTGCAGTACACTATCCGTCGCGGTCCAACAGAGACGCTCATCAACACACCGCGCTACACGACCGTCTTCGGCGTAGACGAAACCAGCATCTTCATCCCGGGCTCACAGCAGGACACCCCGACTACCAACTCGAAAGACCCAAATACTCCACCGATAGACTCTTCACCACCGAAACCCCCAATCACACTGAATCCCTCCCTCACCCTCGTAGAATCCCGCACCCGCGCCCCACCGACCACCCTCAAGGACAAGACCAAATACAACCACCCGCCGCGCCCCATCCCGCCGTGTCTCGACGTCCTCCGCCAGGCCGTCGAGGCCGCCACCGCCGACGGCACCCACTACAACTTCTGTCTGGTGAACTACTACGCCACGGGCGACGACAGCATCTCGTACCACTCGGACGACGAGCGGTTCTTGGGGCCGAACCCCACGATCGCGTCGATCTCGCTGGGCGGCCAGCGCGACTTCCTGCTGAAACATAAGCCCGTGGCTGGGAGTGACGTTGATGCGGGGAAACCGCTCAAGTTCCCGCTCGATTCCGGGGATATGATCATCATGAGGGGCGAGACGCAGGCGAATTGGCTGCATAGTATCCCGAAGCGGAAGGGGGCGCAAGGCAGTCAGGGGAGGATCAATATCACGTTTCGGAAGGCGGTGGTGCCGGGAGGTACGAATAACTATTATCGGTATAATGTGGGTGATGGGGCGGTGTATCGGTGGGATGAGTCGGGGAAACGGATGGTTGCAGTCAAGAAGGAGAAGGAGAGTGAACCGGAGGGAGAGAAAGAGTTGCAGAAGGTGGACGGGGTGAAGGCTTAGGGGTAGATTTAGGAGATGGAGGCGTTTTTATTTTGACATGATGTCAGGAACGCGCGAATGGGTTCTTATAGTTGCGGAACCGATCTAACGGTTCGGCACCTTCGAGGATGTGCTGCAGGAGGGTTCCGTATTCCCATCCGATGGCAGCGCCAGCAAGGGCTGTCAGACTGGCCTGATCCTCACGGCCGGCACGGCCGGGGCCAGTCATGTTCTAGACATACACATTAGCTCTCTTGATTTTCGAGATAGGTAACAAGACATACCGGCTTCATGTTGATATCAAAGATGGCGAACTCGGAGCCCTCACGGAACCGTCGAATATCAATCCGTATGGGCGCGGTGGCCCCGATCAGCTTCGCCACCTGCTCACACTGCCGCATGACAGCGCCGTACGACGCATCCTGCATCTCCTCTGCGGTCACCGCGCGTGAGTTGGCAGTGACAGCCACTGCACCGTTGTAAGGCGCCACACCGTCGACATGATTGAATCGCGTGACAGGCGGGAGACTCCAGTGCGAATCACGGCCGGCGCAAGGCGGCATGACCGTGATGGTCGCTTCTTCGCCGGTGAGGAACTCCTCGATCAGAACCACCGGGGATTCCTGCACCAGTGCGTTGACATGTGCATCGAGTTCTGCGTGATCACGACAAAGCTTCACGCCGTGGCTGCCGCGGCCACGGACGGGCTTGCCGACGACAGGGTAGCGGGGAATGGAGGCCAGGATTGGGGATATGTTGTCTGTGACGCGGATGAGCCAGGACTGGGGCAGAGTGAAGGAGCCGTACTTGCGGAGCTGCTCGTTCAGGTAGGCTTTATCGTCGAAGTCCTCGACTAGCGTCGGAGGTTGTCCAACGATAGAAAGGGCGTGGCTGGAGGCCAGAGCCTCTGATACCTGTAGTGGATGCGACGAGAACAGGATGGTGTTGGCCCAGAGGTGTGTTGCGCCCTGCTGCACGGCGGAGAGAATGCCCCCCTCGGTGTCGGGGAAGCACCAGCCTTCCTGCACTCGAGGGTTCGGGGATGCCGACGGAGTATGAACGCGGACGCCATGCTTGTGAAGTGTATATGCGATGTCTGCGCCTGAGTCTTGGTAGCCTGAGACGACGTATCAGTCTTATCAAAGCTGCGGGAGTGATTGAAGGCTTATACCGCCAGGCTTGCGAGGCTTGCGAGCACCGTTAATTACCGGTGGCTCGAGAGCTTGGTAGAGTACTGCGACCGTGGGATTACCACGAGCAATAGTATGGCTCAATCGTGCGGACTGCTTCTTGCAGACACTCATCATGTTGACCGTGTGTGATCTTCCATCGCTGGCGAGTGCAAGGCAGAGGAAGCTGTTGATATAGCTTCCTGGAGCTATCCGAAAGTGCCGATCTCGGCGCACTGAGGTTTCGGATCAACCCGATACAGACGGATGATATCATCATTCTATGGGGTCGAAGATCTTGTTATGCTGATTTAACTCATACCTCGAGTATGACGGGTCAATAGTCATTAGTAGAAGACCAGCAGCATAACAGATAGATGTTTTCGGTCCTCAATGGCCAAGGTGGCTTCATGATCAGGCAAAAGCAACAGCAGATGCGTACGGCAGAAAGTGAGGAATGCTCCGTCACTTGATGCGGTAAATTCTGGCAGAAAGCTACACCGCCTGCATGCGATGCTGGCGAGATTCGGAGATGGCACCTTTGCCCATCGTAGGACAGAGACCACACAGAGGTTTAATTGCTGCTTCAGTTTCAAGACTCAGTCAAATTTAGGCATGGAATTGTTTTGCGACTGCTGAGATACCATTACCGAGGTACCCAAGGCTACAGCCTCGGTCTCCAGCCGTCCTCGACCTCCCTCTGGCTCCTCTTCCTCAATAGGCTCTTCAAGATCTTTCCACTCGCGGTCTTGGGTATCGCGCCTACAAAACTTACTCCTCCAGTCAGAGCTTTGTAGCTGGCCAGTCTCTCCTCGAGATAGATCTTCACATTCTCTTCCGTCAGCCTATCTCCATCGCCCGGTCGCCGCACTACAAACGCCCGGGGCAGCTCCGTCCCTGGGACTACATTCCTGACGCCGATGACAGCCGCGTCAATGATGAGCGGTTGTGAAATCAGTACAGCCTCGAGCTCCAATGGAGCCACCTGGAAAGCGCGGGCCTTGATCAACTCTTTCTTTCGATCCACGATATACCATTTCTCAGTTCCCGCTTCACAGTATCCAATGTCACCCGTGTGAAACCACCCGTCTTCATCGAACGACTTGATGTTCGCGGCAGCGCTGTTAAAGTAATCCCGGCGTTACGGTTGGTCCTCGAACACATATCTCGCCGCATACGCCGTAGGCTGAGATGTTGTTGCCGGCGTTGTCGACTAACCTGTTTAATCCCAAGAGTAAGCCATGACGTCCAGTGACTAAAGGAGGGTGAGGGGCACAGGGTAAGGGGCGCCTACTTGGTTTCGAGATTCGGTATCAGCCGACCCACCGACTCAGTATGGTCCTGCTCTGGATACGGAAACATGGTTGCTATGCAGCTTGTCTCCGTCATCCCCCAGAATTGCGTGCAAGGTGCCTCGTCACCCAGTAGCGCCTAAAGGCGCCTTTGTGTTCTGTCGATGGGCGCAGCGCCGATCGAGCTCGCCCGGATAGACCTCAGTAGCCTCGTTGATAGGACAAGGGGCTCATGATGATGGCGATCACCACGGGCGGAACCACCGCCAACTCGGTCACATGGTATCTCTCCACGGTTTCCAGAAAGAGTAGGAGGTCGAACCGCCGCATGATGTAGTTGGTGTGACCGGCTTTGAGGCTCCCAAAGTGGGTCGAGGGTACCACAGCAGCGTGGAAGAGAGGTGTGGGCACGACGCGGGAGACCTAGTTCAGCACGCCAGGCTTTGTTACTCAGGAGCTAGATTGGGAGAGTAGTACAAGGGCCAAATACCCGATACTGTCGATGATGCGACTCGAACACGAGCTCATGCTGTGCAACCAGATTCGTATGTGTGATCGCGGTCGCTTTTGGCAGACCCGTTGTCCCACTACTGAATAGTCGGACTGCGGTGGTTCGAGCTGCAGCGGTGGCATCACTGATGCGTTCCCAATCTCTCTCGCCGTGCCCGAATAAATATGTCCAGGACACGGTGCCTGCGGGAACTGCTTGTTTCCGGACATCAAATATGCGCATCCGTGAGGAGAGGATGTTCACATCTCGCGCAGCGATCAAGACAGTGTCCAGGAGTCCTGGCTCGGTTACTATGGATTGCACCTGCGCGGAGTGGGGGTGGTGCTTGAGCTTCAGGGGGTATAAGCCGGGTTGGAGCCGGTGAAAATGCCTCCCACACCGACAATGGCGAGGACGAGCATAGGGTTAAAGATGAGGCGGGGATTCCAGCCATGGTCAATATGTGAGCGGTGCGCAAGTGGTGTGACTTTGTACATTATTGAATGAGTGAATATTGACGCAGTCGCCCTTCTGTACACCCCAGGCATGAAGACCGGCAATGAGTTGACGGACGATGCGATGGGCTTGATTGTAGGAGATGGTTCGAGAAGGGTTATGGACGTCGACATAGATCTACTGAGGGTCAAATCCGGTTGAAAAGGAGACATATGAGCAATTCACTTACTGGGACAGAATGGTCGTAGGCTGGGTTCGAGAAGATGTAAGTGAGAACATCAGTAGGGAGCAGAGGGGCCCTATATGCAGGCTCAAAGTTCATGCTGGACAAAAAGGCAGGAGAAGCTATGAGGATGGAAGGATATTGTAGAGCAACCTAGTATCGTATGAAGTATGAGATTTATAGAGCTACGATTGCAGACGCAGAGAAGCTGAAGACAGTGGCCGCTTTCCCGATTCTCTGATCGAATGGCAAGACTTGAACCGACCGGGTACCTTCACCGTTCACGGAACGCCAGCCACGGAGAGCTCATGCTAAGTTTCTGCGAGTCCCCTATCCATTTAGACTATCAATCTATCCATGCCAACACCCATGCGAGTGATTTGGTGCCATGGGTGGTGCCAGCGCTCATCACCGATCCAAGCCGGACATGGAACCGAGGATGCGTCCCGATCCCGTCCCGCAGCACCGTACGGGGCACCCACACATTGCCAACGCTTTAGAGGCTAACCAAGAAGTGTCACAGTCCGGCCCCAGCACCGAGCATTGACGGACTGGCTAGCGGCCGTACGGCTCCGATAAGCGACCGCAAAAGAGTGCTGGCTCTGCCGTTACTGGTGCAGGATACAACGGATACAACTCTCCCAAGTATATGTATCACCCGCCAAGAGGATTCACGCCGAATGAACCCGCCAGTGCCAAATATGACGATGGTGTAATAGGCCTGAGCCCGCTATAACCAGTCGCAGAGCTGCAGCCCTGGCTATTGGACCACCAACATGGCGGCAATCAACATCCCGGAGTCGAGCTATGGTGCCGTGTGTGCTTGAAGCCAATGCGGTCGGATTTTTGAATTTGAAGCGATGATTATAGACATACCACCAAAACAGAAACTAAGTGACGTATAGAACTGTTGCGCCAAAGGATGATTCGTAGGTTTTACCGGAGATCTAAATACAGAAGTGAGATCAGATATACCGTATGCAACTGTAACAAGCATAGAGTTCCAAGAAGGCAACGAGGGAGAGAAAGAGCAGCTTGATAGGGTATTTCGGTATGTTTAGGTATGAGCTCATTGTCATGAAACTGAGTAAGTACATTGAGTGTCGATTCGCGCTGCCTGCGCAGTCAAGTCATGAGGACAGGTTCGTCTGTTGTTGGGCTATATCAAAACTGCTCCTCCGCGTATACACGCGGTCTTTCCATGTAGGTGCTCAGATAGTAGTGGGGTGACGAAGAGGTCATGTGTATGGTGGCAAGAACCGGGAATTCGAAGACACTAGCATGGTGTAGATAGTGTGGAAGTGTTTCACAACCTGCGCTGCTCTGGATGTGACCACGGACGAAGCCAGACGACTGGATGGTTAGTATAGCATCGAATAAACCCATATCTTACGGTTTGCACTCACGTCATAAAGACATTGCTCCCGTCATTTATTGCCAGGAGACACCTGTCTTCTCTGCCATGGAGTTAATTCCAAGTCGCGACTGCGGACTGGCTTGCTGGTCGAAGAAAGAGGGCACATTGACCTCGCTACCTCTTTCAGAAGCTTGGCCTCGCCTGGGCTGGCGTCACTTTGAGAATTTTCGAGAGTCCGATGACCATCGACCGGTGGAATTTGGAGCTGAGAGCATGGTGATTGTTGCCTGAAGATACTCAGCAGCGAGCACTTTCCGAATTCATCCTCTGGCCTGTTTTCTCGAGGAAATCGAACATATCTTTCAAATGGAAGCAACTGGCTGGTTGTTAGTGCCGACTACCAATCCGAAGTCGGAGGCCGCTTACTGTGCGGGAAACCTTCTCATCTCCTGTCTCGGTAGGAGAAGTTCATCTCGAGTTTCATCTCATCTCATCTCATCTCATCTCATCTCATCTTTTTCACGCGGAGCATAACACCCCGTCTTGCGGACGAAGGAGTCCGCGGAACGGAGTCACTATCGGTTGACTATCAGTGTCATTTTAATTGTTCAATGATTGATTAACCCCACAGATAACGTTCTACTCGCTACCAAGGTAGTGCGCATTGATTACTCTTCAGAGTCTTGTCGCCAAGGTCAACGAATGTCACCCAAGGCTTTGGAGGAGCACCACTACCCTTTACTGTATGCTGAGAAGGCAGATGATTACGCCAGCTGAAGTCGAAATGTGGCCACTTAGGCTTGGCAGTCTCGCTCGGAGGTGAGACAAAACAAGGGTCCTCAATGTGGCAGTGGCATAAGAACTCTATTGTACTGTACTTTTTCATCTGACGGTCTCTCCCGCAGGGTCCGCCGTACTACTCGTGCCCAGGCCCACGTTGTTCCCTGAATGGCAAATAGAACAGCAGCGGCCTGTTCCCCTCTATCCGCCAATGGACGCTAAATCTTGGCTTTGCTCTCATCGACCTCGATCGACTCGCCGTTAAGGAGGATCAACAGACTGAGACCCAAGCTCCCGATGCCACCAGTATCACACACTTCGTCAGTCTCCCCGTTAGAAGTGGGCATTCTGGATACCCATTTTCGCGAAATTACTGACCAGTAAATGTTGCCACAACTTAATCACTTCTTGCGTTGCTCAATCGCGTTAGCGGTACGGCCTAGACCCAGCTCGTTTAGTCCAAGAGCTTTTAATTAAAGTCGTTATCTAGGAAAGAAAACGTGCCCAACGGCTGATGACCGACAATAAAGCTGAAGATAGCTTGAGAATTGAGATGGTCGTCGATGAGCGCCAATTCAACCCACGAGAGGTGTTCATGCAGAGCAAGCGTGACAAGGCATCACTGACTGGGTCCTTATCGAGCTCACCAAAAGGTAATTTAGGCACGATCGCCCCAGGCAAAGACCATTTAGACCACTAATTGACCAAATTGTGTCAGGGGGAGTTACTCCTTGTGGAATTGTGATTCATTCTCCTGCATTGGGAACTGGCACCGAGTGGTCGAGGCGTCTATCTCGAAGCGCCACCAACACTGACGCTGGCCACCCACTTGAGCAACGTTGCGGCAGTGATACTTTAGCCGGTGGGGCGGGTTAAGGCCTGCATTTACTCATACAATCTACACCCCTAAGGAATCAATCCCTGGGAGGATACAGCACAAAAAGTAAACAGCAGGCAATCGGAACCCTGGGGCAAGCTTTTCCGATACTGAGCGGCAGTGTCTGCTTGACTTCACGGACTTTACTTAGCCTCCGTTGCAATCCGAGGCACACACCACTGTACGGCCTCGACGTTCTTCCGTACGACTCTTTCACTCGGTGCGTGCAACCGCTCGGCAGGAAAGAAGATTTTCAAGCGGCCTTGCACGCTATCCCAGTCTTGGAGAACCAACGAATTCTACAATATTAATTGTAGTTTTTGGGGCTCAAACCCCCTCCTTTTTGCCTAGACCTGCCCCTCCAAGTGATGATCACGGAATCGGAATGTGGAAGTCTGCACTCCACCAATGCACGGCCAATTTCTTTTTCTTAAAATGACCCGAATAATGAATGTCCTTGTCAATCCTAGCCGATGCTTTCTGACGGGTACCCAAGTGACTGATGTCAACGCACTGAACAATCGAAACTCCTACAAAATTGAAAAAGGGTCCCGACTTGAACAGGCATGCAGCGAATCTCGAAATCGCCGCCCAAGGGGTATCAGTTCGCGTCCGGTGGAGCCGACGAGAATGACATTCGCGTTTGTCTCAGGCTGCCGTGGGCGTCTAACCCACGAACTCTCTAACCTGACGTAGAACTGGTGAGACACTTCTTTTGTACTAAATCTGTTCAAGACGGGTAGAAGTCTTCATCGTTGTCATACTTAATGGCCTGCTTAAATGTGGTGGCTGTGATAAAACGCTCAATCTCAGCCGAATCAAAGTCTTTGGCCACCATCTTACTCTCAAGCCATGACCATGACGTTATTTGTTGATACTACTTGGCGGAATTTCACAATGTTTGCTAATGATCTCGGCACTTGAAAAGAGATGACACCAGACCAAAAAGGTTAAAGCTGGCTGACAGGCTAACCTGCACAGGATATTCTTCATCGACCCTTTCAGGCATAGACCAGAGCGTGCATCCATTTGGCGCTAGAAAGCATGCAGAGTGCAGACTGCAGACCTAAAACAGTCCCTTCAAGTCAACACTGATACTCATTGATGGGATAAACCGGCCCATTCTGCTTTTAGCTCTTCTGCAGTTGCAGTTAAGTGCGGGCGGGGGCTGCGCAGATGCTTGAGTGCGGATTTATTCCAACTCTAACATGCTTCAGCACATACACTAGCCTGTGGTCTTGCCGGAGACCTGTCGCTGGGGGAGGTATCCACCGACTGTAGTGCAGGCTGGAGACTTTCTCCAGTAGCCTGCCGAAACTGTTTCGAAAGTCTTCATCGGACATGATCGTCAACAAAAGGTACCCATAACCTTTTGAGTTGACACTGGACCGGCTATAGTTTGCGGGTTCACGAATCCCTTGCGATCAACCCAGACTCGTTCTGGATTAAATCTGTACACTACTGTCATCTTCGCTCTGAATTCTGATGACTGGTACGTTAAGTGCTAAGAAGAAGCAACCAGTGATTCTTTTCCGATCTAATATCACAAGGGGCGACCATCTGAAGACGTAGTCTATCGGTACCGCATAGCATGATCAATTTGCAAATTTGGCCCCATACTAATACACACTTGTAAGTCAACTAATCCGTATTGGGCCTGAAGATCGACGCCGCGTGGGTGAACGTTGACTTCTGATTTTTCCGCGTGGATGCAAGTGCTGAGGTAAGATTCTACCCTTTCGTCGATAGCCGTCGTACTTTCGCCGCGACGGGCTCTTAATCCTAGACACATATAATCGGGGACTTTAAAGACCACTAATCCAGCAATGGCAGGTGAGAACTTTCACAAGGCAGCCGCCAATCCTTCAATTTAGCCAGGCAACCGGTCCTCTTCGATCATCTTCCTCAGAGAATGTGCACTGTGTGTTGCGACGGTGACATAACTCCAAGGTCAATTTAAGCGAAGCTGCATCACGGATGATGTTCGATTCTGGCTAATCGAGGTGCATGTATGAGGCTCTTGAGTTTTTCGAAACGAACCTCTAACGCTGCCCGCCAATCAGGGAATGAAAAAGCGTATCCAGGGATAACTGCGCCTCGTATCTGTGGCTTACGCAGGGTTCATGTATGTCAGATGGCTAGAAAATCCTATCGGTGCCGCCGACACAAGACTTCTGCTGTGGTACGGTGTGGTATTGTCATTCATTGCATGCTGCTTGTCCGAAGCCACGTTTCCTTCAAGGCGTCCACCTGCTCTGCAGCGTGTTTTCCCAGGTGGGGTACCTCCATAACCAGGACTTTCTCCTGAAGATTCGGGGAATTAACTATGCAGTGTAGCATGGTTAGTTTGGTGGGTCACCTCCACTGACAGCGCGATGCCAGGTTCTGGCCTGAAGGATCCATGTTCATATCAGCATGAGGGTGGTACAAATATACTGTGACCAACGGCAAACCTGAATTGGGGGCGAGCTAACGAGCCCGCATTCCAACAGGATGACAGGCTTGAATTGGAACAGGAAAAAAAAACGAAGAATGGACCAGCACGAACACCAATGGTTGTTCCCGCAGGAGCGCTATGCGATTAGTGGAGCATTAGTCTCCTCTGCTAAAAAAGGATTTGCAGTTGGAATCCTTTCCTCACTCCATGGTGGCCGTGAAAGGTACGCAAATTGACAGCAAGAACTGGCTCAATTTCTTCTGCATCTGAAGTCGGCCTGAGTGACTGCGGCGGCGGCTTCCACCATACCAGGGCTGGATGAGAGACAAGACGACTAAGACTAGTCAGGCCTGGGCATGGACGATCCCCGGTCGGGGTGGCGTTCTGCATCCGTGAGTAGACTACGTCCAAGACTTATCTTGAGAAAAAGAGACCGAGCCGGAGACAGAGGAATTGATTGGAGCAGAACCCCCCTAGCGAGGGTCAATCACCCGCAGGCTAGAGCTATATCAGATCGAAAGGATGTATAGCAGCAGCGTCGCGCCATTTGCGGTTCGCCCATCGCAGACGAGGCTAAGCCGCTAAGGCAGTGAGGCACTGACTGCCTGCCCCTAATCTCAGGCTCCCCAATTCCCCAAGGCAGCCAGAACTTGACGGCGCTTGATTATTATCCTTTCATATTTGACTAGGGTTTTCGGACCATTTCCGTCTTCTCAGTGGTCCGGATTATAGCATCTTTTCTTACCCTTGCATGTGCAAGACATGCAAAAGAAGGGATTGCAATCCTTTCATTCGCTTCTGCTTCTACAGGTTTCGCGGATGAGATGAGAGAGAATTGACTAATCGGCACAGAGCTGCCAAGAGAAATCTAGTACTGACGATACTTATCCACTGCCTCCCCTCGGAGGGTCCTCCTGAATTGCGATAGATAACCATTCTGCACCTTTCTTAAGACATACCCTTGGCGTCAATCTGTTGACAGCTTGACATCTCTGCCCTTTGAAAGATCTCCACACTACTCACATCACTGTAACAGTTATCTGATCTGAAGTGTGATCATTGCAAACACCTCCACTACCTCCTACCCAAACATCTCAAGCCTCGTTGAGAATGGACCCCAAGGCAGAGAAGCGCCACCAAGAAACGGACAGCAACCAGTGCCTCCCACCTCCTCCTTCACAGCCCACGGCTGACGGAGATTTCCGGTGCGGAATCTGCAACAAGACATACAGTCGTCGTAGGCCACCCCTTCTCCTATGGTTCTGTCGATCAAGTTGTGATTCCCCATCCTCTGTTCTACTTTCACGAGCAAACAGCCTGTCGTTCCTTAAAGCATCCTTATTAATAGCATGACAGGCGACTTGCGGGATAGACACCGTCGTCGATGCATCAAGAACATTGGCCAGGAACGTCAGTCGAAGCGGAAATCTTGTGATACCTGTGCACAGAAGAAACTGCGCTGCTCTATGACTCGACCCTCTTGCAGTCGGTGCCTGCAAAGTCGAAGGCCCTGTGTTTATCCAGCATCTTGCGTTCCTGTGACGCCACCAGAACCTGTTATGACCCAAGATAACTCTGACCTGGCTATCACATCACCTCTCGACTCTCTCTATATTCCCCTGACTCTAGCTCCTAGCAATGGGCCCTGGACTTTGTCTGCTCCCCCTCTTGACACAACATCTACTTATGATGATACTTCGAGACCATCCTGGAGCCCGGCTAATTCTTCCAATGTGGGATTATTGGCACACAGTCACGGTGACAGCACTGTGTTCGCCACCCAAGGCCATTGGCCCTATGAATCATCATCCGGTTCCGATTATTTGTCTCAGCAGCCTGACAGTTATAGACTGAACGACCACCTGCCTGGCCTTATTGATGACTATTTTGGACATCAGTCGCAATTACAATATAATTCGCAGCATGGAACTACCGCCTCATCACCCGCGGCAATGATGCCACCGACACCGGCAGCATTTTCGGGTGATGGTTATTCGTTGAGCAATGGGTTTACGATGGCATCGCTTTCTTCCGCATACACGGAATACGCTTGGAGCGAGGGAATCTCGACATACGATGACGATGAGCTCTTACCTTTCGCCGCATGTCCGGAGACAGTGCCAGGGAATATGTTTGGCCATAGTTCCATGGCCAAAGGAGGCGACGTTTCTGATAGCATTGCTGGTGACGTGATCCACGATATGGTCAGCCTACTGAGGGAATACCCCGGGATTGCACTGCAGCAAAAATCATGCTCCCCGTTTCTGCATCCCGAGTTGCATGCTTCAGCCATGCAAACTCTGAGAGAGCCTCCGGAGAATTCGCTGGCCATTCTGTCAGCTTATGTCACCTATGTGGAATCTCACGAGAGGGCTAACGGCGGAATCCGTGATTTTGACGGATTTCGCCGTGGGCTTCAGAGCTGCATTACCCCCCTCCACACTCTCTGCGTCTACCAAATTCTCGACTTGTTTGACGACAACTACCTCCCCAATATGGTTAGCGCAAGACAGGGTTCTGACCCTTCCAGCGGACCAGGGGTGGTTGCAACAATCCCAGCCCTCCAATCTCTCAGCAAGGTGCGTGTTTGATTGTGCTTCCCATGATCTAAGTCTAAAAAGAAAAGCGTCGCGTGCTAACCCCCTCTGCAGCTGATCCATCGCCTTCAGGTTGCTTACGGGGGTATTCTCCGAGCCTCTCACGAAGAAGAAACGGACTGGACACGCTGGAAATTCAGCGAGTCCCTGCGTCGGAACATCTATTTCGTGCACATCATTCACACGATCGCGGCCAAAGCACATCTCCATCGTCCGTCGTCGAACGGACAAGTCTGCGCTTACCCCCTCCTCCAAGATGAGACACTGCTGCAACTACCTTTACCTGCCCCGGAAGAAATGTGGCTGGCGCGCAGCGAGGAGGAGTGGATGCTCGCACGCGCGCAGTTCCTAAGGTCCTGGACGGGGACCCTGGATGGCAACATGCTCCCCATTCCACGGACACTGCAGCAGTGGCTGCTTCTGGAGGAGGTGGGCAGTACCAACGTGTCATCGTTGCCGCCCATCACCCGGATGATCCTAGCGTGCATCAGGGCCAACAACGACCTGACAAGCCTGAGCTAGACGAATTTACGTTTTGGGTTTCTCTTTTTCTTCCTCTTTTTTCTTTTTTCTTTTTCGCTTTCCCCTGCAACTTCGTATTATCTTCCTTTTTACGTCAGGCGCTAAACTATATCCGGATGCAACAAGTCTGTTTTGGTGAAATGATGACCCGGGGTCCGCGGGGGAGCGGACCTCGGAGGGAGGGAGGGAGGGATTTGGGGGGGGGGAGGAGTCGGGAGCGGAGGGGAAATTCCGACACTATATCCTGCACCATGAAATCAACTTTCACCCTTTTCAGCCTATAGCTTTTGTTTTTATTATTTGTTTTCTATTTTTCTACCTCTCTTATCCTCCACACGCTCCACCACCCCCCTTGTTTTCTTTTTTCTTTTCTTTTTTTTTTTTCCCTTGAGGCTAGAACCAATAGATTAGATAACAGTGCAACTAACTACTTAACTACTCGGTACAATATCTTGCATTTCTGCAATTGTATACACTAACAACTATACTGCCGGACAACAACATGTCCGGCGTATTAGTACCTCCTCCTCCTCATCTTCCTCAATCCTTATCCTCCTGCTCATGCAGAATGCGCTTAGTAAAGATTCGATGGTTTATCATCATATTCCGCGTAAACCCGGCGGGGATTTCTGTATTGGCTGTCAAGGTGTAACGGTGTGGTCTTTTAGGGTCTCTGATTATTTTTAATATAATAAACTCTGACAGGCGTCAATCTTCTAATCAGATTACTCACTCTCATATATCATTTAGATTAAGAAGGAACACAGGAGGGGGAAATAATAATAAGAAAAAAAACAAAAAAAAAAAATTATTCATACTGTCAAGTACGCGCCTGAACGCTCCTACGTAAAGTAAAACAAACATAAACCCGAGGGATAATATTTGTACATACATAATTATACAGTGGCCACTCGCTTTCTTTCTCGGAGATGGCGCGCAGGTTCTCTGTGAAGACATGACTAGCGATTACCGTGCAGTTGCCCCTCTCCTTGGCTCTGCTCTACACGCCTACGCCTACAACGCCGCTCCCCTCTTCATCAGCAAGAAAGAGTGAACGATAGCAGCAGTTGGAACCAAGGTCAGATTAGGAAAGTGGGAGGAGCTGATTCTCCTCCGCCGGGGAGAAAGGAAGGAAGACAAGACTTAGTAAGATTTAGCTACAGTGCTGTGTAGTTAGTCGGGAGTGTGAGCAGGAGTTGGGAGAATAGAATCCCACTGAGTCGCCGTCTGACTTGCAGAAACAAATCGCTTCGCTGAGCCCAGCCCAGCCCAGCCCAGCCCGAAAAGAAAGAGTAAAGCCCACTGACGGCCGTACTCATACTCCGTGGTTCCATAAGGATAAGCATAAGAGACAACCGGATTCAGTATGTCTGTCTTAGAAGGGTCTCCACCGTCGGATACCTTACAAGGCCGTCGAGGGAGGAGATTTGGCTCCATTTCCGCTATCCGGGGAGGTACGGTCGCCACTTTGCTTGCAGTTCTTCTTTGAGTCTCCAGTTTATCTTTGCTTTTCTTTCTCTCACCCCACACGCGTCGAACCGGCGAGACGGAAGGATGTTGGGGGCCTGGCTCTGCGTAGCAGTAAAATGCTGCTGGTGCTGCAGGGTTACCCGCGCTGTATCGTCAAAGATTACCTTTATCGGCAAGGGTGGGGGGGTGTATACTCGGTTGAGTCAGTGCCTTAGGTTGGCTTGTCGCTTTGCGTGACTAGGCAGCTCTGTACCTGGTCCAGTGACAGACTATACCGTGTTGCTGTTATAACCACCACTGAATTGCTTTTTTTTTGACTAATAGTCCGCCGGAAATCCATGATCTAGCTAGGCAGACTACTTAGTTAGCATGTCATATTCGGAAACAGACATACGAACGGCGATTCATCAACGTCAACTGCAACATTGAGTGACGCCGCTTTTGTCTCGCGGGCCCACGAAGTGAACCCAGTACTAGCGCACTCGCTAACGCGGGACGCGCTTGGAAAGGTATTAAGCTTATCAATGATTATAAATAGAGGAAACACCCTAGTCCGGCAGAATGGAAGTTTGCAATCAAGTGGAAAGGGCGCTTACCATTCTAGAGTCTGGTGGTTGGCATAGATGGTCCTGTGAAGCATGGCCATAGTTGTTGTGCAGAATCAAGAGAAGATAGAGTGATGACAGGTTGGATGTTTCGTGATTGATTGCGCTAAACAGATAAAGAAGCATGCAATATGATAACATCATCAGTCTAGTATGTATGCGAGTCGTTAAAGCTGAAGGGTGAGGTGTGGTGCCTCGGCTGGTTTGTTGGTTCTGCCTGGGCATGATGAGAGAGGGGCCAAACAGGGGTTTCAAAGTACGTGCGGTTCGTAGTGCCTGAAGGTTCTAATCTGACTGGTCATATCAGTTAATTGTTGGGTAATGCAATTGGCGATGTCGAGCTGTCGTTAGTATGGTGGACCTACCAGGTGATCCTCCCAAACTAGCCCCAGTTTTTCTTCGGGCAGTTGGTAGGATATCTCTTCTTGTTTGTTATTTCACCTTGTTAGTCAGTGGGTTTGAAGCGTGGTAGGAGATACAGAATTGTCGATATCTCTCTCGTAGTCGAATGTGAGGGCGGAAACGTTGAGCTCTGCAACCTCGATAGTGGTGAGGCAAAAACCATACCAGGTGCAAAAACTGTTGAGTGAAGAGGCGTTGATCTTGTCATATTTCGACGAATTAATTGTCCGTAACTCTCCACGAATCAAACTCTAATAAAGCACGGAATAATGGTGGTTGAGTCGAATGGCCGGTTCTCCACCGCAGAAAAAAGGGACGGACCGTAACCCGGTACATCCGTCAAATCACCAAAACAAAAGGCTGCGAGCCTATGGCAGGTCGAGGTGGTGGCAGCTGCTAGCTGAGACTCACCACGTCCAACTCGGACCCTCACTCGCATTGCAGCCAGGAGCGTGCAGTCTAGTCTAGCCTTAGGCCGACATCTGCCAAGCGCCGCTGCCAAGAGAAAGGAACAAACCGGGGAGGCCAGGGAAAAGAAAGGGAGAGGGGAAGAGGCTCGGACCCGGGCCGGGAACACGGATAATCGAGTCTCATTCTTTTCCGTGATTTCTGATTAAGACTGTCAAGTACTAGATAGCCCCTCTCTGCACGGAGGAATGCACGTATGCGGCTAACGCCCACCGACTTGCCCGGCTGCTGCTTTAGCTGGCAGTCGGAGCGTCTAAAAGGTGACGGTAAGTTAGAAGTCTGGCTCAGACCTCTCGATAGGCTGTCTACTTTTTATCGTATTGGATGCTGATAGCGATGAAGTGCGCCACCGTGTTTATCAGATTCGTCCAGGTGTTGTGATACGGCTGGTGCTACGGTTTCCCGACGGAGATGTTTGGGAACTGGATGCAGCCGCATGGGTTTTGAAACTGTGAAAGGAGATCAAGGCGATGCCTAGGAAGAATATAATCAAACCAATCCACAGAAAAGTACTTTTGAGATGTGGATACTAATCATTGTCATCGTACCTTTGGCAACAAGTTAGCATCGATGCACATGAGAAAAGCACGGAGCAATCGATCGAGAGTTCAGTGGGTTAACGAGAAATTTGGTCCCTTGCTAGTTGAAAGCCAAGGCTTGGCTCGTCAGCTTCTCATTCAACAGTATCGGACCGTATCCTAGTGCTGACGAGGCTGGCGGTGATTCAGCACATTCCTTCGCCATGGTCCAATAGGACGATAAAGGCATGACTCTGACATCCCTGTCAATGCAGCATGTCGAATTATAGAGAAATCTTGACGACGCCCTCTTTATCGCATCGGGCCTTGTTGGTGAGACCTTCAGTTCTGGGTAGTGACGAGGCATTGCTCCCGTCTTTGATGTCAGTGGCTCAGCTGGGAGACGCTGCATGCCTAAGACTGCGCTTCAGCTTGTCCATCCATTTCCCGCGTATGTCTCACTATCAAGCGGGTCGGGTTCAGGTCCCGTCATAGTTGTTTTGGAAGGATTCGAGCACATCGACGTGGTCAAAGAGAGGTGGCATTGTTTCTCCTTCCCGTGTTTGCTTTCCATCCATTTCCGTGCAGGTTCAGAGAGGCTACACCGAGGATTAGTTGAGATCAGCTTGATGCAGACAGTTTGCGACTGTCTGAAAATGGTATGTGTTGCATTGCTCCACCGAAGGACAGCGGTGATCGTCACAGAGTCGTAAGTCGCCACTTTGCGAGGTGGTCTGTATTTCCTATCAGTGGGATTCGTGCGAGGTAGCATCAATCTATCTGAGAAGCCGCATTAGCATAGTACTAGCTGCAGAAGCTTAGGGCCAGCAAAGAGCAAAGAGATGGCGAGGATAGAAGAATCAGCACAGACAGATACCAGACTCTGTGGTCAAAATCACTACCGAGGTTGCAACGTCAGGCTCTCATTCCTTGCTTGCATTGTGTAACATGAGGAGGATTGGGATGCCGGGTTGGTTAGAGCGTGGTTTGTATCGCACGGGATGTCGAGGTGTTTGAGGACTAGCATTTCCACGCAAGGCTTGATTTTGCTTGGTAAAGCTTGGTTAGCATTGCGATGATCAGAGAGCGCTGTGATTCCGGTGGGCCACCCAAGTCCGGCAGCAAAGATGCCCGGGTCAACAGAAATGAGTCTCGGGAGATAATATGAGGAGCCGATATGTGCGTAGCTAGGAGTGATAAGATAGTCTCTAGTAGTTTTCACAAGGTTGGAGAGTCATGTGAGCGGTCTATAGGTTGTTCCTGCCCTTGTTTGGCGATTGAGACGAGACATCTTCTCTTGTCATTTCCTCGCCATTGCCTTAGGTACTCGTCGTTCCACCAACCCACACCCTGACCGGGTATGGGTCGGTTACACCTCACGAACATCGACCTCTCACGGATAATTTCCTAAATCCAGCTTTAAATGATAATAACTCAGCGAATTCTTTTCCAGTTAGTTTTAAACTAAGGGACTAAATTCTTTAGATACTAGTTTATATATCAATTTCTTGAAAAATATAATTTCAGTCTACTATTAAGGTATTATCTCTGTATAAAGTTTCATTCGAGAATCTATTTTTTAAGTATAACTTTGTACATGTAAAAGGTAAAAGTTTGAAACTTAAACTATAGATAAAATAACTTATACTTTACACTATACAAAAGAAAAAATCAAATTATAATCTCAATTTCTCAATTCAAAAAGTTATTACAGAAAAACTAATTTTCATACTAAAAAATACTAAGAGAGGTCGAAATTCGTGAGGTGCCACCAACCCATACCCGGTCAGGGTGTGGGTTGGTGGAACGACGAGTATGGGCTTAGAATATGGTAAGCTCATCATGATAAGTATTAGTCTAATTGTACATGTTCAAATCAGGGTTTCATCTGGAAATCATAACTACCCAGAAAAGATTACTAGTCTTATTAAGCACGACCAGTGGTATATCTCATAACAAAGAAAATAAAAGAAAGTGACCCTTATGACTCCAACCTAGTGCTTCCTGTCTGCCACTACCTCAACAGTCTGAGATACATCAACCGTCTTATGAATACCACCTGTTTCCGGACTGCACGCTATATCCGGCCCGCCAGCAAAGGAAATGAGGTGGCTTTGATCAGACGCGGACTCGAGCCCATCGGCGCGACGTGACGTGCCCAAGGAAAACCGTTTACTGCCCCCGTTCTTCATCTTACTGAGCTGCACGGAAGAGCTAGGCTCATAACGCTCGGAACTATAGTAACCTTTCTTGCGGAGCTTGTTGATGAGAATGTTGAGAGTGGGGAGGCAAGCACATATCAGGGCGACCCCACCCTCTGCATTTCTATATTGTCTCAGTCAGTGAATTGAAAGCTTCGATGAACGGAAAGCAAGACCATTATGGCAGTCGTGACCCCAGGTCTGGAAGCTCTTACCCTGACAGGATAACACACAGGAACACAATAGTTTGATCATTGGAACTGCCATCCTTGATCACGAGGACCAATCGGTAAAGACTGAAGGCCGTGGCGAGTCCACCCGCAGATAACATACCAATGACCCGCATTTTCTTGCTGCGGGACATTTGCAATGACCACGTCAAAGGAAGTGGTAGAAAGAGGATGATCAAGTCAGAGACAACGCTGATGACCGAATCGGCGATGAGCGCGGCTCGCTGGTTGAGGCAGCGGGCGTTGGGGCTGCCCGTCCAGTATCCTGGGATGGGGTCGCACATCCGGATCTTCACAATTAGAGCGATCACATAGTAGACGCAGAGGCAGCCGAGGAAAAAGTATATCATGAGAATCTTGATGCGATACGGGGCGAAAATGCGGGTCAAGATGGAGAGCAGAGCGACTTTGACCAGCAGGGCCATCGGGCAGTAAAGTACAGTGGCGATGTAGCAGAACTGAAACATGTAGGAGATTAGAAAGTAGACGATTCTGAGGCTTGGTTCGGTGTACCTTGTGGAAAAGGACCTGGTGTGCAGTCGAGACATCATCAACGTGATACCCTCCGCCGTATCTCCCAACTGTATAGCATTAGTTGAGTCAAGTGCGAAGGCCTTTAGAGGACTTACCCAAGATTGATATAGCACAGTATCCCATGAAAAGAATCTATGAAAGATTAGTTGTTATGAAAAAAAGCCAACGACATCGCATAGCCATACCCATGCCATCAAACAAGACCCTAAGACATGTTAATATTTTGGAAGAATTGACTTGTCGATCACGAAACGTACAGTCTTCCACACCCACCCATTGTTTGTAGTACGTGCGGATTGAGAACCGCAGAATCATAAACACACTGACTATGGGGATACACAAGCATTGCGTGACAAAATTGATAGTGTTCAAGACATCCTCAGGATCGTTAATAGTCATGACGCCTGGGGTAAAAAGAATGATAACGAACGAATCCCCAGAGGTCGAGACAGCATTGACGAAAGGAGTCGAATCTCCATCGAATGTTCGGTGGGGGAGCCAGTGAAATTTGTATTAAAAATAGGCGAGTCCCAGCTCCAGCGCACGAGTGTCATTGCGCCCAGTTTTTCTCTCAGGGACAAGCACTGAAGAAGCTCAAGTTTGGGTCGGAAGATGGGAATAGGAAGCCGAGCTCAATGAGGCCCCAGTCACGTTGTAGCAGGCTAGTAGCACTGGGACCGTCATCTTCATTGACCCACCAGGCTGTCAATTGAGAGGACGTACAGAAAAACTTTAAGCTGGCAGCGCGGGATTCCAGGGGAAGAAGAGATTCAAGAATGGGAGACTGGAAGACAAAGAGATCGTAGTGTGGGATCCGTCTGGTTGGTCGCCGGGTCGGAGGACTAGATGGGGCCTCCATAGCGGATCGATCGTGATAGGTGCAGGAAATAGATATCCATCTCGATTGCTCTTTGGGGAATGATAAACCGAGAATGCAAAGAGAGACCGAGAACGGGCGGTTCGGAGTGAGTGAGTGTCCATGGATAGAGTTGTGAAGTAAGTATTGGCTGACACTTGGGAGTTGTTTGTTGATTACCTGATCAAGAAGGGGTGGATTAACCAACAACCACTTTGTCGCTGTCTCCCTCTCTATCCTACAGTCTCCTTAACTTCTCCTCCCAGTACCAGACAACCAGCATTCCACCAGTTCTACCTCTATCTCCGGGTGTTACCAGCTCTAGGTCATCTTCATTGCTTAGATCAATCCTCTGTTCATCCTTCGGAGATCATCCATCCATCAGCCCCATGTGAGAGCCCCAGGAGTTACAGTTTAGGGGAAATGCACGCGGCGCGATGACCACGGTCTATCGGCATTGCCACCACTACTGTGACCACCACTACTGTGAATCAGTGCAAATAGCTCCTCAAACTACTGCATTCGTGCATCCTAAGCGAAATCATGGCGCATTTAAACATTCTCTAAAGTTTCGCCACACGAAGTACTTCTCGCAAGCAAGTGTCCTCGTGAACGTCCAGCCATGTTGGATGATCGGCTAGCTAGCTGGATCCTCTGGAACAGTCATGAAGGGACCGGAGATTGATGTCTTCTTTGGTTCTTGCACGAGGACGAGACTGTCGCTGTGCCACAGAAATTTTTCTTCTCAGGCAGCAGTTGTCAATGGGTCAATCAATTCATCAATCTGGTCTTGGCTGAGACGCCGACGCGTGCTCGAATGAGCCCTAAACAGACTAAAAGCGTGCCAAGCCGATCGGGCCTGGTTTTTGACTTTCGCTTCTGGCCGAGAGTGGAGTTTTCACCTCGGCTCAGTCGGGAATGGCTGAAGTGAGGCGGTGGTTGGCATTTCCGCTTGCCAGGGTCAAAGGGAAATGAATGGGTGAGTGTGTGCATGGGTGCAGCCAGCCAGCATGGCAGACAGGGGTTGTGAAGGTAAGGAAGGGCATGGTTGATGCATAGGGTCCTATATGTCAGAACACTATCAGCAACACCACCACCCTCACCACTTCCCCAAGCTTCAAGTCACGCGAATATTATCCTCATCCTCACCAACGACGACAGCAACAGCCAAATTGATCGTCAAGTCTTGCTCCTTCCTCGACCAGCCGGAAAACCCGGGTCGACGGTCTGGCAGACAGGCCGCTCCACTCTCCAAGGTTTAACCCGTGTTTTTCTCTCTCCATAATTTCTCGTGTTGTCTCATGTCGTTGGTTGGATATTTTCACCAGACCTAAACCTGTCAGGTTCCATATGTCATGCCCGTTATGGAAATGGCACCTGTTGGTCCCCGTTCTATTTCCCCATCGGTCCATGGCCGGGCCAACAACCAGAGATGAGAGGGGAGCGGGAATCATGAGGAAGAGAAATCCATGACCCAGCCGGTGGGAAGAAAAAGCCCACTGCAGTGGCCATTGCTGTCCATGGATTCCCCCCATCTTGCTCCCCTTTCTGAGGAACTGTGTCCTCGCGAGAACCAGTGTTCTTCTCTGCCTGCAGCCACCGCATCCATCGCACAGAACCTTAACCCACCATCCTCACAAACACAGCAGCCATGACTGGCGATCAGCGTCTCCGAGAACAGTCCAAGCTCTTCCAGCCCCTGGCCATCGCTAATGGCAAGATTCATCTCCGCCACCGAGTGGTGCATGCCCCTTTGACGCGCAACCGGGGCGAGCCTCTGAACCCGATCAGCACGCCCGAGAATCCCAATCGGATCTGGTATCCCGGACAATTGATAGTGGAATACTATCGCCAACGGGCAACTCCAGGGGGGCTGATCGTCTCCGAGGGCATTCCTCCGTCACTTGAGGTAATTAGGTCCGACTCTGAGCTCGTGCTTGGTGGATGGTGCGCATCAAGTGCCTAACATTTTCCGCCAGAGCAATGGCATGCCAGGTGTCCCTGGGCTCTTCACCGACGAACAAGCCGCAGGATGGAAATCCGTGGTCGATGCTGTCCACGCCGAAGGCGGATACATCTACTGCCAACTCTGGCACGCCGGCCGTGCCACTATTCCTCAGATGACCGGTTCGCCTGCCGTCTGTCCCTCCGCCAGCGTCTGGGACTCGCCCACGGAATGCTACTCCCACCTCCCGGTGGGCGCGACCGAGCCAGTGCGCTACGCAGACTATCCACCCATCGAATTGAGCATTCCCCACATCAAGCAGACCATTCGAGACTATTGCGAGGCGGCTCAAACTGCAATGGAGATCGGGTTCGACGGCGTTGAGCTCCACGGTGGAAACGGATACCTTCCAGAGCAGTTCCTGAGCTCCAACATCAATAAGCGCACCGATGACTACGGCGGCAGTCCCGAGAAGCGCTGTCTATTCGTGCTCGAGCTGATGGAGGAGCTCGCGCAGACGGTTGGCGAAGAAAACCTTGCCATCCGTCTCTCACCTTTCGGCCTCTTCAATCAAGCGCGCGGCGAGGAGCGCATGGAGACATGGACATTTTTGTGTAAATCGCTGAAACAGGCGCTTCCCAACCTATCATATGTCAGCTTTATTGAACCAGTCAGTTTTCCTTCCGTCTTCCTCCTCCCCTAGATCAAGAGAGCCTCTTCTGCAAAGACCTCCCCAGCTAATATATTGTGTCGAATTCAGAGATACGAACAGATCTTCTCCGCTGACGAGAAAGACACCTTCCTCCAGAGCTGGGGTCTCTCCAATGTCGACCTCTCCTCCTTCCGTAGGATCTTCGGCTCCACACCCTTCTTCTCCGCAGGCGGATGGGATCAGACCAACTCGTGGGATGTGCTGGAGTCCGGTCGCTATGATGCCCTGCTGTACGGGCGGTACTTCACGAGCAACCCGGACTTGGTGGAGAGGTTGCGCCAGGGCATTCCCTTCACCCCGTACGATCGCAGCCGATTCTATGGACCCTTTGAGGACAACCGCCTCTGTTACGTGGATTATGAGCCTGCACAGGGCCACGACGAGGCAGAGATTCGCGGACGCTTGTAAGCGATAATCCCATTGGACAAGTGATACATCCGGGCCGGGCTCGCTTGTACTTTGTGCTTGGCTGTGTTTATTTATTAGCGGACTATGATGTGTGATGCTTGCAACTCCCAAAACGAAAATTATCATATACCAGTAGAGAACCGTCTTGTCTTGTGCCGCGTTGCTGTTGTCAGTAATGGACGTAACGAGTATGCGCACGTGCGCTCCGGCATGCAGGAACACGCTCCCACCTCATGCTCTAAGGTACCCCGTACTCACAACACAACCCTTCCACCCCATCAACCTCCCCACCATAAATCAACAACAAATCCCAGAACCCCGGATCAACCAACACATCCCCCACCCGACACCCGACCCCTTTTGAAGCAATCGAACCAACACCCCCTTTACCCCTTCTTTCAAACCCCGTCCAAACCGCCACCCGAGTCCCGACCGAAACACCAAGACTCAATTCCACACCCCGGGGATGAGGTACAATCTCCGAACCATCCCCGTCTCCTAAAAGGAGTCGGAGCCGAAGAATTCAGGGTCCGGCAATGCCCCTGACTTAGGCGTTATGGATCGTAATCTGGAGGGTTCATTTATCTGTAACGGACCCCTGAGTCATGTTCCCCGGAGTTGGTTTTGGAAGGTTATATCGCCAGATGATTAGGATTACCGTTAAGATCTTGCTTGGATGATGTCATCCTGGTAAATGAGTAGGGCAGTGGGTTTGGCTGCCAGTGTTGACGGCCTATCGTGTTTATGGTGGATTAGGGGAGGGTTGTTTGGATGTGCTGTCTTGGAGGTGGGTGGGTCCTGAGAATGGTAGGTAGGTCTGGGGTTGGAGGTAGTATAGTGGCATGAATGGGAGCTAGTAGATGAACTGTATGTGAAGAAAGCAATGAAAAGAATGGATTTCGTTGAGCTGGAGAGACTTGCGACGGGGGCCGTGAGGAATGCCATCCAGGCTGCAACCGTCAACATCTCATCGCTCACCATGGGTATACAAATGCATATCTCATACAACGCCTGGAAAAGAAAACAGAAAACAGGACAACATAAAGTACGACAGAGTTCCTCCTCATATCCAGCTATATAGACCCGGTCATAACCGTCCATCAACCTTCTAGAAACGAAGCAATAGGTATCGACGCAAAGCAACACGACACAACCCGAACGAACGAACGCAATATACCAACTAAACTCCGCCAGAAGTCAGCAATCACGGTACATCAGTCCCTGGCACTGGAGCTCAGGACCCGACTCACCTTTCCGATATTCTCGCTCTTCAAACCCCCTCCGTCCCGGCATGAGCCTGCACCGGATAGAAGACTGGCTCGGGCTTCTTCATTGACGGCGAGTCGACGTTCGCCTGATAATAGTACGGCGACTGCCCATACTGCCCCGCCACAGCCTGCTGCGTCTGATACTGCACGTATTGCTGCTGTTGCTGGTACTGCTGAGCGCGGGCCTCGTCCTCCCGTTTCTCGCGCTTGCGGTCCCGGCGGTACTTGATGAGGAAGTAGATGACGCATCCGACGAAGATGCAAAAGAGGATGGGAATGATGATGATCTTGCCGATCAGCTTGGCGACACCCATTATGTTGTGATGGCTTTGTTTGTTCTCAACTGATAGGGTAGGTATGGGGTACTAGGAGGGATGGGAAAAAAAGCGATATCGATATGCGCTGGGTTGGCTGCTTCTGGGTTCAAGACCGGAGGGAATAAAATCTCGGTCAGGGACGACGGACGACGGTTATATCCATCTTCCTTCTCTTTCGATCGCACCTCGCTTCCATCGCTAGGCAATCACATTCTGGGACGCCCAGCAGGGTTGTTTCTGGGAGTGATATCCCAGTCCTGTTGCTGGGCGCTATACTCTGGCGTGTGATTCGGCAGGTTCGACGTGGGTGATGGGCTCATGCACCACCGTCGAGACTCGTCACCCGCATACGGAACAGGTCTGTAAATCCAGTGAGAAAGCTTAGCTGGGGGCTGAACTGAAAAGGTCCTGAAAGCGACCTCTAGGAAAGGTGAGTGATTTTCGTGTAGGCCAATCATGGGGTTCGGTTTGCCGCCGCGGGAGGGACAGCCCATGCATGAATCAACTCATAGGGCTGTAGGGCCACGAATAAAAGTCTCGAGAGCGAGGTTGACGAGGGGGGCAAGCTTTATGGATGCCTGCTTGGCTAATGTGTCTGGAGGTTCCGAACAGCATCCAGGAGAAAGCTCATGGCCAATCTGAGAGACTGATGGGGGCTCGTGGAGGGAGATTTGGTCGGAAAGGGGAAGTGACTTTCTAGACCGATATGATGAAACGGCCACTTGCAGACGTGTGTCCTATGTCAATTGTGAAGATATCGGTATATGTAGGTCGAGGAGTCCTTCCGTTAAAGAAGTCAATGATGGGAATGGTGCACTGTTGCTTGATTGTTACTGTTGACATGATGACACCGAATACGCCGCCATGCATACTGCAACCTCACAGTTTAACTGATCCTCGTTGAGGAGAGGCCATGAAGACACGCTGCAGTTACCTATTTGTTTACCTCAGGAAAGATCGGGTCAGGCAATAAAAGATCCAGCAGTCACGCCTTCCATTGTATGCCCCAGGCATCAACCAGGAATGATCGGGCTGGCCGAGGATGCCGCGGACTCCGCGGGGCCCACGGGAAGCACGGAGAACACGGACAACACGGAGTACTTGCAGTCAAGCACTAGGAGCTCCAATTGTTGAGGCTCAGATATATACTCAGGGGAATCTCTTCCTGCTGGATAACTTGACCGACCTACACGAACAGCAAGATGTCTACCGTGAGCACCGCTGTGAGGTTTGTGCTATCTCTTTCCGAGCCGAACATACAGGTATGCTGATACTAACGGATTGCAGCCCTCAAGCCAAAATGCGCCAGGCAACAAAGAGATCATACCGCTTAGAAGGAAGCACCCCCTCCAATGAAGACGAAGAAATCACTTTCGAGTTCGGCGGCGCCCCTGGAGTGGCACTCCTGATGATCGGCTTCCCGCTCCTGATGTACTACATGTACATTGGAGCGACATTCTATGACGGCCACCTCCCTCTGCCAGGCCCCGGAGAGTCGCTTTCTGAGTTCGCCTCCCACCTCTTCAACCTCGCTTACACGCACGCCTTCCCCCACCGCAAAGCCTGGGCCATCTACTGGACGTTTCTCGTGCTCGAAGGAGTCGGATACCTTTACCTGCCCGGAGTATACGGCAAGGGGAAGTGCCTGCCCCACCTGAATGGCAGACAGCTCGACTATTATTGCTCGGCCGCTGCGTCGTGGTATGTCACCATTGGAGCTGCGTTAGCCTTGCACTTCACCGGCCTCTTCCCGCTGAGCACCCTCGTCACCGAGTTCGGGTCCTTGATGTCCGTCGCCATATGCTCGGGGTTCCTAGTCTCCATTGCCGCGTACGCTTCTGCTCTGGCGAGAGGTGCTCAGCACCGCATGACGGGCTCGCATGTGTATGATTTCTTCATGGGTGCGGAGCTGAATCCCCGTCTGTTCCGATGGATCGACATGAAGATGTTCTTCGAGGTCCGCATTCCATGGTACATCCTGTTTTTGTTGACACTGGGTACGGCTTTGAAGCAATGGGAAGAGCTCGGGTTTGTTTCGGGCGAGGTTGCTTTCTTGCTCATGGCCCACTTCTTGTATGCGAATGCCTGCGCGAAAGGCGAAGAGTTGATCATCACTAGCTGGTAGGTTTATTCTGCCACTTCCGTGGACTGGGCTCACCGATTCAAGGGATATGTATTACGAGAAATGGGGTTTCATGCTCATTTTCTGGAACCTCGCTGGCGTGCCCATGAGCTACTGCCACTGCACCCTGTATCTGGCGAACCACGACCCAGCAGTGTATCGGTGGAACCCAGTGATTCTGGCTGCCTGGGCCGTTCTCTATCTGTTCATGTACTGGGTCTGGGATACGTGCAACAGCCAGAAGAATATCTTTCGTGCTCAAGAGAGAGGCGTTTCTGTAACACGCAAGACATTCCCCCAGCTTCCATGGAGGTCTGTGAAGAACCCAGAGTCAATTCCGACTAAGACTGGTGATTCCATTTTGTGCAGCGGTTGGTGTATGTGGTCCCAACTCTCAAAACAATTGGGCATATGGCTGATATTTGTTAGATGGCATGGCCCGAAAGGTCCATTACACATGCGACTGGTTTTTCGCTTTCTCGTGGGGATTGATCACCGGTTTCAAGTCGCCATTCCCATGGTTTTACTCGATCTTTTTCACAGTGATGATCATTCACCGTGCTCGCCGCGATATTGAACGCTGCCGCGAGAGGTACGGAGAGGCCTGGCTTGAGTACGAACGACGGGTTCCGAATCTGTTCATCCCGGTAAGTCGTCCAGTCAGGATTTGAGACAGGTGGCTGACAATGGAATAGTATGTCTTTTAAACCAAGACCTGGAGAAGAGATATACACTATTTGTCGAAGCTGCGATCGTGGATTGGATTGTAACCAATATGTATAATAACTCTCGCCTGAACAAATTTTAGCTCATGTAATCTGAACTCAAAATATCCATCACCGATCTGTTAGCCCCGATGAAATCATTTAAGAACATGGAAATGTCCGTCTGATTCACTAGAGAATCGAAGGTGTTTTCTGGCCATGAGACATCAGGGAAGGCGATGTTGGCAGCCCCGTCTGCGGCGGGCATAACGAGAGACCCATCCTGATGACGTTCGATTCCGGTCAAGGTTTGCCGCGATTTGACAAGAACTTGAGCAGCCTTGACAAATGCTTCACAGACTGTATAGAGATGCATCGAGCCCCGCGAAAGTCCCTTGATCAAATCTAAGGAGCTCACGGTGTCTTGCAGAAGAGCTAGGTCGATAGCGCTTGCGGTGGTAATAGCATGGGTGAACACAATGACAAAAGGTGTAAAGGACGGGTAAAGCAAGATCCTGTATGTGATTAGCGCAGATCATCCGTCAGACTCGAGAAGACCTACCAATTTACGTATTCGGTTTGTTTGTGGGTTTGCCGACCACGGAAGTAGGTGAAGCACTTGAGGTGACTTTGAAGTGCTAACGTAGCAACCTCATAGCATCGAGATGAGATTGCCATGGCGTCTCCTGGACGAGTCTGTGCCCGATATATCACCGTCAACACCGAATAGGCGATGAAGTCAGCACAGGCCGCAATGCCGTGCAAGGAGTCAGCATAAAGAGCCGATCTTACGTCGATCTGTATTAAGCGTTAGCTAGCGATCCCAGATACACACAGAAAGATCCTTACCGTTAACAGTTTGTCTCTGACTGCCTCTAGATCTGAGGACAGTTTCTCTATCGCTGCGGCTCTCTGCCCATCGCTAGCCCGACAAGCAGATGTTGAGTACAATTCATCATAGACTCTTCCCTGAATAGCAGCAAACTCCATACGAACGATGCTCATCAGATCCCACGGGCGTTGTTTAGGATCTTCTGATGGTGAAAATAGGTCTGCATCTATGTCGTGGTCTTGAAAGTGAGATGTCACACCAATATTCAGAGAAATATTCTTGTCAATCGTGTATAATGCCCAGAAGACATGGCGCTTAGCCTCCGCAAGAGGTACTGAGTCGTTTCTTAATGCTGTACGTCTGTGCAATCCCAAGGTTTGACACATGTTGAAAGCCAATGATAGATATGTCCAACAACGCTGGATATCAAACTCCTCTTGTGATTTCGTCACCTGTGAAAATTAGTCAAAGTCAAGTATGGAAATCAAATTACTCACCCCAATCAACAGTGCCTGTATCTTCTCTAATGTTGGATCAATCATGATCGCTGGGCTGGTGAGACCTGCGGCAAGTTGTTTCTCGCAAAGTTCCAGAGCGGCTGACAAGTCATAACGCACAAGGTCGGGTTCTTGAGCATGTAGGTAGTCGCGTATGATGTAGAAAAAAAGGCCGTAGAAAAGTGTGAGCGTTCCAGCAGGGGCTGGGTCGATTGGAAAGTATATAGAGTGACACAAGGACTCTATGCGAGATGCGTTTATCCAGGACTGACTGACCAAACCGAATGGAAGTTGAGCTGCCTTGGGTTAGCACGCCAACCGAGAGGAAGAGGGAAGTTTTAACGGACCTTTGACTTTCTTTACCACAGCGACGACCAGTTCGACGGGAAGTAACTGCTCTTTTCGCTGAGCATTCGGATGTGTCTCTCCATGTGTCGTTGATGAGCGGTGCCTGTCGAGGCTGGTTTTGAGAGACGCAAGTGCCGCTGACACGTAGTCGCCTAATTGTACATTCTGAGAGCTGTCTGCAGCAAAGTAAGCAGCATCCCTAGCTACAAGAGTCTCATGATGGAACGATGAGTGCCCTTCAAAAGGGGGTATAGTTGGCCCTGTCGAAATCGGTTCGGACACCGGCCTGACTGAGTCAGACGCGCTGGAAGAAGGTGTCATGTGCTCAAGTGTCTTCTGGATCGTGGCCAATTGTTCCTGTAATGCAGAGAAACGCGACTCACTAATTTGGACGATCAGTCTGAGTAGTATAATCTTGGGCCATGGCTTCATACTAGTCGTTGGGGTTATTGCTGCGAGGAGACTCGGATGCCGTCAAAGGTTCGCCGACTGGCCTGCAGGGGATTCCCAAGGTGCCACAGCTCGAGCAGGGACTTGTTTTGTCACATTTGATCTGTTATCCTACTCAATTAGATAATGCCCTGTTATGCCAGTCTGGCCTCCGGGTGATATACCTTGCGAAGACGACAATTGTCGCACTATGATGGGTCAATCACTATTACACTCGATGATAAGCGGAAGATGCATACCGCGCGGGCCCGAAAGCTGCGAACAGTGAGGGATGCCCTCGAAGACATTCCGGAGACAACAATTTCCCGTTGATGCAGATACGCGTCTGGCGAGAAGGAGAGTTCGAAGTTAATATAAACCAAAGTCAGCGAATATGTTGAGCTGCAAAGAACGAGCAAAAGCTGACTGGCAGCAGGGGTTTGATAACATACGAGCTCTTCTGGGAAGAGGAAGTGCGCTATACCTGATATGAGAGAAGCTGTCATGTGATTTGTACTAGGTACGATTTGGACTAGCGCAAGTTTTTAAAGGGGACCGGGCTGCAATGCAAATTGCCTAAATTGGCGATCGCCAGCCAAGTCCAAGTTGAGTCCCCCCGGCGGGCCGTCCATGCATCACAACTTCCGGAGATTCTCCGTGGCAGACACGCTACATGTCGGCTATCCATTGACGCAACCCTTTCTCCCGGCAAAATCGGCAGGCTTTTCTCCTCAGTACTGTTACTCATGCTCTGTGGCCTCTCGCGCACAATATACCTCAACTTTCAAGCTACAGTTTCATAGACAGCGAACCTAACTGATAAAGCCCCAATGCAGCGCTTTTCTATACCCATGAGCTCAGGAAGCTCACAGATAAGCATCATGGTTGACAGCTACTCAGTTTCTTCGATTACACCGGATCCTGACCAACCAAAACAGCCTGAATGCAGCATTTAGCATGAGGTCATTTCCCCACGCCTATGGTCCGATAATGCGGGGAGAGGAACTAGCTCTGAATACTCGTTGATTACCATATATGTATCTCCAAGATGCTTTACTGTATCTACAAGCTTGCTTTCGATGCATTGCCTCGAGGTTTATTAATACCATGGGACATTCCAGCTTTACATTCTTGGTATGGGGCCTCTTGTTCTCACTGGCAGCGGCAGAGGATGGGTTCGCTGGCTGGTTGCGATACGCTCCGGTACCTTGTGACTCTGTTTGCCTGCAAGGGCTTCCTTCAAGACTTAATGTGTTGAACAACACCAAGGGAAGTCCAATTGAAATAGCAGGTCTCGAATTGGCGACCGGATTACAGTCCATCGTCTCCAAGAACCTGACAAGTACGCAACCACGTTGCGATGTATCAGATTCAATCTTGGTTGCAACACTTGAGCAATACAAACATAGGTGCAACACGGCCGTCGATATCCCCGAACTTGATCAAGATGGCTTTTGGCTGCGATCGACTGGCAAGAGCGTCCAAATCTTGGGGCAGAGTGAGCGAGGGGCTTTGTATGGAGCATACGAGTATCTTTCTCTCTTAGCCCAAGGCAACTTCTCCCATGTTGCTTATGCAAGCAACCCACATGCTCCGATACGCTGGGTCAACCAGTGGGATAACATGGACGGAGTTATCGAAAGAGGCTACGGTGGTTTGTCGATATTCTTCAAAAATGGCCGGATCGTTGATGATTTGGCGCCGGTCAAACAATATGCCCGTCTTCTAGCGTCGGTTCGGATCAATGGTCTTGTCGTCAATAACGTCAATGCGAATGCCACTCTTCTCACGCCAGAAAACATGAAGGGCCTGGGTCGGATTGCAGATGTATGCCGATCGTACGGTGTCCAGATCGGCGTTTCGCTCAACTTCGCGTCTCCCAAGACCCTAGGCGGCCTGGACACTTTTGATCCACTTGATGCAACCGTCATTGCCTGGTGGAACAATATTACAAACAGTTTGTATGACCACGTTCCCGATCTGGCAGGGTATCTAGTCAAAGCCGACTCTGAGGGTCAGCCTGGGCCGAACACATACAACCGGACATTGTCGCAAGGTGCCAATCTTTTCGCGCGAGCTCTCCAACCGCACGGAGGCGTTCTTATGTATCGCGCTTTTGTCTACGACAGTAATTTGAACGAGTCAGACTGGAAGGCAGACCGAGCGAAGGCCGCAGTTCAATACTTCAAAGATCTGGACGGCGAGTTTGAGGAGAATGTGGTCGTGCAAATCAAATACGGGCCCATTGATTTTCAAGTGCGCGAGCCCGTGTCGCCCCTCTTCGCGAACCTCTTCAAGACCAATACTGCCATCGAGCTCCAGGTGAGCCAGGAATATCTGGGTCAACAAAACCATCTGGTCTACCTTCCACCGCTGTGGAAGACTATCCTTGACTTTGACCTTCGAGTCGATCACAAACCCTCGCTGGTGCGAGACGTCATATCCGGGGAGCGGTTTAACCGTACTCTGGGTGGTTGGGCGGCTGTCGTCAACGTTGGTACCAATACGACGTGGCTGGGCAGCCATATTGCGATGTCGAATCTATACGCATATGGGCGACTGGCCTGGAGCCCTACACACAATTCGGAGCAGATTCTGAAAGACTGGACACGGCTCACCTTCGGGTCCAGGCCCCAGGTCATCGACACCATCACCAACATATCCATGGCCTCTTGGCCCGCTTACGAGAAATACAGCGGAAACCTGGGCATACAGACTCTGACAGACATCTTATATACCCATTACGGCCCTAATCCTGCCTCCCAAGACAACAACGGCTGGGGCCAATGGACTCGAGCAGACCACCTATCCGTAGGCATGGATAGAACTGTCGCAAACGGCACCGGGTACACAGGTCAATATCCTGTGGAGATCGCTCAACGATACGAATCTCTCAACTCGACCCCCGATGACCTGGTGCTATGGTTCCACCATGTCCCGTGGACCCACCGACTTCACTCCGGCAAGACGGTCATCCAGCACTTCTACGACGCGCACTACGCCGGGGCCGAAATCGCGCAGACATTCATCCGACAGTGGGAGTCCCTGCACGGGCTAATTGACCAGGAAAGGTACGACGCAGTGCTCGATCGGCTGACGTACCAAGCGGGACACTCGATCGTCTGGCGCGACGCGATCAACAACTTCTACTTCAATATGACGGGCATACCAGATCAGAAAAGACGGGTGGGCCATCACCCGTGGCGCATCGAGGCGGAGAGCATGGCGCTGGACGGCTACAGGGCGTACACAGTGAGCCCGTTCGAGACCGCCTCAAACGTGACCGCCATCGTGACTACGACCAACTCCACCGTCGGGACCGCCCGGACGACCCTCGGCTTCCCGGCGGGGACGTACGACATCGCCGTGGGCTATTATGATCTGCACGGGGGCGAGTCGCACTGGACGCTGGCTCTCAATGATAAGGTGGTGGGCGAGTGGGTGGGTAATATGCGCAACCACTCGCTGGGTAACTCTGTCTCCATCTACTTGGACGGTCACTCGGCGACACGCGTCACGTTTCGCGGAGTCAAGGTGCAGAAGGGCGATGAGTTGAAGATTGTCGGTCGGCCTAATGGCGTTGAGCCTGCGCCGGTGGATTATGTGGTGTTGCTTCCGGCTGGGGTGGTGGATTAGGTGTCTGAGTGGATGCTCTGTCTGCATCGTCGAGATCAGAGTCGAACGGATTTCAATGCTCTAGTTCAGTCTCTGCATAGAGCAGCTCAAAGTCAACGACCCTCTTCACAATTGTAAACCGTAAGCGAGCTACGAGATAGAATCAGCCGCTATGCCCCACAGAAATACCGTGCTTGAGTTTTTTCCAGAGTAGCTTTTTCGTCATGAGGAGACTATGCAATTGCGTTGGAATTGATTGAACTCTGCTTAGGCTGCTCTTAATTGTTTCATTCGTATCAGCGTCGGAGTACAAGGAGTATACGATGAGCTGCACTGCTTTGTAGTCCAGAGCAAGGCATACAAGCTTACGCCGTGGAGGCACCGTCACCCTTTACCAGTCAAGCAGTCAAGCATCGATACCTTCACATGACTGCTACATTTGACCTGTCAAGACTCGCGAGCCACGACCCGATCGCGACATTTCAACCCAACGCTACGCCAACCGCCAATAACGGCAACCAACAAACCAGCGAACCACCCCGACCTTACAACAAAAATAAACAAAACATATCGTTACCATCATATGTACTAACAAACTAGATGACTTTTCCGTACTTAAGAAGAAGCAGCAACAATCTTCTGCCAGCTATCACGGGCCTTCAAGTCCTCCCACCACTTCTGCACAGCAGGGTACTTGGACAGCAAGTCCTTGAAGCCAAACTGCTCGACGAAGGCACCGTAGGGGAGGTGGTTCAGATCAGCGAGCGTGACCTTGTCACCGGCGAGGTACTTCTGCTTGGACAGGATGCGCTCATAGCCCTGGAGGGCGTTGTCCAGCTGGGCGAGGTGGGCCTTGACGGCGGCCTCATCGGTTTCGCCCATGCCCTTCATTCCCTTGAAGACCTTCTCGAACGCGATGCCGGAGGCGGGGGGGTCGAAGTACGAATTCTCGACGGATAGGGCCTGGTTGGGGTGGAGCGTGTGCGTTAGCGACATGCCTTAGGGGCCGGGCGGGGTAAGACATGACATGACATGACATGACATGACATGACATACCTGCTGGTACTGGGCGTAGGCCTTGAGGTCGGACTCGGCGGGGGCGATCTCGTTGCCCTGGCCGCGGTACTTGACGGCGACGTAGGCGGCGATGGCGCGGCTTTCTGTCGTAGACGGTGGGGTGTTAGTGATGGTAATGTGGCTTGCAGAGGGAAGAAAGGGTGAAGACAACGCACCGAATAGCTTCACGCCGGTCTCGGTATCTTCCAGTACAGGCACCTTTCCGAAGGGTTGGAGGTTGTTCAGATACTCCGGGGACTTGTGCTCGCCCTGTGCGAAGTTGACGGGCACGAGCTCGTGCTCGACGCCCTTCTCGTTAAGGGCCACCATCACACGCTTGGTGCAGGTGGACATGGCGATACCGTGAAGCTTGAGGACCATTTTGGTGGTGGTGAAAGTGAGGGATTTGTGAGGTGAGTAGTTTGTGAGTTGAATTGAGAGTGCAATTGAAGCAGGGTGAGGGGGCAATGGAGTTTAAGTAAGAGTAAGAAGTGAGGGGCAGGGATGAGAGATGAATTGTACACGTATAAGTATGTCGGAGACAAGCTCCCTCTCAATCCATAGCGGGGTTCATGGATGACAGGCGGGTCTGACCGCTTACGAGAGTGGAAAGAAGGAGAAGCTGGGGTGCGGAATCAGTTCCGCGCTGTGAGAATGGCATTAGCAATCAGCCCCATTCGATCACAAATATATAACCTTCGATTTGAAATCAGTATGAGAATATGTCTCCGGTTAGAGATACATCAACTAAGATGCTCCCGCCCAAACAACCGGATTACGCCTTCAGGATTGCACTGCGGACTTCTATCGACGGGATCGCAGAAATCAGGGCGAGATGGCCTAGTCAAAGGCCAATTACCGACTGGCATATGCATTAGTGCGATATATACATCTTGATTCTTCCAGCGCCATGAATGCAACAGGTAAATTAGGGGGGGTGGCGAGGTGCAGCCATTGGCTGACGCTTCATACCAAAGCCAATCAACATCAATGAGGGCAGAAGCTTGCTGCGGAATCAAGGCTGAGCTGAGGACAAAAGCCACATTGATGAAGTTGTTGACTGAAATGCTTGGTGTGTAGAATAGTGAAGTCGTATACATGGTCAAGCAAGATTACTGAACGCAAGAGCATAGTATAATTTATGGGAACCTTGTGATTCATGAATGATTCAGTAACTTGCTGCATGGTGAAAGTTAGAATAATCTGAAGCCAAGATGTCCATAGGTCTGAAGTGACTGGGACTGTTTGTCTCACGATGTAATCAACTCGCTCTGTTTGCCTTCAACTGTCATTCCTTTTTGCTTCCAGTCGCGACATAGACCCTTTGGAGGTTGACCTAATCAACCTCCAACTAGCATGTCTCGATATCCTCAGAACATATGCCTAGATCCCACCTTGGCATCTGCAAACGTCGAGGCTTCGCGCAATTCACAAGATACTGATCAAGTTCAAGTAGTGCTTTTTCTTTCAGCCAAACCACTCATCCGTTCTTTTCATATTCAAGCTAACATGTCAAAGACTGTCATATCACCCGCTGCAATGATGTTTCTCAGCTCTTCTGACCACGACCTTATCATATCGGAGAGTTCTGCCTCGCAAATGTCATTACAGCCGACATCCCCCATGACAACGCATCGAAAAAGTTCATCGGGCCGGCAAAAGGGACCACGAAAGCCTCGACAGCACATTTCAGGTGCAAGCCTGGATGAGGTGGCTAAGCTTGAGCAATTTGCGCGACGGCAGTTCATCGCATTTCTTGACAAACAACGTACAACATGGCCGATAAAGGAGGCATTTCCTGATCTGAATCCCAGCCATTAAACATATGAGAGTGCAGTGGCAAGAGTCCGCAAGCTGTACGGCACTTGGAAACATCGCAGTTTGGGCCTTGCGGTGAAATGTTATGACCACTGGGCTTCATCACAGCCAGGGGGCAAGCCAGGGAAATACATGAACTGTACGGACTTCAAGGAGTTGCGCTGCGCATTGAATGCCTCGTACGATATTCGCTGGGTGTCGTACATTTTCTCCTGGGCAGATGATGTCGTCTCTTTTCATGACTGCTCTCCACTTGGAAGAGAGTTTCTAAAGTGTGAGTATGGCACTGCGATCTTGCCTGGAGAGATTGCGCTGACCAAATGAATAGACTGTACAATCCAGCTGATGATCCGTGCTCATCTAACTGCTCTGTGTCGTGACTCAAAGAGCCCTTCACCGGGAGTTGGCGAAGTTTGACCGAAATCATCTTCTTGCCACTTTCGATGGGCTTCACACCCATGCGAAATGGAAGCCTTTGTCTGTACAAGACTTTCCGTTTCGGACTGTGTCAGTCGTTCGAAAGCGCTTTTGCCGGAAGCCAGTTGACATGAACACCGACAAAGATGGTTATGTGGGAACAGATGACGAGAATCTTACGACGAATGGTACGACAGAGAATTGCACCGCTTCAGATCGACTCGATGTACGTGAGTCTGCTGAAGAGGGTGCTGGACCTAAGATTGAAGAGCATGGTGGTGAGTTTGCTGCTGAGGAAGTCAATGAGTCTTAGGGGAGGAGCCCATGTGAAAGAGGAGAGCGTATCGCCCTGGAAATTTGTCACTTGGGTTTAAACAATGATTATTAGCGTTGCATTTCTGCATGAGACCGACATACGTGCCTGATGAGTCTTTCTCCGCCTTACACCGTGGACAATAGCACTTGGAGGCATGATTTCATGGCCAAACATCCTCGCGGATCTCGACCTAAGAAGTCCGACTGAAAGATGGCCATCGTCTCATGGTGCTCAAAGCAAGATACCAACTGTGGTTGCATAGATTCACAGCCTCCATTGTATTCTCCGGGAGACCTTCATTATTAGTCAAGACCGTGGCCAGACATCGCTTACAATCAATGGAAGAAAAATCTCAGCTTACCCTATCGATTTGTAAGCCGGAAGTTGTTGCTTGCTTAGCGCATGACAAAACCTTGTGCGTTGTATCCCGTTATCGACAAGTCATAATGGAGAATATGTCAATAAGGGACTTGGGTGAGCATCTTGAGCTGCTGACGGGAAGGAAGATTCATAAAGAGGGGAAGGTAGGTAGGCTAAGCTCGGGGCCTCCGGACTACTACCCAGAGCAGGGAAACATCCGTAACATCCGTCAGCTTCCATGTTCATCCAGAGATACGGAATCTTGCTTCACAATTAAGCAAGCTCGTCTCACCATTCTTTGAGTTTCCGGTTGCTTATCAATGATGAATCTCCCAGTGTGCATTTGTAATGCTCTGGCAACCACAGCAGCGGCTATATAAGCCGTCAGACCGCACGAGGTACAGGATCTCACCAATCAATCCATCGATCCAATCTACCAGTCTTCCACAATGGCCAGCAGCACTTCCCCAGTAGTCCTCATCCTGGGCGCCGGCCGCAACATCGGCAAACACACAGCTCAGCTCTTTACCACCAAGGGCTACAAAGTCGCAGTGGCAGCTCGAAGCATCAACGAGAATGACAGCACCTCAACCCAGCTTTACCTCCAATGCGATCTGTCCGACCCAAATGCCGTACAGGATGTGTTTTCGCGCGTGAAGGCCACCCTGGGTGATCCCAGTGTCGTGGTCTATAACGGTACGTTCCAACCTCAACCCAATTGTACCTCGTGGCCACGCCAATAATTCTTCTCGGGATCTATAGCCTACGCATTGACACAGACCGACGCCGACGACATCTTCAGCCTATCGACCACGCAATTCAGCCACGACCTGAACGTCAACACCACCAGTGCCTTCGCCGCCGCCCAGCAGGCTGTCAAAACATTCGAGAGGTTGCCTACCTCCGCGGCGCGGACGTTCCTCTACACTGGGAATGCGCTTAACGGATTTGCCGTTCCCCTCTTCTTCACCTTAGGGGTCGGGAAATCGGCTAGTGCGCATATGATTGAGTCTGCATCGCTTGCTTATCGGGAGAAGGGATTCAAGTGAGTTGATCTACGCTTTTCCCAGGTATGAGTGAATCGCTTCACTAACTGTAGAACAGGTTCTACTACGTCGATGAACGCAAGCCAGACGGGTCGTCCGACCCTGCCGTCGATGGTGAAGCGCACGCCAAACTGTTTGCGGAGCTGGTCGAGCGCGAGGACCAGGGACCGTGGCTGCAGACGTTCGTCAAGGGAGAGGGATACAGGGTGTTTCCCGTTCGGGCGTGAGACTGATCCTGTGATTTGTATTTAGGGATAGCGACGCCTGAGAAGAACAACCTCTGTACTGTGCTTTCATGTCTATGTCTATAGCCATAATCAACCATACTCATCCAATCCATTTCAATTCTCCGACCAGATAACAACTATCCAAGCCCCTCCATCAATCCCCAACCCCAATTTCAAAACCGAGAATGAAAAAAAAAAAAAAAAAAAAAAACAACAAAAATCACCCCAAAACAACGCCCAACTCCCTCCCCTCCCCACCAACAACCGCCCTCCCCCGATAATCCGTAGGAACCACCTGCGACGCAAACGCCAAAAACACGGCCTCCCAGCGGCCATCCTCAAACCGAAACACCATCCCACCATCCTTATGGACCGCATCCTCATACGTCTTCCGACTACCCTGATTCATATGCACATCATGAATGCCGCAACCCCCAGAGCCCCCAAACGCACTGCCAAACACATACGCCGTCGCGCGGCGGTGAATCGCATCCTTCAGAATGGGCTCCAGCTCATCCAGCATATCATTGTCGTTACCAGGGATATCATGCGGAAGGAGGCGGCCGGCTTCGAGATCGAGGAGCTGGGGCGTGGTTCGCAGGTAGTCCAGGCCCGGGAGGGTGGGGTGGTGGGGTTGGTTGTATCTGTGGTGGTAGCTGCGGGCGTGGTAGCTATTGAAAACTTCGTCTTCTTCCTCGTCTCCGTCGTCGTTATCGGAGTGCGGCTTGATGCGGTGGAAGCCCGGGTCTAGGTCGGCCAGGTGGTGGACGAACGGGTGGTGGGCGAAGTCGCGGATGAACCAGAAGACGAGGCGGGTGTCGGCTTGCGTGGATTTCACGTTGATGGCTGCTTGGATCTCGCGGTCGAAGCCGTCGGCATCTTCGGATCCGTCGCGCAGGAAGAGGTTGATGTGCGGCGTGGTGTGGTCTTGGTGCGCGGATTGCGCGATGAAGCGCGTTGGTCGGCCGACCCAGACACCGTAGTTGCGGATGGGCATTGCTTTTTAATTATTTTCTTTTGGAATATACTGTGGTCTTGTGGCTTGGACTCTACACACCTTTTCTAAGGGGAAGGGGGGCTACTTTTATAATTATCATGCTTGGGATGATGAAGCTTTCGGGACACGGGAAATAGGAGAGTGTGGAGAATGTAGGAATGGATCGAAGCTACTAGTGTGACACCGCTGTGGATCCCAAGGGAGACGATCATCAAAAAAAGAGGGCCGTATAAGGAACTGGGACCTGAAAGAGTATTTGTTTGGGCGCCTGGTTGCTGAAGCTATATTTGACATTGCTGGTTGAGATCTCCATCTTAATGAGACCGTGTGGAGCACCCACGAAGTGGACAGCAAGATCATGCATAGTCTACCTTCCGAAACTTGAAAACATTGCAAGACTATGTGATGAGCTCCAACAGCAAGCCTTCAACCTCCCACATTTTTACTTCGCCGGTACATGAATATCGTACACATAGTGTGTTCGAGGAGTCACTTATGTTCTGCTCTTCAGACATCTATCTCTTCGAATATCTCCGACCATGGATAATCACCGAGGCCATTTCTTGAGTAGTTGCTACACTTTAACTCCTTATTGCCTTTTCTTCTTCACCGAAAAACACAGTGAATTGGTCTCTACCTAGAACTATTCTACTACTGGAAGTATCACGCTTGGTCTCTGCTGCTCCCGGCAACGCCTTGCTCTGCACTGCTCGCGCCAACGCCTGCCCCCTGCCCGATAATGGTCGGCTTTACAGACTTCAATCTCAATTTTCGCCACATCCTTCTCACCTTGTACCTTGGATCATCTCGAAACTCCAAGGTAACCGCGTGGATTACCCTCCATCGAGAATCAAGGTCTTCGCTCCCAGTCCCATACGGCCTGTTACCGATGTTGACTATATTCCACATCCACCACAAAGTCTGTCGCAAGAGGTCGGATTCGTGGTGAATCTTCAGTGCTAATCGATTGACAAAAAGGTGCTGGATTGGAACTTCCTGGTTCATCTTGTGCAACATCAGACACTGATCCTTTCGGAGATAGTTTTCCAAGCCACCGCCCTCCTGGGTTTCCGGGTTCAGCTCTGCTTCTATTTGTAAAGGCTCCGAATCATATAGAAATAGATGTAGTTTTTCGTCAGGATCGCCCGTATGACCAGGGCGACGGATGGAAGCGATTGCCCACCAGTGCCAACGTGAACCCTCCTGGCGGCCTTGACGCGTAGCAAAGAGAGCTGCATGATACGGCCGCTTCTCTCTGCGGCAAAACTGGCGCACTTGATCCGCGTTTCTGTTATCTCGTCTCGAAATGTATCGTCCGAACAAACGGAAACAGCGGTCTCTAGTTGACGTGAATGCCACCGGGCGAGTGACTACCTCAAACTCGGGGCCTAAATGCTCCCTTATGTCCCGCTCAAACAATCTCATGATGTTCGACGCAGTAAACAGGTCTATATTGTCATGTGCCGCGCTTAACCATTGAGGTTTTTGGTCATCATCGACTGGCCAGTGAAGGTGTGGTAATACGCAATAAGGCCAGACACCGTATGGTTCAGGTTCATGTTGTGTCGGAGGTTCACCACTCAGAGGTCGCTTTAGGGACTGATGTGGGTCTGGATTGGGTTTGGGAGTAGGCTCTTCTGAGTCTGGGTTGCGAGCTGTTTCCTGAGCACGCGGTGTTTTCGAAGACTCTGATGGTGTCTGCTCAGTTGGCGTTGCTAGTCGAATCTACGCATGGTTAGCAACGCTTCAAAAAGCCTTTTGAAAAGGATACGCACTTCATCGTCATCCATTGCACCTTCTGTCAGTCAGAAGCCCGTAATACGTGGAAGATGTTTTGGCAGGAGATTATTGGAGATGATCGGCGTGGGAATGATAATGATAGTTTAAAATTGGGAACAATAGAGGCTGCAAAGAACGAATTGATGGATTGTTGCTAAGAGAGGTAGATGGTTAAGAAGATCAGAATCCGAACCGAACAGAAGGAAAGTAGCTCACTGGAGCTGGCAGGCACTCGAGCATGGAAGGAGCAGTGGCTACGTTCAATCGAGCTCACAGGAAATGAATCCAGTAGGAGGAAACCTCGTAAGTGTCCCGAGTCATAGATCGCCGCTTCCTCCGACCCAAGTGCCGCAAAGACTTCTTCCAAGACACCGGGTGAAGTGCCCCGAACGACATTCCAAAGAGACACATCAAGGACCAGAGCTTGGAGCAATCGAGATCGGGATCGGGATCTCAGTGTGCGGTTACGACCTCCTTTTGCTTTTCGGCCTGTATACCAGCAGCCCTGAGATACTGTTGATCCACTACCGAGGGTGAGGCGCATTTCTGTTTATCGTGCGCTTCTTCTAGCGTCAGCGCGATAATTCAATCTTTCTCCTCCTCCTCAAACACTCTCGGCAGTAGATAGCGAACAGGCTAAGTACTTAGTGTCGGCAGTAAGCGCTGATCCACATCAGCCTCAATCCAACTGTCAAAAACTCCCACTCCCATTCTCAGCTCACTCTGTCCAATGCCTCCCTCCACTTTCTCATTTCCTTTACTGTCATTTACCACTTTGATATAACAATAGACAATATCACGCTGTCTGTAGTCAAGCATGTCTTTCTCTTGGCCATCATCACCGTCGGGTTATATGCCGCCTTTCTGGGCCTGTTGACCCTGCCTAGCTTCCAGGCGCATGTGGTTTACCTGCATGCTGTTCAAATGACCTGGTTCAAGGACCTCACTGTCACCGAGTCATTTGGTTTTCTTCACAATCAAGTCACACCTTTTATCATCCCTACTCCGGATGGCCACCGTCTCTTCGCCTGGCACATATTGCCTCTTTCCGCCTATCACCAGCACGAACGTGCTCTCTTGTCAGAAGACACTCCGGGCGTGATCACCAACATCACCACGCGCCACGCTTTCCATCTTCTCTCCTCCGATCCGGACGCCATTTTGGTCCTTCACTTCCACGGGGCCGGAGGAACCGTCGGGTCCGGATACCGCGTTCCCAACTACCGAGCTGTAGCGGCGGGCCACCTGGCGAAAAGCATCCACGTTCTCACCATCGACTACCGCGGCTTCGGTCTCACTGCTGGCACCCCATCTGAGTCGGGCCTCATAACCGATGCTTTGGCGGTCGTCGACTGGGCCATGAACGTTGCCAGCATTCCTCCACATCGCATCCTTCTCTTTGGACAGTCGCTAGGCACCGCAGTCACTTTGGCCGTAGCCCAACACCACGCCCGCCAGTCCCCACCAGTAGCCTTCAAGGAGATTATACTTGTTGCGCCGTTCACCGATGTTGCCACCCTAGTGTCGACTTACCGCGTGGCCGGCACGCTTCCTATTCTGGGTCCTCTGGCGCGGTTCCCGACTTTGTTTCGTGCTCTGCAAGGGTTCGTCCGCGACCAGTGAAGCAGCGGGCAACGCATTGAGGAGTTTGTTCAGGCAAGTGAAGCAAATAGCCTGCCATACCGGTTGACAGTGATCCATGCCGAGGATGATTATGATATTCCGTGGCGGCATACCCGAGAGTTGATTGCGCGTGGAGTGCGCGCGTCGGGCAGGGACAGGGGCGAGGAAGCGGATGTGAAAGTGGATCTAGGAGCATCAGGGACGATCAGGGAGTGGCGATCGAGCCGAGGGGTAATACGAGAGGAGATTCTCAAGACAGGGTTGCATGATGTGGTCATGGGCGATACAGTGGTGTCGATGGCGGTGATGCGGAGTCTGGAGGTGTGACGTCAAACCTTGGCGGCATAGACACAGCGAGAAGTTGCATATTGGACCACACGGGATAGACACTATATTCCAACCACCTTTTTAGAGCCCTGATTCTTCACATCAAAATGAATGCACATTGACTCCAATATCAAACAATCCTACCACACTGCGTCGATCAACCGAGGGCAAAGATCAGCCCTACCCCCTCCACCCCGGGCCCTCATCATCCAACCCGTTGGAAGCGCTCATCATTTCGTCAAATGGACCCGGCGGCAGACGATCCATGGTTCACAGCTCTGTCAAGGAGAATTGACATTCTGACATCAGACCCCCATATTCCAAGTTGGCACGCCACCAGCCAAATGACCTTCTCCTCTGGTACCCCTTCTTAACCTGCTTTCCTTGCCCATCAAGCTCACCTCCACCCCCGGACGTACGACATCCCTCACAATGCGCCTTCCACCGCCACCGCAAAGCCCCGAAACAACTCAAACCCAAATCCACGCTTACATCCTGGGCGCAGGAATTACCTCCCTCTCCGCAGCCGTTCATCTCCTGCAAGAGGGTCACCTTCCAGCCTCGCACATCCACATCCTCGAGACCCTCGAGCAAGCAGGCGGCGGGACCGTCAGCTCCGGCAATGCGGAGCAGGGATACCATTTCCGGGCCGGCGGGATGCCGCTGTTGAATGGGAAGGCGATGGCTACGTTGCTAGCGGAGGTTCCATCCGACGCGCACCCGGGAAAGAGTGTTCTGGATGATCTGTATGAGTACTGGGGTCAGTCGCCGACAGAGCGGTATCACCATGATCGCCAGGCAGAGGACCATGCTCAGCATCAGCAGCAATCCCACCAGACGCGGCTCCTGCGGCGTTCGAAGCACGGACTAGTCCGGGTCGACTGCAAACGAAGCACGAATTTGGGACTGCGAGACCGGGTGGAAGTGTTTCGGTTTATGAACAAGAACGAGACGGCGTTGGGGAGATCGCGGATACGGGATCATTTCGGGAAGGGGTTCTTCGGGGGTTGTTACTGGGGGGTATTGAGTACTACGTATGTTCTCCTTCATCCTTAGGCAGGCAGGCAGGGCGGGACAAAACAGTCTAAGGCCCATGCACTCCATTCTGAACGCACAAGCTCACAACGGTCCCCCCCAGCTTCGGCTTCAAGTCCTGTCACAGCGCAGCCGAATTCCACCGCACGCTGCACCGCTTCGGCCACGACCTCTCGAACCTGACAGGCTCACACCCGCGACCCTTAGACGGCGCCCAATACAACCGGCACGAGTCGCTGGTCGCGCCGATTGCCCGGTTCCTACGCGCTCAAGGCGTGGACTTCCGCTTCAAGACCACAGTCACAGACATCATTTTCGCGTCCGCCGACCCGGAACCAAGGCCAACCTCCGGTGCCTCGAGCTCAACCTCAGCCAGGCACGCAGGCAGCACCAGCCTGAAAACCGGCAGTCACGACAGCAAGCCCTCATCGCCAACCTCTGTCACCGGGCAACAACAAAACCAACAACAAGCATACCCACCGCGCCTCGTCTCCGCGATAATCGCACACCCGCCTAACCAACCCGAGCAAACAATTCCGGTGACCCCGCACGACATCGTGCTAGTATCGCTGGGCAGCGCGATGTCAGGCTCCAGCGTCGGCAGCAATACAAGCGCGCCCTCGCTCTACCAAATGGAAGCGGACCAAGAGCTGGATGAGAACTGGCTACTGTGGCTAGAGCTAACGACCAAGGACTCACGCCGAATGGGCAACGCGTACAACTTCTGCACGCGGCTGGCGGAATCGCGGCTGGAGTCGTTCACGATCACGCTGCGGGCGGGCGGGAACCGGATTGTCGAGAAAATCACAGGCGCGAACACGGGCATCCGTAACATCGCCGGCGGTGGGTTGTTCGTGTCGCTGGTCGATGCGCCGTGGGTGATTAGTCTGCATGTGCCGCCGCAGCCGGTGTTCCCCGATCAGCCGGCCGGGGTGCAGGTGCTTTGGGGGTATGCGTTGTATCCGGAGCGGAAGGGAGAGGTCGTGCAGAATATTATGTTGGAGTGTACTGGGGAGGAGATTCTGAGGGAGGTGCTGGGTCAGTTGGACTTTAAGGAGGCGGAGGCTGAGAGGATCTTGTCTGCTGCCATTACCGTGCCTTGTGTCGTGCCGCGCATGGCCGCCGGCTTGCTGCCTCGCTCCGAGGGCGATCGGCCGCGTGTAATCCCGCCGGAAATCCGGAATCTGGGGCTCATTGGGCAGTTTGTTGAGATTGAGGGCGAGGCGGGTGTCGCGGCCATGGAGTATAGTGTGCTTGGGGCGCAGATGGCGGTGCGGAAATTGATGGAGATGGGGAAGACGGAGAGGAAGCTCGAGTCGGAGGAGCAGCATAAGGCCAAGCAGCCGCGGAAGCGGAGTTGGCTGCCGTTGCCTTGTACTTAGACTGATGCCAGGTAGTGGTCAACTTCATAAGGACCGACGGTATGGTGCCTATGTGCATTGCTCAAGAATAACTAGTCACAAGATAGACACACGCACTTTCCCTCGATACAGACGGGAAGTAGATCAAATCGGATATCCAACGCCATCCAGACCAGACATGGAAGCACAGCTTTCTTGTACCAAGATATCAAGGGAAAAAAAAAAAAAAAAAAAAAAAAAAAAAAACCCCCCCGCCTCGCTCTAAACTAACGCTTCTTCACCCAGTCACTCTCCTCCAACCACGCCTCCAAATTCTTCAGCCCAGGATGCAACTTCCGCAACCGCGGGATATCCGCCCCGTACCCCTGATCATAGAACCAAGTAAACATCGTGCGCGGGTCACCCATCACCCACAGAATGAGATAGCAGAGCACGCGATATGTGGTAGGCAGCGGACGACCGATCTTGGCGCGTGCCGTGCGCTGCAGATGCTCGTAGGTGAGGTCATCGCCTGCGAGCGACAGACACTGATTGCGGAACTGGCCGGCGCGCACCAGAGCCGCGGCCGCGAAATGGCCTACGTCGGCGACGGAGACACATTGCAGCGGCTTGCCCTGCAGGTAGGCGTCCCAGGCGGTGGCGGTGACGCGGCCGGCGAACCCGGCGGTCGGCGCCAGGTTCTCGAAGAAGAAGGTCGGGCGCAGCACGGTCCAGGTCATGGCACCGCCGTCGTGGGCTTCTTGCGTCCGCGTGAAGAGGTGCTGCTCGATGCGGTGCTTGCTGATGAAGTGCGGGATGTGCGTCGGGTTGTCGCTCGAGGCATCGCCGCCCCGGTCTACCGAGCTATACACGAAGTGCGGAATGTGCTGCGCTATCGCTTCGTCGATGAGCGCTTTGCCTTGGTGTTCTTCTTTTGCGACGCTTTGGCCTTGCGCGAAGGGGTTCTGGGGGCGTGAATGGGTGTTAGTGGGGCCCCGGAGGATTTAGTACAGATATGTTGAGGGGGTGGGGAACGTGGGGACGGGGAGCGGAGCTTGGGGCTTGCCTGGACGCTGAAGACGCCTGAGATGGGCAACGTTGCGATTTGTTTCGCGCGCTCGAAGATCTGGGCTGGGTGGTCGAGGTTGCCGAGCACGAGCTTGATCTTGGAGGACTTGGCGGTTAGGCGGCGCGAGGCGCTGGAGTGCGGGTTGCGGGTCACAGCTAGGATCTCCACGTCCAGTTCTTGCGCGAGCAGCGCGTTGATGACAGCGCTGCCTTGGTTGCCGGTGGCACCTGTGATGAGTAGTGCGAGGGGCATGATTGTACGAGGTGATGTGTAGGAGGGAATAGTAAGTAGTAGGAGTTGAAATGTGGAGCAAAGAATCAAGTGGAGAAGGAGAAGCAATTGACAATTTGACAGGCAATTAAGCTCGGGCGATCTCCCCGGATCAGTCATCAGTCATCAGTCACTCTGAGGTCATTCGCGGAGTCCTGCTTAGTCAGTTCAACTGTTCTCTCTCAACACTGAACCTTGAAGTCAAGGTGAATTTCCGCTTTGAGAAGAGCCTGGGATGTTCTCATCATAGTTATCGGTTTTTTCTAAGTGATTGTGCACCGCCTCAAGCACGACTCCAACCAACCAAGCACAATAGCCTGCTCCGGTGCAGCCACAACCCCTCATCTCGCGTGCTATTTTGAGCGCTCTCGTTAGTGCTACCGCAGCCAGCCTGCATTAGTTATAGAGGAAGAAGCATCTGCACTGGCTCCGTCACTACTAGCCCTCCAAGACATGACTAGTGTATCAAGTGGTGCTGGAGACCGTTTAAGAAGTTGCAGGGATGGTTCACGCTCAGCCCCAACGTCACTGAACAGCCACACACCCTTTACCCGGAGAAGGGGGTGCCATGAATCGCTAAATTATGGTAGGGACACACATATATAAGCTCATCATCTGCCCTCAATCGATGGATCTGTCTGTACTCCACTTCTCATCTTCATGAACAAGGCCTTTGAACAGCACAACAGATATTCAAGATGTATCGGTATACAGCCAAGCCGGCTCACCTTTCCGAGATTCTGGATCTCTATCCCGCCCAGGAGTCATTATGTGCGGGGTGGGCACTCTCGAAAGGTCGACTGTGTTCTAATCCAGTCAAGGCAGCCAATCGAGCTTCTGCTGTGCGCCTCCTTGATGAAGGCAGTCGACGAACGGAGAGAGGTGAATACATGGACGATCTGATCATAGATCTAGCGTCGCTTGTTCTCTGCCACCGTCATACGGAACAAGCTTCTGGGCTTGTTCAGGAGTGGCAGGGTCAGATTCAGGGTGTTCGCCTAGCTTCGTATGAGGTGGAGGATATCGGTGCCCGACAGGAGGTGAAGCATATCGGTCTTCGCATGGAGACAGCCCGACCTGAGACGTCGAGGAGAGAAAATAGATCTCTACCGTTAACAGAAGTGCTCCAATCAAGACGATACGAGAATTCGCCGCAACGTTCTGCTGCGGAAGTTTCGAATTTGCGCAAACCTGAGGTGAATCGTCCGGGGCGACCATCTGGCCTGGGTGAACAGACCAGTCACAGGGCAAGGATTCCTGCTATTAGGGTATATGATACTATCACTACGGTCTCTTCACGGCACGCAGCATCTACAGAACAAACTAGGATACCCACTGCTTCTGCACCAACTGTTCTTCGTGCATCTGCGTCACCTGCACACACCCAGCGGGTGAGCTTAACTGCTTCATCTTCGAGCTCCAATCCTCCTACTTTCACCGACCCGGTGAACAGCTCTCGCGCTTCGACAACTCATTCGGCCTCGACTTCTGCCTCTGCCTCTGCCTCTGCCTCTGGTTCCAGTTCTACTTCAACCACCTCGTCTACAAGTACCAGAACGACTTCAACCCGCACTACCATTTCTGCTACCACACGCGCGGACACTGCCTCTCTTCAGACCACGTCCACTTCTGCTATTACTAGCACAACCACCACCACGACGCACAGGGCCTCGACGAGGTCAACCAGCCTATCGACGTCCCGTCTTGCCCCTAGTGTCGTTACGACGACTATTTCCCCTTCCTCCCCAACTACAAGCAGACGTACCATTGCAACTATGGATTCAGGAGCACCAACTGCAGTGTCGACAGCTACCCCTCCACGTGCTGCAGCAACGGTCTCCAGCCCGGATACAGCTTCATCCTCTGCGACTCAGCCGACAACCCATCCTTCCAACATAGTCGTCCCGATTATGTCCACATCTCCCAGCACAACCAGACGTGTCACTCCAACCATGGAGCCCGAAGCACCAACTTTACCTTCTATAACTACCCCTCTAAATGATACAGCAACGACCTCCACCCCCGATGCAGCCTCAGCTGCTACAACCCAACCTTCTACAGCCGAGGCTCAGACAACCTCCACCCCTACCTCTCCAAGGACTCCAGCACCCGAAACCGCCCCTGCAACCTCGGCTCCCACAACCTCAGCCACCCCACCGCAAAGAGCCCCCCGAATCCCAAGCACAACGTCAAGCGACACCACATCGCAAGCAACCCCACGTCCAGAAACAAGCACCCCGCCGCCGCGTACCCCGGAACCCAAACCGGAAAAACCATACACCCCGACCCGCAAGCCCATCGAAGGCGACTGCCCGATCTGCTACGAGCCCCTCGTGCCGAACCCGCAGCTATCCCGGGATCTCTCCATCGTATACTGCAAGCGGCAGTGCGGAACGAACTTTCACTTCAACTGCATGTTTACGTGGAGGCAGGTCGAGGAGATGAGACCGAGTTGTCCGATGTGTCGGAAGGCTTGGGAGTGAGCTTTCTTGGGTGGGGGTGGTGTGGGGTTGGTTATGAAAGGGGCAGGTGGAGATATTTCTGAGTTCTGGACTGTCTCGGTGTGCTTTCGGATTTGGTCTTGGCTTTTTCTGGTTATGCAAAGTGTGTTGCTGTTATGATGATGGATGGGCTATCTTGTACGATTAACAAATTCTAAGGTATTGGTTTGTCTTGTTCAGTTTCTGGGGTCTCGGCTTGAGTACCTTATCTTTTGGTCCTTGATTAATTCACAGATCTAATTAATTTGGGAGATGATGGACCTCTTCTTGCTACTCTACCTCATATGGGCCTGTGTTTAATTCTATCAACTACAAATCACGACACCCCTCTACTATCACTTCTACAAGATCTATCTGTTCCAGAAAACAAACAAAGCACGATAATAACATTTACAAAAGACATGGACACATTTAATTATATTTCTCCCATTTTCACTATAGAAATACTTTTTTTTTCAAAGAGTTTCAAGTTTACACTCATAATTCACGACACACCTCAAACCCCGAAATCCAAACAAAATAAATCAGACTCAATCTGTATTAGGCAGAGAATCAATCAAAACTTTCGGGTCCCACTGTGGCTCCGGTTTTCCATCCTTCCAGCAATCCCCACAAGCTAAACCCCACACCCCACACTCCACCGATCGATCTACATCCACCTGCAGTGAGGATGAGGGTGGTGGGTCTCGCGCTGAATCAACGGCCGAGTATGAAAGTCCCCGTTCCAGTACTGCTGCGAGTAGCTCTCTCCTCCAGCGCGGGGGCCATCGGCGGCCATGCGCTGCTGGTCTGCTTCCATCGGGTACCTGGCTCTGGCAGTGGGGCTTCTGAGGTCGGGAATGAACATGGCGGGCTGGAAGATATCCTCATGACTCTCCTCGCTGCCGGCGACACCATCAGCGAGATCGCTGGTGGTGCTGCTGCTGCTGCTTGCCGACGCGGCTCGCTGCTGGTCTTCTGCCATCGGGTAGCCGGCTCTGGCTGTGGGGCTGAGGATTTCGCGGCGGAAGATGGGCGATTGGAGGCCGGTGCGGGTCGAGATGTGGTCGACGATGGGTCTGTCTTGGTGGTTGTTGTGGGTATATGTCTGCGGCACGGCGGGGTAGTCGGAGTGTCCGTCGAGCTGGAGGTCGGTGAGTTTTTTGTCGTGTTGTTGTTGTTCTGCTGCTTCTTCTTTCTTTTCTTCTTCTTGTGCTTCTAGTTGCAGCTGGTAGCCCTGCGGGGGCTGGGGCTGGGTTAGTGCCTGCAACTGCTGGTTTTCCGACTGCAATCTCCGTAACAGCCGCTCGGTCTCCTGCTTCAATTTTGGGATCCTACGATCCCGTTCTGCGATTCGCTGGTCCAGTTCCCTCAGTCGCTGCCTTGCCTCGCGGAGATCACGATCGGCAGCCGCTTGGCGCTTGGAATGCGCCGACTCGCGCGATGATTCCTTCGATGATCGGTTGCGTCGCTTCTGGGACCGTTTTTCCCGCTTGTCGAGAATGTCGAGGGCGCGCTCGTGATATCTGTGGGGGTAGGCGGCGGAACCACCAGACTCCGAGAAGGATGGTCTGATATCGCGCTCGTGATATCCGTGGAGGTAGGCGGCGGAATCATCAGACTCCGAGGAAGATGGTCTGATATCGCGCTCGTGATATCTGCGGAGGTAGGTGGCGGAATCATCGGACTCCGAGGAGGATGGTCTTATACCGCTCATCTCGCGGTATTCTGAGAACGCTGGACCGGTATACTCCGGGGAAATGGGCCCAGTGAGATGGCTGAAGTCAATCCCCGTGGACGCGGGCTGGTACAGAGGCGCTAGTGTTGTTGGCAGGACGGGGCAGGTCAGATGCTTCGCGCATGGAAGCAAATCAGAGATGGACGGCTGCCTTACGTGTCCGTAGTCGAAGCCCTGCAGGCCTGGCTGAGCAATGTTCGTCATATAGTCTGGATTGCCTACCAGCCTATACTTTGGGGGAGCAGGTCCCTCATTGTGTAGAGGCTGGCAGCCTACGAATCCTGCGGGTTGCTCGCTAGAAGGAGCTCCGGGGTCATTGACAGTCAAGGGTCGGCTCAAGGCTGGGAGGTTTCTGTTGAGGAATTCCCGTCCAACATTGGACTGATTCAGAGCCGCGAGCTGGGCATCGGCGAGCCGCTCGGTCTCGCCACCGAAGAGGTGGTCGAAGTGCTCGTTCGTCGGTGCCTGTGTCTGGCTGAACCCTGGGTACGTCGAGCCAGACATAGCAGCAGCTGAATTCTCGTCGTACAGCGCCCGTACAATCCTTGTCGGTTGCGGCTGGGCCAGCAGCTGGCTGTCCAATAGGTATGATCTTACCGCCAAATCGTTATCCTCATTCTCACCCTCATTTTCATCCATTGTCATGCTACCATCGCTGCTGTAGCGATTGAATTCTGCTTCGGCGTCTGGGATGTCTTCACCGTCGCACGCTTGAGTACCAGACGAGCATGAAGACAGGGGAATTCTCACCAAAGACGGCCGAGAATCCGATCTCTGAGTAGAGATGATTGGCCTGAATGACTCGTCTCCCTCGGATTGTCCCGCTTCTGCGGAAGGAACGACGGCTGGAGATGCGTAGCAGTTGGCGACGCCCGCACTCGCCGGGTTCTGGTCCACAAGAGCCTGCACCCCAGGGGAGGTGGTGCCATGCTCGGGGTTTGGATAACTGGTCTCAGTCATGGTTGCTACCCTGGTTGTACTGGAACTGATGGTTTGGGGTCGGTTGGATTAGCTGGTGAACGAATATTAGGAGTCGGTTTTTCTCAGCGCGAGAGAAAGTCGATGCGATTCACACTTTCCAGAGTGTCTATAGAAACCGGGCGACACCGTCCTTGCGAGCCTGGCCACGTATATTTATATCCTTAGCCGTGGACAGTGAAGTCAGGTTTGACAATGCGATTTTCCTCATTCATCGATTTCTTTGTGCAAGAAAGCCATTATGAAAGTCGCCATTATCACCCCTGAATCCTTTATTCCCTTTTGAAAGTGCAAAGAAAATCTTCCAGTTGTCTTCCAGCAATCGAGATAGTCGTGAAAGGGGAAACCAAAGAAGATCTTCGTCAGGAACGTTAGTCCTCGTCCATTGACAAGTCGACCAGGTACCGAACCCCGGAGTCCAGGAGCCACCAGGAGGCCAGCTCGTGAAAGAAGCGCCAGACGGGATTTCTCAAAGGCATCTTCTCCTGCAGTGAGGATCCGTCCGCCTTGGTCGTCCACAGGGCGCATTCGCTTGCGAAGACGACGTCTTTGGCATCGTCCCAGAACCGCAGCAGCAGCCGTCCTTCCACCTCTCCACCTTGCTGGCTGATCTCAAATTCAACGCTGGTCGGGCGACGCTCTGCCACGCGATAGAGCCCGCAGACCATGTCGCCACGTTGGAAGTCCAGGGCGCGAATGTGGGCCGGGCTGAAGGTCGGGCGGGAGCCCGCGCTGCTGAGAAACCAAAGCATGTAGGCCTGAGGGAAGTACGCAAAGGCTGACATGTTGCGGCGGAGGAGGATGGTGAGGAGCTCGGAGGGTTCGTGTGTGATGGGAAGAAGCTGACGTGAAACACGACGAGTGACCTTCTCGTACAGACAATCGTGGGTGGATTTGCAAATGTCGGGGGGGATGGTGGTCATGGTGGTGGTTGATGGAGAGTCGGAGAAGCGACCTCGGAATTCTTCGTGTTCCAACCCATTCTTTAGAGATCGATGCAGCAGGTACAAGTAGGCAAATGTACTGGTTGACAGTGTGAGGATCCAGGTGGTGACAGTCATTTTGCACAATTACCAGGCTTTGACCAGGCTTTGGATTGTTGAAGAAATTGAGGCTCAAGCTCATCTTTAAATAATTCAGCCAGGCTGTGCTAAGCCGCGCTGAGCCTTAACGAAGGAATGGACCCCAAGCGAGTACGAGCTCCAATTTCGTGCTGGCACGAATCAAAGCAACACCACATGCAGAGATACGCACATCGGCCTGCTCCAGACGTACGATTTAAAGCTTTTTGACGGCAGCCGCAGTCTGAGCGTATTCTCAGCTGCGGCTCTTTGGTGCTTCATTCTTTCTACATGCTCTTGAAGCTATTTCTGAAACATCTCCTGTCCGTCCCTCATTGCGTTCGATCAGGTTTCATCCATTAGAGGTGTATATCAATATCAAATCTTCCTCCCTCCACAGAACACATAACAAAAATTGCTTGCATATATCTTCCATCTAATATCTCCTCCATCTTCCAGATTCCAGTCCAACAGCACAGCCTTCACCATCCCTTCATAGACCAACCAACACAACAGGAGCGGGTATCCACGGTGGACGACGCAACAGCAGTAAGGAAATTAGGTAAACAAAACAATAGCAAATAATAGTCGAAAGACGTGCAGTCACCGTTCCCATCGCCTAATTAGGCGGGAACCTGGGGTTGAGCCATCTCAACTGGCCGGGATCTTGCACCTCGCCCAGGTTCTGCAACCTCGTAGGATTGCCTTTCTGCTTTCTTCTTCATCCAGAAGCGATAGAGTAACAAAGAGATGATTCCAACAGCGACAATGAAGACAATGCAGAAGACCAGCACCACACCGGGATTTCTGCTGGCCCAGTTGCTTCGCTTGAGGAGCTGGCGATGTCGTCGTTGTGCAGCGGTCGACACGAGGACGTCGATGGCAGCCATTGTCTACCCAGTTTCGGGCTCAGTCGATGTTCAAGTTTCCGACATTCGAGACAGATACTCACGTTGTACAAGCCGGTCAGAAATGTTCAACAAGGGTCGCGGCAGACGAAGAAGATCCCACGACTGTCCAGCAGGTCACCACAGCACGGCAGGGCAAGAGCAGGTGAAGGAAGCAGCACACAAAGGGTCAAGAGAGAGAGAAAAGAAGAAGGATTGGTCTGGTAGGCGACGGGCGCACCGTCGGGAGCAGCGGAAAGAAAGTCATGACCTACAAGATCGCAATGACGTGGAGGAGAGCGCATGCATGCAACGTTGGGCGGGTTTGGCGTCTGGCAGCCGGGGATGGCCTGCGAAGCTTATTTCCGTTTGACAGGAGCAAGGAGGGGAAGTATGACGGTCATACTCTCGATGCGGTCGGTAGACATGGATGGTTCGTATAGGATGGACACTGCAGGTTGGCTGAAGCGTCAAGAGCTTCGAGGCTCCCGACGGGTTATCCTGCCGTTCCACTGAGGTATCTATCTCATCTTCAGAGACCATACAGTGTGTGTGTGTCTGTGTGTGTGTGTGTGTGTGTGTGTACTGAAGCACCTTGAGAATCAAGGGACAGTCAACAGTGCTGACATCAACCAGTCTCGAAAGTGTGGGACATCCGCTCGTCCCGTTCCAAGTTGGCGTCACCACTCCTGCATTTCCGTGGTTCGTTCCCTATCCCGTCGCTCTTCCGATTCGCGCCGGCCGTGATGAGGAGCGAAGATAGGGCGATAAGCGATCGAAGATTATCGATGGATGGTGGATGGTGGAGTGGGTTGGGGTATAGCTATGCAGGGGGTGGTGGTGCAGCGATGTCATCCACTCCACGGTCGCATTCTCAACGGAGATCCTGGTACGATTAGGTCAGCAGTGCGTTCAGCTCAACAAAAGCATCCTAGCTCTCAGACTTAAAATACCCTAGTTAGAGCCATATGTGTAGGCTTGAGATTGAATGGAAGCCCTGAGCGGGGCGTTGATGGATGCAGTAGGGAGGAGACGCTTATTCCAGCCCGGTCACAATCGGTGGCATAGACACGACTTGCAATGCTAATGCTTTGGATGCTTGCTTCCATGAACTAGTCTCAATTATCAATTCACAAAAGCAAACAACCGCTGTGACAAAAGGTCACCTTATTAGCGTACAGCTGAGCCTGGGGTCAACTGCAACCTCGCAATCACCTCTGGCAACTCCTCCATCCCCTCCAGAAACACATCAAACTCGCCCCTCACCGTCTCCATATCCTCGTCCATATCATCCGTCCACCGATGAATATAGATCGTGCGCATCCCGACCCTCTGCGCCCCCCTTAAATCATACGCATGCGCCGCGACCAACACCACCTCCTCCGGCCGCAGCTTCACCAGCTCCAATCCCCGTCGATAGGCCTCCGGGCTCGGCTTATAGACCCCCAACAACTGGCTCGAAAACAGCATGTTGAAGCTCAGCCCCGACGAACGCGTCAAGTCCAGCTGGAGCCGCGTGGTTCCGTTGGCAAGAACGAATACCTCCAGGCCGAGATCGTTGCGGAGCTTCTGGACTGCGGCTGGGACTTCGGGCCACGCGGGCTGGCTGTGCCATGCTTCCAGTAGCCGGGTTGTGGTTTGGGGATCGAGGTGGGCTTTGTGCTTGGGGGCTCGCCTGAGGACGACGGGGAGCGCCCGGGCGAGAGTTTGATCGATGTCTTCCGGTGGCAGGTTGTCGCGGACTCGCTGCTCGGTCTCCAGGAAGTATTGGCGGCGCCAGTCGAGGGCAAGCTGCGAAGCCTCCTCTTCGGGAATTGCAGGAGGCATCGACTGAACGATGCTGCTGTGCCAGTCGAGACATGTGCCCATGAAGTCGAAGAAGACGGCTTTGATTTTCGGGGAAGACATTATCGATAGTGGCTGTGCTGTGCGTGTGGCCTTGGTGTGAGTTACTGAAATGGACGGCCGCTATTGAGGAGCGAACATGCTTTCGAGGCTGTTGTATAAGCCTTTTCAGGCACCGGTGAGGATAATCGGCAAGCGTGCCGCATTTCTAATCAACCAAGGCTTGTCATCATGCTAATGGTTAGTCAATTGAAAAAGAGAGGTGCTTATTCCGATGGACGCTCAGACTAACGTAGGGGCCAATAATCTCCCATTTGACAGCACGTCATGGGCCGCAGGATCCTTGACTATTGGAGACCTTAGTCCAGCGCTCAAAGCCACAGAGGCGGAGCAGACTTATTGTAGCTTAAAGAGTCTCTCTCCGAGGCAGCCAAATACTCAATGATGACAGAGGAATGCTTTGAGTCGAGTTTTATGCTCGAAGCAACAGATAATCCAACGGAAATCAGATAGATCGTCATTAAGGGTATATCAACAATTCATTATTATACAAGTTCAAGCAATAACATGTCCTTAAACGCACAAAGCGTATCATCGTCAAACATAGAGCTGTCAATTGTATTTACGCACATCCGTCCGTCCGCTGTTGTACCAGGTCGCCAGGAGTGTACCACATTTTCCGCAGTAGTGGTGCTCATCTTTGAGCGACGACAACATGTAGGGAACGCATCCTAAACAGCAGCAGATGCAAGCCACGGCAGCCCATGCACTGAGAAATATTAGCAAGTTATTGTTTTTACCCCCCAAGTCGGGCATCTTACTGTGTGGTATTCCCCGCCTCTGGTTGCACTCGAGTCATCTCGCGATGCCTGCAGACTGGACAATCCACGGGCGCTGGGCCGCGTTGAAGCGCATGCAGGGGTGTAGCAGTATTGTATCCGCTCGGGGGGTGCGTGTTTCGCGGCGTGGACTCGTCAGGCTGGCGTACCTCCACAATGGGCTTATCGTTTCCATTGAAGGTGGAGGAGTATATGCCGGCGGAGGATGGGTCAGGTTCGGCTGATGGGTCTCTGGCGTTTGTTCAGACGTGGGAGTCGGAGCTGAGGCTGTTGGCTGGGCTGGAGACTCGGGGCTAACGATAGACATATCAGGGGTAGGCTTTTCAGACATGTTGGGGGTATTGCTCGGGCGCAAACTCCACTGCCGCCACTGCTGAAGAAATGGTAGTGTTTCTCTGAAGGGCTCTGGGAGGAGATCGCAGGGTAATAGACTTGGGCTGAGCCCGCCATTGTTCGCAGGGCCATTCTTAGAGTCGGGGCCCCGTCGCGACAGAGCCAGCCCTGTCCTGGTGCATCAACAGCAGCTTTGCGGGGATATCTCTAGAATAGTGAGCAGAGCGATAGGCCTGCAGCAATTGCGTTAGACATTGGGATTACACTTGGCAGACGTGAGATGTGGAAGGTCGGATTGGTCCAGATACGAGGCTGTGAGCTGCATCGACCAGGAGTATTAATTGGGGCTGCACACGAAGTCTTCTCCATTGGGTGCGATACGGTCAGCCTTGTGTCTTTGTACTTTAGACAAGTTCAGTAGACGGGCAGAGTCTGTCAACGGTAATCACTGTTGATATTGACGAGGATTCTGTGCACCTGGCGGATTCGTCTGACATGTTGGATGGCTCTTTGATGTGGCGGGGGAGAATTGCTGCCTGATGGTGGAAAGTCGCAACCTGGACTCACTGAATTGCTTCTTCTTCTTTTGCCTTGTCCAGGGGCACAGGAATAAGCAAAGAAAGTCACCTTTGCTGTGTAGTTCCACGCTGGTTGCTTCCCCACTAGAATTGCACCCACGTGCCTGCCCATTTTTCACCATTGGTCGCAGCAATATGGGTTGAGGATGAAGCCTTTCATTCATAGACAATGAAATATGACCCAACAGTGTATCCCATTGAATGCATGTCTGTTTATGTGGTTTTTTTGACTGAATAGCTTGAGATAATTACATGATCCACAATACAAGCGGTGATTGATGGAATATTAGATTCATGATCGTCAATATTCAATTCGATAACTACCTGTGCAGCCCATCAACAGCCTTAACTATTCACTTTCAGATATAAGATGAAGGGCTACATTCACTCCAGTATGCAATACACATAATTTTTGTATCAACTCTGGTCTCCAGGAACCTCTTTTCGCACGAGCTTTTGCCTTCTTCTCCTTCGCTGACCTAAGCACTTATACGCCTCGATGTTCTTCTGGTCGTTGGCAGTTACAGATATCATCTCATGCAACCGTCAAATACCTCTTTCGAAGGAACTTTTCGATGTCACGATAAACAACAAGCGACGGCTGCCGACCCTAGGAACTGTATCATAGATCGTCATGGAGTCGCTCGCTCTTCCTGGCACTGAGTTCAGAGGACAACATCTCCATGTCGGCAAGGACGCCCCGTCGTCTCTTCCATCTACGGTACTCCGGCAGCCTAGAAGGGACTGTCCGATGCATCGTCTTGTACGATTCGAACAATACAAACCGGATAAGACGTGCAGATCGCCCTCATCGAGATGTCTGTCGCCGATGCGCACTTCCCTCCAACATCGTACCTGCGTCCCCAGTGCAGACTAAGATCGACGGGCATCCAGCACACATATGTGCTTCAACGTACAGCCAGCTTGGCCGAACAGTGGCTGGATGTAGATTTGATGTAGTCGATGCGAACGCTCCAGCCGATACGAACACTCGAAACGTCTGAGCCATGGCGCGCCGATCATGTTCGTGCTCGACCAGTCCTCTGTTCTCATAAACGGGTCCGCCTCGCTCGGTTCCTGGATCTATTCCAACAGTTGGCAGCGCGAGATATTGCCGCGGGTGGAATCGGCGTTGACGATCGGGATCAGCAGTTCAATGGATATTCGCACTAGATCATTAGCCTGTTCCTGTCTTGATAGGCCGGCAATATCTTTCCCTGTGTCCAATTCCTCAATCTGGAGCGAGATCAACGGACCGACATACTTGTGGATCGATGAGCCTGCGCCTACAGGTTGAGGTCCGGTCACAGTCCCCCAGAAATATGTCTAGTGCATCAATCCAACATCGAGAATGTGTTAAGCATTGGGCCAATATGTATGGTGAAGACCTGATGAGGGTGACGTTTGCTGCTTGCAGGAAACTGGAATCAATCATACTGTGCTTTGGATCAAATTTAAGCCGGCCTCGTCTGTCCTGGCGCACTTCGTATTCTCCAAAAAGAAGGTAGAGCGAGCGCGGGTGCGGGATTCGAAAAGGTGGAGGGAGCAAACAAAAAGCAAAAGAAATGTTGCGTCAGCGGGGAGTCGAACCCCGATCTATTGCTTGGAAGGCAACAATGCTAACCGCTACACCACTGACGCGTTTGCTTGTAATGTGCTTAAGCTACATAATTATGTTGGGTTTTGCAAAACACAGGTTGAACGTCGCTACGCAATCTTGCTTTGTCTTGGAGGAGCTTCGGAGGTGGTGATCTTTTCGCAAGAGTCCTCGAGCCAACCTTGAATCATTTGAGAGAGTAATCGTTGTATCCCTGGCGAAGCTTTGGGCCTTGGTGGGACAATCGGTCAGCATCCACAAGACTAAGGACGGCCTTGCGTCGTCATTATATATTCCACGGCGGTATGTAGTAGCCATCCTGCTATATGTATGTCTTTCTCCATACACGAAGCCTGTTTCACTACCAAGTCGTTGACTGATTGCATAACCAAGAAGCATCACTGCCACCGATCTACCCATCCTATTCGAAATACCATGGACTATTTCAAATACAAGACTCCCGAGAAGAAGGTTTACCGCAAAGCAAGAAAATGTGCTCATATAAGATCATTGGACCTAGCTTAGAAAAGCTAGTAGAACTAGATAAAAATTCTGCTACGCTAAAGGATATTATATGTCGGACTTCCCTCCGCTTCTTCCCTGTTCCTCACACGGCTCCAGAAAGCTGGAACCAGACGGTGGGCTTCGCACCACGAAATGATTTCCTAGCCGTCGAGAGGCTCATATAGAACGGAGAGAGTATATGGCACCACCGAAGCGACACAGATCATAAAGAGGTGAACAGCAAAGCCTCCACGAATGAAATACAATAAATGCTGTGAGGAGTAAGCAGCAACGCTATCAGATTGACCTATCAATACTCAAAGCGAATAGTCTATCGTCATCCAGAGCCTCTACCAGCACCCAACAAACCCCGCACATTCCCTCCACAACCCCGTCGCGATCCTCATACACCATCCCTCTCAAGGATACCTCCCACCAGACCCCAACATATCAATACACCTCTCAACCGCCAACTGCATCTGGGCAGTCGCCTCCTCAATAACAGCAGTGAGGGGCGCCTTACCGGCCAACTCGGCCTGCACACGCACATACTCATTATTCAGCACCTTATTAATATTGACCTTACTAACTCCACAATCGATGCACCTCCTGAAGATCTCCTCGGTGAACGGATCCGCACCATGCAGAACGAGCCGCGCGCGATGGCCGACGGTCTCATGAATGCCCTTCAGGCGGTCGTACTCGAGCACGATGCCGCGCGGGCCATAACTCCCATGCACGTTCCCAAACGCGGGCGCCAACCAGTCAATGCCGGTATCGACGAACTCGACGCTCTCCTCGGGGGAGGTCAGCAGGCCCTCGAGGTCGGCGGTGTCGGAGACGCCGTCCTCGCCGCCCTCGATGCGGCCGGGCTCGGCCTCCGTGGCGATGCCGCGCGCGTGGCAGTAGCCCACCAGCTCGCGTGTCAGCGCTAGGTTCTCCTCCTTCGAGTAGTGCGACATGTCGATCATGATGCTGTCGAATCCGCCCATGTCCGCCGCCCGTCGGATGATCTCGGGCGTCTGTGCATGGTCCATGTGTACGGTTACGGGCACCGAGGCGTTGCGTGCTGCCTCGGCGGCGGCGTGCACCAGAAGTCCGTCGGCGTAGTGGATCGCCCATGGGAAGAGCAGGATCATTGCGGGTGACCGCTTGGTTTCTGCCGCGCGCACTGTCGCGATTATCCCCTCCAGGTTGTAGCAGCACATCGCTGGGATGCCGTAGTGGTGGGCTGCCGCGTGGTCGACTAGCGGGATGGCGCGGTTGTTGGTCAGGGGCATTTTGGTTGCGAGATGAGTTCGGTGGATGCGGTGTGATAGGAGTGGGTTGAGGGGTGGTGCTGGGGTGTGTGTTGTGGTGTTCATGCTTTATATGGAGTCAGGGGTGGAGAGACTGATTGTATACTTCTGATCATCTGTTTACTTCTGACTTCTCCGCGGCGGGGGCTCCGAGGCCGGAGTTGCTCCGAGCTGATGTCATTGGTGACTGAGGGGAACCGACTATACAATCGGAAGTCATAATATGGTAAGGTATTTACCAAGTGATCGAACATACGTATTGCACCCTGGCTGGAAGTGATGAACAAGGCATGCAACTCATAATCCTCTAGTAACTACCCAAGAAAACCACCAGATCTACTCCTCATAACTTCCCCAGCACCCCGTCATACAAGCCCACAACAGCCGTAGAACTAAAAGCACCCAACCCCGCCCTCCTAGCCAAGGACAACACCCCCAACGCCGCATTCCCCAAATACAACGGACAATGCAAATCCCTAGCCCTCTGCACAGCAGCCTCCAAGCGCGCAACAAGCGCATCGACCGTCTCCGCCCCAGCCGGCGCCTTCTCCGCGACGCGGCCCTCAATCATCTCCAGTCCCTGCGTAACAAACACCCTACTACCGCCCGCAGCCTCACGAACAAGCCCATAGAACTGGTGCAGATCCACGCCCAGGAACCGCGCAAACGCAATAGCCTCAGCCGCCGCAACCAGATTGACGGCCTCCATCAGATCAAGCACGAGCCTCGTGCGCTCCTCCTTCTCCTCGGCAGCTAAACCAGCGGCATCCACCTCCGCCACCGCACCACCGAAATACTGCCTCACTAGCGCGGCGTCATCGTGGCTTCCGTACCCCTGCAGCAGCGCAGAGAGGTAGATCTGCTCGGCTGTTGTGCACAGCGGTGTCGGGAAGTGGTGTTCGCGAGCCGAGGTCGTGATTATGCCCTATCCCATTATATCAGCAAGAGAATATCCCTTCCACGCCCCGGCTCCCCTCGTTCCCAACCAGACACAATAAAAGAAGGGAGGAGAGGTTAACGCACCGCATCCTTCAAAATAATGGTAACGGCCGAAACGCCCGGCTTCCACTCGGACTCACCACCCAGGATCCTCGGCGACCGGTTCTCATGCATCCACGTCCACGCCGCCCCGGGCCCGCGAATGATCCTCTCAGCCGTGGCGTGCGCATCGAGCCCCAGCCGCGCCGCGAGGCCCTGCACTTCGCTGGCGCCTAGGATATGGATCGCCGCTAGCACCTGGTGCACCATCTTCATGTTGCTTCCCGCGCCGATGCCGCCGGGTACGAGGTATAGCTTGCCGGGGGCGGAAAGGGTGGAGAGGAGCGGCGTGGCGGCCTCGAGCGCGGCCGTTGTTCCGCCGGCCATTATCGAAAGGGTGCCGTCTGCGGCGCGCTTGGCGCCGCCTGAGACGGGGGCGTCGACGACGTGGATGTCTGGTCGATTGTGCGTGGTGTGGAGGCGTTCGGTGAGGGATTGTGCTGTGCTGGCGGGAATGGTGGACATTATGAGGAGGGTTGCGTTTCGTGGGAGGGCTGTTGTTTGTTGTCGTTGGGAGTAAGTGGTTAGAGGGGGTTTCTGACTGGTTTGCTCTGCGAGATTGGATGGGGATTGGGTAGGAATAGGGGACGCACATTGGGCGATTCCGTCCTCCGAGTCGAAGAGCACGCTCTCGACTTGCGGTGCTGAGGCGACCATGCATACGTAGAAGGGTTTGTCTTCGGCGGAGGCGCGCAACGACGCCGCGGGGATGCCTCCAGCTGCGCTGAAGCGCTCGATCGAGGCCGGGAAGACGTCGTAGCCGTGCACGGCGTAGCCTTCTTTCACGAGGTGGGTGGCCATGCCGAAGCCCATGGCTCCTAGGCCGACGAATCCGATGGCTGGCTTGGACATTGTATTCGGGAAGTGGTAGAGTGGTTGAGGGTGCGTGAGTCTGTCCGCCTGGTAGGGTATGATGTCCTCGCGACTTTATGAGGGCAATCGCTGTCGCAGGGATGTCCGAGGCCTTGTGGTGGGGGTGTCCGAGGCGTCGGAGATGAGCCGAGCTCATGCTGCGGGGAGGATATACTCAGGCAAATCTTCGAGTTAACCGACTGTCTTGCCGATACTCCTCCGATACTGCACGGAGGAGGCCGAGCAGCAGCCGGTGGTGTCTCTATTTTCATTCGAGGTCTTTGCTACATCTTCCTGCCGAAAGCCGGGCATCCAGTCACGCATTCACGACCACCTTGGAGTCCAACCAAGCCTGCTAAGCATTCCTCCTCAAAATACACCATTGACAAGACAACCTACTCAGCGATCCTGGCCAGTATCTCTTCGCGCAATCCCCAGCCCAACGACATCGCAGCCCCCGGTCCGAAAGCCGCAGTGGTGGCCGCCATGCCCACGATCACCTTCCACCAAGGCATCGGATATCCATGCCGTTCCAGCTCTTGATACTTCAATCCAAGCCAGATAAACCCACTCGCCATGGCGAGGGTCTCATCGTACTTGAGGAACCGCGTAATACCATCTGTAAAGCTGCCGACAGGCAAGGTATAATCCCACAGACCGGGAACAATGACACTCGCCATAGAAGACCCCGCAGGGAGAGTACGGCGAGCATAAGCAAAGCTAAGCCCTGAAATGACGGCAAAGGACAGATAGATAGCGCGGATGTACCGCAGCGTCTTCTTCGAGCGACGCTTGACCTGTTTGTCTCCTTGCTCCTTTGATAACTCTTCTGCCGGTTCTGACGCCACATTATCCAAGAGACGGAAAGGAGCTTGCAGGAGTGGAACCGTGAGTGGGAATAGCTGCCAAATAGCATTGAAATATTGGCGATTTCTTATTTCCCGAGGGAGAAAATTTCCTAACGTCGGAAGGTAGTATGCCGTGAGCATAGTAGGGAGGAAGGAACCCAGCATATCTGATCTGACTTCATGGCGGCGATTAAGGAGCTTGCTCAGTGGAGTGCGTAGATGCTCGATCATGTAATAGATAGGAGCAATCTTCCCGATTCCTTTGAACTGAAATGCTGCTCCCATAGCGGTTGGACTGCAAAGCATTGATCAGTACACTCCGTTCGGTTTGATATTGGGTGAACACCATCTGAGTGACTCACAATGCAATCTCTGCCCAAGAGTGGGCTTGTCGACCGCTCTCCAGAAGCCAAATGCCGTAGATCGGACACAGATCTGCCATGAAAGACAACATCTGCGCATGGGACAGAACGTCTGAGCCACTGATAGATGGTAGGAAACAGGCGACCAGTACTCCAAAGATCTTGTCCAGCAATGGAATGTTGTAAATGGGCTCAGTTAGACTCAGAGCCTCTCCAGTGCTCGAAATCCAACTGCCACTTTGAAGAAGCGATCCGATATACGGGAAGAACCCCGCAAGCAAAGTATCCAACGAGATATTGGCATACGCGTAGCATGCTAGAAGAGGGGCACAAGCCAGCACTCGTCCGATAAGTGAGCCGGTATCGTCCTCGGGATTTCTCGTATACGGCATGGTGCAACTGGACGCTTTTTCTGGCAATGGCAAAAAGTCAATCACTTCTCCGGTAGCGTATAGCTTGGCCACGCCCTTGAGCAGGTAGCCGTTGATATAGGGTAGTAAAGTCCGAGATAATATTCTGTCCTTGAATGATGCTCCTGCCTCAAGCCGAGTCACTGTATTTGATATCTCAGTGATTTTCTTAGCACGAGTCTGTCGTGCTTGCTGCCAGCGCCGGAGATGATCATCAAGGCTTGAAGCAGACGTCGAGCCAGCGGCCTCATCGCCATCCAGCATTTCCTTCAAACAGTTGGCTAGAGATGCAGCACTTTCGAGCGCACAGTTGCCACCTTGGCCGGCATTAGGCGTCATCTGTATAGAATTGATCAGCAATTCCGTCATCATATCTCAAATCCGAAAAAACGTAAACCCGTACCTTATGTATAGAATCTCCGACACACGCGAGTCGGCCAGCATACCAATGCTTGTAGAAGGCTTCCTCTAGGCAAACATATGACGTACTCAAGACCCTATCATATAAGGCAGAGAAAGGAACATTCGCCGCGATCGCCATATCTCGAAACCGAGCGGCATGTTTCTCAAGATCCTGCTGACTGAATCTTGGGACATGGGTACCCGAGTACTTCTGATCCAGTTTGGCGAAGAGGAACCAGAAGGCGCGGCCCTCCATACCTACAGCGGTTAAAGCAGAATAGTCATCTGCGAAGGTTCGGTGGCAGTCTCCCGTCACCAAACCAGGTGGTAACTCAGAGATACCAAACAGGCACGAATATTCTGCAGTCATGGCTGGACCAAATAACGTACTATCAGCATAACCTGTTCATACAGAAGCAAAAGATCGGCGAAGAGACCGACATACCAGCTCTTTCCTGGGCTGCCTCCTTCCTCAAGCCTAGCGTGTCCATATAATTCCACATCTCTTGTCGAACGATACTTCGGACCCCGTCCGCTCCCACGACCAAGTCTCCCTCGAATACCGAGCCATCTGCACAGTGCACGACCGCCTTAGTTGCAAGATGCTCGATTTTGACTACCTTTGCGCTTAAATGTATCCGATTTTGCTGCTCTTCGAGATGATCATACATGATCTGTAGAAACAGCTGGCGGTCGAGGAAGGCGATTGGATAGCCATGTCTAATCAAAGAGATAAGCCTTCCGAACTGGTCTAGCGAAGTCATCCTTGGTAATCGATGGTGTCCTTACCTCTCAGCGGTTCCTTTCATATTGTCATCGAAACAGATCGGACGACCCGTATTAGTCCAATAGTATGCATTGTGCAGGGGCGTGGTCTTGTCGCGGATGTAGTCGAAGATCCCCAGCTGGTCCAAGATGCGAGCCCCAGTTGGCAGAAACCCAATGGAAGCTCCAACCTGGGGAGCGATCTCGCTGTTCCTTTCCAAGACCACATAGTCAATGTGGCATCGGTTGAGGCAATGGGCAAGAGTCAAGCCCGCAACTGATCCGCCAAAATCACGACGCGAAAGTTCTTCTTCGGCTCTTGCATTTCCAAGGAATATGGTCAAGGTCAATGGTTGAGGCCGGAGTTGAGTCAGGCGGTGGGGCACCCATGTTGTTAAAGCGGCTTGCAGCAATCACCAGGGCCTCGAGCCGGGTAAGGACAAGTTCTAGACAGTATGGTCCCTTGTCAGTCAGCATTCGTATTCGGCTGGGCTGGGCTGCAGAATAATTAATCATCGTGATTACTACCGTAATCGTTGCGGGGTTTTGATCAATGCTGATCAGCCTTGGCCCGGACACTGAAAACCATTTCATAGGTCTAGGTAGGTCCGAGCACTGCCTAACGAGAAAGTACTCTTGGAGGTATTTTACGAGTACACAGCTGAGCGGGGTGTTTGCGGCGTTTTCGTGCAGTTGATTGTCTCCATTCTGCTTTCCCCGCAGCTGGCGAAACGCCATCGATGAGGAGCTTCGTGTTTAGCCTTGATACCACAGTACTTGTTGGTAGACTAGGTGTCACTGGACAATTGCCTCGGGTGTCATGCATATAAACTCCACCAGTCAAATGGTTGGGCTCAGAAATGACCGCGCGCTTCGGGATCAATTCGGCTCTGCATCAATGTTGACATCCAGCCACGTCAATCATAAGCCTTGCAGAAAGCAGTTTTGCGACAGTACGATGAGAGAGTACTTGATGAGGACTATGAGAACCGCAAGTGGAATTTCTGTACACCTCTTCTCAACAACGAAGTCAGTTGTTGTTCTTGACTGAGCTGCTCGCCTAAATACTGTCGACTGCATGGCCATCGGAAGACTGGCATGCGACCGCAAACAGTTTTGTGGAGATTTTGCGGCAAACAAAACTCAGCTCGTGATCTGGGAGACCATCAGAGGTCCTTGGGCTGTCCAATATCTATCTGTCTGTGAATTACAGATGAGAAGTTCAGAATTCAAAGCATATTCGCGAATGAAGGTGCCGCCCGGCCAGACTTATGCATGGCGGCTGCTGTTCGGCTTCTAGACTACCCATACCAAGTCCGAACGAGTGTTCTCAGAGGTCAAAGCTGCAGGAGAGTCTGAACACCATCATCCCCAAACCAAAGGGGCAATGCTATGAGACGGACTGGACATCTGTAAATTTGCAGGCCAGTATCGACTTGTGATTGAACTGCCTTTCCAAAATTGTCACACCGTTCCTGAGCCGCGCATGCCACTATATTCAGGTGCGTTGCCGTGCGCCAACAATCACTCCTAAGATGTAGTATCCAGAGACTTGACAGATCCATGTATCACATAGCTGTAGAGAATATATATATATGAGATTCCATTGGTAGAACTGACCACCGCGGCTAAGAAAATCAACATTCAAAATTTACACCTATTGAAACATCCGACATAAGACCTCGAAAACGGAGGGAATAGAGCGCAGGCAACAAGTAACTGAAAGGAAGAGAATAAGGTAAAGAGAGAGGAAGGAATTGGAATAACACACGACCTAGGACAGAAAGGGAAAGAAGAAATCAAACAGTTCTTTTCTTTTGTTCTTTGTCGCCTCTCTAGTGAGCAGCCATCATCTTCTTGATCTCGGCAATCGCCCGGGCGGGGTTCAGGCCCTTGGGACAAGTCCGCGAGCAGTTGAGGATAGTGTGGCAACGGTAGACGCTCATGCTGTTATCCAGAGCGGCCTTGCGCTCAGCGGTCTTCTCGTCACGGGAGTCGGCCATCCAACGGTAAGACTGCATCAGAATGGCGGGACCGAGGTACTCCTCGCTGTTCCACCAGTAGGAGGGGCAGGAAGTCGAGCAGCAGGCGCAGAGAATACATTCGTAGAGACCGTCGAGCTTCTTGCGCTCTTCGGGGCTTTGGCGGTATTCGAGACCCTGTGGCAAAACAAGTTTAAAAACCCAGTTCCCATCATCCATTGATGCGATAGATACTTACATCCTCAGTGGGGGTGTCACGCTGAAGGTAGGGCTTGATGGACTTGTATTGCTTGTAGAAGTAGGTCAAATCAGGGACCAAGTCCTTGACGACGTAGGTGTGAGGCAACGGATAGATGCGAGACTCCTTGGCAGTATCGGTGGGAATGCGGCCTGCACATGAGAAGTCAGCGACTCAGATCCAACCATTGCGATGAGAGAAGAAGCTTTCGGTGAACATACACAAGCAAGCCAGGGTGTTGACACCGTCAATGTTCATCGCACAGCTACCGCAGATACCCTCTCTGCAACTTCTCCGGAAAGTCAGGGTGGGGTCGATTTCGTTCTTAATGCGGATGAGCGCATCGAGCATCATGGGACCGGTCTTGTTCAGATCCAGCTCGTAGGTCTGCATCTGAGGCTTCTCGGAGGGAGTGTCGGGGTTCCAGCGGTAGACCTGGAACTGCTTGATACGGGGCTGCTCGGAGGGAGTGGGTTCCTGCACGGTCGAGGTCTTAGACTCGGGAATGACGCTGGTAGTGGCATGGCCGGTTGCGCTCACCTGAGCCACGGGATCAACAGTCGCGTAGGAGCGGGCGAAGACAGCTGGGCGGAAGAGGGGCCTGGAGGCCGCGAAGAGGCGCGAAGTCGAGCGGAGAGCAGACATGGTGGGCGATCCTTCAATTTCGATCCGGAGGGATGGAAGATAGGAGCGAGGCGAAAAATGGGATGGGCACTTGAGGCACAGGGGCGAAAGGGTAGACGACGTGAAGTCGGACAAATATTGCGAAGCGGAGGGGAGAGAGGTCCGTGAATAGCAGCCAGCCAGCGGCAACGACAAGGCGACGACCAAGGGAGGCACGAGGTGGATTGAAGTCGAAGTCGATCGATGCTGGCGATGTTTTGTCGCCTTTAGGATCGGAAGGTAACCTCGGGTCTGACGGCCGGCAATTGGCTGACTCAGCGACCTAGAGCCAATCAGACAAAGGCTAATTGCAAGCGTCGGGGATACACGGCGAGGCGCTACAGTGCGGCTACAAGACTTAAATGTATTTCCCTGTGACGGCGAGGAGGTATACGCTTGGTCCAATTCCCTTACGAGAAGAAGAGAAGAGTATAATCCACTGGCAGAAGCACTAATCACTTTTCTAGTTTCTACGTCCTCTTACACCCCGCATGAACAGCTATTCCCCAGCTCCCGTCGAGGGCAGGGCCTTTTTATGTAATCCGGTTTGCCGTCCGCGATGCACTGTCCCAAAGGAGGAACGGAGCGAATGTTTTTGCCGCCCTCTGTCATGTGACTATATTCGCCTTCAAATTTAGGCATGAAATCTTGGAGGCCAGGCATCAAACTATTGCATCACATTTAGGCACTCAGGCACTCAGGCACTCAAGAGTCAAAACTCAAAGAGCCATGTCAACTTCCCCGGCATCGGAGAATTGTGAGACATTGTCCACAAATAACGATACCAAGCTCAACACCGTCAGAATCCTTACCCAACCAGCAATAGGAGCTCTCATTAAGAAGACATCACATTGCCTTAGTCCGCACTCATCTGCACCGCAGTGCCGGCCCCGGTATGAAGACAAGGAGCTTATCTGATTGTTGCCCTTTTGCTTCACACTGAAATTCTCCTTGAAGCATCAGACTCACTGCAGCTCATCACTCTCCTGTCAAAATCAAGTCGCAGTGCTGAAATGTCTGCTAATATCTGTCGAAGCACTCTTTGAAAAGACAAGAGCAGACGGCTCGTATTCTTAAAACTTCCCCTTGTCTTCAATTAGGGGGGGCCATCCGATGCCGCGAGACCCAATCAAAATCCCCGTCCAATCTGGTGCATCCGTGTTGTTCTCCTGCTCCTCCAATCTCGCCTCCTCCGAGTCTCCGACGATATGGCTGTTGAATTGAGCGGAGTCACGCTGTGACCGGGTGGCTTAAGTCATTAGTAGCGCATTCGGAGGACTTGGTAAAGGAGGATGCCATCTCGACCTTGCCAATGCCTTTGGTGAATTGGAACACAGGTGCCTCTTCTTCTCGGTCATAGAAGACAGTTGCATATCATTTCCTAATCGGAGGCGGTACGAGCAGTCTGCTCCTCTGCCAGAGAAGGTCAATGGGCCAAATAGATTGTGCTAAGAGGCCGGTCTCTATAACTGCCATCTTATAGTTATGACCAGACGAAGAGAATAGTCAGATATTATCGCAGTTACGCCACTCAGATGCGGGCTCAGATACCAAATCGAACAAGACCAGGAATCAACTTACCGCCGAGGAGAGCTCCGGAATAGTTGCTGCTTATGGTTAATGGCATGGGCCGGAAATGAAAATAGCAGATTCAACCCCTCTCCATCGCCCGTAAAGATACGGATAGCATTCGAGTCTTGCTTAAGGCCGAAATCCGAGGTCTCTACGGACCTCATCCACCGACTTATCTCTGTCATATGAGTTTCTACTCCCCAGACGGCAATTCGACCGGCCGTTGCTGCACGCCACAATAAAAACAAAATGCCTTCCAGAAATTGCACATAGAGTTTGACCTCAGTCCATCTTGCATATCTTATTACAACGACATTTGCAAGAAGCTTAAAGAGCCAAGGCGTGTGGTCTCAGATTAAGACTCCCCCTCCATTAGTTTATCTCCGCTGGCGTCCTGCAGCTAGGCTCAAATCTAAGACAAAGGTGAACGTCATCACTACTTTCCATCAAGGACCGGATCCTCTTGGAAGGCTTGGAAAGGTATCCCAAGTGGGGTCTATTGTTCTTGGTGGCACCAGCCAGAGCTGTTGATGGGGGCAATTGGCCATATCCGACCAAGACAGTCCTAACATCCGATTGATGGAGACAGGATTCGTGTTCTGGAAGCGCCCGGAGATACCCTTCTGCGAGTGAGAATGGATGCTGGATTACTGGGTGGAATAACTTTTACGTTTCTTTTCTGTTCTTTTTTGTTTTGGTGCCGCGATGTGGTGGGTCGAAGAAAGGCCCACTTGTCTGTGGACCGGCGGTTCAGCGTTCCTGAGTCCTGACACTATGTGTATGCAGAGATACGATCTAAACTCTGAGATGGACGTGGGGACCATCCCTACGACCGTTAAACAGTACTTGCAACAGAAGAAAGGTAATACACTGAGATAACGCAAGTTCCCATCTGTTCCTCTAAACTCTATGTTGCCTCTAATACTAAAAAGTACGGGGTACAGGTCGAAAATCCTCCCACACCACGCTTGATGCTCAACCATCAACTTCACAGAGTTTACAGCCAAGACGGAGGAATTATCTCTCTACTGCAAACATCTGACTACCAGCCTTTGCCACGGTGTGATTTTGACTTTAGACTACAGGGACTGAGCCGCACCGGCGTGATAACCATGAAACATCGTAAATCACCCGGGACGCTCCACAGTCCACCTCTCTCCCATTGCACCAGTTACCAACTTACCACCTGCTTCCGGCCACCCCTTGACGGTGGATCACTGTGCTCATGGACTATGAACCAGGGGGTTTCCCTATGGTGATGGGCAAACCATGTGGCTGCTACTGCTTATCATTGCCTATTCTGTGCTCAACCATGGTCTGGTCCGTTCAAGACTTCCATGCCCTTCATCCTAGGGCTCGGTCAGTACTCCGCGCCAAGTCTGGTACTGACTGAGAAGAATTGACGCATTCATGCCGGAGCCCTTAACTCCTAATCAAAAATGGTTCTGGTCGTTTCATACCTGTCACCCGTCCAATTTCGTTCGGCATGTTGACGCTGCTCCATCAGATGAGATACGGTGGCTCTATCTTCATGATTCCTAGGTTTTCAGATCATATAAATCCTTCTTCCACCCCCTCTCCACCGAATCCTTTCTCTCTATCATCACACTCCTTCACTCCTTCCCTACCTCCGTCCTTCTTTCTCAGCCTTTCCCATTTCTCAGATTGCTGGTCCTTCTGTCTTCTTTCCTTTTCTTTTCGCCCACCATGAAGTACGCCGCTTTTTTCAGCGCTGCTGTCGCTGGACTTATCGGCTCTGCCGCTGCTGTCGGTGTCTCCGGATCCGCAGAGGGCTTCGCCAAAGGTGTGACGGGAGGTGGCTCGGCTACCCCCGTTTATCCTAGCACCACTGACGAGCTGGTCTCCTACCTTGGTGACAGCGAGGCTCGCGTCATCGTTCTCGAGAAGACCTTCGACTTCCGAGGCACCGAGGGTACCACCACCAGCACTGGTTGCGCTCCTTGGGGTACCGCCTCCGCCTGCCAGGTCGCTATCAACCAGAACGACTGGTGCACCAACTATGAGCCTGATGCTCCCTCCGTCTCCGTCAGCTAGTAAGTCTCCTTGCTGACTCACGGTCCTCATTACCTCGCATCAGCACAATTCTGACTCTCCGACCTTCTCTAGTGACAATGCCGGTGTTCTTGGTATCACTGTGGGCTCAAACAAGTCCATCATCGGTGTGGGTAGCAAGGGTGTGATCAAGGGCAAGGGTCTCCGGATGGTCAGCGGTGCTGAGAACGTGATTATCCAGTGCGTCACCTCTCATTAGACTTCATCACAACGTTATCTCCCTAACAGATCACCGCAGGAACATTGCCATTACCGACATCAACCCTAAGTACGTCTGGGGTGGTGATGCTATCACTCTTAACAACGTTGACATGGTCTGGATTGACCACGTCACCACCGCTCGCATCGGCCGCCAACACATCGTCCTCGGAACCTCTGCCGACAACCGTGTCTCCATCACCAACCACTACCTTGACGGTGAGACCGATTACTCCGCCACCTGCGACGGCTACCACTACTGGGGCATGTACTTTGATGGTTCCAGCGATATGGTCACCTTGAAAGATTCCTACATATATCGCACCAGTGGTCGAGCTCCCAAAGTTGCCGGCAACACTCTCCTTCACGCTGTACGTCATAATTCCCAAGGGGTGGTTCGAAAAAGTTCGAGGTATCAGAGATGATGCTCAACGTAGGGCAGGGTAGAGCTGACTAAAGCACTATACCGCCCTCGGGGCAGAATCTGGATCTTTGTCGACGTTCTCGGATCATGCCGATCTAGTATTCTCCTTCTTTTGACCAAGTGCTAACCTCATAACAGGTCAACAATTATTGGTATGACAATTCTGGCCACGCTTTCGAGGTTGGATCCGGTGCCTATATCCTTGCTGAGGGCAACGTCTTCCAGAACGTTGACACAGTCGTCGAGACCCCCACCTCCGGCCAGATGTTCTCCGTTCCCTCCACCTCCTCTGGAACTTCCTGCACTGCCTCCCTCGGCCGTGCCTGTGTTATCAACGGCTTCGGTAGCTCTGGCACCCTCAGCGAGACTGATACCGACTTCCTCAACAACTTCAAGGGCAAGAACATTGCCTCCGCTTCAGCTTACACCTCCGTCGTCTCCACCGTTAATTCCAACGCTGGTTACGGCAAGCTGTAAAGGAGAAGCTAATTGGACTGCTCTCCTGGCCGTGGTGAAGTGGCTGTTCTTGGGGGTTGGATTGGTGATGATCATAATGGTGCGTCGAGGGAACATTTGCCTTTCGTGTAATTATCTCTCTTTACCTATGGGAGTTTCAGAGCCCCATTTATGTTGGGACTTGATTCGACAATTTAATCCGCTTTCCAGAGGAAGTTGTGCCTCGCTATATACAGTTTATCAGCAAGTGTAGGACCAGAGTTGATGTCAATGCTCTATGGAAGTATAGCCGTTGATCATTCTAAGCTTGTTTTTAACGAGACACTGTGCATTGCCTTTAGACCGCCTTCTCTCAGGCCAGAGACTATATATTGTCGGTCATTGTCTGAGCTCGTGCAGCTTGCTCTGTGCTCGTAGTAGATTCCTGAGTATTTTCTATCATTGCATTTCTTCCTTCCAGAAACAACCCCAAACCCGAGAAGGGATATCGAAGTCATAGATGTGCATTGAGGGCACTCCAGTGCTATAAAAATATTGACCCAACCAATGAATTTTGGAGAGCTCGATGAGAAAGACAGCATTGAAAAAGAACAATTCCCCAAAGGGAATCGTACAGACGACCTACCCCCACGGCCGAAGAATCGAAGCACAGGATGTAGCATCCACTCGACTATCAAGGGGCTAACATAAAAATAATATTTAGTGGAGTGGCCTTTATGGATCATCATTTCCATATGTAAAGTGCAACGTCTTCGCACCAAGCATACTCATGTAAGGTCCCCCGTTATCTCACAACAACATGACGAGTGTGGAGTATTTCGGGTCACCGCGGCCGAGATCCGATGCTTTCGGATCTGTGCCGGCTAGACCGAAGCATTTGCTGCAACGGATATAATAAACTTCAATAGCCCGTTTCGATTCTGGAGTTCCAGACGGTCTACTGTTTGACAATAGGGACCATCTGATTCGCGTGTGTGATGCTCAGGACAAAGGAAGGATATGTATGCCTAGAAACCGACTTGAATATCTCCCAATCTGCATCGACGTTGAGAGACAGGGCGGAAACAAGAAGTGCGCGGATGATATCATATGCGGTTCAGCTGCGAGTGGGTCGGAAATAGCCCGATGACGGGTTCCTTGCACGTTGCGGTCTCTCCGAGACAAGGCGCGGAATCTTCCTCTCGGACATTGCTGATTTATTCCGTAGGATTGCCATCGAACTCGAGAATCAGTATTGTGTACGTAGTGAAGACTGACTGATTGTGGACGGGACTTCCATAGTTTGCACTGACCGTGACCGCATTGGGAAGTTGGCCGGTTTAGCCTTCTTAGCTGAGTTACGGAGCGCCGATCGCCACCAAATTATTCTTCCCTATCAATCTTCACCGAGTCACTCCTTCTCTCGTATCCCCGCCAGCCTCGAATCCACTTTCTCCGACCAGGTTTCTCGTGTTTTCCACCTCTCTCCAGCTTCTATTGAACCATCATCTTATAATCCCACAGCCTTCTGCTCTGTTACACTCATAACCGCTTAGCGAACCGGGAGCCTCTCTTTCCCGGCGATCGATTCGGCATCGGGTGACAGATCACGTGTTCCGGGGAAGGCGTAACAAATACCTCGGGCAATGATTCTTGAGCAAAGAAAGAGAGAGCAACATTGCGACTGACACCACTCATCGGCTTAAGATATGGTAGCGCCGGATGGTGCTGGAGCATCAGCCTCGCCGCCGGTCAATGCCACCGACGCTGGGCCCCAGAAGCGAAAATGGTGGAGGATTTTCAGCTTCCCCAAAATAATCTGGGGTAAGCTAAATATGGACATACCCACTTTGCTTCTCATGATGAAGTACGCCCCTTCAATTGTCCCACTACCGTGCACTATTCGCTGATTCCTTGGTGTTCTCAAGGGGAGCGCTGCCGCCTACGATATGTGTGGCCATGTATGTTGGCCTACAACATCCATCCTATCTCTTCTGAGCCGAGCTAATGAGCCAAAGGTACCAATCAGATGCTGTATCTGGCCAATTCAACACTGTTGGCTATCTGGTGGCCATCATTTCAATCCTGGGCTTCTCCATCATGCCGCGGGCTAAATTCATCCAGATGATGGTGCTTGACATTCTAGCAGTCTGCGTGGCCTCTGCTTTCGCATTGCTCATGATGTACTGCTGTATCAAGGCTCGAGGACATACAGAGTCATCTTCCCCGACATCGAGTGCTACTTCGACGACATCCACTTCGTACAATGCGTCCGCATCGGCAGTCAGTGGAGTCTGGCTATTTTTTCAGATCTATGTGGTCCACACGTTCAGAGCAAAATTTCAGCAGTTCCAGTTTCCCGTGATTATCTACTCTATCGTTGCTAACGTCACATTCACTTACGCCTCTCGCCTGGGGACCATGGCTGCAGCAATTGCATTGGTCAAGAAACTGCTCGAAGCTTGTTTGACTGGGTTAGCAATTTGCACCGGTGTATCCCTGTTTATTCTGCCCAAGAGTACTCGCGGGATTGTTCTCAAACAAATGGGAGGCTATATCCAAGGCCTACGCGGTGCTCTTAGAGCCCACACAGCGTATTTCGAATCCCTAGAGCGCGAAGATATGTTTGGGCGGGCGGAAACTTACGACTCTCGAGTGGAAAAGGTGACCGAGAAGGGGAAGGTGTATAGCTCAGAGGCAGCGGCTATTCGAACAGCTTGCCAGAAAATCACAGACATTCATGCTAAGATCCATGGAGACTTGACATTTGCAAAGCGTGAATTCGCTATCGGTAAACTGGGCCCCGACGACCTCCAGGCAATCTTCAGACAACTGCGTCAAGCTATGATCCCGGTTGTGGGTTTAAGCTTCGTCGTCGACATCTTCCAGCGCCTGTCCGACTACAATAAGTGGAACCAGCCGATTGACCCTGGCGCCCCCGAAGACATACGCTGTCGTATCGTGCAGGAATGGAATGATATCATGAGAGCTGTGCATGATCCCTTCCGCTCTATGATTGACACGATCGATGAAGGCCTTCAGCATGTGTCGTACGTCCTTGAATTCAGCAAGCCGCCCAAAGAATCACCCACGTCCAAGAATGCCAACGATGTTGAGGCCAATGCAAGCCCGAAACCGGGCGAGAAAGGCTTTGCCGCCCACTATGCAAAGAAGCTTAGTAACTTCAAGGCAGCTAAACGCATCGCTCTACGGGCTTGGGGCGAAGAGAAAGGGATCACCCTCCCTCCTGATTTCTTCGAACACCCTTCTTCCGTCCACCTCGACGTGGACGATATTCCCTCGGATAGCTCAGGGGTCGGACGGGATCGGAGCCGAAGGCAGCTATACTTGATTCTCTACGTACGTGGAAATTTATGCGGTCCGTCCGTTTCGAGCAATGCTGACTTGTATAGATGGAACAACTCCTCAGTTCCACCGGTCATGTCGTCCAGGACTTTGTTCACTTTGCCGACGAGAAGCGTGCGAGCGGGAAAATGTCACGGAAACGGCTCGTTATACCCGGATCCAAACGCCTGTTGAAATGGGTCGTAAGCGCTTTTAAAGCCGAAGATACCCACGAAGACGATAACCTTGGCGGCGACATTAGCTCCCAGAACAATATTCTCCAGCTTGGCGAAGCATACAAACACCGGAAAGACCCCGAACATTTACCTCCGGAGAATGGATTACAAAGATTTGGAGATAAGCTTCGACGGATACCTTCAGCACTGCGCTCACCCGAGTCTGCTTATGGCTTCCGCGTAGCTTGCGCCACGATGACCGTGGCCGTTGTCGCATTTCTCCATGATACTCAGAGCTTCTTCGTGAAACAAAGATTCGTATGGGCCATGATCATGGTCAATATGAGTATGTCGCCGACCTCAGGGCAGAGCATCTTTGGCTTTGTCCTTCGTATTCTAGGCACTGTGATAGCTATGGTGCTTAGTCTACTGGCTTGGTATATTCCGGGCAAGAAGACCCCAGGAATCATTGTCTTCTTGTTCATCTTCTTGACCTGCGTCTTCTATGTGCCAATCAAGCAATTCCGCTTCCGAATTATTGGCATTATCACTATCATCTCTACTTCTATGATAGTGGGTTACGAACTGGAGGTTCGCAAGATCGGAGAGGAGGTTGCCAGTTCTAACGGACAGCAGTATTATCCTATTTACCTGCTAGCGCCGTACAGACTAGCAACGGTGGCCGGAGGTATCGCCGTTGCATTTTTCTGGACCTTCTTTCCTTATCCGATCTCGGAGCATTCTGCCCTCCGCCAGAGTCTGGGGGCATCTTTATATCTTTTGGCAAACTACTATTCTGTCATTCACGAGACCGTATCCGCGCGGATGCGAGGCGACGAGGGTGACCTGGCACTGAAGACTTCCTCAGGACGGCGATTGCTCAAGGCTCGCAACAAGGTGTTTTCCAAGCAGATGCTCATGTTGAACAGCTTGCGGACCTACTCAGGCTTCCTGAAATGGGAGGTTCCTATCGGTGGACGATTTCCGAAGAAGCGTTATGATTCAATTATCACATGTATTGACAGGTACGTTCGCTGGTTATGATCTGAGTTCGTCGAGCGCTCTAACTGTGTGCACAGCATCGTCAGCTACCTGAGTCTTCTGGGATACGCCTCGGATACTCTCTTGCAACTTGGGCACGCTGATGATGAATCGGATTCCGCCTGGCTTCACGACTTTAGGAGACTGGTTGCTAGCGCACGAATGACGACGCATGAGGTAACATCTGTGTTGTGCCTCCTCTCGGCTAGCATCACGAATCAACAGCCTCTCCCGCCCTATCTGAAGACACCTCGTCCATACAGCTTCTCTAAGAGGCTTGAGGCGCTGGACAAGGATATCTTGAATTTGAGACATATCGCGGAGCCTGGCTTTGCTACGTTCTCAGTACTGCAGATCTCCACCCGATGCATTGTTGGTGACGTGGAGAGACTGATGAAGTGAGTTCGCTAGCTATTCCAGTATAGTACTATGCTAACGGAATGCAGAGACGTGAAGGCGTTGGTAGGCGAATTGGACTTTTCCTTCCATGCCATTAGCACTGCGCACAGCACCAAGTCGTCAGCTGAAGTGTCGCGAGTGTCGAGGACGGACCTGGACAAAGTTGACTGACTTTGGTTTCTTCTGTATATAATATTCCAATTTAACTCTGAGACAGTCTCATGTAGCACAGAACAGGTATCTTTCTTGGCGAGGTCTTGTACTTGATGGAGCAAAGTAATGATGCACTGCAGGGAAGCGGCTTAAGCGGCGATGGCCGCTGGTTTACCGACAACCCCACGCCTGCCCGCAATTGCCTTATCCTCTTTCACCAACTCACCTACACACTCAGTCTCACTGACAACTAAGATGCAAGATTTCAGAATTGACCCAGACCTGCTGCGACGCTTTGCAGGCCGTACTGTGATTGTGACTGGAGCCGCAAACGGGATCGGAGCGGTCGTCGCATCGCGTTTCAATGATCACGGGGCAAAGGTCGTCGTATCCGACCTTGCGTCCTTTGAAGAAACAGCCGAGACGCTCATAAAAGCATTTTCTCGGCCCGAGCAGGCAGTTTCTGTTGCTGCTGATGTTATTGACTGGCAGCAGATGAAAATGCTCTTCCATCGGACAGTTCAGCGCTTCGGAGAGGTTGACATTGTCATCGCCAACGCTGGGGTAATGGAGTCTCGTCCGATCATGGACCTCGATGATTTGGATGAGAACGGTAATCTCAAAGAGTCCATTGAAGGCTTTCGAGTGATCGATATAAACCTGAAAGGGACCTTGAATGGTAAATTCACCTTGGGTATCAGGTCGATTCCTGCTGACGATCGACAGCTCTCCGACTGGCAATGCATCACATGAAGAACAAATCCAAACCATCTGGATCCCTTGTCCTTCTGGCTTCTACTTCGGGGTATTTTGGAGGCACCGGTGTAGCAGCGTATGTCGCTTCTAAACATGGGATTGTGGGGCTACTTCGTGCAACCCAGAATACTGCGCAGCAATATGGCATTCGTGTCAACGCTGTTGCCCCATCTTTCACTACGACCCGGCTCACAGCAGGATCCGCACAGAGATGGCACGAAGCAGGTCTCGAATCCAAAACGCCTCAGCGTGTTGCGGAATTTATCGAGCAGGTTGCATTAGACCCGACACGAGCGGGATCGTGTGTTCTAGTGAGCTCGCTTCTGATCATTCGCGTGCTTATCGGAGGCTTTTTCTAAGACTAAGTCTTGCTCTGATAGGTTGCCGGGAAGTACCTTCGCGAAATGGAAATGGAATTCACCAGAACAAGAATGCTCGCGCCATGGCTTGGTGAAGACGTCGCGAGATTTATGGCCAGCGCCATGCAATTTTTCCAAGATATAGGGGGTTATGTGCTTCCCAAGTCCGCTTAAGCGCTCTCCTTTCCATGTGAATGTGCTGCCGGCTAATTCTTGGCCTTTTAGCTCGAAATTGAATATTGATGTGACCTGTGCTTGCATACCAGTACTACGAAGGAAAGCCAAGCTACCCGAATGCGGAATTTCTGTCTACGGAGGGTGATCGGAATGCCCTCATCGAGCAAATCACAAGCATATCAATTTGTTTTGCTGTTTAGATCATGGCTAGAGCTGCACCATGGACGGTTCACATGCATGGGCGAAACTAGGGAGCAAGTACCAGCACGCGTTTACGTATCAGCTCCTCGCGGATCTGTGCTTGCCCCTTGCATACTGGAGCATGCTAGTATGTATTGACTGATATAGTCGGCTCCATCAAGGCAATAGAATTTTGATTGATTGACTGGTTTGCATTTAGCTTTTTCTTTGGGTTGATGATGCAACGAACTTCCCCTCTATCCACGACGATGGGATGCTCGACCATCATATGTGCTTAACGTCTCTTTTCCGTGTCGCGCTCAGCTGTCTCAGCTGCTCTGGTTGAATCGTGCGGATTCCAGAAACCCTGAGCACCGAACGACAATGGGTTTGGAGTATGTCGACTCTAGCCATGATAAAAGCGGCTCCGACGTGCAGCTATACAGCGGCAGATGCATCGAAAACCTAGTTGAGGACGTCGACGCCAGGGCAAGCCACCATGATAATAATCTGGAAGCCAATATCGAGCGGACCAAATGGAAGCCGGACGTCAAGGAGTGGCTTATGATTATATCCGCCTGTCTGCTAGTGACGATGGATGCCTTGAATGTGACCGTGCTCATACCCCTGATACCAGTGCGTATGGCCGACAACATGCTTTTGATGTGGTCTAACTGAATGCTTTTGTTATAGAGCTTGTCAAGCACGCTCGACCGAGCATTGGGCGGGATACTATGGATCGAGACCTCGTACCTCATCGCCAGCGCTACGGGCCAAGCCCTTTTCGCCATGCTCACAGACCTCATTGGCGCAGGCCCGATCATCCTTTCCGCTGTGGTCCTCGCCACAGCCGGGACGGGCGTCTGTAGCGGCTCGATGAACCTGGCCAGCCTTATCGCTGGCCGGTTTGTGCAGGGAATAGGAGGGGGCGCAGTGATGGCTTATTCGCTGCTGGTCATGGCCGATATCATCCCTGACATGTACTTGGGCCACTACTCCGGGTACCTCTTCCAGGCTCGCATCGTCGGGTCTATGCTCGGCCTGGTTCTGGGAGGACTATTCAGCGACTATACCTCGAGGATCTGGGCTTTTTACGCCAGCTTTGCTTTCTGCGCACTAGGGCTCCTCGTCATCCCGTTCGCCGTGGACCTGCGTGGCCGCCGCAGCATCTCCATGCGCAAACTTCGCAACCTGGGCTGGCTGAGTATCGTCCTCAGCCTTCTGGGAATGGCTTGCCTGCTCATCGGCTTAAGCTGGGGAGGCACCTTCTACCCGTGGTCCAGCTGGCGGGTGCTCGTGCCTCTGTGCATCGGGGCGGGCGTGATCCTCCTCGTGGTCCTCTACGAAAGCGTCTGGGCGACGCGGTCGATCTTCGCCGCCGCAGACTTCCAATCCCTCCCGCGCGCGATGATGTATCTCAGCAGTTTCCTGCATGGATTCTCGGTGCGCTTTCCCCAGTCACCCTTGCCCTCCAACACTTCGAAGCCAAGCTAACCCACCTGAGTCCAGCTCCTATCCCACCTCCTCAACCTACCCATGTACCTCATCTTAATCCAAGGCATCATCCCAACCCTAACAGGCCTCAGCCTACTCACCGTGACCGCCCCATCCCTCCCAGCGCTCTACCTAATCTCCAACTGGTCCCTCCTGCACCGTCCCCGCACAATCCGATGGATCATCCGCGCCGGCTGGGCCATCAGCGTACTCGCCTCATGCGCCTTCATCACCCTGGACATGCACACCGAACCACAAGCCTGGGTCTTCATCTTTCTGGCCACAGGAATATGCCACGCCCTGCTCATCCCAGGCTACCACCGCTGCCTCCAACACCGCCCACCCGCAACCACCGCGCCCCACGACCGCTGGAAACCCGACAACAACAGAACCAGCACCACAAAAAACACCCCCACCGAAGTCTCCAAACCAGGAATACTAATGTACTCCATCCTCCAAACATGGGGCATGTGCATCGCCGTCCCTGTAAGCGGAGCAATCATCCTAGGCCAGGTCGTCCGCGAGATGAGCGATCAACGCGGCGTGGATCTGTTGGGACTAGGCGGAACCACTGCTGCAGCAGAAGAAGGAGACGGGACCTCGATGATGCTGCTGCTGCTGATGGGACAGGGTGGATCCGGTACCGGACCCGAGTCCCAGGAGATGCAGGCACTGCGCGCCATGTACATGGATGGACTGCAGGCGCTGTGGCGGGTGTTGTTGGGGGTTTCGGCTTTGGGCGGGTTGTGTAGTTGTTTTGCGCGGTAGTTCCGTTCCTCTTTTGTTTTCCTTTCGGTTTCAGGTAATGGGGCTCTGGATTATTTAGCGGTGATGGTATGGTTGATAATTGATGTGTAGGTGGATAGAGGGAGCAGCTGGATTGACAGTTGGGTTTGTTGATGGAGGATGAATTCAGATTGAGATGGGATGTGGAGGGTGGAGGATATGTGGGGTTTGCTGTACGTTGTCCCGTGAAGTATTAGCTGAGAATTCGTGGACAAGTTTACTGGGTTCTATTCTTGCCTCGTACTTACTTGACCCAGACACTGGGTTTTGCAAGAGGTTGTTTTTTTGTTGTGATCGAGACTGCTGGGTCTGGGTTCATCATTCTGTTCTGAATGGTGCTCTGATGTCACGCTTAACAATTGAAAGGGACAGGCAGATCCAGTACGGCTGATTGACCCAACTTCTGTCGGTCTGGGACCCCCGATACTGTGCTCATTCCTCATGAATCAATCTTTTGGATTACAGTTGTTCGGACTGTGATCTGCAACTTAAATAGAGCAAGGACTCTGATCAAGAACGATTTACGGGTTGGTTGGGATGGCTGGACGTATAGATGATCAGGATTCATATCCTTGGCCACGAGAGCTCAAGTTCAGTTTACCAGTAAGTGAACACTCTACACTACATATTGATCCCAAAAGAAGACAAGACAATAATGCATCCATTCAATCAATCAATCAACCAAGTCAAGCTTCGTACAGAAAGACTCCAAACAAGAACAAGACCCAAAGCAAGACATATCAAAATGGGATAATGATAGAACTTCGACTAAGGAAGACCGGCAAGGGTATCAACGTCACCAAAAATGAATGCAAGGCTAACAATGCCACAGAAGAAAGACAAATCAAGATAACCACTTCACCCCACTCACAAACACAAGTCCTTCTCTTTCGCCCACCGATCAAGATGCTCCTCCAACGGGCAAGGCGATGGGACCCGCCGCGACGGCGTCCCGAAACTGGGCCTGGGCCCGAAGAAATACTCCTCGTCTTGAGCCCAATCATCGAATAGGAACAAAGGAGAACGAGGATAATACTCCGGGTCTTTTAATGCATCGGGTGAAGAGCGAGGATGTCGCTCCATATTTTCCATAAATCTCGTCTCGGCGAGACTAGGAAGAGTTCGATACTCTATGCCTTCAATCGAGACAGGAAGAGCAGAAGAGATAGGATGGAATTCGACCCCTTTCACCGTGTCGACACGAGCGACACGCACGTCGGAGTTGGGGAAAGGAATGGACTTTTTAAGACAGAAGTCGAAATCGAAGTTGCTGGTGCTGGTGCTGGTGCTACTGCTGCTGTTGCAGTAGGTGCTGGCGCTGTTGATGCTGCTAGTGTTGGTGGAGTGGGAGGTGGAAGCAGTCGTGATATCAAGCCTGGGCCTCTTCGACTCTTGCTCCGGCTTCTCACGGCGGCGGATCGAACGGCGTCTTTTGGCGCCGACAGGTAGAGATGCATAGGAGGATGGTTGATCAAATCGAACCCGCTCTAACCCAATCGTGATGGAGGAGATGTCTTCCTCCGTGCTGACGAAGGCCTTTGCCATCAGACCGAAACTGACTTTCTTGTGTGGCTTATTCGTGGTGGAATTAGTGGTGGTGGTGGTGGTGGTGGCGGTTGTGTCCTTCTTGAGGATGCTTCGGACAATGTCTGTAGTGGACATCTTCTCTATCTTTCTTTGGGAGTCAGAGGGAGAGGTGGATAAATGATAGGAGAGAAGAGAAGAGGAGGATGTGAGAGCTGATTCTGCTTGAGGAGGATTGGTTTGTCGATTGATAACTTGGGTTCTGTGTCAGATATGAGGCAAGCGGACAGATGGACAGGAGGATGCAAAAGTGAAAGAGCTGGGTACAGAGAAGGGGAATAACTGATACCTCTGCTTCTCTTCTCTTTGGACCGGGTGTTGACGTCTTGTTGATGTGGCTTGTCTGCTTTTTTCTTTCTTCTGGGCCTCATGATCGCACTTCGAGCTGGATCAGAACAGGAACTTTGATTCCGGCCAATGGATGAAAAGTTTCCCATGATGTAGTGGTGAGCCGTATCAAAAATCTCTGCATATGGGTAATAATGGGATGGGAATTAGAGTCATGCTTCGGTGGTTTGGTTGGCACGGGGGTGCGTATATTCCGAGGATGAGCGTGTACCATTCACTGGATTGTACCTATCCTAGGGCGTTGGCAGCGAATGGAAAGGAAGTCTGTTCACTCGTCTGGACATTGGTCTAGAAAGGATGATGCGCGAGCTCCTGAGTTCCGTTGGTTGCAGTGTATATAGCTTGTGTTGGCTGCTAATGAGCTTGTTGCATAATGATAGAGTCAGCAGCGACTCGCTCTGCTGGCCCACGGATGAGGAGAACTGTGACCGCGAGGGTCATTGAATATCGACATCCATGGTCGACCATGAGCTCGGTATCCAATGAGTAGGAAGGGCACTCTTTCATTAACGAAAGAGAAAGCCATTGTCCAGCCTGGAGGTCTTATCGTACCCAAATCCGATGAAGGGAGGAAGCTATACTAACAGGAAGGAGCAAACGGAAAGAGAGGAGACTTTCTAATATTACACTGCTATTCCGGTTACTTGTTGTCATTCAGCCATAGATTGCTACATAGCACCCAGATTAGGGATTGATACATGGCCGTCTCTTTTCATTCCTCTTGCCAACAGTTCAGCTATTGTATATGAAGCCCCGTGGGGGTGATATGTATGGGTCGAACTCAATGAGTAGACTCATAGAGTGATACAAGGTTCGGCGCCTCGTTCCCAAGACTCAGCAGGAATTGAATTCCATGATGATGTCAGCCACCTAGGCAACTGACAGAATTGGCATTGATCTTGTCCTGCACTTCCCTGGTAGCTCTTGACATGAATTGCGGGTACCTTTCATGCTCGGCAGCTGACCTTAAACTTGTGGTTTGGACGATGACTTCTAAATTTAGATTGATACAGATGTGTTTACTCACTACGAAGTCGCTATCCTCACAATCCCTAAGAAACAACAAGCACCATAATACCAAGACGAGATCAATCAATTACTCTCCAATATCACAATAGAACAAATCACAAAAGCAAACCCACTCCCAAGCCCTCCCCCATCCCAAAAACAATCTCACTCCCTCTGCAAAAACCCAACCGAATCCAACTGCTCCGCGCCACCAACCCCCAAACTAATCCCCTTCACCTCCCCCAAATCCCTCCGAATACTCTCCAACTCCAACGAGATCATGCCAAACGCATCAGCCCCCAACGGCACACGAATCGGGATCCTCGCACCGCGACTCACAACCGCGACCATGCCGCGCGCAATGGCCTCAGGCTCCGCCCACGACCGCCGATTCTCCTCGTGGCTCATGTACTCGACCAACGTATTCGTGGGATAACTGGGGTCCGCATACGCAGGGTGTCTCCCATTGACCATGGTCTTGAGGCTGGTAGTCGCGTAGTTGGTCTTCACGCCGCCGGGCTCGATGTTGCAGAGGTGGACTTGTTGCAGTGGTTAGCCGAGCCAGACTACTTTACAGCGCACAGACACCCGCCCCGTCACCCCGTCGGAAGTACAAAGGAAGGAAAAAGAATGAACTCACTATTCCACTGCACAGGCAACTCCCTCGCCAGCGCCTCCGTCCACCCCTCCACCGCAAACTTACTCGCATGGTAGAACGCACTCCCCGGGAACCCGATGAACCCGCCCATCGAGCTAAGGTTCAGGATCACCCCGCCTTGCTGCCGACAGCCGTGCTGTGGGTTCTCATCGCGCATGATACCCAGCACGCGCTTGGTGACGTCCACCAGACCCCAGAAGTTGGTGTCGAAGAGGGCGCGCGACTCGGCGTCCGCGGCAGTTTCAGTGTCGCCCACTAGCGTGTAGCCTGCGTTGTTGACTAGGATGTCGATCCGGTGGAAGTGCGTTAGGGTTGCGTGTAGGGCGGCGTTGATTGAGGCGGGCGAGGTCACATCCAGAGGGAGGGCGAGGATGTTGTTGTTTTCAGCCGCGGGGAAGGACAGGGTAGCTGGGTTACGGGCTGTTGCGACGATGCGGTGCGTTGGATGGTGGGTTGCCAGGTGGTTGACCAGGGCGTGGCCAATGCCGGAGGAGCAGCCCGTTACTGTTCTTAGGTGGTTAGGATTGTTCTGTGTCAATAGAATGGATGGGAAAGGGGACTGACTGAACCAGACGGCGTCGTCGGGAATGTGGTATGGTTTAGTGTTGGCTCCGTCCATTGTGGGAGTCAGAGGATCTTGTTTGCCTTGCTGTATGATGATGGAGGAAGGAAAGAAAGGTAGGGGGACTGGAGAAATAGCGCTATTTATCTGCAGTGACTGGTTGTGGTGGCTGATATTCTTGGTGGTGTAGTATGTATGTAGATCCATGATGGCTCTCGTCAGCCACGGGCCTGTAAAGTCCGGGGCTGCGCTTATTTCCATCTTGCCCGCCATGGCCTGGTAAGCAACCCGAGCAGCGCAGATGGCTGACGAGACGCACGGTAAGCGATTAGCTTGACGTTGAGAGAGAACTAGAATCAGAGTTTCGTTGAAATTGAGCAGCAGTCAATGAGTGAATCCGGATTCATGCAGAATGTCTTGTGGATATCTAAATGCTGGGTTCGAAGGCCGCCAGAGCCCAACTATGCTTTTCGCAGACGGTCGAACAACCATCCATCTTCAGGTCTTTTGCAACCTGAAGAAAAGGCAAAAGAAAGCCTACATACTGAATACAGAGGCAGTCTAATACTCAGGCCACTCAGGATCAACCTGTTTCCTCCAAGAGTGAAAGCCTCCCTGAATGTCGACTACCCTCCGCTGTCCTTGTCGGTCCAGTCCCAGTTCCTTCAATTTCTTGACCACAATCTGGGAATCATTCCCCATGCGACACACCACATAGATCGGATCTTTCGATTCTGCAGCGGCAAGCTCCGGTGGCACCCACGAGGGAAGCTGAGCCGAGGAGTCGTCGCCTTTGCTTGTAGACGATGCCAGGATCGTCGAAATCGGGATATTGATGCTGTTATCCAAACTGCAGATGTCGAACTGCACCTTCTCGCGCACATCGATCATCGTCGGCTGTTTGCCCTCTACCCCAGGTTCGGACGGAGGATGCAACGCCTGATACTCCAGCGGCGTGACACGTTCCTCCGGCGCAAGCAACATCTCTGAGTCTGCGCTGCCGCAGAAGAAGACATAGTCCGTGGAGCCCGAACGCACCGTGTCCAGGCTCACCGTAGCTTCTGCAGAGCAAACCGCGCAGTTGGCACGGCGGGAGCGCAGCTTGATCGTCCGGAAGAGAGGCGAGGAGTATGCCGAGAAGATATGCAACGCCGGCGGACTGGGGGGTTGGGTGTCGTCTGCGGTGATGACCTTGATGGCTTCCAGCGCCTGCAGCACGCCCATGGTCCCAACCACGGGACCCAGTATACCTCCGTCCGCGCAGCTGGTGACGGTATTAGCCGGTGGCGGTCTGGGAAACACGCATCGGTAGCACGGTCCGCCGCTGTTGTCGCCCACCGGCCGAGGTGGGTTGTTCAGGACCATCAGTTGGCCTTCAGTGCGCAGGGCGGACGCGGAAACCAGCGGCTTGCCGAGCAGCACGGCGGTATCTGAGATCAGGTACCGCGTCGCTGGGTTGTCCGTGCAGTCCAGTATCAGGTCATAGTCCTTGAAGATATCCGCTGCAGCGTCGGGTGCTAGGTGTTCACGATGCGCAATGTATGTGGGATGAGGGTTCAGTCTATGGGAGCGCAAGTATCATAAGTCAGTCAACCAATTTTCAAGTAGAGGCCGCGACAGGGGCAGTAGGGAGGGCGATGCTCACTCCTGAAGATACTCGATCGCACTATCCACCTTCAGCTTTCCCACGTTCCGGCTGCGATGCAGAACCTGGCGGTGCAGGTTCGACGCTTCAACAGTATCCCCATCCACCAACCCCAGAGTCCCGACTCCAGCTCCAGCAAGGTACATCGCAGCCGGACATCCCAGTCCACCTGCGCCAACAATGAGGACTTTCGCCGATCGGAGTTTCAATTGCCCTATTTGGAGACAGCGGCCCAAAGTTAGCCTACATTCATTCCAAGCAATCCGTACTATCACGGTAGAAAAAGAGGGGATGAGGGAAAGAATGAGTATCTACCCACCCCGCAACCCCAACTGCGGCACAATCATCTGCCTCCCATAACGCCGGTACTCCTCAGCGAGAAGTGGCCACCGTCTGTCCTCCTTCGCGCCATCCTCGCTGCTTATACTCGTGCTCTGGACTTGCGAGTCATGGGCCGCTTGCTCCGCGATCTGCAGTTCACGTTTCAGGCCTGCAAGCTGGGCCTCCGTAACGGCGATCTGCGCGCGCAGCGAGGCGCACGTCTGTTCCAGGCCGTTCATAAAGATACAAAGAAGAAGGGAAAAGAAGGAAGAAGGAAGAAGGAAAAAGGCGTATGACGGTGAGACGAGAAGCGATGGAATGTATTGTGCCAGCCGAGGCGCCCAGACAGACCCCCACGCCCGCAGACTTTCTCCGGGCTCTTGATCTTATCAGCTGTACGTGCTAAGCCCAATCGGGACAAACTAGGAGCAGGCTCAGGAGCTCGCCAGGTGCCCAGGAGCTCGCCAGGTGGCTGGGAGACTGTTCGTCTGCTGACCGCCCAAAACCGGCAGAATAGTGTTTAAAACAGCCGGCGGAAACTCGGCGCTGTAACTGTTCGTTTCTTGGCCGCCCAACACCGACCGGCAGAAGGAGTACTTAGCAGCCGGCGAAAACTCGGCGATGAAACTGTTTGTTTTCTGACCGCCCTATCCCAGGGTGGCAGAATACTTGGTTCTGCCTGAGGCACTAGATACGCTCTGCAATTGCTCGGTTGCGCGTTGTGTGGTATGCTATCAGTCCAAGGCTTGATGTTTGAATGCTATTCGATGACTGAGACGTCTTTGAGTCAGAAACTGTGCTTTGAATCTAGGCAATACGTTCTGGAGATTTTGTTGGGCTTATATCGGGGTTGGCTTGGACTTAACAAGAGCTGTCCGCTCTGAACTTGAGGCACTCCTGTTCCCTGGCGTCCATAACAGGGATAACATCGACTTTCAAAACGCAAATTCATTGTTGTTAAAGCTTCAATAATGAGTATACCAAGCACGACAAGGGCTTGCTCGCGATACCCTCATCGCCGTCAGCTCCGGCAAGATAGACAATCAAATTACCCAACCGTGAAACCATTACATTAATGAATCTAGAGCTAAGCACATTCTGGAAAAGGAAAGCGATCAAACTGACAAGCTGGCAGATTACCGAGAAAGATGTAACTTGTCCGTGGCTCAAAGAATCGGCTCATAGTGTCGTTCGAGTCGATCGCGAACGAGCGTCCGTTGCTCAAATGCATAAGCCATCCCTATCAACGCCTCTTCGCTCCACTTGGGTCCTAGAAAACTGATACCAAGAGGAATACCAGGCGCTTGATCGACCAGATTCCCACGCGCATTGTGTCTGACCGGTGTTCCATCAGAGTACGCTCCCATTGGCACTGTGATGACTGGTGTTCCAAGAATGGCGGGGATATCGGGGGCCAGGTGGGTGGGCAGAATCACTGCATCAAGTTCATGCCGTTTCAGTGCTCCCAGTAAACCCCCTTCTTCCGCGAACTTGAGGCTCTCCTGATACAGCGACCAGAACCCCGGAGAAGTGTTGGTCATGCCAGCCGCAATCACTGAATCCCAAATGCCCGTGTCGCGAGAGGGATATTCTTCTGCTGGCGTCTGCTGGACGAACCGGCGAATGTCTCCGACGCTATGAAGCTGGTTGGGATTGCTCGTCAGACTTGACAAGTAGGTGGCAGTGTTGGATGTGAAATCGGCGGCCACCACCAACGCTGGGATCGAGCTAGAAGAGAAGTCGTTGTACGATGTGAAGTTCGTGTCATCGATGACGGCCGCACCAGCAGACTCAATAACGGAGATCGCCTGATCAAAGAGTGAAATGATTGGCGCATCGTTCTGCTCGAGATAGTCAATGACATTTCGCGGTACGCCAATGCGTTTTCCTCGCAGTCCAGATCGCTTGCAGGCATCCACATAGTCAGGAAGGAAGTTACCGAACGGTGAGGCCAGCGTATAGTTATCTTTGGGATCTGCACCCGCAAAAGCTTGCAGCAACATCGCAGCATCTTTGACCGTTTTAGCCAGGGGCCCGATTGTGTCCTGGCGCTCGCTGATAGGGATGACCATATGACGAGATGTAAGACCGACAGTTGGTTTGATCCCGACGATATTGCTATTTTCACTTGGAAGCAGAATACTGCCACTAGTCTACAAGATTGAGAACTGTTAGTTCGTATCGAATCATCAAATCAATGGCCACTACTTACCTCGGTACCCAGAGCAAAAGTGGCCAAGCCCAGGTCAGTCGCGACAGCGCTCCCGCTTGAACTCCCGCTTGGATCCTGCTCAGGATAGTAGGCCCCATACGTCTGGCCTAGCCTCGCATTCCATCCATTCGACGAATTGAAGGACCGGAAGTTCGCCCATTCCGACACGCTACTCTTGCCCAAGATGATGAGCCCCTGCTCTCTGAGTCTAGTCACCACAGTGGCTTCAGCAGGGAGCTTGGTACCGAGGAGGGCATAAGAACCGGCTAGAAGACCGAGTGTCAATTCATCATCAGTCAACTTCAGCCCATCTCACCCGAGATATCTTCCCCTCACCTGTATTGTTAAGTTGATCGCTCGTGCCAATGAGATCTTTGATCAAAACTGGCAACCCATGGAGAGGCCTATCACCAAGCCCGGCATGATTAGCAGTCCACATCGTACTCTGAGTCGGAGATTCCTAATAGGGAAAAGGGCAGAAAACTACCCTCGAACATGGCATCTGCGGCGCTCTTCATCAAGCCCCCTTGCGATATTCACTGCATCATCATTTAACTCCAATACGGCATTCGTCCTGGGATTGGCCTCATGAATTCGAAGAGTGTACGCCTAGAAAGATTTCCGGTCAATCGGAACTCCCCGAGCCTCTAGCTTCGAAACCCGACTGAGGGGGACGCACCTTAACCAATTCCACACTCGTAAAACAACCATTCTCAAGTCCCTCTCGGAGGTCATCCACTGTAGCATCGATCAAAGCCGGAAGATCGCATTCCTGCCGGCCATTGTCGGGCAATTCTGCGCGGCCCGGGAGCAGGACATGGCAAGCATAAGGAAGCGCCACCAGGGGCAAAAGATGCCAGAAATGCATCTTGGTTCAGACCGAGTCAAGTTGGCAAAACAGATAACGGCAAGCTGAGGCTTCCCTTTCGAAAGTGATATTGAACCAGAGGCAAAATTGAGGGGAGGTCAGGCTCCTTCCACTAGCTCATATGTGAATATGTGGACTTAAGGGAAACTCCGCGTCTTTACGGAGGGGAGTCTCAGCCGCTCCTGCCTTGCAACAGCGGAAAATGTGGAAGATTTGAACTTGCCAGTCACTCCGAAGTGAGCATGCACAGATGCTTTCCGGGCTTCAAAGCTTCTTCTCGGGGACTTTCAAGGCAGGAACGGAGAGTCACTATGGCCAATGGATGATGTTGAGAATTGAGGTGCCAAGCCAATGCAAGGACGGCTTGCTGCAGAAATGTGAGGAATCACTTGTGATGAGCGAGGCTGGAGCAGAGGCTTCTTATGATAAATGAATAAAGCATAGGATGGTGTTGGGTGTTTCCCTTATTGAGACCCGAATTTGGCCTGGTCTGCCCCCAGTACGTTTGAGACAGGGGCGAGATGTCACTTTCTCGTTTTGAACTTCATCTGCCACGAGGTCTCAGGCCAAGGTTAGGCAAGAAAAAGCAAAAAAGGGGGAAGGGAAAAACTTCTTCCATGAATGCTAAAAGTTGTCGGTTACCACCGCTTGCATTTTGAAGCTGTCTAGAATAATTCAGACTTGCAATTGTATATCTCCGCTATCAAGTCACTGGCCCAGATTCATGATACCAGCCCCAATACTCTAAGTCTCTCTAGCCTCTAATATCTATATAAGGATCCAGCCCCCGCGCGGGTAAGTCATAATCGTATACAGGGGAAAGAATCAAGCCATCGGACCTAGCCAGCTAGACCCTGTCTTGGCTGTTCCGGACACGAACGGTCTCCGCATTCATGTCTTCAATATGAGTGGCGCCTTGCTTATGCATGGTGTGCTCCACCGCCTCTTTTCGTTCGCCTTCGTCAACAGCGCCAAAGAGGACGTCCATGTCCTCCAGACTGCGGCCTTTGGTCTCCTTGGCGAAGAAAATGACGAAGATGCCGGCTGCCACACAGAAAATACCAAACATGAGGAAAGTCCTCCAACCGAGGCTATGGACGGCTTTCGGTGTGACCTCCGTCACGACAAAACTCCACAGCCACTGCGAGGTAGCTGCCAGGCCAACGCCGTATGCACGTAGGCGGGTAGGGAAAATCTAGTGCCAGATGTTAGCCGAGCTGTCCTCCTTCTCCGGGCTTGGAACAGGGACGCATTAGGACTTACCTCACTGACAACAACCCAACAAGTCGGGCCCAACGAGAAGGAGTAGCCAATGACATAGAGATAAATCATAACAACCATGGCAATGGAGGCACTGGAGACACCGCTGGAGCTCGTGTCGGGAGGATACGCAGCCAAGACAGCACCAAGGATGAACATCATACTTGCCATCCAGAAGGCACCACCAATCAAACTGGGCTTGCGACCCCATCTGTCGATACCAACGTAGAGGAAGATGGCTGTGGCAACGACCTTGACTGTTCCATAGATACCAGTAGCGAAAAGAGAGGCACTCGTAGCACTCAATCCAATAGTTTGGAAGATCTGACTCGAGTAGTAACCAATCGAATTGGTTCCCGACCATTGCTGCCAGAACATGAGACAGAAGGCAAAGGCAAAGCGCTTCAAGTTGCTGGCCTGCAGGAATTCCTTGTAAGTGAGTCCTTCAGTAGCAGATGCTTCCTCCTCAACTGCTGCTCTGATTTCGGCCATTTCCTGCTGCACCGCGTCGCTGTCGGGTGATTCATTGCGAATGTAGGCCAGGGAGCTCAGCGCTTCCTCATAACGGCCCTTGCTGCTCAACCAACGCGGCGATTCCTTGAGAAAGAACAGTCCCATCAACATCAGACCACCGGGGATTAGCTGAATTGCCACGGGGATACGCCATTGCTTGGTACTAGGCTTGATGTGCAAGGAAACACCGTAGTCTAACCAGTAGGCGAATGTGCTTCCAATGACAAGGAACTCTTGGAACAGTCCCGAGACCCGACCACGAATTCTTGGAGGACAATTCTCGCTGACGAAAACAGGCGTGATACTAGACATTCCCCCGATTCCCAAGCCAGCGATGACACGGCCTCCATAGATCTGCCCGATAGCATGTAGAGAAGAAACCTGTACGGCTGCACCAATAAGGAAGATGACGCTGAAAATCATGAGCGAGTAGCGACGCCCAATGCGCTCATTGAGGGGAGCAGCAGCGATGGCGCCAAAGAAGCAGCCCGCCGTTAGCAAGGATACGACGTTGGAGGACACTTGTGAGTTCTTCTCGGATGCGAAACCCGTCGAATCTGTGGGGAGGCCGAAGTCGTTCTTGAAGCTGTCAAGGGAGAGGACACTACCCATCACACCAGTGTCATAGCCTAGAGCACACGGCTGTCAGTAGAAGCACGCCAGAGACAAGAATGAGAAGTACGAACCAAACAGGAGCGAGCCTGAATAGGCCACCGATGTGAGGATGTAGACACGATAGTTCTTGAAGAGGCCCATCTTGGGAAACTTTTTCAATTGGGGGTGGGTTGTGAGTCAATGGGTAAATCCTGGCAACACAAGACACAGGCCCTTTCCTCTCAAAGCTCTCAAAAGAAGTCCAGGAATTCTCAATCGGAGGTCTGCTGGCTATATAGGGCCATCTTGCCCAGCCTGACTAAGACATAGGATCCGCATAGCTAAATAAGCGTCATGCAGTTGAACCAAGCAGGCATAGTGTGTTGGGGATTGTATCGAGGGTGGCGGAGAACACTGGGAGTATCGGGGCAGCGGATAGCTGCAAATGGGCAGAACCGACCCCAACTCGCTCCCCGCACCATCTACTTGATCCAGCAATTCCGGGGGAATGGTGGGTACATCCGGAGAAATTGTGCGGAGGTGATAGCGGGATTTTCCGTCCACTGATGAGTGTCGCTGAACACGCTAGGCCACACACCACCAGAATTTGTTCGACTTGGTGAGCATCCCCAGCTACGCCCGCAAGGTAATATCATGCCATAAACTAGGCATGCGTCTATGGTGTCTCAACCAGTGTGAACCCATGATGACGATTATCCACCAGGATATTCGGTCCACACCCTGACTTTGGAGAGGGGTAAGAACAAACTACCTCGTTGATCCTAGCCCAGTGACGCAAAAGCCGGTGTACTGTCCAGAGTTAGAGCCTTATCATTGCTCGCTCATTGGACCAAAGCCCGACCCGGGCTCTTATATACGAGCCGAGTCTCTTCTCGGACGCAGGAAATTTATCTTCATTTATCCGGTTCTGAGAGTACCGGTGAGCTTCCAAGGGAAAGGCCCTGGAAGGCAGAGGTGGCTGAAAGCTTGGCATTATTCAGTGTAATAACAGGCTGGGATTGATCGTGGGCGAGTATAATTGAGTCCGCCTCTCACGCCTGGAGGCTTGGGACAAGCCACGTCCGGTCTTGAGAAGAACGTCAATGGCCAAGCGAGAGCCAAGTGCGATCCTGTGTAGGGGGGTTTGACCCCGGCTTGCCGGAGGTTTGGCAGAGGAGAGTCGCCGACCGCCCAAGCAAGATGCGTAGACGCATTCTTTTCTGTCCGATTACGTTGGGGAGGCGAAAGATAGCTCATTTGACCTGCGGCAGTGGTGTTTTCCCTCGCGAGAACAAGTGTCAGACAGCCTTCGCCACATTCAAGAAGTGCTGCATAGTCACTTCAGACTGGACTAACCCTTTGACCAGCGGAAATTTCTTGCACGTAAAATCTGAGCAACAAGATGTGCTCTGGCATATCTGCTTGATCGTGCGAAAGCGCTCCTAGGCTCTTCCGAGGTTCGTATTTTCGTGCCATCCTCGAGCCAAGCTTGTGTGTATACGCGAGATTGTCGGAATGGTGCTTTGGTTCTGCAATTCATGAAAAGACCCACGCTTCCAGTATGAGTATCGCATGACTTGAAGAGCGAGACGGAGTTGGGTCGAGGAAATCTAAATTGGAGAACGACATGTCAGTTTCGTCTTTGTGGAAGCGTACATTGATATGACGGCGTAGTCATACTCATTTGCCTCTCGCCATGTGTCAGAAAGCCGGTGTTTCAATGCTTTCTGAGTCGATGGATATTTGGTTGTTGTTTTTTTTTGTAATGCGTGCCTTCCCTGCCTGCTGTACTCATCCACCCCTTTCTCTCAATTTCTACCGCCCTTGCCCTCCTTCAACTCCCACCCCTTCTGTTAACCTTCACGGTCCAAAAACTCTCTTTCAACAGAAATTATTTGGGATATATGATGCTCAAATCCCACGAAGCGCAGACATGAAACGACACCGACTCTCATGACATTGACCATGCAACGCTCATAGATGACTAGACAGACGGCCATTATGTTGCACGCCTCGAACAAAAAGTGCAAAAGCCAGAATAAAATTCTGCAAACAGTCGGTTCATAATCTCAACATATGGACGCGGCTCATCTAAAGGTATATCAATTCTCGACCCTATCAAATATCTGATTTCTGGCCTTTGCATGATCGCTTTAGAATTCTGAACGTCGATGACACTTGGGCCTTGACGATGAAGACCATCACGAGGCAACAGAAGATTATTATCGGTATCGATGCGACCGCAGAAGACGACAACGAATCGGTATCCTCAGCTAGTTAACCCTTCACCATACGAGTCGCGACACTTTCAATTGGCGGGTAGGGAGAATCCCGACCTATGCACGCCTATGGATACATTGCGAGCGGGACGATATGACTCTTGCATGCCTAAGACCTGTCCCTCGTAGAGAGTCGTCTGGGTTGCACTGCTTGCGGATTTGATCTTCTACTGCTTTTGTTTCGAGCATGCACTGACAGGTGTAATCACACCAGCACCTTGGTAGCCATCAAGCAGATGAATCTGTTGTATACCTCTCAATGAGCGGTATCACGGAATGACAACTCAAGATATAATATGTGTTGCAGAAGCTCAACGGTCTTTTCACTATCTCGTCGCAACTTAAAGCTTGGGAAGCAATAAAATAAGCTACTATATGGAGATATATTTATGGTCAGATCTCTACGTACCTTTAGAGTAAGGATCGACCTTTGCACTTTCCCTGGTCGTGACAACTTAAATTCTTCGACAGCATCAGCCTTGCTTCAAGTTCAAGATTTCCGCGAGACGGTGATCCCCATCTGCACGATGAATATAGTTGTGGTACCCGGCTCTCAGTTCTCAATGCACAGAAGCATCACACTCCCGGACGAAACCAACCTATCTTAGTCAGAACTTACATAAACCTTGAATCTACAGCCAAGCCCAATCTTTCCCCTGACCGGGAGTCGCCGAAGCATGTGGCCGGATCATTGGTCCAGAAACCCAAACAAGCAAACAACCAGAAATCCAAACAGTGGTTAAATAGCCGACCACAAACCACGGGACAAGACCAGGCACAGGCCCTGATCATTCGTGTTCTGCAAAAGTTAGAACTGATTTGAAAATCGTGTGGATCACAAATCGACCGGGATTCCCATGTCTTTTGCCCCGAGATGCTCCCTCTTCACTCAGTAATCAAGCAAGGGCGGGTAGCGGGTAGCGGATTGGGCTAGATCAGATCTTAAGGATGACTACATAGTCCCGTAGGGGTTGTGAAGACAGCAGGGAGGGAGGGAAGGAAGGAAGGGCGAGAAACTTTCTTTGAAGCCTGGTAGTAACTACTATAGTCTAGTACTCGTACATTAGTATCCGACCTCAACCGCCTAGTCAACGGTGCGAACGGGGGCCATGTGCTTGTTTTTGAGCGATGACTGGCTCATGCTCTCCCACGCCGGCTGATTCCTATTCTCCAGTCTTAGTACCCAGACCCTAGGTATAGTTTAGCCTTTTGCTTGAAGAGAGGGATCTGATATGAAGAATTGATCTGAATGGTTGATTCTGTCGGGTGATTTACCGTGCCGTAGAAGCCTCCCTTCACCCTGCCGCCTCACACCTTCCCTTTCTATCCCTTGATAGACAGGGCGGCCATACCAGTACAATTCTCAAGAATGACGTTCCTGTCTTCCAATACCAGCTGGGTGTTGCACCATTGTCCCTGATCCTCGTCACAGTCGATTCTCGATGATGTTACTATTGCGGTCTAGAGCCTGCCGTGTGGTGAGCTCACATTTTGATGTCCACCGTGCAAGCACCCGATTAAGCATGGGATGCATGATGATTATATCTACAGTGCAGCAGTCCCCTGATTTAGGGGCCATTCCACTAGCTGCACCCATCTTTCCACCCCACACGGACACTGCATTGGTCTGTCCTGGTCATTTGGGAAGGCCTTCTTCTAGAGAAATGTCTGCTGGTGATCGCAGCATGTGCTGGATTCCCATGCACCTAGTGGGCTAAACCTCCCATTGCATCACCCAAGTATTGGGTCATGATCGCCACCCCTGCCCCTCTCCCTTCCTACCTTTTCCACATGCTATCATCTGTCCAGAGTGTTTTCTGCATACTGTCCCCCGCTCTTGCGACTGTCTCTGATGTCAGTCTCTGTATCTTGACGACAAAGGCTACGCCAATGGCAACCAGGGAACCTGTCTGCTAGCTAGTACAACTACCAGCTGTGTCCGCTCTTTTGTAGGATAAATTCCCGGGTATACCCCGCGGGTGGTCGAAGAAGAAAAAAATCCCGATAGCATTTGCTGGCTGTTCGGTGTCTTTCGTTGCATTGTGTTCGCTGCGATGGGTCCCTGGCACTCGTTACTAGTCTGGACCGTGCTTGGGCCAGTCGCCCGGTCCGCGAATTTGACTTCTCATGTAGATTTATTGTAAGTCGTCGCGATCTGGGCTGTCCCTGCGCTGGGGTTGAGCACATACGAAAGAGAAAAGCTAATTGGGATGATCCAGTTTGGGCACGCAGAATGGCGGCAACGACTTTCCTGGCGCGGCGCGACCATTCGGGATGGTGAAATTGGGCCCGGACCTCTACGTCTCTGGCACAGACGCCTACTCCGGCTATCTGCCGAATGGCGAGTTCTCCGGGTTCAGTATGATGCATGAACAAGGCACCGGTGGTGCACCCAAGTACGGCACCGTGTCGCAGCTGCCGCTCACGGGGCATATCACGAACCCGCTGTCGAACATCACCGTCGGTCGTGAAGGCACGGACAGGGCAGCGGTGGGCTACTACCAGGCCCAGACCTCCCAGGGAACCGTGGTGGAATTGAGCGCAACTGCCCACGCGGGAATCTACCGCTACACATTCCCGATGGGATCCGTGGCAAATGTCCTCATTGATGTTTCCCATGTCCTGCCGTCGTATAGAGGGATGGGCTTGAGTCAGGGCTATAAAGGCGGCAACATCACCGTCTTCCCGGACGGACATTACGAAGGCCATGGTGTATATGACAATGGCTGGAATCGCTCACCGGACTGGACCATCTATTTTTGTGTGTTTCCCTCTCCCCCTCTCCCCTTGCTTCGGCAGTTCTTGAATGCAGGGCTCATAGGCCAACAGGTGGTCATTTCGATGCTGCGGCCGTCAGCAATCGCACTTACGTGGGGACAGACGCAGACGGTAGCGTTCGACAGAGCAGTGGCACCGCGTCCTCTACCTCCGGTTCGACTCGAGTTGGAGCGGTGTACACTTTTCAGGACACCTCAGTGACATCACGCGTAGGCATTTCTTGGATTAGCACCGAGAAGGCTTGCAGGAACGTCAATGAGGAGATACCCGATGACAAAGATTTTGCCTCTGTCGTCACTGATGCTCAGACTGAATGGGATTCCAAGGTTTTGTCCAAGGTGACGACTAGCAACACCAATGAGACGACACTCAAAATGCTGTACACGTCTTTGTATTTTATGCACTTGATCCCGACAAACCAAACGGGTGAGAATCCCGGATGGTCGTCCTCGGAGCCATACTATCAAGACATATTCACATTTTGGGTAAGTGACGTCTTAGTGGTCGGCTGAGACAAAAAGTACATTGCTTACACAGCCCAAGGATCTCTTCCGATGCTCTACTGCTCTCATGCAGGTACTGCAACCAAAAGCATATGAGGAGCAGATTCGGTCACTTATCGACATCTGGCGCTTCGAGGGCTACATGCCCGACGCTCGCTCTTCCAACTACAACGGGCGCTCCCAAGGTGGCTCAAACGCTGACAATATCCTTGCAGACGCATATGTCAAGGGGGTGCGTGGCAAGGTCAACTGGGAAGATGGGTATAAGGCTATGGTCAAAGATGCGGAAGTAACGCCTGCCAATTCCCCAGTCGATCCGCAGGCCCCCGACTCATCAACAAAGGAAGGTAGAGGCGCACTTCCAGACTGGCTTCGCTTAGGATTCATCACACCGAAGTACTCCCGATCTGTCACCCGTGCAGTGGAATATTCCTGCAATGACTTCGGTCTGTACCAGGTAGCGTCGGGATTGGGGAAGGGGGACGATGCGACGAAGTACTTGAATCGGTCGCGAAATTGGCGCAATCATTGGAACCCTGAACAGACCTCGCTTGGATTCTCTGGCTTTGTGGTTCCTCGCAACGAGACGGGTTTCATGGAGACCGATCCCTTGGGTGACAGTGGGTACTGGGGTGACCCTTATTATGAGGCCAGCAGTTGGGCATATTCACTTAATGCCATCCATGACATGGGGAAAATGATTGAGTGGATGGGAGGTAATGAAACCGTGCAGAAGCGGCTGGATACCATGTTCACCGAGGGAGCCAGCGGTTCTAGTGGAATCATATTCGATCCAACAAACGAACCGTAAGTCATTGTTCGCCAGTGAGCCTTGTTGGGAGAAACACTGACTCATATGTTCAGAATGTTCAATGTCCCCTACCTATACCATTTTATCGGCCGACAAGATCTGTCCGTTGCACGGTCGCGCAGTGTCGCCAAATCGTACTACGGTACGGGCGTATCGGGTCTTCCTGGGAACAGCGACGCAGGTGCTATGCAGACCTGGATCTTGTGGAACATGATCGGTTTGTACCCTGTCACAGGGCAGTCGACTTTCCTGATCCACTCCCCTTGGTTCGAGTCCCTTACCATCGATCTTGGAGAGGGAAAGAAACTGAGCGTCACCGCCCACGGTGGTGACGGCAATGGCGGAGGCGATATTCACGTGCAGTCGCTAAAGTTGAATGGAAAGCCATGGAGAAATAACTGGTTGGTGTGGGAAGACATATTTGCCGAAGGGGGTACGCTGGACTTCGAGCTTGGGCAGAGCGCGAGTGGCTGGTTCACAGGCGAGCTGCCCCCCAGTCCAGCTTCGTAAATAATTATTTTCATGAACATAGATAGCATTTTTCCCCACAATACGGAGTCATTTTCAAGGAAGTTGAAATACCTGGAATTAAGATCATAACGAGGTAGCAGTCAGTGAACACGAGTTCTCACCAATTCGAACAACGACTTAGCTGGAAAGAGGAAAAGCAGGCTTCACAAGTCCTTTTCAGTAGTGATGGAGCAAGGTCTCTGACTCGTTGCGGAAATTGTGTTGATCATCATCTCGATACGATTAGCCCCAGGGAGGGCCTCAGAAGTCTTGGGCTAAAGAAGACTGGCGAGTGATCGTCGTTTCTAGAAGATCGCCGAGTCGATCGTAACTATCCGATCGCTCCTTACCAAGCCCATACATATTCACGATCCGCTGGTGGAGAGCTCGGCAAGAGTAATTGAATGCGACGTAAAAATAGGTCAGGGCGAAGGACACGAAGGCCCTGATCCCGATATGTTTACGTCCTTTGGACCTGTGGAATTGACCAACCTCATGAAGAAAATGCGACGTGTAAAGGAAGCGGTCAACAATACGAGAGACGGGAGGGAGAGAAGTCGTTGGCGGTGCTGTCTAGCCCGCCACAGCCGCCTGGCGGCGCTATCCGCCGCAAACCCCTCGGGGATAGTCGAACCAAGCTCAGCGAATTTAGCGCCCCATCATATCAAGCAACCACTGGCGCGATCTACTTAGCATTTCCACCCCAGAGCAGATCACAATCCCACCATGAGCCTCGCTAACTAACAGAGGGGTCCCCTGAAGCCCCGAACAGATTAATGTCTTCTTTTCACTGGGACGGTGCTCAATTTCTAAAGCCTGCAGCTGCCCCACGTGGTATGTCGTTCCCCCCCCCTTCTTTGCGCTGATACTCAGTATAAGCGTCATTTGACGAGCAGATGGCTTTGGACTTGGTAAGGTCTTCCCTTCTCATGCCGTGAATCTGTCCAGACACGTCGATTACATCCGATCACTTGCATGATGTGGAAATGAATGTCTGTCGCGGCTGTTATACAGCCACAGAGCTGAAGACCACAACTGATACCTCACACTACACGGTTGAATTGTAATCGACGTGTTTCCAGCAATTCCGAGCACGACATGCCCCCATTTCACCCTGATCGGCTGCGGCTGCAGACCCAACCACTTTACCACTTTCAGACTGCGGAAGGCGAAACCTAAATCGCGGTAGCGGCATCTCGCTAGCAAAGTTTGTCGCTCTCAAGATCCGAGCTCCATATACCGCCCTGGGTCTACTTTCACTCCCATTGTTGGCGAGTGGATACCGCGGAGATGTTCGCAAAGAAGGAGAGCAAGCCCATCTTGCCTCTAGGATTGGTCACTTAAGTGCTGACAGGCGAGGAAGATCGAACTGTATACGGGGGCAACCCATGGTTTGCTTTGCTCTGCATTTCCACTTTCGTGGTACAAGGGTCTTCAGGGACGGCTCATCAACTGCTAGCTCAGCTGGCCAAGAGAGACGTGGAGCAGGAGAGGGTTTTCCTTTTGACTGATCTCCTCAAGGTAAGCTCTTGACTATCGGGGTCTATCAATTCCGGGCGGATGGAATGCTGAATCGTCTTCTCGATCGAAGGGAACGGTCTACCGCTACCAGCTACCTTGCCAGATGCATACAGGTGCATAAGAAACGAAGTATGGAGTATCTGATCAAGCAATCTTGTGCCTACAACTGCTGGAGTTGGTGGACCGACAAGTTCAGCTCTTCGCTTGCTAAGACGGCCTAGCTTATTTCGGCTCACTATCCGGCATGGCTGCAAAGTGTATATCATTCAAGCCAATTGTATCACGGCATTGCTTCGGAAAAAAGCTCCTTTGATCCGAAAGTGTGGTTCTTTAGCCACTGTGTGGTGGATATACTGAGTAGTAAACAAAGCGCAGATCACAATGGCTGCATGTTATTTGAGTGAAGATCAGCGGGTCCTTGTGAACCGTAGTAGTTGATCAATCAAAACTTCAGCTCGTACCTTGCTGATGCTCACAAGCAAGCAATTGCTATACATCACTGTAAGAGTTTGTTTCTTTGCTCCTGTGCAAAGATTACACTGTTTGGAGTTCCGAAATGTTGATCATGCAAGTCAATGAGCAGGAACTGCAAGAATTGATCGTGTATACTTGGCTGTACCTGATGATCACTGGGAAAGTTCAAACTGCGCAAAGTTTGAGAGGGTAAACAGACTCTGATCATCATTATACTGTCAATCCGTATCCACAATTACTTCTCTCTCCTGAGAAAGTACACAAGCTAGGCAATTGCTGTCGACACATCAGTTCTCCTAGGTTCTTCTGCAGAGACTGCAGAGAGTCAGCGCGAACGAGCTGGAGATCTTTCTGAGCCAGCTTCAGTATATAAAGACGGTGTGCACCGTCCTCTCCTCTCTTTTCTTTTCCTCATCCATAAGCAAATCATCCATTCTTTCTCGAAGTCTAACTTCCTGTCATTCCTTGTCAATTCATACGATACCTAATTATAACTCTCTTTAATTTTCTTTTCACACACATCATCACCATGAAGGCTGCTTTCCTCACTGCTCTCGCCGCTCTGGCCACCTCCGCCATCGCTGCCCCTACTGGTGGAGTGTCTGACCTCACTCAGGTCACCAAGTCCCTGTCTTCTTCCAGCTCCTCCGTCTCCAATGGCGCTGCTGCTTCCTCTGCTCCCGGCTCTGCTAGCGGCCACGTTGTTCAGGACCTGGGCGGCAACGTCAACCAGATCCTTACCGTTACCGGGCCTAATGCCAAGCAGCTCCTCATTCAGCTGAGCCCAGAAGTTGCTTCTCTTCTTGCCGGCCTTGGTCTTCCTGGTGTTGGAAAATCCGTGGGCAGCATTGTCAAGACCGCCGGCAACGTCGGTGACTTGCTGAAGGACCTTGCTGGACCTGTTGACAATCTGCTCACAGTTGTCGGTCAGGATGGCGGTGTTCTTCTCATTCAGCTCGATCCCTCCCTTGTTGGCCTCCTCTCCAGCCTTGGCCTGCCTGGTGTTGGTGTCCCCGTCGGGACTGTTGTTGCTACTGTCGGTGAAAATCTGAAGCGCTCCGAGGGAGCCGACGGCTCCAACGGCAAGATCGTTGAGGATCTTGCCCCTAAGGTCAAGGACGTTCTTGAGGTCACTGGCCCTAACGCTAAGCGTCTTCTCATCCAGCTCAGCCCTTCTGTTGCTTCTCTCCTCGCCAACCTCGGCCTCCCCGGTGTTGGAACCTCCGTGGGCTCTATTGTCAAGACCGCTGGCAACGTTGGTGACCTCGTCAAGGATCTCGGCAAGCCCGTTCAGGGACTACTCACTGTTGTCGGCCAGGACGGCTCCTACCTCCTCATCCAGCTGTCTCCTAGCCTCGCTGGTCTCGTCAGCGGTCTCGGACTCCCGGCTGTCGGTGTTCCGGTCGGCACTATTGTTGCCACCCTCGGTGACAACCTGTAAACCGTAAGTGTTTCTGTTGTGCAAATGGATGAGAAGAAGCAAACCGGACGATGCTAACAGGCTCTTGTTCCGCTTTAGAAGGCTATGCTTGGTGGACATAGCGCCATTTTCGAAACCCTTCCAGATACCCTTTTTTACTCGATGAGGTCGGCATGATGGGTGACCGACCATGTATAGCGACGAACAAGCTACAATGTATCTATCCATTCTGGTGTAGCTTTGCGAACCCGCCGGCGTGCCAGTTTTGCATATATTGGGAGAACCCCAGGCTATATAGATTTAATCTAATTTTACGAGCTACCGTGATTATCACTGAGTCTGTCCCACATGTCACCGCGTGATCTGCCACTTCATCTATCTACTCCGACGACGGGAATCGCTTTCCACCGCCGATCTGTTTCAGATCACTGGGACCGACGTCGGAGCTCGATGGAGCAGTAGAGCCCTAAGGAGATTAATTGCTTCGCTTCATAATTATGAACGAAGTGACAGGCAGCCATTCTGACCCGAAAAGCGACGTCTATCCTTTTTGCGATCAGAATCATCAAACTCGTCATGGTTATCATAGTCGTGTCAAAAATTTCGGCCCCTGAAGACACCTCCTGAGACTGGGCGTTTTGGTTGGGGTCACTAGTGGTGCAAACTGCCAACTTGGCTAAGATGTTTCAGGTGTGCGGGCCATCACTTGAAGTGGTGAGAGGCCCAGCAGTTCTTCGGCCCGGCTCCGGAAACTTCCCTCGTTATTTGCCCTGCCTTGCTCAATCTCATCGTCTCACTCTTTCACCATCTGCCCCAGTGCTCCTGGAAATAGTCAAAAGTCTTACCAAACCATGGGGCTTCTAGGAGAAATCCGTACCACTTAGTACGAAGAAATCCAAGAGTTCAAGCTATGCTTATTTAGCCAATGTCATTGCGTCCATCAGGGGGTCATTCCAATGGGATTTAATCTATTTGAGTCAAGGTCTAGAGTCGGCAGCCTCCATTGCCATGTTCACAGCTCACTCATGCTCCAGTTCGGGTACTGGCCTTACCATAGTGGCTCCGCTAGGTCCACTGCACCGAGTGTATGGCCGACGCTGATGGTTTTAAGTTGGACCAGATTATCCCTAGTCCGGCAATCTGCCCCGTTGCGTGCTGTCAAGAATAGCATTTATCGATCAATGGGGAGTTATTTCATCGACTAGAAACGACCGAGACTCATTCTACTCCTGGGTTCCCACTCTCCACGCGGTTCAAACTTCAAAAGAAATGCTAGCGGCTGCAAGGCGGTTAGCTCGAATGGCAAATCAGTATCGGCAAACGACCGTCACAATGGTTCCTGATATAAAGAGGGAGTCGAGGCTCGCTGACGTGGACTTGGTGAACCATTCTCTCATTTTCCTTCCATGTACAGTCTTTAATTGATACCTTCACTACACTCTTTTTGGTGTCTTTTCGTTCCATTCGTCGTTCTTTTTCGCTTTCTTACTTGGATTCGACACACCACCATGCTTGTCGACAAACTCTCTCTATTCGCCGCCGTGGGCCTGGCGCCCCTTCTCGCTGCTGCGCAGCTGAGCGGCTCTGTTGGACACTTGACCTCGGCCAAGACCAAGGCTGCCACCAAGACATGTAACGTTCTCGACTACGGAGCCAAGGCGGACAAATCCACCGATCTGGGTGCCCCGTTGGCCTCCGCCTTTGCCGACTGCAAGTCGGGTGGTGTGGTCTATGTCCCCGAGGGTGACTATGCGCTCTCGACCTGGGCCAGACTGAGCGGTGGTAAAAGCTGGGCTTTGCAGATCGACGGTACCATATATCGGGATAGCACGGATGGCGGCAACATGATCTACATCGAGCACTCCAGCGACTTCGAACTGTTCAGCAGCAACTCCAAGGGTGCCATGCAGGGTCTGGGCTACGAGCTCCACAAGGACAACAAATACTCTGGTCCTCGTCTGCTGCGCTTGTATGATGTTACGGATTTCTCGGTTCACGACTTCATTCTGGTCGATTCGCCTTCTTTCCACTTCTCGATCGACACTTGCACCAACGGTGAAATCTACAACATGGCTATTCGCGGTGCTAACCACGGTGGTCTTGATGGAATTGATGTGTGGAGTGAAAACATCTGGATCCACGATGTGAGTAGGCTTCTCGAGTGTCGCACCCCGAATCAAGCTAACAGCATCTCATAGGTCGAGGTGACGAACAAGGATGAGTGCGTGACGATCAAGGTATGACGTGGTTTCTACCATTGAATGAGGAACGAAGACTGATAAGACTTGTAGAGCCCGGCTCACAACATCCTGGTCGAGAACATCTACTGTAACTGGAGTGGTGGCTGCGGTATGGGCTCCTTCGGAACCGGTACTAATGTTACTGATATCACCTACCGCAACATCTACACCTGGAACTCGAACAACATGATGATGATCAAGAGTAACGGAGGCGATGGATTTATCGAGAACGTCGTCTTTGAGAACTTCATTGGTATGTATCAAGGCAGAGCATCCATTAGACTAAGCACCAATGCTAATCATTACAACAGGCCACGGTAACGCCTACTCCCTGGACATCGACAGCGCATGGGCCAGTATGAAGACTGTGGAGGGCGATGGTATCCAAATGAGCAACTTCACGATCAGGAACTGGAAGGGCACTGAAGCCTACGGTCTTACCCGTGGTCCCATCAAGATGATCTGCCCTACCGGTGCTCCTTGCTACGATATCACCATTGAGGACTTCGCTATGTGGACTGAGAAGGGCGAACAGCAATGGTACTCCTGCCAGAGTGCCTACGGATCGGGCTTCTGTCTCAAGGAGGGTGACGACCACGCTGCTTATGAAGCCTCCACCATTACTGTGAAGTCTGCTCCCACAGGTTACTCTGCCGCCTCGATGGCCGGTGATCTGACTGCGGACTTCGGCACCACCGTTTCCATTCCCATCCCAACCATTCCCACTTCCTTCTACCCCGGTGCTACCCCCATCAGAGCTCTGATGTCCTTGTCTTCTTCGGGCGCTAGCCACGCTACCCCTGCGGCCAGCACGGCTCGTGCTACGAGCGCGGCTACCAGCGTTGCGGAGTCTTCATCGTCCTCGACCTCTGAGTATGTTGCTGCCACCAGTGCCGCCGAGTTCGTCGCGACCCCCTCGGTGAGCAGCGCGCAGGAACAGATCACCAAGGCTGCCAGCTCTTCCGAATCCTCTAGCAACAACAATCAGTGGGAACAGTGGAAGCAACAGGAGGAAGAGCCTGAGGTCGGCAACTGCAACGCGTGAGAAGCTGGATTAATTTCCATCCTGGCTGGTTACACAGCGGTTGTTACCGGTAGAATCATAGGGGAATATGGGAGTCTGCAGTAGCTCGGTGCGTCTGCAAGTCTTTACTTATCTGTAACATAATTAGCCTTGCTGAAGATAATCGAATTGTCTTCCGATGATGTTGCCCGTGCCTGTTCGCTGCTGCATGCGGAAAGCGAGTGTGGCTCTAACCGTTCCTGGATGTAACCTTATTATTATCTTCGCCCCTGAGCATTGACCTGGATTCGACCCCACAGACTGTGCTCAGCTGTACTGTACAATTTGGCTCACGACATGACGAAAGACAATTGATTCTCCCTGGACAAGTATAATTACATCCAGAATTGAATAGACTGAATAGACAACCTCAAACAATGTCCTATTCGGAAAGCGACAGCAGTGAATTGACAAGGGGAAGAAGAGGCCGGACCAGCCAGCGAATGCGGAGAGCGGGGGTGATGTCACCCAAACTCCGGTCCGAAGCAGGAATCCCGACTGGCCTGGCGGGGACTGGAGCTTTGGCCTCGACCATCCAGGCTAAAGGTGACCAGGTCCAAGTCTAGGACTGTTTGCTGCCAACCTTGAACCCCCCGCATCTTTTCTCTCTTTCTCTGCTTCTCTGCTTCTCTGCTTTCGCCTCCCCCTCTTCTACCCTCCTCTTCCCTCTCCTTCTTCTCTTTTTATTTTTTTTCATTGCCTTTCCACCGTTTCCCAACCCTTTTTGACCTCAGCGCTGGACATTATCTTCCCATTCTTTCCTTCGTCCGAAATACCCCAGAGCTTATCTTTCCTATCTCCAGCTCTCCGCTACCATTTCAATGGCTTCGGATTCGGCACCCGCAGATGGCACCGGTGGGTGAAACTTCCTAAACAAGCGGGAGGCTCTGCTGATCATTGTTCATTCTCTTAAAACAGGTGTCATCAAGCTCGACCCATGGCTCGAGCCGCACCGCGACGCCCTCAAACGTAGATTCGAGTTCGTGGAGAGTTGGGTCAAGACCATCAACGAGCATGAGGGTGGCTTGGAGAAGTTCAGCAGGGTACTTACTTGATTTCTTTTCCAACCAGTTCTCGCTAGCTGGTCGCCCACCGATCGAACTACCTTCCCTCTCTCCTACTGCGATCATCCCCGCATTCCACTAACAATACCGTCGGGTCACCGATAGGGTTATGAGAGATACGGCCTCAATGTCGCCGAGAATGGTGACATTGTCTACAGAGAATGGGCTCCCGGGGCGGTTGAGGCCCAGTTAGTTGGCGAATTCAGTACGTCGAGGTTTCTTCTCTAGGTGTGTGTGAAGCGGGAATGCTGAGTACTGGCAGACAACTGGGACGTCAAGGCGAACCCGATGAAGCAGAATGATTTCGGCGTCTGGGAGGTCACGGTACCGGCTAAGAATGGTGTTCCAGCCATTCCGCACGACAGCAAAATCAAGGTACCACTCAGAGGAATCTCTTTGGTTGAGGATGTGTTGCATAGCTAATCCCTCTCATCGCAGATCACTATGGTCACACGCGCTGGGGAACGAATCTACCGGATACCCGCTTGGATCAAGCGCGTGGTACAAGATCTGAGCGTATCCCCTATCTATGAGTCCGTGTTTTGGAACCCGCCCGAGGAAGAGCGGTATCACTTCAAGCACCAGCGCCCGAGAAAGCCCGAGAGCCTGCGGATCTACGAGGCCCACGTCGGAATTTCATCCCCTGAGACGAAAGTCGCAACCTACAAGGAGTTCACAAAGAACATGCTGCCTCGGATCAAGTATCTGGGGTACAATGCTATCCAGCTCATGGCCATCATGGAGCATGCGTACTACGCCAGCTTTGGGTACCAGGTTAACAGCTTCTTCGCGGCGAGTAGCCGCTACGGCCCGCCGGAAGACTTGAAGGAGCTGGTTGATACAGCTCACAGCATGGGCCTGGTGGTGCTTCTTGATGTTGTGCACAGTCACGCATCCAAGAATGTCTTGGATGGCTTGAACATGTTTGATGGCACGGACCACTTGTACTTCCATTCCGGAGGTAAGGGTCAGCACGACCTCTGGGACAGTCGACTGTTCAACTACGGCCACCATGAAGTGCTGCGCTTCCTCCTGAGCAATCTACGATTCTGGATGGAAGAGTATGGCTTTGATGGTTTCCGGTTCGATGGTGTTACTAGCATGCTTTACACGCATCACGGCATTGGAACGTGCGTTGACCCCGGCCTCTTATCATATGTTGATGCACAGACTGACGTGACTTAGAGGTTTCTCGGGTGGGTACCATGAGTACTTCGGCCCCGCTGTTGATGATGAGGGCGTCATGTACCTGACCCTTGCTAACGAGATGCTCCACAACCTCTACCCCAACTGCATCACTGTGGCAGAGGACGTATCTGGCATGCCAGCCTTGTGTCTGCCTCACTCGCTGGGTGGGGTTGGCTTTGACTACCGTCTCGCCATGGCCATTCCCGACATGTACATCAAGCTCCTGAAGGAGAAAGCTGATGACCAGTGGGATATCGGCAACCTGGCTTTCACTCTTACTAACCGCCGTGACGGCGAGAAAACTATCGCTTATGCCGAGAGCCACGACCAAGCGTGAGTCTGCCTGCTCTCTGGTTATACCCCTTCTCTTGCCTCTTCTGAATCTGGCATCGATAAACTGACCCACCTGGTGCGAACACAGTCTCGTCGGCGACAAATCCCTCATGATGTGGCTATGCGACAAAGAAATGTACACACATATGTCCATTCTCACCGAATTGACTCCGATCATCGAACGCGGGATGTCTCTCCACAAACTCCTCCGCCTGGTCACCCACGCGCTCGGCGGCGAAGGGTACCTGAACTTTGAGGGCAACGAATTCGGCCACCCTGAGTGGCTCGACTTCCCCCGTGCGGGCAACAACAACTCGTTCTGGTACGCCCGCCGCCAGCTCAACCTGACCGAGGACCACCTCCTGCGCTACCAGTTCTTGAACGAGTTCGACCGTGCCATGCAACTGACGGAGGACAAGTACGGCTGGCTGCATTCGCCTCAGGCTTATGTCAGCCTCAAGCACGAGGGTGACAAGGTCCTCGTCTTTGAGCGGGCGGGTCTCCTCTGGATCTTCAACTTCCATCCCACGAACAGCTTCACGGACTACCGTGTTGGCGTGGAACAGGCGGGTACGTATCGCATCGTGTTGGACAGCGACGACAAGGTGTTTGGTGGGTTCGGGCGAAACAACAAGGAGACGCGATTCTTCACGACTGATCTGGAGTGGAATGGGCGGCGGAACTATCTGCAGGTCTATATTCCTACGCGGACGGCATTGGTAAGCAGAACCCTTCCTCGGTTGATTCTAGCCTGTGGTTTATCGGTGTGCTAACGAGCGTATCTCACAGGTTCTCGCGCTGGAAGAGACTCTGTAAGAGACTGAGTCCACCCGGTCTTACTAGCGTTTGGCCCTAGTCCAATTGAGCCATCCTGCTGGCGAAGCATGGAAGGAGGCACGCTAGCTAGTCAGCATGAATCTTTGTGCGCCATCATCTTGTATTCCTGTTTCTAGTTTCGGACTTTGCTAGCGATTAATAAACACCCTGATTTATGCGTTATGTTAGCTACTGTGATTAAAATAGCAGAGAAGAGCCGGTTGCAAGAGATTTAGTATCTCCTTGAATTTGCAGATGCAAAGTACCCCGGGCAGTGGCATTTGGCAAGCTTGACCAGGCCAGGAAGACCGGGCGAAATTGAGTAAGACATTCTAGGTAGAAACCAGAATCAAGTCTACTGACTGGTCTACCACACACCAAAAAGACTCCACCGGGGTAAATACAAAAGATTGCTCTAAGAATTTTTCGAGAATTGAACAGACCTTGCTGGCTGGCCAAGATACCTAATCTGGTAATTCTGCACGCCGGCAAAGTGGACAGCCGGGAAGCAGTCCAATTCCATATCCATGAGTCTGGCAGTTAGCCTTCCTTGCCTCTCTACTCACTCGGTTCAACGCCCCATTCTTCTTCACCATGCGGATATTGTTCCTTGTCTTCTCGTGCTTCAGGTCCTGGCACCGGTTAATATGGGTGAGTCTATTCTGACCCTCTATTTACTGTTATGCCAGCGACTCTGCCAAACCTAACGATCCCGGAGTAGTCTCGAACATACGTGACAGCTCCCCGCCATGGAATCCGGAGAAGCATTGCGAACCCGAGATATTCGACATGAATTCGAAATCCCCGTGGGGGTTATCGCCAGAAAAAAGAGCCGACGGTGAGGCCCTGCATCCCGTCATGACAGTCAGGTAGTCCTAACTTCTGAGCGAGCAGTGCCTGGGAGAATTGAGAAGCGTGGGGCTGAATCCACTCTGTGGTGTTCACTGGTAGTCATCAGTGGTCGAAGCCATGAACCCAAACCACTGGCACCATCGTCATATGAGGGAGAAGAGCGATATTACTTATGATACACGGGAACGAAGAGAGGCAAACGTGCCCCGTGGGTTGCCGATGCGTGGGCTCGGGTGCTTCACCCACTATTTGATTCCCCGCAATTTTCCATCCCCGGAGTCGGCACTAATCAGCCTACCAAGTGTCTTCTACACTATTACTACGACCGCTGCTCTCGTTCTTCGCGAGATGGCGCCATGATTTGCTGACTCTGGGCTCAGAGTGTCCACCCCCATGGCTTCGACCCAGCTTTTCCCACCCTGCCGAGCCCTCCAAGCCCCGCCTCCTTCAAGAAGCTCCGTCACGATCGTGTACACTTCTGCTCTGCGTCATCAGCGCCATGAACAGCACTCGGTCGTGGAGAAACATCTGGCAGACTGGGCAATACCAAGTCGGGGGTTGGCCATGAATCAAGACTCTCCCGGGGCCGGCCTCGAGGCTATAAAAACAGGCCCGTGCCTCCCCTCTGGCAATCCCTCTAGCAGAACATTTAGCCTCATACTTGGGCCCGAATACCTCATCAGCCAAGATGAAGTTGACGATTTCCTTGTCTGCAGCTGCTGCCCTGCCTCTGGCCGGGGCTGTTGGGACTCAGCCTCCAGCAACCGTCGATCTAACCGAACTGGAGCTTTTTTTGGTCTTATGGCCGCTCAGAGCCTGTCTATCCCACTCGTGAGTGCTTGCCTCTCAAAAGGCGGAAGTGTCTCTATGCTAACTCCTTGACTAGCTCAGATCCAAGGTCTGGGTGACTGGAAGCATGCCTACAGTAAGGCCAAAGCCTTGGTGGCCCAGATGACCGACGAGGAAAAGAACAACCTTACCTATGGTTATACATCCACCACCAACGGTTGCAGTGGTAGTGTCGCCGGAGTACCCCGGCTGAGGTTCCCGGGACTATGCCTACAAGACTCATCCGGTGGCGTGCGAGGCGCGGATATGGTCAATGTTTATGCGCCGGGCCTCCATGTCGGGGCCTCGTGGAACAGCGAGCTTGCTTATAAACGCGCACAGTATACGGGTGCCGAGTTCAAAAGTAAGGGTGTGAATGTGGCTCTGGACCCCGTTGCCGGGCCCTTGGGCCGGCTTGCTCGCGTAGGCGGGACTGGGAGGGCTTCAACAACGACCCCTACCTAGCTGGTGTTCTTATCGGCCAGTCTGTCCGCGGTCTACAGGAGTCCGTCATTTTCTGTGTGAAACACATTGTCGGTAACGAGCAGGAGGCTAACCGACATTTTCCCACGCTACCCGGTGCACACAACCAAAGCTTATTCTCCAATATCGATGACCATACCATGCATGAGCTGTATCTCTGGCCGTTTTATGATGCCGTCAAAGCCGGCGCCGGCTCTGTGATGTGTAGCTACAACCGCATCAACAACAGTTACGGATGCCAAAACAGCAAGACTATGAATGGGCCGCTTAAGGGCGAACTCGGCTTCCAGGGCTTCGTGGTGCCGTAATAATATCGTGGTCATCCACAACGCAGGCGTGCGCCTAGTTGACCGGTGGGTGGATCACTCAAACATCACCACCGTGATATACGCGCACCTACCAGGCCAGGACAGCGGCTTTGCGTTAGTAGAGGTTCTAGACGGCAAGCATTCCCCATCCGGCCGCCTGCCATACACAGTGGCACGTAACGTATCCGACCACGGCCGCTTATTGAACCCACTCTTCCCAGAAGACACCAAGGACCTGTATTATCCTCAAGGCATCTTCAGCGAGGGGGTCTATATTGATTACAAGGCATTTGAAGCCGCTGGGGTTGACACACACTCAATATACACACACAAACAGAGAGAGAGAAACCCCCAAGAAAAAGTGCCTAGACCCCAAGCCCCAACTTAACTCATAGATCTTTCTAACAGCGCGCAGACGAGTCCATCACCATCACTCCCACAACAACTACCCATCTACCCATCTACCTGCCTAGCCAGTCACTTGACAAAACGAACACAAACTTAAACCACAAATAGAATTACAATTTCCACACACACACACACACACACACACACACACACACACACACAGAGGGGGAGAGAAACACACTCAAGCTCACACTTACACTCATAATTATGTTTATGTTTATACTTATACTCACACTTAGACAAAAGACAAACACAACACCCTCTTCACCAACACCTAGAATGGAGGGACCCCCCAAGCCGGGACAAAGTGCATGAATTCAAGAATACAGAAAGGATCGTTGAGTTTCTCCAATGTAAGTGAGTATCTTATATTCTCTTCTCTTGTATCAACCAATGAGGGTGGTACCGGTTTTGTGAGGGTTGTCGCTTGCTTGGTTTTTGTTTATCTATGATTAAAATTGAGGCGGATGCTGTTTTTACTGTTTGTTGGTTTGCAGGTAGGTAGGTAGGTCGGCGGGTTGGTAGGTTGGGTTATAGATTGGGTTATAGGTAGGCAGGCAGGTAGGTATGTATAGGCAAGGGTGTATGCCACCAAATTTGCACAACGCGATACGTTTTCGAGGATGAAAGGGAAGAGGTGGACAGGCTGTAGTCACGTTTATAGAATTAAGTCTAGATAAAGGAGAAAGCGGAGCGGGATTGACCATGTTGATTGAAAACTGAAAATGTAGAACTAATAAGCTAGAAATATAGAGGAAGAACCAAGGAAGTAGGGCTAATAAGCTAGAAATATGAGGAAGAGCCGAGGAAGTAGGACTGAACAAGGAGAACGAGAAAGTAGAGAGAGAGACCTAAGAGCATACACACAACATATCCAATGAGGGGTCTTCATATGGAATATTTGGTGATTGAATAAGCTATTGAGTCCTTGTCGAGGGTAGAGATTTATCCTGGGATAGGCAAGCTACTATGGGGTCACTCCACTAGCAAACATACCTTGCTTGGTGGTTAAGACTGAAGGACCAAGCTCGGAAGGCTTTGGAGACTCACAACTACCTTTCATACGATGTCGGAGCTGGTAGTTGGTAGCGTAGGCTTGGGGGCGGGGTAGCAGCTGCAATCATAGTGTAAGGATTGAGTATAGAGGGAGTATGGAGAACGGAGTATAAAGACTGAATATAGGCACTAAGTATGGAGATGAAGTATGAAGATAGAGTATAGAGGTGAAGCATGGAGACTGAGTCTGAATAGAGTGGAGAGATTGAGTACGGACCTTCAGTACGGACCTTGAGTACGGACGTTAGTATTGATGGAGAGTGGAAGAATCAGTGGAGAATAGAGATGGATTATGAATGTGATGTGGAATTCAAGGTCAATAAATCCCAGACAGCTACGTAACCAAACAGTATCATATCAATTTCATTACCATATCACGATAAACTACGATTGAACAACCATTCAACAAAAGAAAGAGTACAATTGTCCCAGCCCAGAGGGTATCAGGCTGATGGTGGTCGTTTTAATTTACTTACATGAGCACGTAGTATAACACAGCCGAGAAGTCTCCATCCCGGCTTTGAGGGGAAGCCATGAGGTGACATGTCTTCAAGTGCTCCTGTGTTCCTTCTTAGAATTCGTTGGACTTAAAAAGCCTTTCTCTCATAACTCCCTTTTCTCAATTCGAGTACTGTACACGCATCGATGGAAACCGGACCATGGAAGAAAGGTAGTCCATGTCTAACAAAAAAGGAAAAGGGCGCTTAAAAACAATATTACATCTAGGCCTTGTTCTCGAGCTCGGCCAAGATCTTCTCACCCTTGGCGCGGGCAGACTCGAAGTCACCAACCATGTAGAAAGCAGCTAGAGAGGAGACAAGTCAGCCATGATCAAAGCCCGAAGAGAAGGCACAGAATTCCAACTTACCCTCAGGAAGGTCATCACCCTCTCCGCCGATGATAGCCTTGAAACTGCGGATGGTGTCCTTGAGGTCGACCAGCTTACCCTCGATACCAGTGAAGACCTGGGCGACGGTGAAGGGCTGGGACAGGAAACGCTGGAGCTTACGGGCACGCTCGACGGTAAGCTTGTCAGCCTCAGACAGTTCGTCCATACCCAGAATGGCAATGATATCCTGGAGGGACTTGTACTCCTGGAGCATCTGCTGGACACGGGTGGCGGTGTCGTAGTGGTCCTGACCGACAATACGGGCGTCGAGCATACGGGACTTGGAGTCGAGAGGGTCGACGGCAGGGTAGATACCCAACTCAGAGATACCACGGGACAAGACAGTGGTGGCGTCCAAGTGAGCGAAGGTGGTGGCGGGGGCAGGGTCAGTCAAATCGTCAGCGGGCACGTAGACGGCCTGGACGGAGGTAATGGAACCCTTGGTGGTGGTGGTAATACGCTCCTGCATACCACCCATGTCGACGGCCAGGGTAGGCTGGTAACCGACGGCAGAGGGGATACGACCCAGAAGGGCAGACACCTCAGAACCGGCCTGGGTGAAACGGAAAATGTTGTCAATGAAGAGCAGCACATCCTGACCCTCCTCGTCACGGAAGTACTCGGCGATGGTCAGACCGGTAAGGGCGACACGGGCACGGGCACCTGGGGGCTCGTTCATCTGACCGAACACAAGGGCGACCTTGGATTCACCCTCAAGCTGAATGACACCAGTCTCCTGCATCTCGTGGTACAGATCGTTACCCTCACGGGTACGCTCACCGACACCAGTGAAGACGGAGTAACCACCGTGGGCCTTGGCGATGTTGTTCTGCGTCGAGGATTAGCTCCAGATTCGCTGCCACATCTGAAAAAGCCAGGCAAACACTTACGATCAACTCCTGAATGAAGACGGTCTTACCGACACCGGCACCACCGAAGAGACCAATCTTACCACCACGGGCGTAGGGGGCAAGAAGATCGACGACCTTGATACCAGTGACGAGAATCTCGGCAGTGGTGGACTGCTCAGTGAAGGCAGGAGCCTCAGTGTGGATGGGGCGGAACTTGTCGGCCTTGATGGGACCACGCTCATCAATGGGGTCACCAGTGACGTTGACGATACGGCCGAGAGTGCCAGGGCCGACGGGGATGGTGATGGGAGCACCAGTGTCACGGGCGGCAGCACCACGGGTCAGACCCTCAGTACCTGAAAAGGGGACGCGTTAGGAAAAACCGGCACGAGAGATAGAAGACAGGACACCGAGACCACGCATTGGAAGGGATGACGACGAAGGAAGGAGGTCGAGGAGTCGAAATCTTTCTATGGTGGCCGGCGGTAGGTGAATTGGGTTGCAAGCTTACCGTCCATGGCAATGGTACGAACGACATTCTCACCCAAGTGTTGCTAAAGCTGAGGTTAGCTATCAAAGCAAGCTTGCTTGCTTGATGTCATTCAATCAAGCTGGAAGAAGGTAGTGGTTGGAACCTACAGCAACCTCAAGCACGAGCTTCTGGCCGTTGTTCTCGGTCTCAATGGCGTTGAGAATGGCGGGGAGCTTGTCACCGTCGAACTTCACTGCAGGCGAGAGTCAGATAAGGTGTTCTTTGATAGGCATTGAGTCGTTTTTGATGAAATTGTGGATGATATCGCGGCGCGGAAAAGATTTTCGCGTAGCCGCCAGCAGGGTTTTTTTTGCCGGTAACGGGTAACGGGAACGAAGGGAGCGAGCGGTAGGAACATACCGTCAACGACGGCACCGATGACCTGGTGAATCTTGCCAACGGAAGTAGCCTCAGTGCTGGCAAGACGAGCCAGGGAGGGAAGACCGTTGGTCTTGGGCTGGAAAGCGCGGCGGGCGACGGGCGTAGGCCGAGCAAAAGCAGCCCTCCCGAAGGTCCGGGCAAGACCGCTAGGAACAGAGACAAGCAGAGGTTAGTTTTAAAAAGTTCTTCATGATATAAAGGAAGGATAATTAAAAGGTAATAGGAGTGGGGGATGGGGGTGTGGGATAGGACCGGGGTAAGGGGAGAGATCGAGATGGGTAATACCTCTTGAACATGATGATGGTGTTGAAGAGCGAAATGGGTATAGAGGGAAGGTCAAAGGGGAGGATGGGGGAAAAGGGAAGAAGGGAAAGAGAGGGAGAAAGAGGTTGAGGGAGGTTGAGGTGGACTCTGGCGGAGGTTTGTGTCCGGCTTAGCCTTTCCGGGGCGGTTTTGCCGACGATCCCGTGATGTACCGAGCAACCAGTTGTGTGTGTGGTTGTGTGTGGTTGTGGTGGTAAGAGGCCAGCTGGTGGTAACAACGGGGTAACTCCAAGGTATTGTTACGCATGCAAAGTAGAAGGAGGAATACATGGAGAACACATGGAGGATACATGGAGGATACAACATCCCTATTCAGGCTAATCATTCTCTGCTACCACCTACCATTCATCGTCCAGTACACTTACTTAGCTGCTAACCTGCTACTTACATGTACTGTACTTCCCGTCTGTCCGAGTAGTAACTACCAGTAGTGCTTGCATCTCAGCTGCACAGCAACCAACCTTACCAACCAACCTTGCCCTGTTCGGGCCAGTTTCGCACACAAAATGGGGATCGGGCTTGGCAGCCGCCCGGATACCAACTGGGACCTTCCTTTCCCCTCTTCTTCCAGCGGGCGGACTTGTTCTCAGATATATACTTCCCATCAATCAACACAAGTATTGACTCTTTTGCATTTCCAAATCAATTCTATCACTCTAACAATCCACCGTGATTCACCCAAATATAACCCTCCCACCGGAGTCAAAGGAAGCTGTGGTTGCTCCGCCAACCTACCTCCAGCCAGGAAACAAGCGACGGTATCGGACCAAAACCGCCAACCACCACGAAAAATCTGACGTGTTCCCGTGATTTTCCCTTTCCGGATTTCGCAGCCTTCTCTCCCTCCCTCCCCATTTTTCCCCGAACGCTCAGTCTGGCGGTGTCGTCGTCGAGCTTGGATCTTAAATCGACACGTAGTCAACTCAGTATAAGGGGTTAGTGAAGCTTGTAGTTCATAGCAACCTAGACCGATACTTGTGAAGAGGCTGGGAGAAACTCAATTGTTGTATTGCTTGACTGGTAATGGTCTAGTTTTTGTAACAATGACGTTTCCAAGAGCCGCACACAGACTGTCCTCGGTAGCTCCAAGCACCTACCATGCTGTAGTTACCGTAGCCGCCTCTCTCTCTCTCCCGAATTTGATATCGGACTCTTTTAGTGACTTAGCTCAGCCATTGACATTGACTATATACATTCAATGACCCTCCCAACTCGCATGGCACAATTTCTCCCTTTGCTTAACAATCTTATAGCACTTGCACAGGGACCTTACTCTCACACACAAAACCACTAAGGACAACAACAAAAATAAAAACCAGAGAGAAACCCATTCTAAGGCTACAAAGGAGATACATTGGATTATTGCACAGTACGAGGTACATAGGGGTCTTTTTGGGCTGGAGATTTGACAAACAAGTAAAACAGGTGCGAGACCACGAGTCCAAGCTGGATGGCCACCGATCCGCCGTCATCAGAGGGCGTGCCCGAGCAGGCAGGGGAGTCAGGTAATCTATCAATCAGTCCAACGCTGCCGATTTGCAACTTGCCCAATCGTTCTACCTATTCCTTCCGAGATATTGTCCGGCAAATTTATTGCTTCTCAGCAGGAGGGCTCTGGACAAAGCCCTTGCCCTCGTAACCCTCGGAGCTGACGCCGTAGAGAGGGTTGATCTTCTCACGCTGTGTGGAGGGAAAACCCAGGTTAGTCGTCGTTCGTATACATCAAGATTCGATTATGCTGGAACAGCAGAGTATTCAAAGAGCAGATATCAGACAAAGGGACTTACAATAGCGTATTCATTGGAGGCTTCCTGCCACTCCTTGCTCATGGTCTTGGGGAGGGGCTTGGCGAAGTAGTGGACGGCGTAGAACACACCGACACCGATGGCGCAGTACTGGAGGGCCTTGAGGAAGACCCTGAGGTTCTCGCCCTTGGGAGGGAGAGTACGAGGGCCATGGGGGCCAAAGGAGATCCAGTAGGCTACATGGTGGGGAGAAAAAGAGCCCGTCAGCAAAATTCTTTCAACCACCAGCTAGCGACGAAAAAAAAAATGAAAGGTGTCAGGCGAATGGATGAAGCATACCGGCCTTCTTCTCCTGAAGGGTCAACTGGTGCCAGTCAACCTGCATGCGGTCTCTCAGCTGCATCCACAGTTCGGCCTGCTCCTGGGGGGGCATGGCATCCCAGCGCTTCTCGATACCGGCGAGTGTGGGATTCGAGATGGCATGCTCGGAAGCGGCGCGAGTCTGCTGAGGAGCGATGGACTTCTTCTCGGTCTGAGGACGAGCGTTCAGGCAAGCCATTGGGCTGGAGGCAGTGCGGTAGGAGCGCATGGCAGTGGTGGGCATGGCCGAGCTGCGAGCAGCGGCCCGAGAGGCGGACTGAACGAACATTGTGTGCGAGGGACGACTGTGCGACTAGTGGTCAATTGATGATGGAAAATCAACTCTCCGGGATGAGAGGAACGGTTCCTCGATAAAGGAGGATAGAGGACGTTGGGGGTGTGGAGTGGAGGGGGGGTGACGAAAGAGTCGCGATGGAGGACGAAGACGACGTTCGATGATCTGTGGTTTGAGGTGGAAAGTCGAGTATCCGGACAGGCTAGCTTAGTCCTCTTTACCCCCCACCTCATTGGCTCACGACCAAAGCCCGTCCCGACCGCCCCGTCCGCCTTTGCCCGTCTGACTGAATCCCTTCCCCCAAGAAACATCAGACAATGCCAGGGTTGATAAGGGGTCTTACCCGTGATCACCATTCCTTCTCGGCGCTTCCACTTTAGTGCAAGTTGCGTCTAGGGTAAATACGAATCACCAGTGTCTCAAGCTCCCAGATCGCGAAGGCTACAGAGATTCCCTTCTCCCAGAAACTGGCACTATTTACGTCAATCATCCCTAGTCCTCTTTCCCAGCTACTATAGAGACATCACGAAAGGAAGCAAAGAAGGGCGGAAGACATCGCAGGACTGATCGGCTAAGAATGATTCTCCGTGTCTACTCTACACCCGCCATGTCACTCCTTCCCCATGTCAGGCAACAGTAACCTTTGTGTACAGGCGAACGCTGACAAACAAGCACGAATTCCTTCCCAGACGCTCGGCCTCGCAAAGCGCCAGAATCGTATGAAGATGATACGGTCACTATCAAAAGAAACGAGAGAAGAAAAATGAATAAAGCAGAGTCAAGTCGTAACGTTCTCATATTGAACTATTTGTGTGCAGGGAGACTCGGAGAGAGTTGCTTCGTTCCGGATTCCGCCGCGATTCGAGATGATGCGTTGCGATGCAACAACCAGCACAGTCACCTTGGCCCGGACCCAGCCGGCACCGTCATTTATTTGCCAGCCTTGCCACCGCTGGCCTCGGCCAGGACGGTCTTCCACTCAATGTCGGACTTGTCGTCAGCGTGAATGGAGGTGTGGATGTTGAGGGCGTTCTTCAAGTTTTCGCGGGTGCTGGCGTAGATCATGGACCACTAGTATAACACCGTCAGCAACGAGAACCCGCCGATCGCGCGAGGTGGGTCGCAGGAAGGGAACATACGAGAGTAGGGGTGTCACTGGGCACCCAAGAGATGAAGATGATCTTGCTTCTACAGAAGGAGTGAAAAGGTCAGCAAAAGTGGACTCCGCCGCATCCGCGCAGAGCGCACGCCATGGTCATACCTCTTGCCCTCACCACCACCGAGGTCGTATTCCACATCATAGACGGCATAACGGGGAGCGGGGCGACCGTTGCTGTCCTTAGCGGCTTCGAGCTTGCTGCGGAAGACCTCGTAGTCCTCGTCCTGGGAGGCCTCGTCGACGACGACTTCCTTCTTGTTGTCGGCGATCTTGAAGATGATGAACTTGGTCTTGTTTCCCTTGGCGCCTCCGCTCATGCGGAAGTCATTGAATGCAGTGATGCACTCATCCGTGATAGAAACACTGTTCAGTCACGGGCATGTCAGCTTTGTCCTGGAGACACCGAGCTGGACGAGCGAGGCTGGGTGGGCGGAACAGGTGACAACATACCCAGATGCGAGCTAGAAAAGAATGAAGAAACCAAATTAGCTGTGAGCTTAGCAGACAGAGCAAAAGAGTGCACTCACCGACATGATTGATTATAGTTCTGGAGTTGAGATGGGGTGGGCTAGTGGATAACCTGCGCATGCACGCGATGTCAGTTGGCCAGTTTCCCCTATTTGTCCTCTGGCGTCACAGCACGGTCGGTGATGGCAAAGAAAGCACCGGGACTGGGGAGAAGAGACTGAAAGGGCGACTCACCAAGTAAATAAAACAACTTGATCAGATAGTAAGCGGGAGAATCGGAGAATGAAGAAAGTTATCAAGAAGAGGGGATAAGGGTGAGGGGAGGGGGGGGTGGAAGATGGAGAGGAAGAATAGTGGTTGTAAGTAATAATGGGTGGAGGAGGAGGGGGGAATGAGAGCCGAGATGGAGATAGAGGGGCATTCATTTAGTTAGTTGTTGTGCTCTTTGCGCACTCACAGCGGCGGCGGGCGGACACAGTGGGGGGAGGGCCTGCCACGTGATTCGTCCCAATCGCACCACCAGCCAGCCAGCCGCCCTTTTTCTTCTTCTCCCCCTGAAATTTCCTGGGCGATGACGGAGTTGGTCTATTTTAGAGTGTCCATGGTGTTGACCGTAGTAGTAGTTAGGGGGTTTGATTACTGCCTTAGTGTAAATGGTTAAGCGTAGGTAGCCATCATTATTATTATCAGCAGGACCACCACCACCACCACCACCAGCAGCATCCGGCATAATGCGCCTTGTCTGCAGCCTTGTGCCTGCAGCTCTTTTCCGCTCTGCCAGAACACTTTCTCTACTGAGGACAACTATAGTGGAGGGTAACTAATTGGCCTTAGGTGGGGTGCCCGACTAGAAGCCTGGGAAGATGATTCACAGTTCATCAATATTTCATCGGCCGCAGTCCCTCGTTCTATTCTCGGAGTTGCTGCAGCCAAATGAATCTTGTTTTTGCACCGGAGTAAACCGCCGTTGATGGGTTGCTAACCATGGAACTAGCCCCGGCTAGCCGAGTGATATCACGTCAGTCCTGTCTCGGTAAGGCTGTATGTAAATTTTAAGGGAACAGCCTGCCCTGTCGTGCCTCACAAGATCCGATGCCATCGCAATCAGGATTTTACTGCGAGAACTGGTCGTCATGTATACAAATACATTCAAGTTTTATTCTCTCAGCCACCAGGGCTACGAGATGCCATCCGGTTTTGTGTGAACCGCAAAATGAGAAGACATAATGTCCGCACTTGATGCACGCTTAGAAGGTAAATATAATGATGCAAATCGTGTCTAAATACAACAAATGCACCGCACGCTCTGAAATAGGGTATATAAGAATCGGAAATGGATAAAGGGGTAATCGCAAAGGCATAAAGATCGTCTCATAAACATCGTCAACTTGAGAGCACGATCCGACAGGAGCTGAGAATGTTAAGCAAAAGAGTGCGGCTCAAGTCATCAAGAAAAATGCTCAAGTGATCATGCAGGGTATTTCTACGCGGAGTCACTGGCAGATCCTCTGCTAAGGTGATCGATGAAGAGCGCACGAAAGCAGATAAGACGCCAAGAACAGCAGCCCCAAGTCAGGCGTGCGCTCAAGACTAAGCGACGAGCTTGAGGTTGGCCACGCGGACTTAGACCAGAGAGCCAGTGGTAAAAACTCATCAATCCTCGTCCGCTTGCCCACCATCGATGATCTTGCGCCAATGTTGCGGAAGGCAAACGCAAACGAGTGGAAATGCTTTGATCTCACCCATGGGAGACGGAGATGGTACCGGTCGTTGTGAGCCATTCGAGACACCACTGTCCCGTTGCTCACGGTGCCTGGCATCATAACCATCCACACTTTCGGGGATCCGAACGCCAGTGGCCCATCCATCATCCCAGATACCAATCACCTTCAACATCTCACCTCGATCCAAGGCAAATTCGTCTCCCGCCCGAGGCTGATATGCCCAGAGCACGGCCACCTTGTCACCAGGGCGGATCTCATCCGGAGAATAATAATCCTGAAATGAAGACAGTTGCTCCGACTGTCCACTTGTCACGCCTTCAGGTGATGAGTAATGGCCAGCCTTCATCGAACGAGGTGAGCCATCACTGGCTGCACCAGCTAAGGCTGAGTTGCTGGATAGCGATCCGTGACGCTTGCCAGTTGTCGGTGGGATCTTCTTCGACATCGCACCCGGGCTGGCGCCGAATTCCGAGTCGGAAGAGTCACTGTATTTCGCGCCCCCGAATAAGGCAGCAGAGAGGCGGGAGCGTGCCGGTGACGCACTGGGTGCTTCGCGCAAGGCAGACATTCGAGCGACCCGTCCTCCAGGAATAGCAGCATAACCATTATTCATCTGGGCCGGTTGCATTGATGGGGAGCCCTTGCGTTGTGGGTTCGGCTGGTTGAGGCCACTTTCGTTCTTCGCCTTGCGCTTGCGCCGCAAGCAGATCAAAGCAAGTACGGCGAGGACAGCAAGTAGTGCAAACCCTACCACCGATCCTATCACAATACCCGCGATCTCTCCGCCAGATAAGCCACCCGAGGCACCAGCAGTTGAGTTGGATGTTGACGTCGATGTGAAAATCGGTGTAATCGTTGAAGATGGGACGGTTACGTTTGAGCACCGGGTAGCTGCCCCTGCACTTTCACAGCAAGAATCGGTAGTATTGGTCGAGCTCGATTTGCAGTGCGCACACAGTCCCAAGAGGTTAGATCGGAATCCACAATTCTCCGGCTCATTGTCAGCACCGGGGACGCAGCTCACAGTAATTGAGTCCGCAGGAAGAGCGCAAATAGTAAAATCGGATCGGATCTGGGCCATATAATCGCTAGCCCTTTCGGAACAGAGATCGGAGTCTTTAATTATAGCCTCTTCGCTTTCAGCCATTTGGGCCTGCTGCATGTCAATATAAAGGCTTCTATATAGCCAATTGAGGGAGACTCACGCAAGCATCAGCGCAAAGCGGCCTTGAGTCTTGAAGGGAGAGACTGCAGTCGTTCTTTGAGCTTTGGACCAAGCTGCTGCAGATAACACTTGTGGTATAGCGGGCATAATAGTCACTGGTGTCAGTAAGGTTGGCACCTTCACATCCGAGATAATCCACATATCTAGCCGGAGAAGGACATGGTGAGTAGTGTTCTTGGTAGTATAGAGGGCTAGACAGGCTCACTTTGACCTCACAAAGGACTGCATGACATAGCTGTTTAGCTCTTGGTCAAATTGTGTTAAATTGGAGACATATTGCATGAATGGGCTGAGAATTGGTCAGTATTTCATTGATTTCCACATGGGCAATTGGGCGAGCGAACAAATCTGTATAGAGACTCGAGTTTGTCGATATCGATGAGGTGTTGAATGCGGGACATTGGGTCGAGCCCGACAGTGATATGCATGTGCTGGACATGATTGCAGCAAGCAACTAAGTTTCTCTTAGAATGTACGGCAGTGTGGTCGCACTTGAAAAACGTAGGAGAGAATCAATCTCAGTTCGCTGTTTCGTCTTGATGGGCAGTGTATCAACATCCGCACTCCATGGTTCTCCAGCCGCGTGCTGTTCCACTTTGCGTCAAGGTCAAACTGGCTAAATTTGACGCAGGACTGTATAAGCTCTTCGTATGCGAGCCAACACAATTACAGGCGCGTGAGGCCTCGACCGAGGTGTGCACGGGGAGTCGCGGACAGCTAGTGAAATGCGACTTAGTAGCGCAAGGGTGGGAAACGAGCGACTAGAGTTCGGAGCTGACGAGTCAATCGAGATCATCCAACGAGAGGTATGCCAGAGCTGCTCAAATGATTGGTGAAAGCTGAGGCGATTTGAAGATAAAGCATGGATGTAAGATGATTAGGGAAGGCAAGCATCAGAGCCGAGCTGGAAGGTGGAGGACGAGGCCCTGCACTCACTGGCCGTGCTTTCCCCCTCCGGAAAGACAGCCGCTAGAGGAAAACACCTGGGGCAATCCAACTCAGATCGCTCGTCACGCCGAAAATGATCGGGGACCTTCCATGGCTAATAAAAAGAAGAGCAGCGATGATTGAGGTCCGAACGAAGGGACGGGTAGAGTGAAGAAATTAAGAACAAGGGCAATCACCGATTGGGGGTGGAAAGAAAAGAAAACTAACTGAGTCAATAGTCAATAATCAGGGGCCTGGCGCGGCCGTTTTGCAAAAGCAGCCGACGTCCTTCTCAAACCAACTTCCTGCCGTTCACTTCCACCGCATCCATCCAGGAACAAGAATTAATTCGCTACCGATCGAGTTAGTCGGACTGGCAGGGAACACATTACTATCGAATCAGAATCAAAATCCAATCGCGAGGACCCCAGCTTCGAGCTCCACAGGCCATCCGGAAGTGAGGTTCGAGGCGGTTCGGAAGCCCATCGCCAACTTCAGAGACAAAGAACAATAGCAAAGCACATACGGTACATACTTTCGAGTCTCGACTGCAAGGGTTTCAGAGCCCCTATAATCCTGGATGCATGCCACTTGCACACTGCAATGTGTTGTGTTCCAAACTTCTAGAGAGCACCTTGGGAATTTAAGTATTCTCACAGGTCGTTTCAGACGTTAGATAAGACTTGAGAGTCAAGATGGGGAGCAAGAAAAAGTGAGGGGAGAAAAGAGAAGAGACAGATGCAGGAACCGCAAACTTTATTGCTCGGATGGCCAGAAAGGATCTGTGATGCATGGCAAGTCACTGGCGGTGTTATTCCCAACTGACGTGGCACACCTCGAGCTTGTGAGGCTGTTAGTGCCAGAAGCATGGAGTGAGATGGGCATTCACAGTCAATCTGGTGATCCACCACGCCGATGAAGTGTCCCCTGTCTACTGCCCTGGGTTGAGCCAGCATGAAGAACTTGGGTGCATGGTGGTCCACACCCTGGCAGCCAGGCATCTGGAAAGTACGGTTCCTATACAGCACAATTCACTAGAGAGTGGGACTGCAAACACGGGAACAAAGCCAGGCCCAGAGATCACATCTGTGGTACGCTTGATAAGTCTTCTAGCCCTAAGATGGGGAGTTCGAGGCGAGGGTCTTCGGTACTCGGCGAGTCAATCATGGAACTTTTTTCTATCACTTTCGATGCTTTCGCCCATGATCTAACTTTGGTGTTAGCCATGATCACCGGCTAGTGATGATGAAAGCTGAAGATTCTAGGATACATTCTGGCAACCAAGAGAGCTTCATTCGGTTGTTTCAGGTTCAATCGCTAGTTGTGTGGCAGCCACTAGGAACGCTAGGCTGCTTGACACCGCCGCGGTTGGGCCGATCGCTATTTGCGATAGCTCAGACATTCTATTCATGACATCGACATAGGATTGTCCACGATCTAAGTTCTTTCTCATCCTCACCACGTAAGGTAGCCTCCCCGGTTAGGTGTCTTTCGACAATGCAGCCCAGCCTTCATTTGCTGGCCAATTGTCGGTAGTACAATTGTTTCAGCCAGAGACAACCTACACTGTCGGGAGCCTCTAGTTGCCGCGAACATTTAATCTCACCACCCTTGCGTCTTCAGTAGCTGTAAGTGACCACATCAAGATAGAGCTTACCCAGAATATGCAGGGAGCTTCTTACCGCCGCAATCCCTTCCAGTGCCTTGGATTATGTCTTGTCTCACGCTTTAATGAAGGCTCTTTACACCAGTCACTAAATCACTGGGCGAGACTCGATCACGACTCTGGCTGTATACAGTAACTATGCTTGGTTTCAAATGAATCGATGATCTGTCGCACTCTTGTTACTACGCTGGGGGAGGCGAGCTAGGGCCAGACCGCTATGGGATGATGCCCCCGGAATGGTCCTAAAGCAAACATGCTTTGCAGATGTATCAAAATCTCGTAAAGCCGCATGATCATCGGACAAGTCAATCCCCAAATAGAATTGGTATCGGGTAAATCTCCCGACATCTTTGCACATGTAACGAACTTAGTTCTGTCCTAGCACATCCTCATCCCCACCGCGTAACCATGCTTATTGATTTGGAGTCTGCCCAATATGTCTACATACTTCTTTCGCCAAACCAATGGTGGGTGATATGGCTACTCAAACTGTAGATAATGCCATAATTTCATGAATACTCAATAGATGGTGTTCCATCTACTTTGAGGATTGAAAAGGGTGTGAATCATCAGCCGTGCAAGGATGGCTCGATACATATATCTCCGCCATAGTCTTGCCACACGCGCCCGAAAATCTTCGGCGGATGAATAGGAAGCTTAAGGCTGTTGAGGCTGTAAGTATCGTGAGCATGCTGTGAGCCAGTTTCTAATAAACGAATTGCTGATTACATCTCCTTCGCTGTGGAAGATGGGGACATATATCTTACTGGGTATCGTTAAGCAATCCGTGATTTGTCTAGCTATACTACGTTTGAAGAGGGGAGCTGTGCTAGGAAGATTTCTATCTTTCAAAATGTTCTATTCCATAGACAGTCTCATCCCCCGTGCTAGATGATAGGCGATATTGTAGTCGTGAGTTGTTGAAGGCAGCTCAAGAACAACTGCCCGCCATGTCAGGTGATCGCATCGCATGGACGACGTCATCTGATCGCGACTGGAGTCTCAGCAGGCATCATTCATTCACCTTGTCATCACTCCACACTGGGTTTCCACTTCGGTTTTGTACACACCTTGACTCTAATACACCAGATAAACACGCTTCTGAAGTGATTCTTTTCAGCTAATACCCAGCATCTGCATACCCACCAAGATTTCAACCACAAGCGACTTATCTTACCACTGTGACCATGTGTGGTTCAGACATCTTCCTTGCAATTCTCGCGATCTTTTTTCCACCTGTGGCTGTGTGGATCAAGAGAGGCATCTGCACGGCCGATTCGATCATTAACCTTGCGCTCTGCTGTCTCGCTTACATCCCCGGCCTCCTGCATGCCTGGTACATCATCCTCAAGTACCCCGAGCCGGACTATGACGACCCCAACTATGAGCCTATTCCCCATCATCGCGGCGACGCCGAGAACGGTCGCGTAACATATTACTATGTTTCTCACCAACCCATGCAGCACCCATCACAGAGGGACTATGGTACCATGCCATCACAACCGTCCCAAGCACCAAACGCGCAGTCTCAGCAGCAGCAGCAGCAGCACCACCACCACGAACAAGTTCAGGGAGGCAGCAGCAGCCGAGATCATGCCGACTCGCGACCGCCTCCCACATACGCTGAAGCAGTGAAGGGGGACAATAAAGTGCAAGACTAGATGGTCAAACTTGGATGGAGAGAGTACAACGCAGTTTGCTTCACACTTTACTCTCTATTGTCCTAAACCACTACTGCCCTCAGAGAGACACGGATCAAGGGATGTCTCCGTCGTCTACAAACTGTTGTTGCTCAGAACCCTGCATGACAAGCTACGATTGCCTTCTTACAACGAATGATTATGGATAACGACTCTGTGATATATGGCATTTTGCCCAAGTGTCTTTCTTTGATGATAGCGGCCATCCCGTCCTACCTCGGGAGGCCGTCCGTGGATTTGGCTCTTCAACAATGTGCTGTTGTGATGATAATAAATTAGGGGAATACTCTTAGTATTAGCTTTAGCTAGAGGGTCACAGATCACTATTGTGCTACTAGGAAAATTCGATCGGAACAAAAGTCTCTCACCGTATCGAAGCCGTCGGTGTTGCTACTAGTAGTTAAAGGGTGTCCACCAGAAGCCCGCAGAAGCGCGGCGATCCCGCATGACCGCCTTCTTTCCCGGCCGCCGGCGCCGACAACAGCCTGAGGAATGAATTCCAACAGAGTGACTTATTCGATTCTCAAGAACGACGAACGACGACAAACAACGACGACGACGAAACAGCATCTGCACTGGCTTCTCATTAGCCTAAGCAGCAGCGGTGATGCAGTCCATGCCATTGCTGCTCAGGCAGTCTTTCAGATCCAGCGTCAGCAGTCTCGCCCGCACCACCTCCTCCCGCCCGGTGCGAAGACCGCTGCTGCCCGCCGCTGGCCCGCAGGATCTTTACCATGGCCGAGATACACCCCGGCGATTCTCGGTCTGTCTGCGATGTCAGTTCCGGTCGCAACCTTCGCGGTACTCCTCGAACGAACCGGAGAAGAAACATGATGTGATCATCCTTGGAGCTCCCGCCGACAGCAAGCCGTCCCCGCCGCCATCCAATAGCCCTGAAGAAAGCCAGCATGTCGAGTCGGATGCGGGGAGAGACACTTCCGCAGCAGCAGCTGCTGACATTGCGGAGGAGCAAGCGCCAACGTCAGCTACCACGGAGCCTACGGAGAAGCGAGAAGGAAAGCAAGAGGATGCTGGTGCAGCGGACGCAGCAGGATCTGGGTCGGAGCCCGGGGGCCTCCCATCCTACCTGGAGAACCGACGGTCGCAGTTCGCCAAACAGTTCAGCAGCGTGATGGATAATCTCCAATCCAACATCTTCGTGGCTGGCCAGCGATTGAACGATCTGACAGGCTACTCCTCAATTGAAGCGTTGAAGAAAGACATCCAGTTCCAAGGTACGAGAGCCCACTTCGAGTATCCCACCCCCAAAACCATATGAGGTCAAGTCTACTGATACTCATCACCTTCACCTACATCAGAGGAGCGACTCCGATCCGCCCGCCGGCAAGTCCGCGCCGCCAAAGACGCCTACGCAGCGGCAATCAACAACCGATCGACGTCCCAGCGCGAGGTCAACGAGCTCCTGCAACGTAAACACGCCTGGTCGGCCGCGGACCTGGAACGATTCACGCACCTGTACCGCAACGACCATACCAACGAGGTGGCCGAGAACGAAGCGCAGGCGGCGCTGTCCGAGGCGGAGCGCGAGGCCGAGGAGGCCGCGACGCAGCTGAACAAGAGCATCCTGTCGCGCTACCACGAAGAGCAGGTCTGGTCGGACAAGATCCGCCGCATGAGCACCTGGGGCACCTGGGGCCTGATGGGCGTCAACGTGCTGCTGTTCCTGATCTTCCAGATTGCGGTCGAGCCCTGGCGCCGCAAGCGGCTGGTCAAGGGCTTCGAGGAGAAGGTCATCGAAGCCATCGAGAAGGAGAAGGCGCTCAACCAGGCCCAGATCCTGAACCTGCAGTCCGAGTTCTCCCAACAGGTCGCCGCCTCGGCCGCCAAGGCGGAGTCTGCCGCGCTCGCTGCTGCCACAGCCTCTGAACCCGAGACCCTGGCGGTTGTTGCCTCCGAGGCCGACGCCGCCAGCGAAGCTGTCCCCAACGAGCAGGAGGTCCCCGCCCCAGAAACGATAACTCCCGAACCCGAGGCTCCAATCTCAATCCAGGACCCCTCCTCCTCACACATGAACTTCAACAGCAACAACAACAACAACAACCGGTTGGAAAACGTCCTCCAGACCTGCAAATCCCACTACTCACGCATCCCCCCCTACGGCACCCTCATCGACTCCACCCGTCGCTACCTCCGCGACCTCTTCAGTGACCGCCAGATCACCATGACCCAGCGGGACCACTCTATCCTCGCTATCCAGAGCGCTGCAGCCGGTGCAACCGTTATCGGACTGCTAGCCTTCTTCATCCGTCCGCAGTGAGAACCACTCCTTGAGTGTGAGTCGGCACCTCGAAGGACGTCTACCGTTATGTATCTTATCAAGCCGTGATTTTTTCTTTGATGGAAGGCCCCCTTCCAATGTATGTATTTGTATAAAGACTCTCAAGACATAAATTAAGCGAATGCGCATTGTTTTTCTATATTAGATGGGAGGATAGTGGTTGAGGGATATGGGGTTGCAGCGGGGAGGTACTGGTATGCTCTCTTTGAAAAGAAGTACAGTTAAATCATAGTGACGTGACTAGAGAAACACAAACACTGAGAAGCTCGAGGCCGAGACACAGAGGTATATCTGTCTGGTGGAAAGGCGTCTTTCTCTTCCGCTCTTCGAGATGGCTTTGATCGGAGACTTAAGCAAGGTCCAGCCACGTAATAATTAGTGTCCGGGGTGAGATGTACAACTTATGATGAGAGAAAAAGTCAAGCTGAGTGAGAAAGAAACAAGAGGCTCAGTTTTATCGGGATCCCATATTAAAACAAGGTCTCTTTATATCTTGACAAAAGACGGAGAGATCAAAACAGGTAAAGAATAAAGAGGATTTCATCTAAAAGCACAGCACATACAGACACAACGACACACGCGTACATACACACAAACCTTCCCCATTCCCCCACTTTCCCTGGCGGTCTAGAAAGGTTGCCTAGCTTGCCTGCTCTTTTCTATTGCCGGCGGAAGCTTTCTTCCCCATTGCCACATGAAGTTCGATTTCAGTCGAGGGTTCGTTTAACCGATGATGAGGGTGTCCTCGGAGGGGAAGCTGTACTGGGGAACCTCGAGGTTGAGGGGAGCGGGGCCCTTTCTTATACGGCCGGAGATGTCGTAGTGGGAACCGTGGCAGGGGCAGAACCAGCCGCCATAGTCACCGGATTCACCGATGGGGACACAACCCAAGTGGGTGCAGACACCTAGACGGAAGGACATATTAGTGTTGATGTAAGTGGTTGCACTGGGAACGGGATGCACATACCCAGCATGACGAGCCACTCGGCCTTCTGGACACGGTCCTCATCAGCCTGAGGGTCACGGAGGGACTGCCACTCGGTCTTCTGGGCCTCCTCGATCTCATCCTGGGTACGGTGGCGGATGAAGACGGGCTTTCCACGCCACTTGATGATAACCTATATGCGGGGGGACAGCGGTTAGATATCAAAGTCGCACACGGCGGCCACTCGAGAGAGCAGGGAGGGACATACGTTCTTGCCCTCAGGGATAGCACCGAGGCCGATCTCAACCTTAGCCTGAGCGAGGACGTCGGCGGAAGCGGACATGTTGACCAGGAAGTCTGTTGATAGGATCCCACATCAGCGATACTGACCGAAGCGGTAAAGCCATGCAGCCCGCGAATCATCCATCGAGTTGTTTGTATTCCTCCACTGGCTGTATGATGACCTCCAAGACAAGCTCGACCTGAGCGCAAAACATTGAGAGAGTCGGAGTCACCTACCCTGAACGGTAGCCTTAGCACCGACAGCAGAGGCCAGACCGAGGGAACCAGCCATGAAGTAGGAGAAGACCTGGTTGGAGCGAGGGCCCTTCTTGGAGGAGTATTTGCTGAAGTCGGGGATCTTCACGGTGGAGTCGTAGTCCTGGGAGGGGGTGAAAGGGCTGGCGAAGCTGGACCTGGCATTGGAGACACCCCTCCGCTGCTGGCAGGAGGCGATGGCGGCGCGAGGAGTGGTGAGTTGTTGCCGAGCGCAGGCGCGCAGGACGGAGTTGGAGGCGGAGGCGAGAGACATGGCGAGAGGAGCAATTGCACTTCAATTGCGAAAAGAAAAGAAGAACCGCTAAGAGAGTGGTTGGGTGGGGGGTGGAGGGGGGAGGCAAGAGAGATATCCGGGGGAGGAGATCGGGAGGAGGATTTGATTTTCCTTGAGGTTGGAGGTTGAAGTCGGAGGCCCGGCACTCATACGGAAAGTCGAACCAGAGCTTTCGCTACGGCAAGCGATCGGAATCACGCCGCCTGTCATTGGCTCTCACACCCGTCTTAGTCAGAATCTCACCTGACGTATGGCCCATTGATTATCTTCAATTCAATCAATCCAAGCATGTGTTTATCTACTACAGCACTGTCATTGCATTTGAATTACTGAAACTCATATGATTGATCAAACAGACATCACTCAATATATGCACACTACTTGATTCCTGATTGTACTGCTGGACTCTGCCTTTATCATTGTTGTCCATCCGTCCGTCCCTCCCGGTTTCATCCCGCCCAATGCCATTATCCGGATTCCCAATGCGTTTGACCAAACACCAAAGAGACTCGATTGACTCGGAGGGTCAATGGCGAAGAAGGAAGAGAAAGAAAAAAAAAGCTATATTCAATTACCAAAACCAAATATCCCCAAATAACTCCCCAATGCCATGCAATGCCCCGTCAAATTATGGTCGTTTGTCGCGGTCACTGGTCGGTCATCTCCACATCCTGATCTTCCGTTGGTGCTTCCACTGTTCGATCAACCATCATCGTCACTGTGGGAGGTCGGGAACCTCTCGAGGGCTTGTCGTCTGATCCCAGTTGAGCCTCCTGGTTGTCCACCTCTGGTTGCCCTTCAGCCGCTGGAGGTAGGCTCCCGTTCAATGTGCGCTGTCCCTTCTCGTATTCGGCTTCCTTGCCTACCTCCTTTGCTCGTTTCTCCTTAAATTGCTTATACGTCGTCGTCTTGGGGATCACGTCGGAGAGGAATTCGAGATTATCGATGCGCGACACCGCCGTAGCTATGATCCCGCACCGTAAGTCTCCGGTGGTATATTGTTCCCGATCTTTCCTGCGACTCACCTAGATCCTTGTACTGGATGGTCTTGCGCGGTTTTCGTTCGGATTTGACGACATTGTGGCCTTGTTCGGTGAGGTATTGGATGAACATTTCCTGCGTGAGATCGAGCGAATCGTGAGCCGAGGTCGCGTCCACGAGAGTATGGGAAGAGAAGACAGCACGAACCGTAGCCATAGCAATGACGAACGTAGCGTTACTCGAGCACTGAACGATATCGTCATCGAGTTGAATGATTTTCTTGATTCGCGATACTGCCAAGTATCGTCAGTCGAGGCCAGCCGTACAAAAATTCTCTTCACTTACTGGGAAGAGCGCTCTGGCCGGTGATCTCTTGGGACGCCGCAGACTCGGCCGCTGACTTGTCTTTGGGAGGCATCGTGCAGGCGCGTCGAGAACTTCACTCGAGATAACAGCGAAATATAGTCACGAGAGGATATTATAAAAGTTGTTAAGGATCGAGTAAGCTGACGTTGAGGAGTGGGCTTGCAGAGCAATGAGGGTATGAAATAATGAATCTGGGCCGACGATAGCGACGCGCGCGGGCCTTGAAACCCACCGCGCGTGGCGGAAAGTAGAAAAATGGTCCAATCTCCAAGAATGATCCTCAATAAAGAACCCTGTTCGATATCTACTACGCTTATATACTTGCTTCTAGTACATTTGCAATCTTAAATATTTACCATCTTTTCGTATAGCCTACGTAGTACTGCTTCTCTCTTGCTTCTCAAGTTTAATTGTACCCCAAAACGGAAAGAATAGGTTCTACTATCGAATCTCACGTGGGCGGCCGCGCAATCAACTGTTCCTCTCTTCCCCGTACCCTCTTCGCCGTCATCTCCGATCAAGCCAAGGCCAGACTATGCTCTTGTCGCCGACTCAACCGATGGAATGAGCTCCATACCTGCCTCATCCATCTCTGCCCACCCGCCCTCAGTCTTGGCTGAGCGGCGGAATTGGAGGAGGTTATCAGGCTTATCTGTTCTATCGTCCGTCGACGAACGCCCGTCCCCGTCCGCGGCCAACGGCCAGGGCCCCGCCATCACCGAGGAGATCAGCGAGATCAAGCGGTACGAGGACTTCACCACCATCGACTGGGTCCAGGATGCGATTCACGAACAGGCGCGACGCCGCGCTAAACGACGAGACGGCTTTGGGTTCTGGGATCAGGAAGGCACCTTTGGCTGGCGACGCAAGGTGCGCGAATCTTACAACGCTGGACAAGCTTGGGTCGTGATTACAATCGTCGGCGCGGTGATCGGGCTGATCTCGGCTTTGCTGAATATCATTACGGAATGGCTGTCCGATATCAAATTGGGCCATTGCACGACCGCGTTCTACCTCAATGAGCAATTTTGTTGTTGGGGTGCGGAGGGAAGTACGTGGTTGCTGTTGTCGTCCATGTCGCATCGGCCATAGTGAGCTTATTTGTGCCTTAGGTTGTCCCGAATGGAAGCCCTGGACGTCCTACTCGTTCGTGAACTACATCATATATGTCTTCTATGCGGTATGCTGGTTATACGTCGCTCCTGTTGGGACCGTCGCTAATGTTGAGAATTAGGTCCTGTTCGCCTTCGTCGCCGCAAGCCTCGTGAAGTCGTTCGCTCCATACGCCGCAGGATCCGGAATCTCCGAAATCAAATGTATCATCGCAGGATTCGTCATGAAAGGCTTTTTGGGGGGATGGACACTGTTGATCAAGTCAATTGCACTTCCGTTGGCTATCGCATCCGGCCTATCGGTGGGTAAGGAAGGGCCCAGTGTTCACTTCGCTGTATGTGCCGGAAATGTGATCTCGCGCTTCTTCGAGAAGTACAAACGGAATGCCTCGAAGACGAGGGAGGTGTTGACGGCGACTGCTGCAGCGGGCGTAGCAGTCGCATTTGGCAGTCCGATTGGCGGCGTGCTCTTTTCTCTCGAGGTAGGAGACTGCTGTCTTCGCTCAGGGTGACACCGACTTACCGTGTTATAGGAGGTAGCGAATTATTTCCCACTTAAGACCCTCTGGCGCAGTTACTTCTGTGCGCTAGTCGCGACCGGGGTGCTGGCGGTAAGTAACTCAGTGCTCCAGCTAGGCTGTCATGCTGATGTCACCGCAGATGATGAACCCCTTCCGAACTGGGCAGCTGGTTATGTTCCAGGTGCACTATGACCGAACCTGGCACTTCTTCGAATTGATCTTCTTCATCTTTATCGGCGCCTTCGGTGGTTTGTATGGGGCACTCGTGATCAAATGGAACCTCCGGGTTCAGGGGTTTAGAAAAAAGTATCTGTCGCAGCATGCCGTAATGGAATCGGTCATTCTGGCAGGCTTGACGGCAGTTCTGTGCTACCCGAATATGTTCTTGAGGATCAACATGACGGAGATGATGGAAATCTTGTTCCGCGAGTGCGAAGGTGGCCATGACTATAATGGACTCTGCGAGTGAGTCTGCTACCGTCATCGTTCATACACGCTGTTAACACGAAAACAGGGCCAAAAACCGGTGGACCATGGTCGGGTCTCTAGCTGTGGCTACCATTCTCCGTATCTTTCTGGTCATCATCTCTTATGGCTGCAAAGTGCCCGCGGGTATCTTTGTGCCGTCGATGGCCATCGGCGCGTCATTTGGCCGCTTTGTCGGAATTCTGGTGCAAGCCCTGCACGAAGCGTATCCCAAATCTCAATTTTTCGCTTCCTGCGAACCTGACATTCCCTGCATCACACCGGGTACATATGCGTTCTTAGGAGCTGGAGCAGCCCTGAGTGGTATCATGCATTTGACGATCTCGGTAACAGTCATCATGTTCGAATTGACAGGCGCTCTGAATTATATCCTCCCAACAATGGTGAGTGTCTTCGATACACAATTTGGAAATCGACTAACGTCGGCAGATTGTGGTTGGTGTCACCAAAGCCGTCGGCGATTGTTTCGGAAATGGTGGTATCGCCGACCGCATGATCTGGGCCAATGGCTTCCCCTTCCTCGACACCAAGGAAGACCATGTCTTCAATGTGCCTGTCTCCCAAGTCATGACGGGGGACCCGGTCTCCCTCCCTGCAGCTGGATTTCCCGTGCGTGAAGCCGAGCATCTCTTGAACGACAACAAGTTCCAGGGCTTTCCCATCGTTGAAAACCGCACGAACAAGACCCTTGTAGGTTATATTGGGCGCACGGAGTTGCGCTACGCGATCGACCGTGCCAAAACCGAGGGCTTGCTATCTCCCAGCGCAACGTGTGTGTTCACCAAGGAAGCCGCCGAAGCCTCCATTGCTCGCAGAGCGTCTGCGTCTGCGTCTGCGTCTGCGTCTGCTTCGCGGCACCTAGCCCCCGAAACATTCGACAACATCCACACCAACGCAGGCGCCAGCGTCGTGGACCTCAGCAGATACGCTGACCATACCCCGCTGACTGTCCATCCCCGGCTCCCGCTTGAGACCGTGATGGAGATCTTCAAGAAGATGGGGCCCCGAGTCATTGTGGTGGAACACCGCGGCCGCCTCATGGGCCTAGTCACCGTCAAGGACTGCCTCAAGTACCAGTTCAAGGTCGAGGCCGAAGAACAGGCCCTGGCAGCAACCAGCCCCCCGCAGCTTTCCCTCGGCGGAGGCTCCTTGAACTCCCGCACGAGCGACACGCTGGAGGAACGGCTGTGGAACTGGATGCAGCAGGTCGGGTCATTGTTCTCCTGGCGACGAGCCTCGCGAGTACGTCTGGGGACCCGCAGACCGGAACCCAGACCATCGGCTGTGTCTCGAAGCGGTGGTCATGAAGGTGCAGCGTTGTCTTCGTCTTACCCGCACGATCCGCAGGATGAGCGGGATACCATGATGGAATTAGAAGATAGATGAGATTGGTGTTACATAGACTACAGTACATACGAATATACTAGATCTCGTTCACTACCTTCCGACAGAAATAGTAAGCATCCGGGAGAGAATCCCCGAACCCCCCTTCCTTTCAGCTCCCTGGTATACACTTAATCCCGGCCCATGGATATAAGTATTTATCCGGGGGAGAACCCCCGGACCCCCCTTCCTTTCAGCTCCCTGGTATACCTCAACCCTATACCCCACAAACCCCGTTCAGATTTATACCCTAAGAATCCCTCATCCCAACAATAATACACCCACTCCCCATCATCGCGGCCCCAACCCACCACAACCCGCCCACCCGCTCCGAAAACACAACCATCCCCAGCAGCGCCGTCACCAGAAAATTCGCCGCCGTGTTCGTGATCGACACCTTGGTCGTCGACGGGCCCGCCGTCAGCGCCCGCGTGAACAGCGCCCACATGATCCCGTTGCACAGCAGGTTGAGCGCCAGGCTTATCTATCATTCGCAGCTTGTTAGCGTTGGATTCGGGTTGTTGGGCTTGATTCGAGTCTGGTGTTTGACTGATACTGATGGAAAGGTAGGGTAGGGAAGGAACGTACACCCCGGATCACTAGGACCAGGAATGGGTGGTCGGCTGTGCTGCTTGCAGGGTCGCTAGTGAAGAGGTGCAGGAGGGAGGTTGCTAGGGCTGTTGTTTGTGTGTCTGTTGTTCTTTTTTGATGTTAGCTTCGATGAGGTTATATTGGGGGGGAGGAGGTACAGTTTGGCGAAGAGGCCGTTAAAGGCGGCGAAGGCGCCGCTGGTCAGGGCCAGGAGGATCCAGCGGGGGGTCGGGGGGTTTTGTTTCGCTGGCGCGGGGGTTGGGGGTTGTTTTCGGGATGCTGATGGTTGCTCGGGCATTTTTGTGGCTTTAGGATGTGAGTTAGGTTATATGGTCATTGTACTGGATGAAGATCGGTGGTGGTATTGGTGGTTGTGGTGGAGGAGTTGGCTTGCAACAGGGGCGTTATCGGGGTTATCTTTATCTTATCTGATCGATGGATGGCTCGGTTCCACCAGTACTTATATCTGGTATAGGAACTGAGGTAACCAGGGGGCTGAAAGAAAAGGGGGGTCCGGGGGTTCTCCCCCGGAATACCCATATCTCTGGTCTAGGGATTGAGCGTCATCCCCGAGACCACTCCCCTTACCTTTTAAATCACCGGCTCCATAACACGTTCCGGGGAGAACCCCCGGACCCCCCTTTTCTTTCAGCTCCCTGGTATACAGCAGTTGTATCCATTTGGAGAGGAATTGAATAGTAAATCATAAGCTCTAAGCTGAGATACTAAGAATGCAAAACACCAAGAACAAACAGCATCGCATCCTCAGGCTATAGCTCACATGCATCCATCTAATGCATCTTATCTCTTAGTCTAGTGCACCGCATCTACGGCGACAACCTCTCAATACGCCAACGATAATCGCCGTGCTCCTCCCCGACCCGCACATACCGGAAGCGATCATGCAGCCGACTCTTTCTGCCTTGCCAAAACTCCACGGACTCGGGCACCAGACGCACGCCGCCCCAGAAGGGGGGCAGGGGGATCTGGTCGACGCCGTCGAAGCGCCTCTCGACCTCCTTGACGCGCTCCTCCAGGGCCTTCCTCCCATCATCGATATCTCTCTCGTCCACATTGCGCGGCACCTGGTACAGGGTGGGATCGAGACTCTTGCGGCGGCGCTCGAGCAGCGACTCCGGCTCGGCGCGCCACAGCACCTTGCTCTGCCAGCTGGCCCAGGCGCCGATCTGGCTGCCGCGCTCTCTGGTGTGCCAGTACAGCTCGCTCTCCTCGCGCGACAGCGGCTCAACCAGCCCCTCGATGCGCACCTGCCGCTCCAATCCAGACCACAGGAACGTCAACGCCGCCCAGCGATTACCGCCGCTGCCACCGCCGCTGAAATCCCCCTGCAAATCCTCATCCACAGGCGCAGGAATCGGCCGCGGCCCATCCTCCTCTCCGGCACCATCCACCCCCCCGAAAACATCCCGTCCCTTCCCCTCCCGACTACCCCAGTTGCTGTATACCGTCCACCCGCGCTCATCCAGCTCCTTCAGGTACACGACCCGCGCACTCACACGGCCGGACGGCAACGACGCCGTGGCAAGCGTGCAGGTCTCCGGTGCCGTCGACGGGAGTAGCCGCGGGTCGCGGAACCAGGCGTGGAATTGGTGCAGCGGGTTGGTCGGGTGCAGCTGGGAGATGGTCAGCGGCGGGTTCGAGACGAATTGGTGTGCGCGCGCCGCGTGCGCTACCAAGTCCTGCTCCGTCGCTGAGGTCGGCGTCGAGGTGTCCGTGCGGAGCACGCTGGCTTCGTCGGCTTCGTCGGCTGTTATGTCCTTGGCGGTGGGTTGGGAGGGGGCGAGCGATTTTGTGCTGGTGGTGGTGGTGCCGTCGGGCGTGCTGGGTGTTTCGATGTCGCCGGGGGCGACTGTTCTTGTTTGTCAGATTGGTTGCTTGGTGGGGTAATGGGGGGTGGGGTGGGGATTGTGCTGGCGGGAAATGGGATTGAGGCTGAAGCTGAGGCTAAAGCTTAGGACTATAGAGTCGTTGCAGACATACAGATGAGCTTTTTGGGGTGTTGGGATTTGACCCCGTCCGGTGAGTCGTGGTTCATGGCTGATCGGATGATGGAGGTCGAGAATCGGGCACGGTCAGAGCTGGCGAATCGGGATTGACAAGGACAATAGAAAGGAACGCGATGCAAAGTAGCCAGTCGAGAAATTAATCGAGAGAACGGCATAGACTCAGTGCTGAACTACTCAGTCCACTTTGTATGAGAGCGAGGAAGGAGAGGGAGAGAGAGAGGGAGGAGAGAATAATGCGGAGGACGGCGGGGCAGACACACAGCGGGTCACGTCACTGCATCAGTCATCCTCCGTGGCGGACTCCCAGCTTACTTTCTACTTCGACTTTGACTTCGAGCACAGTTTGTGTCAATTTATATGTCCATTGTATAGACACTAAAAGAGGTGGGAGTGGTCTATCGGAGAATGAAAACAAAATGGTATATACATCGCCCATCCCAGACCATAAAACGCCAATGCCATACGCTAGATGCAAAAGAACCATCCCAGGATATCCCATCACCAGTCATCAAGTTGCCCCCTTTTTTATGCTCAAACCGGGACCATCAGACTGGAATCAGCCCAAAGACAGGGATCCAGCCCTGGAGGTAGTATTAAATGACCAACTCAGAAGTGGGCCAGAAACGAAACAGAAAGGCAACTTTTTATCTCGCATGCTCTACAGAGCAGCGACAGCAGGGACAGCGGCCGCGCCACCAGTCCCAACCAAATCGGCAATCTTGCTAGCCACAGCAGGGGGGTAGCCTCGAGAGAGCATCTCCTGTACAATGCGAGCGGCACCTTCACGGTCATCCGAGGCCAAGAACGCACGCGTCATTGCTTCATATGTGCTGGGCTCGCGCTTCTCAATGCCAATGCTATCGTAGATAGTCTTAGCCTTGAAAACGCTACCCTCGGCAGCCCATCCGTGGATAAGAGTGTTGGCAATGTAGGCAGTCATCTCAACCTTACGAGCAGCCATGTCCTTCACGATCTCCTCCGACTGGGCAACCTGGTGGTTGGCCACCATGGCCTCCAGGAGGGCTTGGTACAGACAAGGTTGAACGCGCACCTTGCGGTCCGACATAACAGAGCGGAAGACCTTCATGGCAGCATCCATATCATGCATCACACAACCCTTGGCGTGGATCAGCGAAGCATAGTGCACAGCCTCGGGTTGCTGTCCGGCAGCCTTGATGGTCTCGAGCACCTTCTCGGCCGCAGGCATGTCAATGGGTTCCAGGGATGCGTGAGCGTCGATGAGCAGCTTGTAGGTGTGCATCGTGGGCTGGATCTTGCGAGTGATCATGCGCTCGAAGTAGGCCAAAACCTTGCTGCGGTCGCGCTTAGTGTTGAGGAAGTATTGAATCATGGAATTGTACGGGGCAGGGCGAGGCTTGTAGTTAGGCATCGACTCCATTTCTTCGAACATTTCTTCGGCAAACCGTTCATCGCTGACGCGACAAAGGGCATTGACAATCGTTCCGTAAGTGACACTAGTCGGGCGAACTCCGTTGGCGCGCATCTCAGCGAAGTAGAGCAGGCAGTCATCGATCCGACGAGCCTTGCCGAGCTTACCGATGAGAGCGTTGTACAGGAATGACGTGGGCTCCACACCTTCAGCAACAGCGCGGTGGAAGATCTTCAGTGCCTCGGTCGCCTCATCGAAAGTCTTAGTCGATTCTTTCAAGGTGGTGATGTAAAGACCGAAGGTGTTGGCCGAAGGGGCAGAACCAAGCTCGAGCAGCTCCTGGTGGAACTTGGAAGCCTGGCTGCGGTCACCCAAGCTCAGACACGAGGCCACCATTGCGTCCAGGATCGAAACCCATCCGTACTTGACGGCATTGTACTGAGGAAGCAGAGGCACATCACGTCGAGCCATGCTCAAAACCTCGTGGACCAAATCGACACGGTTGATCTTGGTCGCAGAGTTGATCAGCTTGGCGTACGTGATATAGCGAGGATGACGGCCACTGCGACGCATCGTCCGGAGACGAGAAAGAGCCTCGTTCAGGTGAGACTCCAGTCGGCCGGTGGTGCTTTCCAGCTCATCAGCAATCATCGAGGATCCGCGGAAGTCGGTGGCGTAGGTGTAGGGGTCAAATGAGTCCTCGCTGGACACGGGAGTCATGGAGGACATATCCGATCCGGGTGAGTGGCGACCGCTAACGAAAGACGAAGGGCTGGAAGTCATTGCAAGATGGTCGTGCCATCTCTTGACCATGTCCGGGCGGCTGTTGAAGAGCTTACCCACAGCCTGGTCGACCACCTGGGTGGTGGCAGTGTCCATAGGCAGGCCAGTGGCCAGCGCGAGATCGAGCATGTGGGCGAAGCGGATCGGATGGGCGACGTCGAACATAGCGCTGTTGTTGAGAAGCATACCAGCCTGAACCTGGAGCGCAAGCACAAGGTCGCGGGTATTCAGCTGAGAAATGCCGATCGGACCCAAGCTGGCTACAACGTGCTCGGCGACAGGGGAAATGAGGCCGCCGTTCTCGACCATCGACCACATGAGAGACATGGCAGCTTGAGAGGGGAGAACAGTCGCAGTTTGAACAAGAATGCGACCGATGAGGTGAAGGCTTTCGTTGATCTGTTCGCGAGTATGATTGAGGGTCGAGTCGGTCGAAGCACTGCGAATCCGAGCAAACATATTACGAAGTTCAACCAGGGCCTCCTCGATCTGACCACTCTTCACGAGGGCAACTGCATACATGGCGGTCGGCTGGACCATGTCCGGGGTTGCCTGACCGGCAGTGTTGAGAGCGTGCCACAGGGCCCGGGCGGCCGAAACATTCCCCTGACGCACATGGAGGGCCAGCATCGAGACTGCGGGCCTCTGTCGGACACTCATGTCGGTGGGGAGAGCATCGTATGCTTCGGAAGCTGTCTGCAGATTACCCGCATCCGCCGCGGCAATGCAGATCTGGGACATGGCATGATCCAGCGCGCTATCGTGCAATCGGGTCTTGGCTTGCTCCAACGCCCGACCGTGCTGCCCCGACTTGAGGGCGTGGCGCACCAATCCATCCTCAACGATTACGGATTCCACTGCGTCCTGGCGGGCCTCACGGTTTTCGGTCACTTCGTTGAATGATGCTTGGATCCGTTCCAGGAACCGAAGAGCTTGCTCTTCCTTTCCGCAGGAGAGGTACGCACGGACCAAGGCGGCATAGACCTGACCATCCAGACGCTGAACAATACTAAAGGTACCGTTGTCGTCCGAAACAGCCAGAGCCTTGTACTCGTTGTAGCACTCCACTGCGCTCTTCAAGTCGCCGGTCGAGGCAAACGCATCAATCATAGCTGGGAAAATCGAGGCGTGCGGGGTCACCTTGTGGGTTTCCATGTGGGCGTAAACACGGACCATATCCTCAACCAGGTTTTCCTCGGCGCATGCGGTGATCAGGAAGCGGTAGGTGTCAAGAGGGAAGACGAACTCAGGGTGACGGGTAGTAGCAGTGCGGAAGAGCTTCAAGGCGATGGCGAGAGAATGGTCCTCGGCAAGAAGAGCCTGCTCCAACTCACTGGAATGCAGCATGAACTTGCCAGGCTCCTCCATACCACCGTAACGGGCACGATCCTGCTCCAACAGATCCTTGGACTTGATGGCATCGTGGGCGCGAACGACGAAAAGCTGGACCAGAGTCTGGTAGGTCTGCTCATCGGGAATTACCCTACGACGAAGCATATCCGAGTAGACGTCCAGTGCCTTCTGGATCGCCTGCGCAGTATCGCCATGGAGCTGAATGGCCGACTCCAGCAGAGCATTGTAAGCCCCAACGGTCGGTGTAAGTCCATCTCGGAGGATAGCCGCAAATGCACCTGGGATCTCCCCGAATCTCTTGCCGGATGCTAGTTCAACAATGTGTTCGGAGGCAATGCGAGACTGCTCGAGGGTGGCATCCTCCACAGCAGCAACCTCCTCGGGTAAATCAGGAAACGCTTCAGTGCCCGAATTGTCCTTCGTCTCGGAAGCCTCCTCCGCCTGAGCTTGTTCTTCTTGTATTTGAATCTCGCGGGCAACCGCTTCTTCAACCTTGGCACTAACGTCCGCATTGGCGGAGGCTTTGGTGATGTGAGGCGAATCGTGGAACTGAGAATCCGAGGACGGGACGCTGGCGTCGCTCTTCGTCTTTCCGTCTCCTTCGTTCAGTGTGGGCTTCCAGCCGATTCTCCTCCGCATCTGCAGCTGTTTCCAGTCACTGTCATCTCCGGTTTGCTGAGCATGTTGCCATGCCGCGTAATAGGCGGCTAGACCCAAGTCGCCGGAGCCGGAAGTGCCCTGGCTGGCTTTGGCGCCCGCACCGGAGCTAGAGGGCTGGAAAACATTCTGTAGCTGGGTTGTCCGCGTGAATTTGGCGGCGGGCTGACTGGAAAGGTTGTTTAAGGTAGTCGACGACGCGTACGATGACTGCGAGGCCGCAACTACCGACTGAGCATAGCCATGGGTGAAGGCTTTGGTGAAACTCTGGCGCGCGAGGTGGGTGAACGGCTTGAAGACCATTTATCTTGCGGGAGACCTCTTCAGAGGGAAGAGGCAATGCTGCAATCGAGGTCAGCAGCGTCCTTTCTAGATTTCTGTATGTGTTTATATTTTTTTGGCGTGTTGAATATAAAGATTCGCCTCTCACTCGCCGCCTCCCAATCGGGTAGTTCGTACCTTGCAATCAAAATAATAATAACTATGCAGGTTCATTTGACGACTGCTGGTCGCCAAAAGAACGCGCGGGAAAAGAGGGAAGGGGATGATAGCGGAGGAAGAAAATAATGAATGGCTTCGAGCCTGTGTGTGAGAAAAGTACGAGGCCACGGTGGGAGAAGGGAATTGCTGGGTATTTCAGACCCCGGGGAGGGAAAGTGATCGGTATCGCCGGGCCTACTAGATGCGGTTAGCGCAGATCCCACAGCCACTTGGCCTGTTTGGGCATAGGTACTTTTGTCACGTCGGGTCAATGCCGTGCTGACCAATGCAATCACAGCCCCTGATTGGTTTGCTTGCAATGGATTTTTGATAGGTCTGAGAATGAGTTCCAAGGGAGCAGCAATTCCAGCGATAAACGGAGCCTGGGATTTTTTACACTGCGGGATGGAACGGATTGGTCCTCTATAGAACGCGTTTGATATATGCATGTATTTACTGCGGGATTTATGTAGCGCAGGCGTCAACCTGCAGTGCTCAATTGTCGATCCGAACAAAACAGGATAGCTGTTTTGCCTGAGACGAGCAATGGCTGTGCGTGACAAAATATGCAGCCTTTCAAAAAATCTATAGGGAGGAACATCTCCACCAGACGGAGATACGTCAGGATTCCAGAAGGGTCGTTGCCTGAGGCGAACGAACGAGGGAGAGACTAAAGGGAAGGACTCCGCGTGTCAGGTGGCCTCATTGACTTTCACAGTTCTCGCTGCGGCCCCGGATTGCAGCTTCTGGCCCAATCGGGTGGACCCAAATCACTGCTGGACCCCTGGCTGCCAATCCGTGACTCACGATTCTTCCGGCTCTTTTTCTTCGCAGGGGCCGCAGGGCCCCCCGGAGTTTGCAGGCTGGCCTCCGAATGGTTGTACGGGACGCGGATGCCCGGCTGGCCGAAGCACCGAACTTCGCTGGAATCCGCTTGGCCACGGATACGAAAGGTTATGGACCGTTATATCCGTTTCAAATCTCCGTCTGTCCGTGCCGTGTGCACTGGATGGCTCGCCGAGTCGGTGTCTCTATAGCCTATCCTATCCACCCATCAGCTTGATCTCTAGTGTGGAGATGGAGGGACCAAGATTGACTTATGCCCGGAGTTGTTCAAACTTCCCCTAGAAAACACCCTTGATCCATAATGATAAGAATAGAAGACAGCGGACGCAGTAAAATTAGCACGGTGAGGCTCTGGTATTGCTATTGCTGCGCCTTCCACGGACTTTCTCCCCAGCTCAGATAGTAGCCCGCGGTCATCAGCCAGCTGACAAATGGCGTTCAATAGATGATATTGTTGATTATGATGCTGCTGCTCATACCATGCGTGTAAGAGCATGCATGCTGATGCACTCCGTATCTGGTGAACCCGACCTGACGTAAAGCGACAGCGGAAGTTCATGTTCAAGTGAGCAATGATAGACTGCCGCGACCCGACACCATAAAAGCCAGGCATCAGCGGGTGGGTAAATCAAGCCATCACCAGCCACAGCACCAGCCACAGTGACCAGTTGGTTTCCACTGAAATGTCCGCAGAGCAACAACAACAACCATAACAATGACGATAATGCTGATGCTGATGCTGATGCTGAGATCGTCCTCCGAACCTTGCTGACCTAGAGCAAACACTCAGAAACACCTGTGAGCTCCAAGCATTGTCACACCCGGGTACTCCGGCAATTCGCAGCATGGCTTCATGTTGAGAACGCCTCCTCAATCTAGTCGACTATCGGGGTGGGGCTTGTCAAAAGATCGCCTGCCTTACGGGTCCAGTGCAAGAAGCTGATTGTTGGACTCTCCCACTACTCTCTCTATGCTAGACATTCCAGTCTACTCCCGGTCTCTTATCGATGATAACCCTGAGATTGCAAAAGGTATGCGAATCGATTGAATCTACCCCGCTATAGCTTCAGCCCCACCTCAATAGGGAATTAATCTAGCTCCATTGTTGACACCGCGCTTCCCTTAGCAGAACTCCTAAACCCCCCTCCGTCACAATCGATGACCTCCCTCTTCACGACTTAGCAGATCCACACGACCTCAACATCCTCATGTCCTATATCCCTCCAACCGTCACGGCGGTGTCCGCCCCGGGCAAAGTCCTCCTGACCGGTGGCTACCTCGTCCTCGACCGCAACTACACCGGCACCGTTTTCGCCCTCGATGCTCGAATCCACGTTATTGTCCAGCAGCTGAAGAAATACCACCGAAAGAGCTCATCCACGGGACCAGAGCAAGCAGAGAACACGACAGACAACAAGGAAAGCGAGGACATCGTCGTGGTTCGGTCGCCGCAGTTCGTCGACGCAGTTTGGGAATATGGCGTGCAGCGGTGCGATAATGGCGGCGGAATCAAAGTGATACAGAAGGGCCAGGGGTAACCTCTCCCACAGAACCCTCTCGATATGATGAAAACCCTCAAGCTAACTCCCCAACCCACCAAACCAGACAAGCCAACCCCTTTGTTGAGACTTCACTCAACTACGCCCTAACCTACATCAGCTACGTCGCCGGGTCGAAGGACTTCGGCTCGCTGTCGATCACCATCCTCGCCGACAATGACTACTACTCGGAGACGGCCTTCTCGAAGATCTCAGGGCTGCAGTCGCCGGGCCGATTCGTAAACTTCGGCGTGCCGCTGCACGAGGCGCACAAGACGGGACTGGGCTCCTCGGCGGCGCTGGTGACCGCACTGGTGTCGGCGCTGGTCATCCACCGCACGCTGCAACCAGACGACCTGGGCGCCGCGCGCGACAAGCTCCACAACCTGGCACAGGCCGCCCACTGCGCGGCGCAGGGCAAAGTTGGGTCGGGCTTCGACGTGGCGGCGGCGATCTACGGGTCGTGCCTCTACCGGCGGTTCTCACCGTCGATCCTCGAGTCCGTAGGCGACGCGGCCACGGCCGGGTTCGAGGAGCGGCTGTTCGCGATCGTGGAGGACGTGGACCCGGCGCACCGGTGGGACACGGAGTGCCTGGACTTCGGGATGAAGCTGCCGCGCGGGATGCAGATGGTGCTGTGCGACGTGGAGTGCGGGTCGCAGACGCCCGGCATGGTCAAGAAGGTACTGGAATGGCGCAAGCAGAACCCGCAGGAGGCCGACCTGCTCTGGTCGGCCCTGCAGTCCAACAACGAGCACCTCTGCCAGGAGCTCAAAATCCTCTCCCAGAACGCCCCTCCTCCCGCCGATAACAACAAGGATAACAACACCGCCACCAACAACGGCTACACGCTAGCCGACTTCGTCGCCGTCCGCGACCTGATCCAGCGCTCCCGCAACCACATCCGCAGCATGACCGCCAAGTCGGACGTGCCGATCGAGCCCAAGGTGCAGACCGAGCTGCTGGACGCCATCTCCGACATCGAGGGCGTCGTCGGCGGCGTCGTTCCCGGCGCCGGCGGCTACGATGCCATCGCGGTCTTGATCCAGGATTCGCCCGACGTCATCCAGCGGCTGGAGGACTGCTTCGCCGCGTGGGAGAGCAAGGTCGAGGACGACTTCGGCGGCAAGATCGGCACCGTCCGCTTGCTCGGGGTGCGTCATGGCTCGGCGGGCGTGCAGAATGAGGGGCTGGAGCAGTATGCTGGCTGGGTTTGAGGACGATATCGACCTACACCTTACTACCACTACCATACCCCAGCATCGGAATGAATTGATGTGAGGACAGACCACCATATCCCATGGACGGTACGCATGTCCGGCAGTATGACTTAAATCAAGCGCCAAGCGGGCATTTACCTAGTCGTTGTTACACTTACATAGTATTAATGAAACAAGATTGCAAGATTGATAGTTCAACATCGCAGGATCCTCATCCTCTTCTTTCCTTTCCCTTCGATATGTACGCGAGCTGATCCGTTATGATCTCCGCTTGCATTTAGTAGATTCACGTACTATATTCTGTACTGTACCAAGTATCATGAATCAGGGTGGCAGATGACAGAAGGATAAGTGCATCTTGGAAAGAATGTGTCGATGCCAAATATGGAAGTTCCCAGCGACGAGCCGACGCAGTATGACACACCACACCACACCACCTCACCTCACCTCACCTCATGGCTCTGTCACACTCCGGATCCAAGTGCGAACATGAGTTTCAATCCCGTCTACACGCAAACCCACCCTGCCGTCTCTGTTATTGAACTTATTTCCAAATGACACCTCCATCTACCCCAAAAACCCACCTACCATACCCCAGCTACCCATACTCCATAAACCCCCAAAAAGCTAAAAGATGTCCGCACCAACCTCGACAAGGGTGAATCCCCCGCAGACTTCCCTGGTGATCATGTCTCGAGAGGGCTGTAGCAGCATTCCATCGGCCACCTCCAAAAGCCCAGCGGAACCCAGCCAAAAGATCCCCAAGCGGCTGCTGCGATACCAGCCCCTCAGCGCCGACGATCATACCGTCCAATATCTGGGCGCGTTCTTGACGTACTTGCCTCCGGACGGCCGGGTGAACCTGGCGGCTGACATCGATCTGATTGCCGATGACGAGGACGAAGGACTCCACCGGCTTGTTCAGCGTCTGGATGTAGGCTTACTCCGTCCGATGGTCGCGGCCGGCGGGTTGATCCCTGTGCCTAACGTTCGTTTGCCTCGGTGGCGAGGCGGGTCTGGTTTTGAGGGCGACGACGACGGGGACAACGCAGGCGAGACGCTATGCAGTGAGGATATCAATCCGGGCGTTGCGCGCGCACAACTTTCATCGAGAAAACACTGTCTTTCCCGAGACGGTCCTCGCTGCGTCATCAGCGGAGATTGGGGTTGCGGGCTTAATGGTATCGATATTCCGCCTGGAACGAATATCTCCGACGTGGAAGCCGCGCATATCCTACCCTTGGCACTGGGTGTTGATGCCTTCGATCGGCGCTACCAAGACGATGATCGAAGACGCAGGTCGACGGTATGGACGAACCTATATAGGTATTTCCCAACCCTCAAGTCCGGATTAGACTTCGGCCCGGAAAGTATCAATGACGAGAGGAACGTGATGATGGTGACCCGCGCCATCCATTATGAGATGGGGCGGTATAAGATCATTCTCGAAGAAATGGAAACGGAGATAAAACAACAACACCAGCCCCAACATCGGTATACTATAAAAGCATTAAAGGGTTGCAGATCGACAACTAAGGACATGTTGCCCGCGGATGGAGTCGTGGCTTTCACAACGCAACCTGATACCAGATACGCCCGTCCAGACCCTTATCTCATCAAGGTCCATGCGGCGATCGGGAATATATTGCACGTCACGGAGGTTGGCCAGAGACTTCAACCCTGGAGGAATGAGATGGCACACGCGCGCAGTCTTCGCCGCGACGGCAGAGGCAGGACCAGACTCGAAGAAATGCTTTCGGTCAGCAAGCTTGCGCTGCTTGCTTCAAGTGAGGTAAATGTAAGTCTTGCTTCCCGACCCCGAAAAATACTTCACTATATCTTTCGGTATGGTCGTTGACTGTTCTTAGGCATTAGACACCGGTGTCGAGCCAGTTCATCACCGGACATGGAATAAGTATACGGTACTCGAATACAAGCCTTAGAACCCCAGATCCCCCAAGTCTCCGAGGCCGGGCGCATACAATAAATTCGTAATATCAAGATCAAAGTCCTGTCACACCCAGGTTAGCCCAAACGTCTTCAGTTGATTGCCAGTAGCCCCTTCAGGAGCGAAGGACACAAACTTACGGCACCGAACCCAACCCCCGTTAACCCGGTCGGACTCTCCAAACTCGACCCCGTCGCCATGGCTGCAACCTCCACCTCGCACTGCGACTTGGCCGCGGAATCCTGCAATGCAGCATAACAATCCCTCAGGCTCAGTACGAGCGACTCGCCGACCGCCTCTTGGACAGGCTCACCCATCTCCATGGCGCGGATCTGCGCCAACATTGCCGAGAGAATAATACACCGTTTGAGACTCGGTGTACCGAGGCGGATTACCTGAAAAATCTGGTCGCGGATGTGCTCCAGGCTTTTGATCAGGGGAGCCCTGGTTGCACGAGCAAGCTCGTCTAAGGGATTTGTCGTCCCTGAAGAAAAGGGGGAAGGAGGGGATTCTTCGAGTTGAGTGATAACTTCTAGTCCGAGGATTGAAAAGAGTTCCAAACTCAGAGGCCCGCGGAAAGAGCCACGGCCCGCGATGAGGAGTCGGGCGAAATCATCAAGGTCGGCAGTGGCAGGAAGGGTGAGGGTATTTGCATAAGAGGCGATGATCATGGCGGATTCCAGGCAGACCTTACGTGAGAAGTGGTATTGTGGGTTGGTGGCGGCCTGGCGCATGAAGGGAAGGTGAAGGAGAAGAATGTACCGGCGGAGTATCATGTCGAGAAACTTACGGTGGAAAGACGTTGGGCGAAGGTCGCCATTTGTGTATTGATGCTGGTGTTGGTGTTGAGGCGTCGTGGGAGACGGGGTATGGGAGGCAAAAAAAGCGGCAACGGTTTGGCAGGTATCTCGGAGGGTATTGCCCAACTCAATGGCTTTGGCATACGTGAGCTTAGAGCGGTCATGGATGAGGTTGACAGCTTCAGCGCGGAGAGGGAATGATTCATGCAGAAGTAGCTGGATGGAGGAGTCTGTGAGTTCGGACATGGGTCGGGCGGTGGTTGCTTGTTTCATGTCGGGATCGAGGTCTTTGTCATAAAGGTTGCCAGGTGGTTTGCTATCGGATGAAGAGGGAATGATGAGTGGCACCGCGGTGTCCAGGGAGCATTGGATTGTGAGCTCTAGGACGGTCGTCCATAAGCGCGCGCGCATCTCTGCCATATAAGGCGGCAGGGTGGGAAAACTGGCAGAGTCCAGATGCAAGCCCATCGCTGTGGCTGCCTGCAGGAGAGACCCTGGAGACAGCCAATTAGAGGGCCCCAGAGCCCCCATCTGACGAGCAAGAAGCAGAAGACAAAAAGCCTGAATACCTTCTAAGCTGGATGTTAATCGTTCTGTAGGTCCAACGAGCCACCACTGAGCCGCGTAAATCCAGGACTGAACCAGCTGCGTATCATGTTCCGCACCTGCCCTGCCTCGCCGCGGATGAAACGTAATGCCGATAGCGAGCACCAGGGTCAACTTGATAAGAAAAGGCGTGACTTTGGCCGAAGGTTCCTCCCAGAACCGCTGATATTCCTTCCCGAAAGTTGGCAAGTGGAGGACTCTGTACACAGGCTCGAAAGTGTCCATGTAGCAGCGTACCAATTCGTCGCACACATCTCTTGCGGGGATCGAGTTGCGCAGGTCCGACACAGGATCATTTGTCTTCAGAGACTGTTCTTTCTTGACCGATTTGCGCAGGTTCCGACACTCCTTGATAAGATTCGCCAGTTCAACCTTACGCTCGGGATATAGAGACTGCGGTTCCTTTCCGGTGAGGGAGCCGAGCATTTGAAGCTGCTAGTTGATCAACTACCGTACGCCGATGGAACCGGGTCTTTCCATACCTTATCCAAAGTGTAGACATGATGAGTCGGACCAAAAAGCTTCATCTTTCGCACTTTCGCATGCAGCCGCAGGGGTGTCGAAGGCAAATCTGGCTCCTGCGCACCTCTTCCATGCTCTTCTCGTCCCGGCTCCCTTCCCGGGGTAGAATGCACGGACTGAGACAATCGTTCCTCCAATCTTGAAACCTTACCACACAGATCCCGCAGAGTTCGTTCCAGAGATTGATCTGCCCCTGCAGCTGGATCTGCCAGCTGCTCCTCTAGGCGTTGCAAGCGTTCCTGAAGGTGACGGACTGACGAGCCATGCTGCGAAGGACTAGGCGGTTCCCGAGTGCTAGCAGGTCCATGAACTGCGTTCCTGGCTTCAGAGCGATAAGTGGATGACGTAGCTACAATTTCCGTCAGATCCTGTCGATGAACCTCAGGAATAATATGATCAGCCGGGTCCAAGTTAGTGGTGGAAGTCCCCTGTTGCGTCGCAGGCAAAGCAGTCGGGTCGACCGCAATTGGACACGGAGAACGGAGCGCCTGCCGATATGAACAGTCCACTGAGGAACGAGAGCGCCTGCAAGGCCCACAGGGGACGTTGCGGTCACAACGAACTTTGCGTTGGCGACACTGCTCGCATGATTTGGCGGGTCGACGGCGTTTGCGAGGCTCGGACTCGGCCGTTATGGCTCCAGGCGCTGGCCGGTTCATTTTGGATTCTCGGGATTCGAAAGTCCCTGACATACTCCGGGAAACCATAAGGTTGACCCCTCCTGGGAAGTGTTGGAATATCGAATCACATGGATAGAAATGCAAATTGTCAGAGAGAGGCGCAGTAATTCACTAGTCACTACTGAACTGGATTCCTGCGAAAATCAAGCGACTTTCCCTTTCCGCTTTAGGTCAAAGTTAGCACTGCTTTTTACTTACTAAGTAGTCTAGAATATATAAAAATAAAAAGTAAATATTTTTAATAATTCCTATTTGATCCCAGATCATTCCAGGAGTAAATACTAGACAGAATAATTATTATTTTAAATATTTGACTAAACTTATATAATCTAGTTATATAATTTAAATAAATCATATATTATTAATATTATATATTTTATCTTACTATTATATACAGAAATATAGATTTAATTAATTTTTTAGAGAAAAGTTAATAACTTAGTCATATTTATTTTAAAATTATATAATCTATTTTTTCTGTTTAACTGAGATGAACATGTCATGCAGTAAGGGTAAGAAGGTTGATTCTTCCTAAGTTTGCTCGAAGGCGAGCGGGTCGAGAAGGCGGCGATACGGTAGACTGTAGACACCAGGAATGCAGATACATACAGACGGTAGCCGCGAGGCGGCATACAGGAACACTTGTTGAAGACGGCCACAATAACCCTACTTTTTAGCTACTTTTTAGAGTGTTTTTTATATATATATCTTCTAAATTAGGTTAGTTAAAAATTAAAAATATATTTCTTATATGAATATATATATATATATATATCTTGTTCTACTTTTATAAACTATTATTATTATATATTCATATATTAGTTATCTATATTTTTTTTAAAAATTTTGGATTAAAATATTTATTTTTGATTTTTCATATTTTTTGAAGATCTTTTATATAGATTTTATATTTAGTTAATATTTATATTTTTTATATTCAAATCTTTCTACTAATTTATTATATTATAATTCATTATAATTATAATATGATTGGTATTTCTTTTTCTATTATACTAATTAGAATAGCTTAACCTGATTATTCTATCTTAACCTTAATCTTATTATAATCTAATAATTAATTAAGATATAAAGAATAATTTAATTATATAATCAAAATTAGATTAAAATATAATTATTATCATAACTATTTATATTTATAAATAAAAAAGATTAAATATAATAAATAAATTATTAAGTATAGATTAATTAAATAATATATAAAATATAATATATTTTTAATTATAATATAATAATTTTTTATTTATTTTATTTATTTTATTTATTTTATTTATTTTATTTATTTTATTTATTTTATTTATTTTATTTATTTTATTTATTTTATTTATTTTA